GATTGTAGAATTTCCATCCCTTGTACCCCTCAGGGTAACCAATGAACACACATTTCTGCATATGAGAGCCAAAGACGCCCCTCTTGTCCTTTTGTACATGCACATAGGCAGTGCAGCCCCAAACGCGAAGGTGAGACATGTCAGGCTTGCGTCCATACCACAGCTCAAAGGGAGTGGCATGGGCCACTGCATCAGTGGGACACCTGTTCCAGACATGCACCAAAGCGGACAGACATTCACCCCAAAAGCTATTAGGCAATCCAGACTCTGATAACATGGCAGTGATACGCTCAGTCAGAAGTCTGTTTGCTCGCTCTGCCACACCGTTCTGCTGAGGACGATTCCTGGTGGTATGCTGTCTCACAATCCCATGGTCATCTGTGAATTGCTCAAATTCCTTGGAGATGTACTCTCCCCCTTTGTCATCACGCAGAGCCTTGATTTTGCGCTCCAATTGAGTCTCGGCATAAGCCTTGAATCTCTTGAAAGCATCAAAGACATCTGACTTGGCCTTGAGAGGCACAACAACACGGAATCGACTGTGATCATCAATGAAGGTGACCCAGTAGCGATAACCAGAGAATGTGGGGGAAGAGACTTGGTGAACATCAGAGTGGATGAGGTCCAAAGGATGAGCAGAGCGAGTATCAGATGAGGGGAATGGATTGGCATGCATCTTGCCAGACAAGCACGGTTCACAGACAGGATCAGGAGCAGCCTTGGAGTCCAGTGTCAGCCCAGTGACCAGATCTCTCTGTATCAGTCTCTTGACATCAGCATGATGGTGGTGAGCCAATCTGCGATGCCAGAGCGTCAAATCAAGTGGTATAGTCGCAGTAAAATGTCCCAATTCAACACAAGCAGCAGTAGATCCATCAAGGAATGCTGCATTGTTGTCATTGATAGTTGCAGTGAACAAGAGAGTGTTGTCACGCATAAAGGACATGGAATGAGACGAAATGGTGACATTGAAACCACTTTGACGAGTTAAATACAAGACTGAGAGGAGATTATTTCGAAGATCTGGTACATGGAGCACTCTAGAGAATTCCACAGGCCTAGCCACTTTGCCATTCATCACAGGATTAAACACCACAGTACCAACACCAGCTGAATAGACAACAGTGTGATCAGCCAGCTTGATTGGCACACGATATGGGGTATAGTGGTGCACCCAATGACGATGAGGTGTCATATGAGAAGTGGCGCCTGTGTCTGCATTCCAATCAACGTCAGCATCAAGTTGGAGAGGGCAGTGAGGATCAGAGGGATGAATGGAACGAAGACTTGCATTTCCAGCTGATTCAGTGACCACAATAGATGAATTGGCATTGTTGGGCGAAGATTTGGGCTGCTGAGAGGTATTCTGAGAGTTGCTGGAGCCTGCCTGAGCCTTATTGCCACGCTTGTAGCGATTCTTAGCGCCCTCCACCGCCTGTTGGCGACTGATAACATATCTGTGGCATTTATCCTGGGTATGACCAAGTAAACCACAGAAATCACACTGAATGCGAGTAGAGGTGGTGGATTGGTTGCAATGATGGCAGTTAGGATGGGTACAGGTGCTATTGGCAGTGGTAGACGAAGAATGCAAGGCAGAATCGACTTCAGCACGACGACGGCGATTGACCTCTTCAGCAAGGAAAGCATCCCTGAGCTGGGTCTTGTCCAAGGTGCCCAGAAGCAGTAAAGATGAAGTGAAGTGGGCATACTGATCAGGAAGCGCCCTAATCATGGCCATACATGTCAGTTCATCGTCCAATTCAGCCAATTTAAAGCCTGTAGGACGAAGATTTTGAATCTGATGCATGCCTTCGTCAATCCTGGTCATGAGAGACTGCAGGGACTCGTCCTCCTTCTTTCTGATAGAGAAGAAGTCGTCATAGGCGTTAAATCTCGTCCCAGGCTTCTTAGAGACGTGCACAATGGCCAGTTTCTCCCAGATCTTGACAGGATCATCAATGATGCCATCAAGATGGATGCGCTGCTCTTTGGTGACATTGAGGTATAATGCACCAGCAGCCTTTTCAGCTCTCAACTCCCATTTCTCTATTGCTTCAGCGTCAGTCCCAGGACACTTTTCAGCACCAGAGACAAGCCTCCACAGTCCCTTGGTCATCAACCAAGCTTGCATTTCACCACTCCACTGGGGGTAGTTAGTGCCAGACAAGGGATGGAACTTGGGATCAGAGTCAGACATGATGGGTGTTGTATAAGACGATAGAGCAAAGATAAATGATGTAGGAGACGGCTATAGGCGATGAAACAGTGGCAAAGACAATGGGTAACAGTAGGAGGTGAGCAGATAAGATGGTGAGGCGGTAGAGAGAGGATATGGAGAGGGTCAGAAAGCGCAAGGATAGGTCCAAATAGGGTCCAAAAAGCGTCCAAAAGCGATCCAGGAGGGTGCTAAGGCTTCCTAGTGCTGCTACAGGGTTACGCCTGTGTTCCCCTTTCAATACCACACTGATATTAACAGAGAAATCGCCTCGAGACAGTGTTGGTTAATAGGGCTTGTATATGAGTCAACAAAGTGACTTAAGCTCCCCAAACACCGCAGACTGAGAGAGGCTCTAGGCAACAGCAAACTGAGGCAATGCAAGCGAGCTTCACAGTCTATAGGCTTGTTCTATCTGATAATGGACAGAGTAGAGAAGATTGGAGCTTTATGCACACACCAGATATGCCAAAAAGCGAAAAATAGGGCAAAAAGTCGAAAATGATGCAGAGACAGATAGGATGGATGGATTGCCCCCTAATCAGAGGTATATGGAACATTTATATAGAGCAATAGATGGCCCAAATATCACAACAAGTGAAGCACAGGATGTGGAGATATGCAATAGGGGTGCAATAGGGGTGAAAGTGCCAAAAATGCGAACTTCACAGAGGGTGATGGAGTGGATGGATTGTCCCCAAATTGAGGGTGTAGAGTGCGATAGTATAGGGTACTAGATGGCTCAAATAGGGCCAAGATCCGAGCACAGGATGTGGAGATATGGAGTAGGGGGCCAAAAGGTGATCAAATGATGATGAAGGCTCACAGAAAGATCCAGCTCAAATCCAACCGCTCTGACAGGTCTCCTAGGGTTATTTAGGGCGTAGAAGATGATGGTAGAAGTTTGGGGACGATCAGATAAGGATTGGATGAGATATGATGCAGATAAGACCAAAAAAGCGTCCAAAATGGGGGTAACTTGCAACAAGGAGTTGTTGTTGGAGATCAGGATGAGATCAGAGTAATCTGAGGTGATGGATGGGATAATAGGAGTCCCAGAAGACGATGGTTACGATGGATAAGCAGTAGGACGCTTGGATGGTGAGATATGAGGTCAGGAAGATGGCTAGAGCACAGGGCTCATAACCTATTGAGAACAAAGCTTGAAGGAAGTGTCTAGCCACTTGCTGAGAGCAATCAGGGACTGGAAACTAGAGTCCAATGTGAGTAACTATATTATTAGAGAGTATGACAGGTATACAGTACCTAGAGTCCAATGTGAGTAACTAGAGAATAGGAAGCATTGGACTCTGCAGTACTGTCCGATGTTTTGTAAACAAAGGTAAACAAAGCAGCCACAAAGGCGAAATAATAGAGAACACAATCAATACTGAATGGTAGAGCAATAGATAAAGAAAGAAATGAAAATATAGAGGTAGCACAACTAGGTGCAGAATCACCAAAACTAACATGTCAGAGTATATTCTAACAAAAACATCGGTCACTCGTCTTGCCTGGTTGGAGCGTGGGTGGGTAGTTTTTGAGCTGGAGAAGGTTCATCCCCTTGCGTCGCCCATGTTCATCGCTGTCCCATTCACTTAGGTACACTTATCTTTTGTCCATCGTCTTTGCTACAGCTACACCTATCACACGCTGCCTGGGACTCACTTGTTCCAAATTGGAACTATTCCTCTCCCTGCCTCGTTTGATCAGGTGGTCCAACACAACCAGTCTATTGGTAAGGCCATGGAACTGTCGGATTTGGACTAGGTGGTGGACCGGTGGCTCCAGTTTCTTTTTCTTGAGCAGAACATTCATTTACAGTGCAATTATTTTTGATTTTTGAATCATTTTTATGGACACATATTTTTTAGAATGCCTGACTGACAATAAAGGAACTGTGTTGATACTGATAGTGTTTTGCCTTGCCCTTTTTTTACTGCATCTTCCCATGACATCATGATTTTCCTGCTCTCTTTTTGCTATTGGACTTTACTTTATGGCTGTACAAACCTGTGACATTACTCACAGCATTTATTGTTCTATCTTTTTCTTTTCCTTTTTTTGACAATCTTATCCTGTACTACCTACGCAGGATTCATCAGCGTACATTCCTTCCTTCATATTCTTTCTCATTCTTTTTGCACAGCTATACTGTGCATAGCCTACTTTTCTTTTACTATATAAACCCCTGTATTTTACCTTGTAAAAAAAAAACAAGTAATCCAATCCAGACTTCTACTCTACTCTCAAGTTCACTACTCTGCTACTTGTGATCCAGTGTGGTCACAACACTTCCCACTTCTACCACTGTTAACTGCTGTCATTGTCACTTGTCACTTTTGAAAGTGATTGTCATCCCCTTCGATTAGAGTCCTTCTGAGCAATACAGTTTGTGCGTCAGGAGCCTGCTATCACTGGGAACCTCATCACCTCGTCATCCTTTTTGTTCTCAAACCTACCTTGTGCTACAATTAGCAAGGTAGTGCTCGTCTATACTCGCCACAAAGCCCCTATCTGTCTATAAATTCAACTATCCCTCTTCCTCAAAACCCACACTCATACACCTCTGGGTTTTACTTTGAAGGATCTTTATACGTACCACCCCACGAACAACCAGACCACTTCACTGTTCTAGGAGGCAAAGCCCATAAACAAGTTCTGTGGAATCTGGGAGGATTGTGTGTTAGTTTGTTTCTCTGTGTGGTTTTCTAACAACAGTTCTCATCATCGACATTGCGGGTTCCAACCATTCGGGTTGCAGCCAGGGTAGGGTGCTCCTATGGATATCAGCGCAGTCCAGGGCGGACAGATGCACAGATTCGCCTGCTACAGCTGTGGGCAGGATGGGCACATAGCCCAAAAGTGTCCAAACGAAGTGCAGGCCGCTCAACAAAAAAATAACCAAGGGTGTCAGGCACACCAATTAGAAACAGAAAAGCCAGACGATCAGTTCAACACTCTGGCCGGTTGTTCGTACGACGAAATCTGGGCCTTCTTTTACGACCAGCAGGTCGCTGAGATGAAGGCTCAGGGAAAAGAGTTTGGAGCTTAGGTCACTTGGGTGCCTTCGCTCCTACAAACAATGAAGTAAACCACAACAAGGTGGCCCCTGCTCCGGGGTGTTGCACGAGCAATAATGGAAAGAAGAAGGTGGCTCCCCAATTTGTAAATAGATTTTGAAATTTGTTATCAGAAGTATGTACTTGTATGAAGCATTGCAATTGTAATATTTATAATACTACCGCTGCACCAGCGTCTCCTTTGGAGTGTGGCCCCAGCGAGACAAACACTAGGGTGTTTGATTCTGGTAAAAATAAAATAGAAAAAAATTTAGCTTTTGACACTTTTTCTTCTTTGTTGGAGCCACCCTTTCCCAAAATCCCAAAGTGTGTGTTGATGCGCACATATTTATTCCAAAAAGAGATCCGTTTAGACATTGGTGTGAAAAACCTTGCCCAGGGCATAGTACACCCAACCAGCGCACTGCTTGATTCAGGTGCTAACAGAATCTTCATATATCAGGTCTGGGCAGAGAAAATTGGACTCCCCCTTGTAAAATTAAATGTATCTATTCCCATCTATAACATTGACGGTACACTTAACGCAGGTGGCTGTATCACAAATGTTCCTTTGTTGTCGAATACCAAGGATACAGAGAACAAGTCACTGCCGAAGCTACCCAACTAGGGAAGATTAATTTAATCTTGGGCTGGACCTGGCTATTCAAACACAATCCTGACATTAACTGGCAGACAGGGGTTGTCACATTGTCACGTTGCCCTCAGGAGTGCGTGAACATGGGTAAACCGAATCACGTCCGTCACAATGAGGGTCTTGAGAAGATAAACGCTGGTCACGTTTATGAGCTCAGATCTCCAGAAAAGATTGACGATGATGAGGTAAAACCCAAGGAAGAGATTAAAAGGCTGGTACCTCCCGAGTATCATAACTTCTGGAAAGTCTTTTCACAACATAAATCAGAGCGCTTCCCAGAGGCTAAGCCTTGGGACCATGCTATAGATTTGAAAGACACCTTCAAACCGAGAAAAGAAAAGGGCACATGATTCCCCTCTCTGCTCCAGAAAGAGATGAGGTCTCAAGTTCCATAGATAAACAACTTAGGAAGGGTTACATCAGACCTTCCAAAAGCCCTATAATGTCCCCGGTGTTCTTCATTCCTAAAAAGGATAAAAAGAAGTGTATGATTATGGACTATCATTACTTGAATGAGTACACGGTTAAAAATGCATATCCACTGCCTTTGATCAGTCAGCTAGTAGACAAGCTGGCTGGTGTCAGGATCTTAACAAAGATGGATCTCCGATGGGGGTACAATAATGTACGCATCAAAGAAGAAGGCCGTGTTCACGTGCCATCAAAGATTCTTCGAGCCCCTCGTTATGTTCTTTGGGTTGACCAATTCACCGGCAACCTTCCAGAGCATGATGAACAAGATCTTTGCGGATATGGAGAACTGTGTTGTCATTTATATTGACAATTTGTTGATATTTACAAAGTCGGATGAAGAGGCTGAGCATGACAGGATTGTGCAAGGAGTCCTTCGACACTTACAGAAACGGGACCTATTTGTCAAACCCAAAAAATATAACTTTAAAGTGAAGGAAGTAGACTTCCTTGGTATGATAATTGGCCAGAACAGAATCAGGATGGACCCTGAGAAAGTTCAAGCTATATTGGATTGGCCTGAACCTACTTGCGCCAAAGGAGTTAGGGCCTTCCTGGGCTTAGGTAATTTCTACCAAAGGTTTATCAAAAATCTTGCAAAAATCACGAGACCGTTGAACGATGTCACTAAAAAGGATATCATTTGGCACTGGGGTGCCCAAGAACAAGAAGCTTTTGATAAGCTTAAACAGGCATTTACAACAGCGCCCATATTAGCATTTCCAGAATTAGACAAAGAGTTCCGGCTAGAAACTGATTCTGATTTTGCTACTGGGGCTGTTTTGTCAATTAAATGCCCTGACAATCTTTGGAGACCTTGTGCCTATTTATCACATAGTTTGTCGCCTGCAGAGCGCAACTATCAAATATACGACAAAGAGATGCTAGCCATCATTAGAGCCTTAGAGCACTGGCGGCACTACTTAGAAGGTGCTAGACATCAATTTGAAATTTGGACTGATCATAAGAATTTGGAGTATTTTATGACGGCCCAAGACTTGAACCAAAGACAGGCCCACTACGCAGTATACTTGTCAAGGTTTAATTATATATTAATTCATAAGCCTGGAAGCTCTATGGGAAAAGCGGACACTTTGTCCAGAAGAGAGGATCATGCCAACAGCATCGAAGATGACAACAAAGGTGTCACCCTGATAAACCAATGAAGGGTTGCCAATATTAGAATCGGGCAGGATTCTGATCTTCTGGAAGTCTTCAAGAAAAACATCTCCTCAGAAGAGAAGGCGCGCCTTGGTGGCAATGAAAACTAGTTATGGGAAGACGGGCTTTTCCATTTTAAAGACAAAATCTATGTGCCTGAGTCCGCAAGGATCAAGGCAATAGATAGACATCACAATACTCCAGTGGCTGGGCACCCTGGGCGGTAATGAACAATGGAGTTGATCTCCAGAAACTATATGTGGCCTGGCATGGTCAAAGACGTACAGGAATATGTAAAATCCTGTCTGAGGTGTGCCATGGCTAAGAATTCTCACCAACCGCCGGCCTATAAACTTATGCCGAATCCAATACCAGCTGGTCCTTGGCAGAATATATCGGTTGATTTCACAACGGATCTGCCCGAGTCGAATGGGTATGATTCAGTGATGGTGGTAGTAGATCACTTTTCCAAAGAAGTAGTATTCATTCCCACCAACAAAACTATTACCGCCGCTGGTACTGCAGATTTATTTAAAGATTTTGTATGGTCTATCCATGGGTTACCAGAAACGGTTATCTCCAATAGAGGACCACAATTCGCTAGTGAATTTACAAAAAAACTATGCCGGATGCTGGGCATCAAACCTAAATTATCAACGATGTTCTATCCGCAGACTGATGGACAAACAGAGAGACTCAACCAGGAGTTGAAACAATATCTCCAGATATTCATTAATGACAGACAGATGGATTGGGCCAAGTGGCTAAAGATAGCCCAGTTCTCATACAATATTAAAAAGTTGTCAGCTACAGAAAAGGCACCATTCAAGGTAACAAGATCATACCTCCCCAGAATGGGTGTAGAACCTGGCAAAAGCAAGAACGAGGCTGCTGAGAACAAGGTCAAAGACATGAAGTCGGTCTTAGACAGAACGTGCAAGGTGCTATTCAAAACTGCAGAGCAGATGAAAGACAGGGCAGAGCGTAGACGCTCTAAGGCCCCTGACTACAAGGTTGGCAACCTGGTCTGGTCAGATACCGACCACTTAGAGTTGAAAGATCGGCAGCCTAGAAAACTGACCGAGAAGTGGATTGGTCCTTACCGGATTAAGGAAGTCAAACCTAATGCAGTGGAGTTAGAATTCCCAAAACGAATGAGGGTAGTACCCACGGTCAATATTAGCCGTGTGAAACCCTACAAAGGGCCACTGCCAGGACAGCGTGTAGACCAGCCCGGACCGATTGTAGTCACCCAGGAAGGTGAAGAAGAGTTCAAAGTCAAACAGGTGGTGGATGCACGCTTGAAGCGTGGAAAATTAGAGTTCCTAGTCCTATGGAAGGGCTATGGAGACGAGGACAGAATGTGGGAGCCAGAAGCCCATCTAGACAATTTCCGTGATGCTGTTCGCAAATTTTATTCTAAGAATCCCTTGGCTCCTAGGAAGCTTAGAGGCATGGATTCGAACCTTTTTAATTCCCTTTTTCAACCTATGCCCAAATATTTAACTACTACCTCCGGAATTAGGTTGAGCCTAAAAGTCAAGCCTTAGGAGGGGGGTAGTGTTACGATACACAATTTTTGGACCTTTAATTTTCATTCTCCTCTTTAACCTTTTTCTGTAGTTTTCACACACTGTGCCATGCGGCACTTTCCCTTTTGTTCAAACTCCTCTTTCTCGCGCTGCACTGCCTTCCTTCTTATTTTTAGCTACAAGTATCTCACACAGTGGAGGTGGCCACAGAGGCTGTGTCCATGACATCATCAGTCACTGCCTTCATCAACTGTATAGTACATATGTACAAACAAACTTGTAGTAGTATATATACCCTAATAGATCAAGGAGACCCCTCAGCGAGTCCTCCTGTTGTATCCTCACAACTAACTTGTTGAAGCCTAAAGGGTAACCACTCCCTCATCATCCTCTCTATAGCTTGTCTGAGTTGTGCGCCAGAGTAACAAACTCTTGGTTGTTACAGGCACACTACCAAAGATGGTTGATCTTTGAAAGAAGGCTGAAAAACGCCTTCAAAAACAATTATGAACAAGAGAAAGCAAGAAACCGGATCTTGCAACTAAAACAGGGAAGTAAGACAGCTAGAGACTTTTTCTTAGAATTTGACAGCCTGCGAAGGAAAGCAGGGTACAAGGATGATTCAATTTTAATCACCTTGCTCAAAAAGAACATGAATAACACGCTTGTGGACAAACTCTATGTTATAGGGTTACCACCAGATCAATACAAAGAATGGAGGAAACTCCTTAATTTTGATCAGACTTGGAGAGAAAGAGAGAAGGAGAAGAAGGGCTACTTTGGTCAGACAAAGAGGACCAGAGCGAGGAAGGACGATGGAGGCGGAAAAAAAGCCTATTCTGGAACCAGAGACAGAATTGGAACTGTTTATTTGGGTACTGGGCAACCCATGGAAATAGACAAGGCTAAATATAGGAAAGAAGGACTCTGCTTTAAATGCGGAGTCAAAGGACACATTGGAAAGTTCTGTCCCACAGAAGGGAAGAACAAGATTGACTTGCACACAATGATAGCGGCATTGTCAAAAGAAGAGTGCAAAGCTCTAAAGCTGGATTTTTGAAGAGGCAACCGATGAAGCATCAGTCTGCCAAGCCTGAATATGTCAACCCTCCCTGTTGATGATTCCACCTGTACTATAGTTACAAATAAAATATATTTATGCAAAGAATCAAAGACAAAGAAAGAAGTTAGGAACAACATAAAAGATGCAAACCAGAAGAGGGGACTGGTAAAAGAAACCCCAAACAAAAGTACAACCGCAGCAGAAGCGGTGCACGATGAAATGACAAACACAGCTACGGCGGCGGGCAAATCATCAAAAAGTGCAGCATCAGCAGCGGATACTAAAGAAATTCTCATACCCAATGCAGCACACTCTACAGAGGAAAGTGCAGTAGAGACTATGAAAGACAGGTCAGGCACCCATGTAAATAAAAACCTAGAAAAAGAAAAAAGGAAGTTGATGACGGCAGCATGGACTCCCAAGTGGGTTGCAGAAAGGCTTGGAGACCAACAGGAAGAAAGATCTATTAGAATCTTGAATGCCTGGACACACCACAAAAAGGGACAAGAAGCAACAAGAGAAACTGTGACAACACCAACAAGACACAGTCTTGCGGCACTGGAGCACAATCACAACAAAATCTCAGTGGAGGAAAAGGAAGTGTACAACCTATCAAAGGAGGGAACTTGTCATTACTAATGTTGGTATACACTAGAAGAGGACTTGTTGAGTCTCTCCCCATGTATTGCTCCAGTATATATACTGAAATACATGAGGTACTGTACAGTTGTAAATAAAGTTTAAAGTCCAATGTTTAGCATATAACTGGTCACATAATGAGTCTAGACACTGGTCAGGTGATGTGTCACATGATTGGTCATGTGACTATGAGAAGTCCAAAAATGTAAAGTAAAGTAAATGGTCATATGATCAGTCATGTGACTTGGAAAAAGTAAAGTAAAAGTACAAAAAGTGAAGCATAAGTAGGTGCTAGTATGTCAATTGTAACAGAAACCATCAAAAAACTCAACACATTATTATTACATGATGCCGAGTTAGCTATCTTGGAACTTCATACTCCAAAAAAGTACATCCGAGGAATGCAGGGAAATCAAATAAATATTACCTGCAAAACAACTACACTAGACACGCAAAGATGATCCAAGTGCTGCTAGACAGCGGATGCACAGGAAGCTGCATAGACTCTAAATTTGTGAAGAAACAGGAGTACCAAACACATAGAATTCTGAGACCAATACCAGTATACAATGCCAATGGAACTCTAAATAAAGATAGAGCCATCAAAGAGTTTGTTGAACTCGAAATAGAAATTGATGACCACTCCAAAAGAATTCACTTTGCTGTCACAAATCTTGGCAGTGGAAGAATGTTCCTAGCATATAAATGGTTATTAAAACATAACCTAAGCATTGACTGGTAGAAATTGGATCTAAGGTTTGAGAGATGTTTGGAAAAATGTAAACAAAAGGTCCAACTCTCTGATCCTGAGGAAGACCTGGAAATATACTCCGAAGAAGTAGACTTCCAAAAGGGGGATCAGCTAATTTAGGTGAATCCACTTAAATACGAAAGAACCGAGATTCCAGAATATTTTTACCAGATAAGAGCTACAGGCACCACAGTGTCGATGATGAGAACTGTTGTTAGCAGAAACCACACACAAAAACAAACTAACACACAATCCTCCCAGATTCCACGGAACTTGTTTATGGGCTTTGCCTCCTAGAACAGTGGAGTGGTCTGGTTGTTTGTGGGGTGGTATGTATACTGATCCTTCAAAGTAAAACCCAAAGATGAATGGGTGTATGGTTTTGAGGAGGAGGGATAGTTGGAATGCAGGAAGATAGGGGCTTTGTGGCGAGTATAGACGAGCACTACCTTGCTAATCGTAGCACAAGGTAGGTTTGAGAATGACAATATGATGAGGTGACAAAGTTCCCAGTGATAGCAGGCTCCTGACACACAGACTGTAGTGCTCAGAAGGACTCTAATCAAAAGGGATGACAATCACTTTCAAAAGTGACAAGTGACGATGACAGCAGTTGACAGTGGTAGCAGTGGGAAGTGTTGTGACCACACTGAATCACAAGTAGTAGTGAGTAGTGAACTTGAGATTAGAGTAGAAGTCTGGATTCAAGTTCTTGTTTTTTTTACAAGGTAAAATACAGGGGTTTATATAGTAAAAGAAAAGTAGGCTATGCACAGTATAGCTGTGCAAAAAGAATGAGAAAGAACATGAAGGAAGGAATGTACGCTGATGAATCCTGCGTAGGTAGTACAGGATAAGATTGTCAAAAAAAAAGGAAAAAAAAAAGGGATAGAACAATGAATGCTGTGAGTAATGTCACAGGTTTGTACAGCCATAAAGTAAAGTCCAATAGCAAAAAGAGAGCAGGAAAATCATGATGTCATGGAAAGATACAGTAAAAAAAGGGCAAGGCAAAACACTATCAGTATCAACACAGTTCTTTTATTGTCAGTCAGGCATTCTAAAAAATATGTGTCCATAAAAATGATTCAAAAATCAAAAATAATTGCACTGTAAATGAATGTTCTGCTGAAAAAAAAGAAACTGGAGCCACCGGTCCACCACCTAGTCCAAATCCAACAGTTCCATGGCCTTACCAATGGACGGTTGCGTTGGACCACCTGGTCAAATGAGGGAGGGAGAGGAGTAGTCCCAATTTGGAACAAGTGAGTCCCAGGGCACAATGCAATGTGTAGCCAGTGGCGACGCAAAAATTTGCCAAAATGCCGAAAAGCGGAAAGTACCGAATGGAAAAGCAAAGGTGAGCATGACTGGATTGCCTAATAGAGGTGGTGCTGATCAGCCACAAGTTTGAAAAAGGCAATATTAATTACTATTCCATGTGGCACTGTGCCTGTGTGGTGCAAAGGCGAGTCTTTTTGAATATTCACTTCGTTATTGACACCTGTTGATGCTACCAATCAACTTTGGTGCATGACATCGACTCGGGCAGATCCGTTGTGTTTAACAACCAAGAGTTAGTTACTCTGGCGCACACAAGAACACTATAAAGGTAGTGATGAGGGAGTGGTTACCCCTTTAAGCTGTGGAGAGTTTGTTGGTATACAACAGGAGGACTTGCTGAGGAGTCTCCTGGATCTATTGGTGTATATATACTAATACAGAGTGTTTGTACTTATGTACTGTACAGTTGGTATAGTCAGTGGCTGATGATGTCATGGGGCCTAGCCTGCATGACCAGCTCCACTGTGTGAGAGAATTGTATCTAAAAATAAGAAGAAGGCAACGCGGCGCGAGAAAGAGGAGTTTTGAACAAAAGGGGAAGTGCCGCGTGGCACCATGCATGAAAGCTAAAGTATACAAGGTTAAAGCGGAGAATGAAAATGAAGGAAAGGTCCGAAAATTGTGTTATCGTAACATTGTGAAATCAACCGATATATCCTGCCAAGGACCAGCTGGTATTGGATTCGGCATAAGTTTATAGGCCGGCGGTTGGTGAGAATTCTTAGCCATGGCACACCTCAGACAGGATTTTACATATTCCTGTACGTCTTTGACCATGCCAGGCCACATATAGTTTCTGGAGATCAACTCCATTGTTCATTACCGCCCAGGGTGCCCAGCCACTGGAGTATTGTGATGTCTATCTATTGCCTTGATCCTTGCGGACTCAGGCACATAGATTTTGTCTTTAAAATGGAAAAGCCCGTCTTCCCATAACTAGTTTTCATTGCCACCAAGGCGCGCCTTCTCTTCTGAGGAGATGTTTTTCTTGAAGACTTCCAGAAGATCAGAATCCTGCCCGATTCTAATATTGGCAACCCTTCATTGGTTTATCAGGGTGACACCTTTGTTGTCATCTTCGATGCTGTTGGCATGATCCTCTCTTCTGGACAAAGTGTCCGCTTTTCCCATAGAGCTTCCAGGCTTATGAATTAATATATAATTAAACCTTGACAAGTATACTGCGTAGTGGGCCTGTCTTTGGTTCAAGTCTTGGGCCGTCATAAAATACTCCAAATTCTTATGATCAGTCCAAATTTCAAATTGATGTCTAGCACCTTCTAAGTAGTGCCGCCAGTGCTCTAAGGCTCTAATGATGGCTAGCATCTCTTTGTCGTATATTTGATAGTTGCGCTCTGCAGGCGACAAACTATGTGATAAATAGGCACAAGGTCTCCAAAGATTGTCAGGGCATTTAATTGACAAAACAGCCCCAGTAGCAAAATCAGAATCAGTTTCTAGCCGGAACTCTTTGTCTAATTCTGGAAATGCTAATATGGGCGCTGTTGTAAATGCCTGTTTAAGCTTATCAAAAGCTTCTTGTTCTTGGGCACCCCAGTGCCAAATGATATCCTTTTTAGTGACATCGTTCAACGGTCTCGTGATTTTTGCAAGATTTTTGATAAACCTTTGGTAGAAATTACCTAAGCCCAGGAAGGCCCTAACTCCTTTGGCGCAAGTAGGTTCAGGCCAATCCAATATAGCTTGAACTTTCTCAGGGTCCATCCTGATTCTGTTCTGGCCAATTATCATACCAAGGAAGTCTACTTCCTTCACTTTAAAGTTATATTTTTTGGGTTTGACAAATAGGTCCCGTTTCTGTAAGTGTCGAAGGACTCCTTGCACAATCCTGTCATGCTCAGCCTCTTCATCCGACTTTGTAAATATCAACAAATTGTCAATATAAATGACAACACAGTTCTCCATATCCGCAAAGATCTTGTTCATCATGCTCTGGAAGGTTGCCGGTGAATTGGTCAACCCAAAGAACATAACGAGGGGCTCGAAGAATCTTTGATGGCACGTGAACACGGCCTTCTTCTTTGATGCGTACATTATTGTACCCCCATCGGAGATCCATCTTTGTTAAGATCCTGACACCAGCCAGCTTGTCTACTAGCTGACTGATCAAAGGCAGTGGATATGCATTTTTAACCGTGTACTCATTCAAGTAATGATAGTCCATAATCATACACTTCTTTTTATCCTTTTTAGGAATGAAGAACACCGGGGACATTATAGGGCTTTTGGAAGGTCTGATGTAACCCTTCCTAAGTTGTTTATCTATGGAACTTGAGACCTCATCTCTTTCTGGAGCAGAGAGGGGAATCATGTGCCCTTTTCTTTTCTCGGTTTGAAGGTGTCTTTCAAATCTATAGCATGGTCCCAAGGCTTAGCCTCTGGGAAGCGCTCTGATTTATGTTGTGAAAAGACTTTCCAGAAGTTATGATACTCGGGAGGTACCAGCCTTTTAATCTCTTCCTTGGGTTTTACCTCATCATCGTCAATCTTTTCTGGAGATCTGAGCTCATAAACGTGACCAGCGTTTATCTTCTCAAGACCCTCATTGTGACGGACGTGATTCGGTTTACCCATGTTCACGCACTCCTGAGGGCAACGTGACAATGTGACAACCCCTGTCTGCCAGTTAATGTCAGGATTGTGTTTGAATAGCCAGGTCCAGCCCAAGATTAAATTAATCTTCCCTAGTTGGGTAGCTTCGGCAGTGACTTGTTCTCTGTATCCTTGGTATTCGACAACAAAGGAACATTTGTGATACAGCCACCTGCGTTAAGTGTACCGTCAATGTTATAGATGGGAATAGATACATTTAATTTTACAAGGGGGAGTCCAATTTTCTCTGCCCAGACCTGATATATGAAGATTCTGTTAGCACCTGAATCAAGCAGTGCGCTGGTTGGGTGTACTATGCCCTGGGCAAGGTTTTTCACACCAATGTCTAAACGGATCTCTTTTTGGAATAAATATGTGCGCATCAACACACACTTTGGGATTTTGGGAAAGGGTGGCTCCAACAAAGAAGAAAAAGTGTCAAAAGCTAAATTTTTTTCTATTTTATTTTTACCAGAATCAAACACCCTAGTGTTTGTCTCGCTGGGGCCACACTCCAAAGGAGACGCTGGTGCAGCGGTAGTATTATAAATATCACAGTCACAATGCTTCATACAGGTACAGGTTTCAGATAACAAATTTAGAAATCTATCTACAATTTGGGGAGCCACCCCCTTCTTTCCATTATTGCTCGTGCAACACCCCGGAGCAGGGGCCACCTTGTTGTGGTTTACTTTGTTGTTTTGTGGAGCGAAGGCACCCAAGTGACCTAAGCTCCGAACTCTTTTCCCTAAACCTTTATCTCAGCGACCTGCTGGTTGTAAAAGAAGGCCCGGATCTCGTCGTATGAACGACCGGCCAGAGTCTGGAGCTGATTGTCGGGTTTCTCTGTTTCTAGTTGGCGTGCCTGGCGCCCTTGATTATTTTTTTTGTTGGGCGGCCGGCACCCCGTTTTTGCAATCTTGGGGCATGTGTCCCTCTTGGCCGCAATTGTAGCAGTTCCCTTTGAATCTGCGTATCTGTCAGCCCTGGACCACGCCGATATCCATAGGGGCTCCCTGCCCTGGTTGCAGCCCAAACAGTTTGAACCAGTGAGAGTGATTATGGTGGTTTGATGACCCAGGGCACCTCTGGGATACATTGTTTTTGGTGGTGGACCCGCCACCAAATTGCATATTGTAGAACTCTATCGCCCTACCAATTTTTCGAACCTCCTCAGCAGCTGCTGCAAGGTTCTTGCTCCACATATCTTGTATGTAGAGCTGTTAGGCAATGACTGGTGATACATTGTGCTTCAACAACTCCACTGCATGTTCATTCCCTAGACCCCCTTGAATGGAGAGGGCCAGAAACTGGGTAACAAAGTCATCTGTCCTCATGTTTCCTTGTTTGAAGGTACGGATTTGCTGATGTGCCCCGTCACGCTCAGCTTGGGGTTTGAAGTATTTTTCGATCTCGACTTTGAGATCATCCCAGGTAGGCCACACTCCCGCTGTGTAGCACTCCTGCATTCTTACTTGGGCATATTGACCCGCCACAGGTCCTTTCAGCCTTGATAGCACAGCCGTCGCTATTTCAAAATCATCAGTGAATGCGTCCCAGTTCGCTTTGATCCAAATCTGGAGCTTGATCCACCATTCGGCAAATCGCGCCCTATCTCCTTTGAAAGCGCCGGGGTCAGCAACAATCTCGACTTTCTTGTTGAACTTTTGCTCAACCGTAGATTCCGCTGCTGGGGCGGCTTGAATCTCGGCGAGCTGATTTGTTAACGCCTGAATCTGTGCACACATGTTGTGCAGCAGACTGTTTATATCTGGTTGCGACGACATGTCGACTTGTTCTCTTTGGTAATGTAAAAAAAAGGTAACTGGGGGTCCCCGCTTGCTATCTGCGGATCAACCTCTTCCCAGCTGAGTATTGGATCTCAATCTCCAACTACTCACACTATAGTATTTGAAAAAGTATATAAAAAGTATTCGTAATAAACCCTGGTCCAAACGGTTGTCAGGGGGTGGTCCGCTTATTAAGCTGTCAACCCTTCTCCAGACTGGCGGAGGCAAGTGCCCAGCCTGGTCAGAGGAAAGAGAAGGTGAAGTTTTGTATGTAATTCTAATCAACAGCGGTTCCACACCGACTGCTGAGTTAAGTACTCCCCTTAATGCTGGGGGCCGTGTATCAAAGGTATTGTTTTTTCTCCCAAAGCACTACAAGGCCGTCGCAAAGAGCGCACCTATTTGCTATGCGGGATATTCCCAAACAATAACCAAATCTCCTTCACCCTGGAGTCCGGGTGCCCAGTGAGACTTTTTGCATAACGTGTGAGAGAGTAGAAGAGCGAGTCCTAATGTAACAACCAAGAGTTGGTTACTCTGGCGCACACAGGACCACACTACAAAGGTAGTAATAAGGGAGTGGTTTCCCCTTAAGCTGCAGAGAGTTTGTTGGTATACAACAGAAGGACTCACTGAGGAGTCTTCTTGATCTATTGGGGTATTTATACTAATACAGAGTGTTTGTACCTATATACTGTACAGTTAATAAAAGCAGTGGCTGATGATGTCAGAGGGTGCAGCCCGTGTGATCAGCTCCACTGCGTAAGAGACTTTGTGTCTAAAAGAAGAATAAAGGCAGTATCACATGAGAAAGTGGAGTTAGAATGAAAAAGGAAAGTGCCGCATGGCACGGAGTGTGAACTATAGTAAAAGGTTAAGGCAGAGAATGAAAATTAAAGGAAAGGTCCGAAAATTGTGTTATCGTAACAGCTGTTCTATCCATCAAATGCCCTGATGATCTTTGGAGACCTTGTGCTTACACTTATTGCACGATTTGTTGCCTACAGAGAGCAACTATCAAATTTACAACAAAGAGATGCTGGCCATCATTTGAGCTTTAAAGCACTAGCAGCACTATTTAGAAGGTGCTAGGCACCAATTTTAAATCTGGACACAGTCTGGAGTATTTTATGATGGCGGCCCATGACTTGAACTAAAGACAGGCCCGCTATGCAGTATACTCGTCTAGGTTTAATTATAATTTGATTCATAAGCCTGGTACTTCTATAGGGAAAGCGGACACTTTGTCCAGAAGAGAGGATCATGCCAACAGCATCGAAGATGACAACAAGGGTGTCACCCTGATAAACCAATGAAGGGTTGCCAATATTAGAATCGGGCAGGATTCTGATCTTCTGGAAGTCTTCAAGAAAAACATCTCCTCAGAAGAGAAGGTGCGCCTTGATGGCAATGAAAACTAGTTATGGGAAGACGGGCTCTTCCATTACAAAGATAAGATCTATGTGCCTGATTCTGCAAGAATCAAGGCAATAAATAGACATCATGACACACCAGTGGCTGGGCATGTGGCAACGAACAATGGAGTTAATCTCCAGAAACTACATGTGGCCTGGCACGGTGAAAGACATACAAGAATATGTAAAGTGTTGTCTTCGCTGTGTCATGGCAAAGAAATCTCATCAACCGCTGGCCGATAAACTCATGCCAAACCCAATATCAGCTGGTCCATGGCAAGATATATTGGTTGATTTCATAACAGATCTACCCGGATCAAATAAATATGATTCAGTAATGGTGGTAGTAGATTGCTTCTCCAAAGAAAAATTGTATTCATTCCCACAAACAAAAAAATTGCCGCTGCTGGTATAGCACACTTATCTTAATACTTTGTGTGGTTTATCCACGGGTTGTGGGAAACGGTTATCTCCGATAGGGGACCTCAATTTGCTAGCAAATTTACAAAAAAAACTATGCCAGATGATGGGCATCAAACCTAAATTATTGACAGCATTCCATCTGCAAACAGATGGACAAACAAAAAGACTCAACCAGGAATTGAAACAGTATCTCTGAATATTGATTAATGATAGACAGATAGATTGGGCCAAGTAGCTAAAAATAGCCCAGTTCCCATATAATGCCAAACAGTTGTCGGCTACAGAAAAAGCACCATTCAAAGTTACAAGGTTTCACCTTCTCAAAATGGGTGTGGAACCTGGTAAAAGCAAAAACAAGACTGCTAAAAACATGGTCAAAGACATGAAGTCTGTCTTGGACAAAATATGCAAGGTGCTTTTTAAAACGGCAGAGCAGATAAAAGACAGGGCAGAGCATAGACACTCTAAAACCCCTGACTACAAGGTTGGCAACCTGGTCTGGCCAGATACCAACCACTTAAAATTAAAAGACCAGTAGTCTAGAAAACTGGCCAAAAATGGATTGGCCCTTACCGGATTAAAGAAATCAAGCCAAACACAGTGGAGCTGGATGTAACAAGCAAAGTTGGTATACTCTGGCACACAACTTAGACAAGCAAGAGTGAGGGAAGTAGGAGTGGGTAAATCCCTTAGGATAAGACCGTTGTGAGTAAACAACAGGAGGACTTGCTGAGGAGTCTCCTTGATTGATTGGGGTATATATACTGTTACAGGGTGTTTGTATATGTTGTACTATATGGTTGTTAAGGGTGGTGGCTGATGATGTCATAGGGTGCAGCCCTTGTGACCAGCTCCACTGCATGAGAGAGCTGTATCTAAAAATGAGAAGGAGCAGTGCAGCAAGAGAAAGTGAAAAGTCAGAACAAAAGGAAAGTACCACATGGCACAAGTGCATGAAAAATAAGACAAGAGTTAAAAAGGAGAATGAAAGTTATAAAGGTCCAAAAATTGTATACCGTAACACTGGAACTCCCAAAATGAATGAGGGTGGTACCCACGGTCAATTTTAGCCATGCAAAACCCTACAAAGGACTGCTGCCTGGACAGCGCATAGACCAGCCCAGACCGGTTGTAGTTGCCCAGGAAGGTGAAGAAAAATTTGAAGTTGAATGTGTGGTGGATGCATACTTAAAGCATGGAAAATTAAAGTTCCTAGTTCTCTGGAAGGGCTATAGAGACAAGGACAGAATGTGGGAACCAGAGGCCCATCTGGACAATTCCCATGATGCTGTTCATGAATTTTATTTCAAGAAACCCTTGGCTCCTAGGAAGCTTAGAGACATAGATTTAAATTTTTTTAATTCTTTTTTTCAACCTATGCCAGAAAATTTAACTACTATCTCTGGTACTTGGTCTTGCCTGAAAGTCAAGCCTTAGGAGGGTGTTACAATACACAATTTTTGGACTCTTAACTTACAATCTCTGATTAAACCTTCTTTTCCATTTTCACACACTTGTGTCATGCAGCACTTTCCTTTTGTTCAAACTCCATTTCCACTTTCTTGTGCTGTGCAGCTTTCTCTATTTTTAGATACAACTCTCTCACACAGGGGAGCTGGTCACATGGGCTGCGCCCTATGACATCACCAGCCACCACTTTCATCAACTGTATAGTATACATGTACAAATAGCCTGTAGTTGTATGATTACCCTAATAGATCAAGGACTCCTCAATGAGTCCTCCTGTTGTTCACTCACAACTAACTCAGTCTTATCCTAAGGGGTTTTTACCCACTCCTACTTCCCTCACTCTTGTTTGTCTGAGTTTTGCGCCAGAGTACACAATTTTTGGTTGTTACAGTACTATTTTGACATCAGGTTTGTAGGGGGTCAGGTATGAGACTTTGTCATGCTTAGTTTATAGGTTCTCTGGCTTGTACAACATGTGACATATGAGTTCTAACATCAAACAGCTCCTATATTCTATTGTATAGGCAAATAACTTGAAATTAGAAGCCTCTTTATCTTTTTTCTTTGTGAGGCAAGCTCAAAAATCATGCTCAAGCACACATTACCAATGTTACCCACCTGGATTATATGTGATTATCATCAAAACTAGATTTGGGTTATCTGCCATATGGCATCATGACAAATCTAAGGTTAAAATAGTACAGTGTTCCAAAGACAAGTGAGATATCCCACAAACTAGCTTGGCTGTCTCATATAGGACAATTCAAGGATAATTGGGACATCCCATAAAATAGTCTGGGACACCCCAAGGATAATTGGAATGTCCCACAAATAGGCATATGTTAATTCTATCCTTAAAACAGTAAAAATAATAATTAGTTTCAACCCTTGTCATAGAGTATTCATTGTGAAGGTGTGTTACAGAAAAATAATGTGTGGTGTCTATGATAATCTAGTTTCTCCTTGATGATAAAGGCATGCCTCAAACATGGCAGAATTACTATCAAACTACTCCAAGGATATTTTGTATAGTTAAAATACTTATAAAGACAAATCCTTTGATCATATTTCCATAAAGAAATAAGAAAGAGATGGAATATCATTATTGTGAAATTCAAATTCAGTAGATCCAGTTAAGAAAAAATCAGAATATAATACAGGCCAGGAAGACAACATATGTAAAAATATTTGCCATGGACTGAGGCTCAAACTACTGCATGCGTAAATAATGTTATAATGCACTTATATGTATTTCAGTTGAGGGCAGGTTATTTTTGAGAGCCTCATCACCAGTCCCACTTACACTCTAGTCTGCATCCAAAGTGAGGACAAAAACTGTAGTACAGGAATCTCCCTAAGCGAGTCACATGTGGGGACAAACAGACACGTTGTGTCCGTATTGCCGTGTCTGCCGAAGCAATCCAACTCAATGTCGCTCAGTCCTGCAAATATGGCCAATCTACCTTTGTATTTTTGCCTTACAGTATGAAGGCCATATACTTAATTGATACATTATTGATACTCAAATGCCCCATGATACATGACTACCAACTAGAAGTAATTGGGAGCCTTATTGATGGCAGGAATATGCTGTTTTGTGACCGCTACAGGAACAGGTAAACCAACACTTTTATTCAACTCATGCATGTTATACAGGCTCTCTTTGAATATTTGACGCTATACTTGAAGGCCAATTGATCATATTGAGTGAAGTACTACAGTTCAAAGCCTGGTGCTGGTTGTGAGTTGTTGGAATACTACCTTGGTTGGAAATGAAGCGGAGAAAAATATTAGGGACTAAGATTAAAGCAAAAGTTTGCAGATTTACTGTTCATTAGTATTGTACCATTAAGTGGTGGTGGATATATATACAACCTGTAGGCAAAACAGGTTGTTGTATGTTCACTTCAACATTCAACATTAACAAACTTGTGGTAGTGCTGCCGCTCCATGTGACAATACCATTTTTGGAAGGCATGCCGTGGATGCCATGTTTGTTTGGCTGCTTGATGGGAAGAGATTCCTAAATGGTATGCCTAGGGGAGACTACTTACACTCCCACTTACACTTCATGGCTGCAGTTATGGGACCTTGTAAAGAGATACACATGGGATATCTACTATTAGGACATCCATAACATTGTTTCAGGACATCAGACTGGGAAGCAGGACGTCCCAGCAAAATCAAGGCTCTTAGCTACATAGCAATACAGTAAAAATTCAAGCTAAGAGCCAGGAAGCTGGGGGTGACTGAAGTGAATGATGAGGTGATTCTCAGGTGAAGTAGAGATTTCAACATGTAGCAGTATATGTAGAAGCATGCCAAAAATCAGGTGCCAAGCCACCCAAAGAAAAACAAACAAGTACAAGTAGGATGTCGGTCCTAAACGAGTTGCGACGAGGAATGCGATGTATCAAACCTGGTCACTGTGGGACCAGGAATATCAGTTGCCGATTTCTCGCACCAAGTTATGCACCATAGCACGTGACCGTGACAAGTCACAATGTGAATGTATAAAGAATCCCCGGGCCTCCCTTCTTCAAGTTTCTTCCTGACTTTATCCTTTTTGTTTCAATACTTCCTCGCAAGCACCCATCTCCATCCGTTTTCGTATAGTTAATTGCTTGTAAACTGGTGAGTACGTTCATTTTGGTTTCGTATCATGATGTGTATCCTTGTAATTTGCGTTCGATATTCACTGGCCTTACTCCAAAAGGTGTGCTCGCCGGCGTGCCCTGAGGCCAGTGGAATGAGACATCTACAATATTTCTGACTTGCTCGTGCCTTGCTCTGCGTACAGTTGCTTATCATTATCTGACTTTTAGGCAAACTGGTACGAGTTACATAGTGTTGGGTGGATTGTGTGAGGTGTTTTTATAATTTTTTGTGCATGTAGTAACTTGAAATACACCCAATACCCCTTTGCTAGTAAAGGTTTCATTATTATTTGTCTTGCACATCTCATTTTTGCGCTTTCTACTGCAGTCTTCTCAATCATGACTGAGAATGCGCTACCCGGCGCATCGCTATTGCAGGATCAGACGACCACTATTAGTGCTGCAGATGAGATACCGCAGTTCAAAGTATATAGACCGACTACTGCACTTCAAGCAACCCGTATGTTTCATATCAATGTTATATCAGCTATATTGAAACGTCTCGCTTGCCAAGATGACCTTCCTGACTCGTATTTCACACCAACTGCTGCTGATTTGAAAGCAGCTCAAGCGACGTTGTCTGGACGTACACAATCGTTGGTTAATGCACCTCTGCAGATTCGGTCTGTCCGTGAAGCAACAGAGAAGGCGAAAAGAGACAAATGGCCCAACGTAGGTCTTCATACCATCTCCAACTTTATTGTATGTCGACCACACGCATCGAAGACTACCATCCGTATCAGATTCACTGATCGAACGCAACTCGAGAAGGTATTTCTTTCGACCGAGAAAATACGATCTGTTTATGCTTTCGTACGGTCGTCACTTCGAGACAATGTAAAACCTATCAAATTCGTTCTATGTACGTCACTCCCGCCAGCTATCATTCCGTCTATGAAGATATGAAAACCAAATTATAGATCAAACTCCACCTAAACAGGACTTCAAGGTCTCTGACCCCAAAGTTCGCGACCTGACGCTTGCCGAACTTCATCTAGCACCATCTTCTGTCCTTCTATTGCGGTTCGAAGATGAGTCTCTCAATCGTTAGTCTGTTATCACAGATTGCTGTCACAAATGGTGGACGCTACTGAATTGCAATCATCATGGTCAGGTTCTGACTTTCCTGCGCCACTGTCACCGTCCATAGTAGCTCAGGCTATGGATCTGCCGCCGCCTCCAAGCTTCGACCATCCTGACCAATCTCAACCACCATCGGCTCCATCAACCCCACCTGCTTCAAAGCTGGAGAAAAAGATCCCCAAGTGGCTCAAGGCTGGTTTGAGTATGACTCTACCTTACATCACATTTACAAATTCTGACCAAACGACTTGCTGTGACCAGAGAAATGAAATATCGTTAACCAGTCTACTGAAGGAGCTACTTCTGTTTTTCTGTGTTATGTTGTTGCGTATAATATAACAACAAATATTTTGGGCATTTATAAGTCAATAGATTGGAAATTTAGAATCTACTTGCTCCGACCACGCTCTCAAACCGCCAACTACATCCTGGATCATAATGTCAGACTCCACACTTCTTAACGCATCAGCAGCAATCTGAGAGTCGTTTCCCAATCGGCACACGACATATATACGCGATGTTTTTTCTTCGGGAAGATATAGAGCCGGATTGGCTGTTAATTGGTAGAGAGGTACGTCTTGAGAATGACAGTCAGATTGGAATTTGGCGAGGAGATAGGGTGAACCTGTACTTCTAGAACCCGGCAAATTACATATTCCAAACTCTGTTGGCGATCTGACGTCGATAACGCAGACATTTCCATTCGCGTCTATATCGTCCTTTAGGCTCTGTAATATGGCTCAAGATCTTTTACGGTGAATCACAATCTACATTCCTACCTTGACTTTGGCTCGAAAGCCAGGCTTGTCATCTATCAACCCTCTTTCTTCCCAATTTGGCCTCTGGCCACCGCAAAATGCAACATAATCAGTTTCTTCGATTGTTCCAATTTTCGCATCTTCTTCTCCACATGCTGAACATGTCTTTCTTCGAGAACGAAGCTTAACTGCACGATATGCAGGCACTGAAATAGCAGAAAACAAAAACATAGATGCCTTCTGGTCTACGTGAGGATGAGACTCGAAGATCAGAAACTGGAGATTGATCCTGGCGTACCGTGCAACCCTACTATGATTTTAATGGTCTCCAAAGCTTGCATATTTCCTATGATACCTGTTACGGGACCCAATATTCCAGTTTCTTCACAGGTTCCTGTGTTTTCAATAGCTGGAGGTTTGGGGAAAAGACAGCGATAACAAGGACCATCGACGCCAAAGTTATACACACAAAGCTGTCCTTCGTATTTTTGCGCAGCACCACTCACGAGAGGCTTTCCGAGACGAACAGCGGTATCCGAGAGCAAATAGCGAGTCGGCGCATTATCAGTGCAGTCTAAAATTATATCGTAGGACTGTAAAAGAGAGACAGCATTCGAAGAGTGCAGTGCCTCGATTATGACATCGATTTTTATTCTCGAATTCAATCTAATGCATGATTTAATATGAAATCATGGTTTGACAGGTGTACGGGTACGGGCTTACTTGCGGATACTCTGTCCTGCCGAGATGGATTTGTACATGCCCACCGTTTCTTCACTGTGAAGGATCTGCCGTGCGAGATTTGATATTTCAACTTTGTCGTGATCCACGATGCCCAGTCGACCTCAATTTGAACATGTTTGAGCTTCCCGAACCACAGACAGAGGGAGATAGTTCTGTCTCACAGACCTACACCGGCTGCTGCAAGGTATTGCAAAGCAGGGCAACCAAGGCCTCCCGCTCCTACCACGACAACAGAAGCTTGTTGCAGTTTAAGCTGCCCTATATGTGAAGATATTGATTAGTAGCAGCGAGTCCATGTTGCATTAAGAGCTACATACCTGGCAATCCGAAGTTATCTAGTATCATCTGTCTGCCATAACGGCGATATTCGTCCAGGTGAAGACCAGACGTTTCATTGTGGGACATATCGTTAGTAGTGAATCTAATGATGAAGAGGAGGCTGCTAGCTTATAAGTCATTTCTTGCTTGAGTAAGACGTTGATAACTTGAGCTCACTGGGTTACTGTTGTGACTTGGGGGGGTTCTCCTATATGAAAATACCATGCAACTGTTTGCTGTGTCTTGTGCTGCAGGTTCAAGTTGTAGTAGCTATAGCCTATAAACTTCCGCCGAAACAAGTCGAAACAACCTGAAAAGCCTCAACTTCCAGTGAACTAGTGAGGCTGACAGTCACGGTCGTCACCAGGAAAACACTCAAGGAATAAATTGTAATATAGATCAACCGCAGAAAACAACATTCACATATTACTGTAATAATCTCTGGACCTCTACTAGATAATCACTCCACTGGCAAACAGATTGCTTATTCTACATGGCATCACCGAATATCAACGCTCAATCCAGCCCAGGAGGTCCTCAGCATGAAGCCCCACAGTCGGTAGATGGGATGCCGCTCATTCACTCAGGTTCGCAGCTTTCTCGATATCAAAAAACTGAGAAGTTTGTTTCAGTCCTCTCTCCTCACTAGCACGGACGCCACCTGTATTGCCATGGCCAGATATTGGGCGTCTAGCAAAGTGGTCAGTATCATCATACAAGTTCGGCTTTGGGACAGAGTGTCTCAGGGATGGGGACCCAGATACATTTTGGCAGTTAGTTTCCAGTCTCTTCCATACAACTTGGCACTAAAGCATGCAATTCTAGTTCAGACGGACCTCAGCCTCATTTTATAACCATCGAATTTCCTCGTAAAGTTGCAATACAGGTTCGACCTTTCTAGTCATTTTGTTTGTCTTGATTTTACCGTCCTCTTCAGAAAATCAGTATATATCTCAGCTGGCCCCAAGATGATTCATACACCCCGTCCACGTTGGCAATACGTGCAGGGACGGGCCCAAGTGACCTTCAAGATGTCCGCGTAGCCACCCTTGACAAACCTGATGGTTGGATTACGTTTGATGTTTCCTCTGAGCCTGACGAAGATGGCCACACCTTGTGAGTCACACATCCCTTTCAAAGCGGAGGCAGGAGACGAATATTACCCTAGTAAACCAGTGCACGCCTATGTGTTGCAAATTATCGTGGTAGCTAATCATATGAGCGGGAAGGATACTCATATACGAGGTTTGAGAGTTCTCGGTCCGCTTGAGTACGTACATTATTCTTATTCTCTCCATGATCCACCATGATAATTTATTGTCCAGAGATCATGCTTCTGACGGGGACCCGTTCCCTTTCACGTCTCCGCCGTTCAAAATGTATGAAACCATTAGATAACTTCGCCTACATGATTATCCCTGTAATTTAATTCTACATTCATCCCGAGTAACGACATTCAGTACTATTTGGTAGCCTGAAATCCCTTGAACATGTCCTGGAATGAACCAGATAGTTATATATACCTAAGAATACAGGCCATAAATTAAACAAAAATACACCAAAACCCAGGTGCGGATGCTTCAAGATCCCTACCAAATCCACCCACCATTACCGTGGAAAAGTAGGATAATGATTCAAAGATTGCCCGCTGTCCACACGTAGGTGAGAGGGATGCATCTGAGGGGTGGCAGAAGGGCGGCTGATATAATGGTCGGGTTCCTGCACAAGTGAGGTACGAGACGTTGAGCCATTGGGCAAGCTGTACGACGAGTAGTCTCGGGAATAAGGTGACCGATTATTCCACCCATCATGAGACTGAGGAAGACTGGTCTGAGTGAAAGGAGCCTTTACACAATGAACATACGATTAGAATAGGCGCGATATGCATGCATGCACTAGCTCACCTGAAAGGACGGGTACCTTGCAACGTTTGAATATCCTGACCTCTGTGAAGAATATTGTGGATGTTGAGAAGCCTGGAGATGTGACGGGTCTTCTACACTGTGAGTAGGGAGAGTAGTGGAAAATCCACGCTGGTGAGGCTGATAATGTGCAAAGGTAACGGTAGAATGAGACGACTGAGGAACTGGTCTAGAGTTACTAGGGGCAATAGCAGCAACCCGCAAATCGGACTGATGCTGTTCATGATTAGAGTGTCCATTGGGAAAGCCATCAGTGTAGTAACTTGCGCTCCCATAACTTCTTTGTTCACTGAAGCCAGGAAGGAAATATGGTTGATGACCGACAGAACGAGACGGAGGTTTGGATGGAATGCCTTGGAACGGCAGCTGCTGGTCAAACATCGAGGTTTTCGTGCTTAAACTACAACGTTGGCAGACAAACTCTTCCCTGTCCCAATTTCGTTGTTGTCGACCAGCAATGGAATCAGCTTTGTCGTGGCACGATATATGCTGCCACTTGGAACACAAGCCACAGCACATCATTGGAGTACCGTCATCCTTTAACCATTATCCATGACAGCCCTTAGCGTAAAATCAGATGGCTCACCTGATTGATGCCTCGTTTATGACAGACCTCACAATCTAACTCCCACTCTTCTCCCATGGGGGTACGAGAGCCGCTGCCTGGAACACTCAGTAGTCTCGTTGACCTCCTTGTATCCTGGGAAGGTGTAAGGATAACCGATTGAAGGTCAATCTTTCCTCCAGAAATATTGAGGACACCATTGGGTCTATATAGTGACGCTTGAATCAGCGAGCTGAGATATCCATCGTATAACCCTTACCTTGCACCCTCAGAGGTTATTTGTTCTTTGTCTTTCTGTTCCCTTTCTTTCCTGCGCTGCTCGCGGGCATTTTCTCTGCGTTGCCTATCGGCTTCTTCCTTCTGCAAGCGAACTTCTAATCTTCGTGCTCGACTCAATTTCTCCACCTCTTCAGCCTTTCTTTTCGCAGCCATCCGTGCCTCTTCTTTTTCACTTTCTTTTATTGCGATTCGAGAGGACCGCTTTCGATGAACGACGGCTTCTTCTAGCCGGCGCTTGCGCTCAATTTCCTTCCGATGACATATATTAACAACTGCTATCACCAAATGTAACATGTACAACTTACTCTTAATTCGTTTGTAATGACGGGAACGATACCGTGTGCCAGCGTCTTATACAGAACCTTTTCTGAATAATGTGTAGCCTTCTCGAAACGATCTGCGATTCGTTCCCATTCTTGTAATGTAACGCATATCTAGTGCCAATAAAATGTCAATACAAGCAGTGTCATTGTTTCAGTTAATGCTCACTGTTTCCCATTCAATGAAGTTGTTTGGAACCTTGAGGGTTAAATCTTCTGCGTAGTCTATAGGACATACTGTCACACAATCCCTGGGTCTCTCCGTATCGTGATCTGTAACCTCATCCTGAGAAGGTGTTCCCCCACCACCAGCATCATCATCGGGGTCTTCGCTAAGTTCCGTAAGGTCACTAATAGATTCTATGTCGCTCTCTAGGCCAGTCTTCGGCACCTTCCCTGCGAACCCATTAGATGTCGCTTTTCTGTCAGATGTCGAGCCTTTGGGAGCTGAGTCCCCAAGGAGCCACTCCTGAGGTATCTCCTGCCATTCTTCCTCAGCTATTGCACCTCGTAACCTTGCACTAAGTCTAGTTCCAACCGGCTTCCTTGGACTAGACGTGGTAATGACTGGTGAATCATGTTGCTTACGGCTATGTTGTAACATTTGTTGTTGGAACTCGGCCAGCTCTTTGGCCTGCGCATCTAGCTTCTGATTGGCACGCGCCTTAGCAGCTCGGCCACCCCTTGCGCCAGTTGGAACAAAATCAATGAGTGTTCTAGGACGACCTAATTGTGCATTACGCTTGCTTGAAGGAGCATCTTCGTCCGGATCAATATCCCCACGCTGGCGCTTCTTAGACCGCTGCGAGCCTTTTGAGATGGTTAACGAACCAAGTCGTGCAATACTGTTACTTTTGGCACCGCGCTTTCGTTTTGAGTTTGCTCTCGGAGGTTCACGTTGAATCCACAATCGATCAGCTAAAAACGCGACATTTAGGCACGACCGAAAATATTAATACAGCCGCGAAGGAATACATACCTCCGATCAACCAGTAAGCATTCTTTTGGGAATCGTATCCAATCGGTTCAATACGCTAAAGAAATAAGCATTCGTAAGTGGATGAAACCGAGACAAATGCAAAAGGCACAACAACCCACCCATTGGGCTGTTTCATCGTCATCTTTCATCAACGTACGCAACCGATGGGGATTCTGAAACTGCCATTCCATGAGCGTATGCATGGACTCGAGTTTCGTGAGCATTGGAAGGTCAAGCCAATTTTTTGAGTCTTCTGTAGGTAACTCGTTTGGTTGTACTGGTGAACTAGGACCTTCCTCTTCTTGGACTCCTGGAGCGTCCAGCGGGTCCTCTGTTGTGTATTTAGTGATACATGCTTGGTCCAGTGCATATGCACTTGTTTCGTCCCCCTTTTCATCTGCCAGATTCCCGCTGGGACCAAAGTCGGGAGCTGCTGATGTCCTGGACGATTGAGGATTGTTCGCAGAAGGGTCCAGCTCAATGGGGCCGATCGGATTGCTATCTGGGTCTCGTTTGTTGTACTGTTTTCGTAAAGCTGTCTGCCAATTATCGAGGCTGCCAAGAGAAAGACCGTGAATAAAAAGGTAAACAGGAAAGTTTGAGCTCACGATATTTTTCTATCTTGAGTTAGGGTGTAGAGTAATCTGTGCATGATACGAGGTAGCACAGAATTAGTTGCGCAGGTCAGATCATCCTCGATGTCCTACAACGAAGTTAGGTGTGAGTGGAGAGTATAAAATATGAGGTGGGGGGATAGACACATCCCGCGGTATCTGTGGGTGACAGGAGGGAAACGGAGGTTGCATAAAGATACTAACCGTCACAGTGACCTCACTCAACGCAAACAGGGAGCTGAAGGTGGAGAAAAACTGGCTGAAGGCAGCCCATTTCCACTGGCGACGGAGCTCCTGGAGCTCGGGAGAAAGAGACTGGGCAGAGGTAGAATAGGCGGGTGATGCAGCACGGGGCGTTGAGGAAGATGCAGCAGTACGAGCTGAGGTGCGGCGAGGCATACGCGCAGCTCCTTATAAGACTTTATAAAAAGGTCGGAGATCCGGCAGGTGTTCTGCGTTGGGTCTCTAGCAAATGATTGCACTGAAATGCACAACGAGGGCGATATCGCAGCAGACAACAGTGCGCAGTGTCGTCGTCGCCAGAAAAGACAGTGAGAACACAGGTGCGGGCGTCGTCGTCGTCGTCAACAGTGACCAAGGCCAAAACGAGTTGAGGAAGACTAATGCAAAACAGAGCCACCAAACAGCTGTGTATTATGTAATATTATTTGCGTATTATTTCGACATTAATTATTCCCACTACCCATCTCTTGACCAGCTTCGCCCTTCTGTCTTTTCCTCATCCTTGCCTTGGTTGTGCGGGACAGCCGTCGCATGGCCGGCGTCTGGTACCTGCAAACATCATGCCATTTAGCCAGACTCGGTGCCTGTAAACGCCAGATATCTCCTACGTGACGCTTTGGTCCGCTGAACCCGGAAGAGCTCGTCTGCTCAGCGTGATCTTCATGTATGGTTGTAGTCTCTCTTCATCGTCCCCCCGTTCCGCATCTTCGACATATCCCAGACGGTTGTATTGGTGCAGACCTGATAAACTGCTTGAAATGTCCAAGATCTTCATATATTCCCTTTTGATAATTTCAACCACCGTGATAAGACGTGGCATCACTAGACTGCCTGGAGGTGTATACAGCATCAATGCATCCTCGGGATTCTTCTGTTCAATCTGATCAGCGTTCATGTCCACATGTTATTGAGCAGAGATCAACAACCTCAAAAAACTCGAGGGCAAAGTTTACCCAATAACGTATCTTCCCTTGCCTTGTTATGCGAATGGTGTTCTTCGGTTCAACATTATCTGCCATGTCGCTCATCGCATCTACTGTAGAGTTTCGGCCTCGTCACAAACTAACTGCGACAATGTAAATTATCACAGGTTCAACTTGGCTTGTGACAGGTGACCTCAAGGTGACCTCACTGTGATTAGTTGTCGGCCGTGACAAGATAGCTACAGTGCCTTTCCTTTTGATTATTCGCACTATTACTGTCATCAGACTCATCAAGGATCTTGAATAACACTACTTCTGGACGCGTAAAAATGCCCCATCATCATCACGATAATTGTAGCCATGAGGGTCACGACCACGACCACAGTTCTTCGGACTCAACTGGGCCAAATGATAACTTGTTCACTCACATCGATCGGTCGAACGTAGTTGCTTTGAATGCAGGGGGACAAGGCTCTGAAATCATAAAACCATGGGATAAGCGTCTAGATGAAGAAGTGGTACGCTTGATATCTCCCTCATTTCTTAAGTTTACTTCCGAGCGTTGACAATCGCATAGTTTCTGGAATCCGATTCAGACGATCAACTGTAAGGTCCCTATTAGCATAGGCTTGGGTTATTACAGTGAGACTGAGGCCTTTTCATTCTATTATCTGAGAATATTGCGTGTACCTTTCACGGGTGCTGTCAGGCTTCGGTCTTTACTCCTGAAGACAGGTCCAGGTGATCAAACACCCACCAAAGTGGCTTTGGTATGTCATACGTGTCATGTCTTATGTCTTATCGCTGCCTAGTACCTTGGTGTTTGCGTCCGTGTGATTCCGGCTGACAGTTGCATGCTCTCAGTTTGCCAATGAACAAAGCTTGGATTTCGACGATGTAAACGATAAGTCTCCCACTCAAGAGTTCGACATAGCGCAAGGAAGAGAAGTAGGTGAATATGCTGTTAAGTAAGTTTTATCCTTCTTTATCATGCCTACAGTTTACCCCGAGATACTTTCTCCTTCTCTACATGCAGAAACATTACCTTTAGTTACTGATCGTTTGCGAAACCTGTTGCTACAGAACTGCAAAATTCTCTACCTTATCTGGTATCACCCTATTTTTCCCTGCAGCGCAGGGTGCGGACAACACCCGAATATACTTTGTGGGCTTCTTGGGCCATTGGTCCGAGGTAATTGACTGTATCGCCCTTTTCTGCTCAACTCCTTATGCGTAGTCTTTTAGCGCAAGAATAACCCATTTATCACGGTATATGAAGCGCAAGCCAATCTTGCCGATCACGAAAAAATTCAAGGGACAGAGGGCAATTTTAGCACCTCACAATCGTAGTGTACCGCGCAAAATGCCGTTTTGACAGTCATATAGTGTCGCGAATCACACCTGCTGTTTAGTTGTTCAAGACACAGAACCAGATAAAAGGATATTTCAAATATGTGGCCCTTTATGATTGTCTACCATAGTGTGTCCCTCTCATGCCCACAGCCAAAATATGTACCATAATATCACCTCAACTGGGCTTAGCATTTTGCGAACCTTCTGCGCTACGCTGCATGAACGATTGCAGGATCTCGGAACTCAGGTTTCCCATTCCTCCGTGCGCACCAGTAACTCCTGATCCTTGGGCGACACCAGAAGAGGGATTCCCTCCCTGGAACAGTATAAGAATTTCAGTTCTAAGAACGATGAAAGCGGCAAAGAAGACACTTACAAACATACTAAAACTATTCCCAGAGTGCGCGGGGTTGAGATACGGACTCATGTTTGGCATGTTTAGGCCAGACAATTCTTGAAGCTGCTGACGTTGCTGTTGTTGAGGTGCTTGCAATGCTTGCGATTGTTGCTGTTGGCGCATTTGTTGCTGTTGCTTTGCAGCAAAGTGTGCCAAAAAAGCACCGCGTTTTGTTGAATCCAATGTTTGTAGCCGAGCTACCAAATTAGCTGGAAGATTGATACCACCAATGGATATAGTATTTGCTGGCTTAGGCGCTTCAGGTACACTGCCCTTTGGCAACTCTGGTACACCTGTTGGAAACACAGCACCTAGTAAACCATTACTGATGGAAAATATAACAAGATTGTTTGACAGTGATCCTTGAGGATTTTGCCAAGCCGCTAATGCATACTAGAGAATCCTCAGCCGAGAACTGAAAAATATCCAAAACAAAGAAACATACCACGTGGCTCTCAATCAGTAGTTGGTTTAAGGCCATCAGATGCTGTTCGTTCACTTTTGAATCAATACTTCGAGGATGAGGTTTAAATTGGACCAATGCTGGTCTGTGGCGGCTTATCCAATTCTGAATTTCAGTTGGAGTGGCTGCCAATTCCTTGGCTGGTGTTAATTTCAGGGTCCTTGGCCAACTTTCTGCACGTCTAAAAAATGGCTTTCTCTAAGATGTAACGAAATTATAACTCTTAAAAAACGCACATATCACCGTTGGGGAATGCCTTAACTTCCGCGCGCAATTCTTTCGATCCTTGTGCGCTTGGGTGTTGACCTGACCATATCAAAGTGCCTTGCCACGCTTCGGGACTAGCACTTTGTGAAAGCTGACCCGTATTTGAAGTCTGATGGGTTGGGGGATGTGAGGACACGGCAAGACTTTGGGGTCTGATACCCTTCTGATCAAGGAGCTTCTGCATTTGGGCGGCTACATCTGGCGGAATCTGCATATTCGTATTCCCTTGAGAAGAGCCAGAGCCACCTGGACCCGGACGAATTAGCTGCATAAGGGTTTGTGGATCAGAAATAATCGGTTTAGACTCGCTTGCAGCAGGCACAGTAGTCGTTGCGTCTGTGACGGGATTGGATGGTAGCTGCGTTTGTGACGGTAAAGGATTTGACGTCTGAGTAGTCCTAGAAGGGGCGGCTATATTTACCGCGTCTGTTGAGGAAACTTGCGGTTCATTGTTTTCCTGGTCTGTTGCTTGCGCTTGCGTCCCCGCCGAAGCTTGCCTGGAAGCCTGTAGCTGTTTCATATGTTCCATTAGGAACTTCTTGATTTGGAACGAGGCTTGCGATTTGACTATTCTCTCTTTCTGTAATTTTTCTACCAGTTGGGTTTGGCCGGCAGCTGATGCAGTAGATGCTTGCTTTTCTAATGCCTGAACTTCTGATTCATACCGACGCACGCGCTCCATCATCAGGAGTAAATGAGGCTGCGATTGGCCGGTAGTAGATGCGTTCGAAGGGGCCGTTGTTCTGGAAGTCGAGGGCTGCGATGGCAGGGTGGGGTGCAGGGGTTGATGACTCACCGGTAGAGCCTGGACTAGGTGTGGAGGCATGACTGGTTGCTGGGCAGGCACACTAGTGGGAGGCTGAAGAATCTGAGGCGTTGGGTGCTGTTGTTTCAGAGCAGGAGAATGAGCAGGAGCAGCTGCCGTTGACAAAGTAGGGCTTGGTTTCGGTGACTGGCCATTAAAAGAGTGTGAAGGTTTGTGACGCTTCGACTCTGGGCTACGCTCATTGAGTTGCACGTCACTGCTGCGCTTGACAGCTTTACAAGAATCAGAAATGCAAGAAGCGAGGAACACTTCAAAAAACAAACCAGATCTTTGTTGCATAGGAAATCCTGTCAAATATAGTGTGTGCTGTGGCCGGACTGCGAACCAAGGCTGTTGCATACTTCCACCGGCGACCTGTAATCGTGAATTCAGCACTTTGAGAAGCATAGTTTTCGGTAACAAAAAACATGACAAACCGCGGATTGTAGCTCCTGAAACCTAGGGATTTGTCGCAAGCTAATCAAACTGAAGTGTATCTTCCTCTATAGAAAATCAAGCAATATAATGGCTCAGAGAACCTACGCACCCTGGCTGAAAGGATTGCGACGAACCTTTTTTAGCTCAGAGGGCATAGTCTCCCAAGACACCGAATCAAGATGGGAGAGCATGTTCCATTGGGGCCGCTGTGCATTATCTGCGGGCGAAGCTGCGACATGTACTAGGTGACATATCAGAGATCGGATGGCATTGTGAGCATTCTGTGGAGGGTTGATTGATGCAGTACTCGAGGATTTAAGAATGTCGAACAACTAGAGAGGGAATCCCGATGGAGTAAATGCGGCGAGGTAGTGTGAATGAGAGCGTATTGAGTACCTCGATCGCTGCTACCAATCCTTCCAAGGCAGACATCCCTCTACTTCCACCAGAATTTGTCTGGCCGATACCCAGATTTTCAGGTTGTTCGTATAGTTCTTTAGTGATAGGTTTGATAAGAGAGAAGAACCGCTTGGATAGTAAAGGCGAAGGCCGACTATCTGCTACGGCGTACGTTACGAACGCTATACGAAACTAGACAGATAATTCAAGGTTACTTGAAAAAACAATCTGAAAGTAAAATTATCCTTACTTGATGATTTGCATGAATCTCGTTTAAACGCTTGAGTAAGGGAGATATGTATTCAGCGAGGACACATGGCCATTCTGCGGCGAGTAAAAGAGAAGAGTCGACGACGACGGTTACAGCGACAACATCGAGAGTGGTCTCAGACATTTGTTTGAAAGAGACTTATGGGATAATTACTGTGCGCTACAGGGGTTACAACATAATACAAGCCAAGACAAGACAGCGAAGCGTGACGCGCATCCTTGCGGTCCTTACGGCAGACAGCCAGTAAGATCTGGATCAATACCCTTAATCTGCTCTCATTCGGACTCATAAGCTTCTAAAAGCTCTACAAAACTACCTGTATTGCTGAGAAGAGTAAACTAATAACGAGCAATGCGTCGTGCCAAGTCATGATAATAAAACAGATAAACAAAGATCGTCCAAGTCCATGCAGATAACGTTTACACAGTCCATGCCCTAATACCGAAAACGCTGCAATCAAACTAGTACCAGCCCTGCTACTATGCTCATCAGGGTGCCGAGCATGACGCCGAACCATCCACCAGAAAGCTGCCAAGATACCCGAGCACTAGATTGAGCTGGTAGCGTATTGGTGCCAACCAAGCCCAGCCACGAGCTATAGTCCAGAATTGTGCCTGTTGTCGTTGGCGTTGGAAGGACTGATTCAGGCCCTGTGGGAATAAACGTGCCAAGAAGAGTCTCAGTATTGCCATCTGCATCGGTCGTGGTGTATGTGTAGGGCGTGGGACCGCCAACTTGGGCTTGCGTCGGTGCAGGTTGCCCGACGGGACCCTGTTGCTGGGCTGCGGTGGTAGTAGTGGTAAGAGCAGCGGTAGACGTAGGTGTTGTTGCCAGGAGTGGCGTCGTGCTGCTAGTCGGTGAGGAGATGGCGCCAGTACCCGTCAGAGTCCGCCTGTTGAGAAATACTCAGATCAATCCGGTCATGGACGACTGAACAAGAATACATGCTCACAATATTTCTGTAGTGGGCAAACCAAGCGCTGGATCTATAGTCACAACCTCAACGACCGTATAACCCGCACTAGATGAGGGTAAGGCTTGCATGAAACAAAACAGGATCTTGTTGTAACTTACCCATCAACAACTGTGGCTGTTTGAGCCTGAACCCAGCTCGCCCACAGGACGATGGCAGACCAGAAAACCTTTCTCATACTAGCGTTGAGATATTGAAGCGGTGTAGGGCTGGTAGAGCGAGGTTACTTGGGATAGCCGCAGCAGGTGGAGTGCTAGTGCGTGTCCGTAGGAAAAACAACGACAATAATAATAAATACCTCCGCAAGGCGCATCTCGGCATCTCTCCGTGGGAATGTATTTCTACTATTTCAGCAGATATTTTTATACTCCGCTTGAGTCTTTAGTTTTTTTTTGGGATGATAGATCGATTTCTGCTGCTGCATCGCGTTGTCGCGCATCCATCTCAAAAGTTTGTTACAAGGTCTTTTTTTGTCTCGTCAAGACTAGATATAAAGAAAAGAATGCCACCAAAGAAGGCTCCCGCTCAGGAAAAGAAAGTTCTTCTTGGCCGTCCTAGCAATAACCTCAAGATCGGTATCGTAGGTTTGTTCTATTATGAATACATATATATTCTTGAGCTGATCGCGCCATATTTCCCTGGCAGGACTGCCCAACGTTGGAAAATCGTCGTTTTTTAATGCCTTGTCAAACACAGGTAATTAATCAGCCGTTTACCGTCCTGTCACCACCAATCTTCTTCTTCACTATATAGACTTGGGCAAAGCAGCGAATTTTCCGTACGCGACTATAAACCCGGAAGAGGCACGTATACCTGTACCCGATGTTCGCTTTGAATGGCTCTGCGATCTGTATAAACCCGCCTCCCGTGTTCCAGCTTTCCTTACATGTATAGACATCGCTGGTCTCACCGCTGTACGTGACAAAGTTCTCTCAGACATACGTTTTTATATATAATTGTCCTTAGGGTGCTTCCACAGGTGCAGGTCTTGGAAATGCGTTTCTGTCTCACGTTCGCGCCGTGGACGGTATATTCCAAGTCGTGCGGGCCTTTGACGATGCAGAAGTAATTCACGTCGAGGGTGACGTAGACCCACTTCGTGATATGGAGATCATCCAGACAGAGTTACGATTGAAGGACATCGAATGGGTAGAAAAACACTTGGACAATCTCAAGAGAACCGGTCGTTCTCTTGGGAGTAACAGTTTGGCCGATAAGGCGAAGAAGGAAGAAATCGTACGCTAATAGCTTGCTTTCGCTGTGTGCATTTGCAAACTCACCAGTTAAGGCTACAGTCGAAAAGGTTTTGAAGACTTTGACAGTTGACAACAAAGATGTACGCAAGGGAGAGTGGTCTAATAAAGAGGCGAGTATTTTGTTACGCTCGCTTAACCTTCCTGCATAATGTGGGCCAACACTTTCATGATGAAAAAGAGCGATACGCTCGATAACCCAGCTCGTCGAGGAGGGAGTAACGCCCCATATTCCTTTGAGATAATATACATATCTGATTATATCTTCTCTTCACAAGTTTGATTTATTTGCTTGAATAATCAACTAAACTCTTTGTTTTGCAGGTGATTAAAAACTTTGGATTATCTTTTTTACGACGAAAAAGAGCAGTATGCTCGATAACCCAGCTCGTCGAGGAGGGAGTAACGCCCCACATTCCTTTGAGATCATTTAACATATCTGACCCCATTCAATTAATTTGTCTGCTTAAGTCACCAGCTAATATACTTTTTTGCAGGTGATTTTCATTCTAATTTAGATTATCTTTTACGCGATGAAAAAGAGCAACCTGCTCGATAACCCAGCTCGTCGAGGCGGGAGTAACGCCCCAAAGCCTTTGAGATTATTTTTTCTCTGACTCAATTATTCATCCTTGTTGAGGTAAACCTGACATACTTTTCGTTCAGATTGAAGTCGTCAATAGCTTGTCGCTCTTAACTGCCAAACCTGTGACTTATCTCGTGAATCTCAGCGAGAAGGATTATATCAGGAAGAAGAATAAATGGTGCGTGTATTCCCGTTATTTTATACTTCGCTCTCAATTTTAATATGAAATTGGACAGGCTAGCCAAGATCAAGGGATGGATTGATGTTCATAATCCCGGGGATCCCCTCATTCCGTTTTCCGTCTCCTTGGAAGAGCGTCTGGCTCGAATGTCGCCCGAGGAGAAAGAAGAAACACAGAAAGAAATCGGGGCTCAGACCGGACTGGGAAAGATCACTCAAGCTGGTTACGCCAGCCTCGATGTTTGTAACGCTCCTTGATTACGGGCTCAATTGGTTAATGCTCTTTGTACAATAGCTCATTCGGTACTTCACATGTGGTCCAGATGAAGTTCGAGCCTGGACCATTAGGAGAGGAACTAAAGCGCCACAAGCCGCTGGTGTCATTCAGTTCGTACTAGTAATAAAATCTTGTGTTTGCCGGTCATTTTTAATATATTGTTATCGTAGCTCCGACTTCGAAAACAAGTTTGTCTGTGGGGAAATCATGGGTTATGAGGATTTGAAAGAGCACGGTAGTGAAACTGCCGTCAAAGCAGCTGGCAAACTCAGACAGCAGGGCAAGCCGTATGAGAGTAAGTTATTTCTTTGCTAGATTTTTAGGTATTCTGATTTCGTTCGTAGTGATTGATGGAGATATTGCCTACTGGAAGAGTGGAGCATAAGATAGCTTGCTGTCATTGTACACTATAGGGGATGTGTATGTTGCAGTTCAAGTTACAGTTTGTATACCAACAGAAGTAAAACGACAATGTGTTTAACAATGATACAAATAAGTGGATGGTATTATGCTCTTGATCGGAAGCTCAAAGACAGTCTAAAACAAGGAATTGATTATGCCACTGCCAACAGCGGAACCTGTTATAGAAAATAATGAACAGGCGGTGCAAATGATGAGCGAACGTAACATACCAGCACCAAATCCAACACCACCAGCAGCCGATTGTGCCATCTTCATATTGATTAGACTCAGAAAATATGTTGAAAAGTGCACCTCCCCGCACTTACGGTGTTACCTAGTCCACCAAACCTACTCTTCTTGGGAGGTTCTTGCTGTGGTGCAGGTTCGATGGCATTGAGAGGTGCCGTCGGAGCCATATATGGGTTATATGCTGTGGGTTGGGGGGCAGCTGGTGGAGGTTGATAGCCATAATACCCGCTCGGAGGAGGACCAGATGGCGGAGCGTAAGAAGGAGGACCGGAAGGAGCAGGTGAAGAGTACTTTGGCTGGTAAGGAGAAGCTGATCGGGGAACCTCAGGGAAGGCAGGAGGCGGTGGAGCAGTGTTTTTCATTTTCTCCACGTAGTTAGAAGGGAACAGTCCTTGCTTGCCGTTGTGTCGACCAGTCCACCAATCTGTATTTGTTTCAGCGACGATTTCAATGACGTCTCCAGCCTTGAACATCAGATCATCTGGGTCCTGTTAACGGAGGTTGAGATGATAGCATGATAGTAGGCCAAAAGAGGTGACACACTTCACTTTCCCAGTCCCATATCGCTCGAGCTTCTGCCTTGCGTTGAGTAGGAGACGGCACACGGCGACCCAGGTTACGGTTGGGTGCTGGTGCTGGGAGGAGAGACATAGTTTGTGCCTTATCTGTCAAAGCTGCCACTGACGAGGTAGTAGGCAACTTGAAAAGGATTTCTCTGCCTGCCGACTCCGATATATGTTTCTGTGCCATTAGGAATTCAATATTCTGCCTCGTTTGAGAGACAATATAGTCGAGAACGGCGGATGTATCATTTTGAGAGTTGAAGGCCATTTGGACGAAGTATCTATGGAGAATATAGAGAAAGAGAAACGGTTGAAGCGCAGTTAGGGCTAGTATTTATTGGAACTGGTATTGCAGTGCAGCGCTGGGATGAATCTCGGCTTCACGGCTCCAAACTCGCTTTTGGCAGTTGTGGCGCGAAACGCGAGCTGCTCATTCACGTCCAACCGTCAGTTATCCTCATTCCATCCTTTTCTGTTGTTCTCACTTTCACTTCGTGCTGTCGAACACGACAACCGGAAAAGACATGAATGTCAGCCAGCTCCAACCGTCCGTAGCACCTCCACTCCATACAACTTCAGGCGAAGCTTCAGAAAAGGATGCAGACGTACGCATATCATTTGGTTATAATAACCTCTCTCTAACTTGTCAAACAGTTCCTTGCTCTCCGCCTTTTGAATAAGCGCGCACGGGTCAGACTTTCCCCAGAGCCCATTGATCTGACGCCTTTACCGGGCAAAGGTCATTTGTTCACTGTAGCAAATTCACGAGGCTGGTTCGCAGCAATCATTAGAGATTCAACATCCGGAGCTTGTACGTGTCAAAGACATACAGAATGTCCTGCCATTCTTAAAACAAATACCCTCAGCCCTGATTCTTTCCCCTCTCGCTGATCTGCGAAATGCATTCTCGGCTGCCACCGCAGAAAATGATCAAGCAGTGTTCAGCCCACAGAGAAAGGTTCCTCTGGATACTGCCTGCCCGAACATGATCAGCTTCGCGTCTCGCGATAGTCGGCTTTTGATTGGACTCACCCAAGGCTCGATTCTAGTGTTTAACACAGATGACATATTCTCTGCAGGAGAAGGACCAATCAGTCCACTACACAACTTTCCATCTACTTCATCTTCTGCGCCTGCGTCTGTATTGCCTAACCCGAGCGACCTGCCAGAGTTGGTTGCTGTTTTATGGGAACCTAGTAACAATTCAACAGCATTGCTAGTGGAAGTTTTGGATGTTCGAAATATGCAATCGGTTGGCGGTTGGCAAAGTGGTAACTCCCCAGATACGACTCCCACTTCTTGTACGCTTTCCTCACCGACCCGTTGGATCTCAGCTGACTTCTTTCACAAGTATCATGGTCTCCAAAGGGGAAACAGCTAGCAATCGGGCTTCAGAGTGGAAATATTCTTACCTTCAGTCCAACTTTGACGTCTTCTCCCAAGTCTATCATTCCACGACCTCCGTCAGCCAGTAATTTCAGTGTTATTTCAAATACATGGCTAGCCAATCCCTCATTTCATGCAATATATGCACCTCAGGGTCCACCGAATGTTGAAGCTGAGCAATCACATTTTATAGTTTCTTCAGATTCTAAAGCCAGCACCGCACACGACGTCAAATTGAATGACCCTTATATGCCGTTTCCTGGCCTGCGCCCGCCGGGTGCTTTTCTGCTAGTTTTAAAGAACTGGGATCCCGCCAGGATTTTGTTATTCATAGGCAATAGCTGTTCTTCGGATATTGGCGCCATTGGTAACATCGCCGACGAAACTGGAGAAGCCTGGTGTAATCTATCCCTCGAAGAAACGTCCACGCCAAGCTTGCCCTTAGACAAAGATATGAACGATACCGTGCTCATTGGACTAGAGCTGGACTTGACCTGCAGATCATCCTATCGTCATACTAATGCCTCGGGGGAAGGTGTTGATTTACCACCTCCGCCTGTAATGTATGCGTATGCAAGCGATGGTACCCTCATAGGATGGAATATACTTAATGTTCGCGGGACTCCTTATCCTGGAATGATCACTGACAATGCTCCCAGCATTGCCATATCAGCTGTCGCTCCTACCCCCAAGCCTCAGGTCACTGCAACCCCCCAAACTTATATTAGCCCCACCGTGGCTCCTTCTACTTTTGGACAACCTTCTTCGTTCGGCCAAACTCCAGCTTCCAGTAATTCTTCCATATCAACGTTTGGTCAACAACCGGTTTCGGCCTTTGGTCAGCAGCCTGTTTCAGCATTTGGGCAGTCCTTGTTTGGCCAAGCCAATCCAGCCTTCAATAAACAATCTTTTGGCACGTCCGTATTTGGACAGCAGAGTTCGCCATTTGGCCAGTCTAGTCAGAGCGGTTTTGGAACTACCACTTCTGCTGGAGGATTTGGCGCATTTAGCTCAGCTGCACTAGCTAAATTTGGCCAGGCTGGCTTTGGGTTTGGAAAAATTTCAACGGAAAACAGCACACCTGCAGAAGACAACAATATGGCTTCTGATGACACTCCGCCATTTGGTGGCTTGTCGCTCGGAGACTCGTCCTCTCAACCGGAGAAACCCAAGTCCGCCTTTGGGTCTACATTTGGACATGCCAGCACGAACCCAAGTCCCCCGACCATTGAAAGTGGTACTGCAGGTAACGAGTCTTCATTCGGATTTGGGTCTGGCTTCATCAAACCTGCTACTGGCTTTGGAGCATTTGGAAATGTAGGCTCTACGAATGCTTTTGGTTCTGCCTCATCGGCATCTGCATCCGAGTCCTCAAAGCCTGAGTCAGGATCTGGAAAGGGTGGGCTTGGCTCTGGAGCATCCACTGGGTTTGGGCAATCAGGTTTCAATCAGTCGTCATTTGGTCAGTCGTCGTTTGGGAAATCAAGTTTTGGACAGACGAGCTTTGGACCGCCAGGGTTCGGTCAGAAGGAAACGTCAGCTTTCGGTAAAACTGCCTTTGGTGCGGTTGCCCCAGCTTCTCCTGTGGTTCATTCCCAGCCCGTGAGTGGTGGGTTTGGTAGCTTTGCATCGGGCAGGCCTACAACGTTCGGATCCGCTTTACAACAAACCGCTCCAACCAAACCTGCTTGGGCATCGGACGATGGAACAGCAAAGCCCATCTCGGAACCGTTCAAGCCCGTATTTGAAGAGAGCAAGAGTGACACAACTGGTGATAAACCTGCATTGGCCTCAGGGACAGCACCGCAAATGGAAACCACAAGCACAAATGATAGAGAAATGAATTTTGGCCAGAACCTTACTACTACTACCACTACTCCTGCTTCTGTATTCACCTCGAGTAGTGCATCCCTCCGAAATCCGTCTCCCTCTCAGGTAGAAAGCAGGTCTCCATCACCTGTGGAAGCGAAGGATGAGACACCGAATATTACCACCCCTTTCAAAAGTAGCTCTCCGTCTCCTGCTGCGGGGGCATTTGGCCAGCTCCAGACCTCTCCATCACCTTTTTACCGGCCAGCGACAGGATTCGGATTTGGAGGCGAACCCGCAAAAAATTCACCTTTCTTTAACCCACCTAAACAACCAGAAAGTAAGCCAGTGTCGGTTTTTACGACGGCAGCTACTACACCAACCTCTACCCCTCCTAAGTCCGGTGCCGGGACACCCACCTTTGGTATGTCGTCTATGATTGGCAGTGCTGTGAAGCCTGCTACGCCTTCTACTCCATCACCGGCAACCACAGCGTTCACCACCCCCGCATCTGGAGCCTTCAGTGCTTTTGCCAAATCAGGTGGTTTCAGTGCTTTCACTGGCGGCGCAAAATCGTTCGGCGAACTTCTTCGTACTGGAGGAGATGATGTAAAAGATTCTTCGAAAGAACGGGCATCAGTGGTGGAACTGTCTGAAAGGGAAGATGGCGACCCGAAGCCTGCGCCCCCCATCATACCTCAGCGCGGGAAACCAACACCAACAGTCACCCCTCAATCTTTAGATACAGGTGCATCATCCGAAGAGAGTTATCCATCGCCAACAGATGATTCGGGGAGTAAAGAAACAGTCAAAGAGGGAAAAGAGCAGGAATCTATCTCGCAGAAGTCGTCTTTGGCTTCTATACCTTCCTCTGCGGATTCTTTTGTCGAGGTCAATGCATCCTCCGATGAGTGTGAGGGTCAGGACGGGGAACTGTCAGAAGAAGGCGAATTGGAAGACGACACTAAATCATTCATCTCCGAGAGTGTGTCTGAGTCGGAGGACGATGAACTACCCGAAGAGGAATCTGATGAGAGCGAAACAGAACAACCTGCTGTCACAAAAAATGGTGCATTTCCATCAACACCGCAGTCGAATCAGCGGTCGCCATCCACTACTCCAAAAAATGAGCCGCCTACTATTGCTCTGCCTACTTCACCGTCTCCTTCCCCTATAACTTCTGGTCTTGGCGGCGGTAAGCTTCCGATGCCCTTGAGAGAGACCAGTACTACCCCTCCAGGATCACCTTCAAAGGAAGCCTCTACTGTCTTGCCCACCCCTTCTGCACCGCCCACGCAATCTACGCCAACCACTTCAGCGTTTGGACTTCCGTTTCGACCAAGCACCCGCCCTGCTCGAAGTTCCCCCTTGGCTAGCGTGCCTCTTACCGGTGACAATGAGGAAGTAGAGCCCAAGCCAATTCTTACCGCTTCTAAATCTGCCCCCTCTACGGCAACTCTTCATCCCGCTCCAGCCAAATTACCTTTTGGCCAGTTTACTCCTCCTGTAAAGTCGGAAGAACCTGATGCCACTTCAGCTTTACGTCCTAAAACGCCGCCTTTGCTTTCTGCTTTCGGTATACCAGCAAGTAAACCGCCAGCGCCTTTCAATATAGCACCGACCTCTCTACAGGTGGCGCCTCCCCAGTTCGGCCTTCCAAAAGCGCCCTCGCTTTCTCCGAGCAGTACTCCACCTAGTCTATTTGGAACGAAACCAAAGTTAACCGAGACAATGCCTACAACTCCCAGAGTTTTTGGGAGTCAAGTAAAGGCACCTGTGACTACATCGGTATCTATTCCCGAACCGCAACTAGAGCAAGGAATGCAGACCGAGTGTGCCTACCTTTTTTCAAGCTTGGCAAAAGAACTAGAAAACGTGCGAGTTTCTCTTATCTCTGTTTCTTGTATGCGCTTATAAAACCCAATTCACAGCTACGAGTTCTTGCAGAGGAGGCTGGCAAGAAAAAAGAAGAATTAAGGAAGCGGTCCAATCATTCTTTCACCAAAACTGATTTAGTGGACCCCCAGAAATGGACAATGGGTGATGTTCAGCAGTACGGTCGTGTACTCGCCCAGTTGCAGGACGACGTCAAAAACATAAAAGACCAGCGAATATTACTGAAAAGGACTTTGCGAGAGCTTGAGAGTAATATGTTGAAGGGTAGGTTATAAATACCGATGAAAGACCCCTGTCACTAAAATATTCCTTCAGCGGGTACTAGGAAGGAAGAAATTGTTCGCTTCAATCGGGCCAAGACAGATGAAGAGTTTGCTAAGATGCTGAAAGTACGAACACTAGGACCCGAACATCTTGAAGCTCAGAGTCAACTACGAAGAGACATTCAAGTTCGTCGTTGATTGGGATCCACCACAGCAGAAACTGACTACCTTTCAGGTGGTTCGTGACCGTGTACAGAAGCTTGAGGATAATCTGCAAGGATGTAAAACAAAGCTTTCACAGTTTCAAATCGGAAAGCCAGGGCTCAGGTCAGTGATGCAATTCAGATGTTCCAAGCATGTGCAGCTCACAGCTGTTAATTAGAGCACCTTCATTGGATACAGTCAATCGCACGTTCCGCAACATCAACTTGGCCATCAACCAGCAGACCGAAGATATCTCCAAACTGGCTGCGAGGATGAGCAAACTTGACATGTCCTCTCTGCAGGTCTCAATTACCCGGGATAAACGACTTGGAGAATCTACGGCAAAGCGTCCCATCAATGTTACCCCTCATGTCGCTGTTACAACTGCAGCTGCGTTAAATGCTGAGCGGTCAGCACAGAAGCTCAAGCGTGCATTGTTGGAGGCAAGAAGTGAGCCGTTATTGAACACGTCAGTGGCCAAGATGCCTGCGCCTACTTTTTTCCATACACCTCAGAAGGCAGTCAAGATGGAACCTCAGACTCCTCCTTCTCTGTTCTCGTTGCCTACCACGCCGGTAGCTCTAAGTCTTCCATCCGCCTTGTCGCCTTGGCCGAGCTCACCCTCGGAAGATGATTCAACTTCTTCACACCTGATGACCTCGTCGCGGCATCGAACTGGGAGTGGTGTCAAACATCACCAAAAGCCTGTTCAGCTGAAGAAAAGCCCAAATCCTGGCGGACCGTCTTCGCCAGTAACATTCGACTGGGGTCCAGTACCAAGTATTGTTCCTATGAAAACACTTTCGGCGGATGTTAGACAGAAGAATCCCAAGTGACTGTAGCACTAGCACTTGTTTGTGTGATATCTAAAATGAAGGCGATGGCGATGATAGACAGATTACATTGGTTATAATACGTTTACATTGGGTACTTTTGTCTTCTATTTCATCACAATATGCATCTATTCTTTCGTCTCTGGATCGTCTGAGTGTTGTTCATCAGCTACATCGTTTCCATTCACACCGTTTGACTGTTGAGAGCGATCGAACGGATTGTATATGATTGACTCTAGATGATCGAGAGCTGCCTAAAGAGAGGGATAAAGAACAAAAGGAGGGTGTCTAGTATGGTGCATAGCGACTATCGTTCAAGAAATTGCTGCGCACCCTCCCAACCTCACTGAGTTCCTGGTCTTCATCACCTGTGAAAGTGTCGAAGGCAGAATCGCCCGTGGCGATGAAGGCATCGTCCATATCTTCGTCGTCTGACATGTTTGGGTCTGGGTGAAGTGATGCACAAAGAGACATTGCCTCAAATATATTATCAACTATGGAAGTAGACGTAAGAAGATGGTGAAGAGGCTGATGAAGGACTCAAAACGTACGTGAGGCGGCATGATTTTGAGGGACGATGTTGAGCTCTCTCATGTCGAACATGTCATCCTGGTCGGGTGGTACATCTGCTGCGGTGGGAGAGGCTTCGTCGAGCTGACAATAGATGGATGGACGCGATTGTGCACGAGATATAGCGTGAAGGGTTATCGCGGGATATTCGATCTGGAAACCTCGACCTGTGGAAGACATGAAGACAAGAGCACTGCGAGGGTATGTGATAAGAATGTGTTCTGGTCCCAAGCGAAGCCAGTTGAACATACCTCTCGAGAACGTAGAGCGATCCTTGTGTGCTATCCTGTTCAGAAAAACCGTCGAGTGGAGGGGCGAGGGAGACGGCGACATTGTCCTCCTTGTGTCGCAGAACGGGGGGGATGTCGCTGAAGGATGCGGGGGTGGATGCGACGAGCTCTCTGTGTGCGTCTGGGGAGACAAAGGCGGGGAGAGCAGCGATGAGCGTAGCTGAAGGCATCGCAGTGGAAAGCAAAGAGAGGAGAGAAAGATAAGTCCCGATTTGGACTTATCATTTCGGATAACATAATGTGCTCCGTGCCTGGTGAATTAGACGCCGATCACCATGTTTACAGTTATAAGCAACATGGATCCAATACTTTCAATCATTTCTTGCTCTCCTTGCCCACCATGGCCACAGATGCCCAATCTGCTGCTTTCCTTGCCCACATTGCCTCCCAAATGCAGCTCAATATCGCCTTCCTCGAGTCCCAGAACTACATTTCTTCAGACGATGCCGCCGCAATGAACTCTATCATGTCTAAATTACCAGTCTCGGTATCCAGCCACTCAGTCGTCAGACAGTATAACATCCAAGTCATGCCTACAGCTGTCGTGCACTCTTCCTCTGCACCAAAAACTGTCACTTCAGCCCGTTCCGTTCCTCCCGCTCCAGCGCGTCAAACAGTTTATGCACGCGCAATGTGGGCTTATAACGAAGATGGCTCGGTACGAATATCCTTCCTGACTCGTCCAAACCTGTTCTCATTCGGTCACCCTGTAGGAATCAAATGACCTGTCATTCTCCTCGGGTGAACTCATCGAAATCGTGTCAGAACAAAATGAAGACTGGTGGTTAGGCAGAGCGAGAGGCAAAGAAGCTCTCTTCCCATCAAATCATGTAGAGAAAGTCGATGCTTCAGCTCACACGCCGGCTTCCATCCAACCAGCACCGGCAACCGAGCCAAGGACCACAAAAGTCTACAGGCCTTTCGGAGCCGCCCTACACGGCACAGATACCCCTCCGTCTGCCGCTGATGGCGTCAATTCTGTGGGATTGCAGCAAGCCTCAGGGCAAACGGAAAAGAAGAGCAAGTATGGAAAATTCGGAAACACGGTTAGTTTTCCCGAATTATTGCCCAGTTCCTCCAATTTAGCGCCGACACGCATTCTCTTAGATGGCACACTCAGCTGCAGGCGGTGTCGGTTTCGGCGCAGGTAGGTATCTTTGCAATTTCCGACCGCTCATCAGACTCATTCTCGTTTTTGCGCAGGTGCCGCTATTGGTGGTGGTCTTGTCCGAGCTATCTTCTGATAAACCAAATCAGCTCTTGCAGGAAATACTCGCAGCACGAGCCACGTTCCTCATTATTGGTATACTCAATCGCTCCCCTCCCACTTTAGCACGGTGTATTTTTCACCACCTACCTCTCCCAAGTTCTCAGTTTCTATCTGTGTATCCAGTTGTTTCTAGTGATTATATTTATGTTCCCTTGTGATTCTCTTGATTTTTGATAGCTTGGCCCTGTAACACATTTACTGAATCACCTCTGTAGATGGGCGATTTTTTTATTCAAAACAAAAAACAATGTACGTACTCTTGGCTACAGCGACTCAAAGTACAGAAGCATAAGATATACATAATAATATGGCCTAAAGAGCCCAAATACAAGAGCGACGGGATCCAAGGAGAATTCATAGACGAGCCAAGATTACCGCTTGTTTTTTCTTTTCGCAGCGATCGGTATAGATGAATGGTGATTACTCCTCCTAGATCGATACTCTTCTTCTTCACTTGCATTTTCGGCACCACGTACATAGCCCACGCCCATGAAAACCGGGGGACCCCCAGCACCTCCGTGTGCGAGGAAACCCTCACGCTTACTCCTCGTCCCAACACCAACCAATACGTCGTCATCGACATCATCACCTTCCATCGACCGACTATAGGCGTCACACAACTCCTCCTCCAACGTTGGCTGTCGTTTGATCAGAGTGATAGAACTTTGTGATACATCACGACTCGAGTTTCCCCCAGGGTGACGCAAATTCTTTGGACGCACTTTTTTCTTTTCTTTGGATTTGCTTCTCTGTCGAATGATTGAAGCATCCTCAGGAGAAGAAAATGTCAAAGATAACGGATCATCGTCATCGTCATAGTCACGCTCCTGAGGTCCATAATTAACAGCTCGGGGGGCCCTTGCCGGTGGACGAGGTTTACGGGGAGTAGGTGCAGGCATCGGAGATGTGGGAGGCCGTTTCTCAAACAACTCTTGCGCACGTTGCAGCTGTGGAGATGCGGGTAATGGCGTGGTAGTGCGTTCGGGCGACAAAGTAGTCCGCTCAGGTTCCATATCAACATCGATAGGATCTGTTTGGCTACCACTGGCAGTACTGATGTCCTCTGCTTGTAGACCTATCGCAGTGGAAGGAGTACCAGGAGGTGTGGAAGGAAGTCGATCGTCGAGGCTTGCTTCGCCCTCTCGATCTGCATCGTTATCAGAACACAGGGATGGCGTAGTGATGTCAGTTTCTGTTGTGGATACAGAAGGCCACGTTCGAATTGCGCCAGGAGGTTGCGCAGGTGGAGGGTATGATTGGGAGAACAGCATAGAAGTAGGAAAAGGTATCCTGGAAATGCGCATGTCAGGGTTTCCAGCCCCCGACGATGTAGACGCTAAAGATCCGCTATCCGATGAGCCCATCGAACGACGTTTGACAGCGACACCTGTTGGAGAACAGTGTGAGTGAATTGCCACGACTCACGAGGAAAAAATGACGTACGAAGTGCGTCCTGTAATTCTGAACCAGCTACAGCATCGATTTTCCGCTTTCCACCAGTTACTGTACCGACTTCTTTTCTGGAATTCAAGCTCTTTCGCAGGAGATCCTGCGATGCAGGCTTATTGATGCCAGAACCACCTGTACTTGCTCTCCTCTCAAGAGAGGACAGTTCTGGAGGCACACCACTATCGCTCACTTTCCTCAAACGCACCGTCTTCATCTCATTGAGAAAAGCAGCCATCTTATCGGACGATAGATTAACTGTTGGTTGACCTTGACGCTTTGCACGGCCAAGCGAAGGGGCGTTGATTGGAGCCTCGGCTGGGGGTCCTGCCTGTCTCAAAGCTGCGCGTGCGCTAAGGAACATTGAACCTGCATCAGATATCGATCCTAGTTGCGTGGTGCTTATCCGTACAGGGAGTGGTGGTGGTAATGGTGGTGGCGGTGGGGGAGGAGCTGGCATAAGTGAGTGAGGATCTGGAGACGGTCGCACAATAGAACGCTTAGATAGCTGAGATGGATCTGAACTAAGTGACGTCCATATTTTCATATATAAGATAGACCCCATACCTCTTCTTTCAGTCGCTTGACCTCGTCTTCCAGCATCTTAATCCTATCCTTGTCTTTCTTTCGCTCTTCTTCAGCTTCCTGATTGTTCTTGTCCCGTTCCCACCGTCGTTCGTGCTGCTGTTGCTCTTCTCGCGCTGCTACCAGCTCCCGTTCTTTGCCCCGTACCCTAATTTCTCCAGAGGTATCTGCCTCTGTGATCTCAACCGATCTAAGCTGCTGCTCTTTCCTATTGTGTGAAACAGACGATGGTACAAGATTCCTATTTCCTGGTTCCCTCTCCTTGCCTTTCCCCTTTGGCGATGATTTAGGGAGTAATATCGAAGGATCAGCTTCTTTTGGGCCTGCTTTGAATCGATTTATAGCTTCTCTGACTGACGGTGTTGCCCGCGGGCACAGCGGGGAGCTTGGAGGGTCTGTGGGTTCTGTATGAGGCACATGGCCGGGCCGCGAGGATGGCCCTGGCTCAAGATCATCCCGTGGTTGTTCCGCTATAGCAGATGTATATTTTTCTTTTGCTCGAACAGGAGGGCTCACGACGCCAGGAGCAAACCGTACGTGGCGACCCTCCTCATCGGAAAGGGAAGCATTTGAGTCAGGTTCAACAGAGGGGGAGCGAGGAAAGAGAGAGCCAGGCATCGTCACGGACAATCTTCGCCGCAAAGCTTGTGGTAGGATAATGGGCGTAGGGGATCGTGACGATCGGTCACTTCCAGATAGTTCTACATTCCAACAAGTTGATGTCTGAACCCGCAAGGCGAAGAATATGGATGTACATACCTTCATCCTCATGTTCTGACAAGATATGGTCGACCGCCCGTTTTGTTTTGGCTCCCTGAGTAGTATATTTTGGCCTTGAACGCGATATCGGACGAGGGGGCTTGGGGGGAGTGACACTTGCATTGATTTGTTTTCGCTCGCGATTTCGCTTCCCTCTATTCGCTGACACCCTATTCCTGCTCGAGGAAGGTTCCCTCTGGATTTGCCTTGCTTCGGACGAGACCGTGGACTGCGCTGGCTGGCTGATACGCAGATTTGACGGATTTGCCCCGCCTGGATCCTGTTGGGCACGCGTCAATAAGTGAGTGAGCGAAGGATATTACTTGCTGTGAAAAATACCTGTTGTGGTGTTGCTCCTGTGGCATTCGCTACGAAAGATTCCAGTTCTCTGGATACAAAAGTGAAGACATTTGAGAATAAGCCTTGCGGTTGGTTGTGTCCCATTCGCGTTTGGGTGGAGGTTCAGTCGAGCACGTTGCACAACAAGGGTACACAACTCTTTGGCCGCAATTGTCTCTCCCACTGAAACAGCCAAAAACGTACAAATTGGCTCAACATTTACTGATAGTCGGTATCCAAAAGATGCAATGTTCCTTATTATACATGAGAGCAAAGCAGGGCGATAAGAAACAAGAATGGCGTAAGTTAGACTTTACGGAAATATCGAAATAGTAATGGTCCAAATGACAGTATCTATAATCATAAATATAATAGCCTCTCTCATCGATATCCTGCATAAGATTCATAACTTGGCGGTCCGCCAGCACTGGGGGCCAGAGAGGCGCGTACGGCAGCATAAGGGTCTGCGTACTGCATGGTTCTACTCACGCGTGGCGCAGCGTCCGCGGGTGGCGGTGCATAGTTGTGCGAGACACCACCAAAGCCACTCGGTGCAGGATCCGAGAATGCGCCATAAGCATCCATGCTAGGTCGCGATGCTGCAGGCGGACTGGTGTACCCACTGGTAGGTGCTGTACTCGATGCGGCACCAGAATAACGGACTGGGTCAGAGAATGGTGATTCGACAGCGTCAGAATTATCGTATGTCGATCGTCGTGGCGCGGAGGAAGAGGGAGCAACGACTGGGACTTGTTGGTATCTCGTGGTCGTGTCTTCCTCCTCTTCCTCCTCGTCACCTTCTTCAATGTCTGGGCGGGTGAATGGGGGGTCGCGGGCATGAGTGGTCAAGCTCCCATTGCGCCACTGCAAGATGAGGAAACCCAACGACGCAGCCCAAAAAGCTGATTTGGGTGAATCACTGATGAGTAAAATATATTACAGTGTAAATAATAACTCACCAAAGGCAAGCCAGAAGAATATAGCTGCAGCTTTCTTGGTACTGCACCATCCGGGTAATCCATTTTTGAAGCCGTCGCCCTTCCCTGCATTTGGGTCGTTGTTCGCGTCTTTACATCCTGGCTCTGTCCATGCTGAGATGGTGACGATGAATCTACAGGGATCGTTAGACGCTTCCAGTCGTGATGGCGAAGATGGATGAAAATGGCATACGCGATCAAAAGGCTCAAGGTGACACCTGTGCCCGTGAGAATAAAGCCTACGCGTACTTCCTTCATGGCACGGGCGAGTCGAGCAAATCTGTCATATTTTTCGTAGATGACGGGCACAAATAGCATAAAAAGCGCTAGGAATATGCCAGAGACTGAGACGAAGATGGCGAATCCTGATAGGCCAGCTAGTGCATGGGAAAAGGTGTGAGTGAGGTATGGAGTTGGTGGCAATGCAGCTTACAAGGACCAACGCCCCAATGGGCCTGAAAGCTTGCTACACTGGCGAAGCAAGCCATTGCGAGGAAATTGAAGAAGACTTGTGAAATGTGGAATATGATTGCGGGTTTGGATATTATCATCTAAAGGAAGAAAGAAAGCGGTGAGACGAGTGGTTATGAACATAGTATGAGAGAGAAAGAGACCGAAAGCCATACGATCCATAGGAGAGGCACGAAGAGAAGGAAGACCAGCGTGCCAACTTGCTCCATGCACGCATCTGAGAGTAAAGGAAAGGGTTTGATTACGTAAAAAGGTTGAAAAATTAAAAGGCGCGAAAGAGCCAAACGAAGTGAAACGCAATCAGAGAGAAGAGAAGGTGTCTTACATCGTCCTCAAAGGGCACCATGCCATGTCCACTCCCTATTCCACCTGACATCGACGTCGCTACTGGTGCTGCGCTCTTGCGGGGAAGAATACGCGAGAGTCCATCCTGCACTGAGTCGAAGAATGACATTACCACGACACGAATGAGGAAATGCTTCTAGCGTGTCGTTAAAGTGAGACGATGGTGGGAGACGGTGATAAAGAAACTGAAGAGGCGAAGTGTACGGCTTTGATGGGTGATATAAGTGAGATTCAGTTGTTCTGACTGATAGAAATACAGGCTGTACAGTTAACCGCAGCCAATATGGAGGATGTCGGCAAAGGTGTGACCATCATCGTTGCTGCGACTGCCTCTCCACCCACGTGACTCTTTGGGGTTAGGGTCTGTGCACCGCCTTCCTTTCTGCATAGCTTGCAGTCTTGGCTGGCTCCGTTCGTATAGGCCTCCTGCTGATACCATGGCTATCGTCCCAACCTTTACCGCTCCCCCACTTCCCCCTTCCCCGCTCGACCAGCTATCGGAAAAGTCAAAGCTTTGCATCCACCGCCTACGATCATGCGACGTCGAAACACCCGACCTGTCCGTGTTCCATAACTTGCTGCATCCCCATTGACAAGCTCAGACCGACAGCACCCAGGTCCAGTTTGCCGGTGTCAAAGCTCGCTGCTGTCCTGGTTTTGCTATACGAGAAGTCCGGGGAACTCAGAGTTCTCCTAACAACTCGCTCTAAACTTCTGCGTTCACACCCCGGTCAAACAGCACTGCCAGGGGGAAAGGTCGATGTTTCAGACCGCAGTCTTATTCACGCCGCCGTGAGTACACAGCTATGCTTTGCACCCGCTTGCTAATAAGTTCTGCCATCGCAGCTTAGAGAGGCTCACGAGGAGGTGGCTCTCCCCCTTTCCTCTCCTCATGTGCACACCCTATGTCTCCTGAGACCCTTTCTATCTGCGTCCCAGCTCCTCGTCACCCCTGTTGTCGCTCTCTTGACAGACATCAGCATTCTTGACCTCCTCGAGCCCTCGCCTGCTGAAGTGGACCGCATATTCGATCACCCATTGGAAGCCATTTTGGATCCATCCCTCGCAAAATATGAACCACTAGTACCCAAGCAAAGTGAACATTGGCCATACGAGACAGAATACTATGTAAGGCACTATGTCCAGCTATTAGTATGTTATCACCCGTGGTGACCCGTTTATCATTATCTACAGCATCCTTCCGATGTACCACTGCCCGCCTTTGATAATAGGGTCTATCGGATGCACCGTTTCCGAAGTTGTGCCTCACCTGTAAAGGGTTTAACAGCAGAGATTCTGGTGAGCGTCGTTGTTTAGTGTCGTGAGATGAAGTTGATCGTATCATCTCGTTCCAGATTTTCATAGCTGAAATCGCATATGGAAGGGCGCCTACATACGAACTATATTCCTCTGGGCAATCCAGTACCGCTGTAACTGAGCTCGTTCACATCCGTATGCGACAATACCAAGCGGATTTTACGTTACAGCAATCGAAGGCACAACAAGCTTCGGTGACACCCGTTGTACACGCCCCTGTATAACCGACCGAATCTCCTTTTCACCGGGTTCCGTGGTGGGCCACCATCTACATTCGATATAGATTTCGAGTCGCATAGAACACCTAGTGGGATAGATATACTACTTTTAAGATCGTATAATTGACATGTAAATACAGCACGTGTGCACCAATTTACATATTTAGCTATGTTGTGCAATGGCCTTGGAAACAAACACTGGCAACAATGCTGCAATGCGACTGCCTGCTGTTCACCTCAAGGCCAGCACGTGGAGGCTAGGTGAAAATATTTAAAAAGTCGTGGATTCAGTGTGAATTCTGGCATTCAGCATGCGACGGTTCCAGCCGTCCCCACCAGCCAGACAACCCCGTTCCCGTTCTCGCGAGCCTGGAGCAAGACGTGCGAGATCGCCGTCACCCAGAGCGACCATGTCTACATTTTCTCGCAGTGAAGAGCAGCCTAGCTCAAACTATCGAGAAAGTTATCGCATCCCTACGCTCCTCGCCCCATGGGAACACCATGCGGACTATGGTCTCATTCATCCATCAGGATGCGACATCTGTAGCTCCTATATGAAGCATTGCGCTGATGCAAGTTACTCTGAGAATCAGCCAGCTTTTCAGATGGCTCTTAAAGAACGGAAGCGTTACAACGAGGAAATATTTTTGAATGGAGTCGTCGAAGGGCGGCGCCGTCAGAAGGCAGACGAGAAGGATTTGTTCGATGATGCTGAGCGTTATCGCCTGGAGCGTAACCAAGCTCGGGAAGAACTCGTCTGCCTTCGCAGCCAGCTTGAGTCATCCCAAGCTGAGTACGCGCGACTCGAAGAACGCGTTAAGCAGCTGGAGACGACGAGAGCATCACAGCAATCGTCTGCCAGTGCTTCTCCTGTGCCCACGCCGGCTGTTGACCAAGCTGTAGCATCGCAGGCACCCGCAGCAGTCGAGCCATCGGAACCGGTTTCATCGTCGTTCGATATCGCGAATCCGATGGAAATGCCATCGCCAGCGACTCCTTTTGATCAGTCTTCCCTCTACGATCTCCTTGCCAACGTCACTTCCCAGCCCTCATCGCCACCATCCACCACTATCCCTACCCCATCGGGTCCCGACCTCGCCACCACCCGTACGTTTGCTACCGTCGTATCTGCTGGGCAGTCCAACCCCACCACAGCCAATACCACTCCACAAGCCACAACCAGTGCATCGCCAGATCCGGCTTGGACAATCGTCACACCGCCCAGAGTCTCTAAACCGCCAAAGAGTATCAAACAGCTCCAGTCACTAATGAAAGCTGCTCATCAGCCGGCAAATCACACAGCCTTGAGAAAAGTTAAAGCTCTGTGCGCCGAAGCTCATCAGACTGCTCGCGAACAGAAGACGGACATCCAACGGTACCTTTTGACGAACTGGCGAAGCCCAGACTGGGAAAATCCCTCTGCTCAGCCCACATTCCCAGCTCCATTGAACAACCCTCGTCTCGAGGATCCTCCTGAACGCTGGGTAGAGTACTATGCTGCCAACCCCAGTTCATGTCCTAAAGGAATTCGTCGTGAAGCAGACGGGCGTCCTGTGCTCTCAGACATGAAGGCCAGTCGTACAGTAGCTCGGCTCCGACCTCCAATAATCCCAGACGATCCCGAGTCCCGGCAAGCTCGTCAGGACTTTCTGACAGCGACCACTCGAATTTTCTCAGTACCAGGCGCGTATGAGACTATTATCAGCAGGGCGAATGTCAGCATTGCGCCTCAGGTTACTTATACGCCGTATTCGAGTGCCGTCGTCGACGTTACTATCCAGGGTGTCGCTCGTCATTACGCGGTGTGCGGTGTTAGTTGTTTGATTGCTGAAAATGAGCTAGGGCCTTGGGCTAGGGAATACATTAAGGAGACCGATATCTGACTTTCTCCTGCTCCCTGTGTATCGATGGAATAGGTGTAGGAGCATGCGATTGTATGTACGAATTATTCACCCACGTTGCAGGTAGATTCTTCATCTCGCGAAGCATCTGGCATGTTTTCTTGTATTCGATGGACGATTTCTCCAGTTGTATACCTGCTATTGCGTATTTACGGTGACCCAGCGGTTGTAGTACGGAAGATAGCACTTGTATTCGAATTGTTTGTAAACGAGCTGTATATAAATTGTGTTCGAAGTCAGATCCGAGTCCAAATCGATATCTGCAGACACACTTTGTTGTTTTTTCTTTGACTCTGACATGAAGAAATGAGCACACTTTTCAAAAATCTTCGCGTTCATCAGATCTTTGGAGCCAACACCGATGTCGGAAAGACAATTCTCACTTCTGCTCTCGTTCGAGCCTCTACTATAAAAAACAACACGGTATACTACCTCAAACCAGTCAGTACCGGTGCACCTGAAGATGCTGATGATGGGTACGTTTTCTCCACATCTCTATCTTACTTCGTTGACGAGTACGAAATCAAGACACATCCAACGATTTGCTGGACCACAAAAAAGCCTCGTTCATACCGAGTGTCTGTTTCGTTTCGGAGATCCAGTCTCTCCTCATTTAGCTGTGAAGATGGCATCAGATAAAAACGGAGAGACAGTACGTTGTCTCTTCTTTCATTACTTTTATCTTTTTAACATGTATCAAGGTTCGCAGTCCAACCGATGAAACATTTGTGAACTCTATCGCGAGCTACATCCGGAGGTGCGCGATGGCCGATCGTATGGGACATATGTACATCGAAACTGCAGGAGGTGAGAATCTCATATAGCCAGTGAGTGGAACCAAGGGTCTATATATCACTTCGGGTTCAAGCAAATTTGTGTTCTAACGTTGCTTTTTTCTATAGGTGTTCACAGTCCCACATTATCTGGAACGACTCAGGCAGATGCATATCGACCATTATTCCTTCCTACGCTTCTTGTCGGTGACGGAAAATTGGGTGGTATCTCGTCCACGATCTCATCCTACGAGGCATTGCTTCTACGGGGTTACATCATTGACGCCATCTTACTTTTCCGAGACGAATATTACCGGAATTTTGAATACCTTACCCCTTACTTTGCCGAGCGAGGTGTTCGTGTTGTTACTGTCGAACCACCACCACCCAGAGCCGAAGATACAGCAACAAATGTCTCCATTACAGAGGAATACTATTCCAGGATTACTTCTACGAGTGGCGATGGCCTAGTGTACGATTTACTATCTCATCTAGATGATTGTCACAGTCATCGCATTGAAGAACTGCAGTCGATGCGCCGTCGCACTCTTGACACAATATGGTGGCCATTTGTTCAACACGGGCTAGTCAAGAGTGAAGAAGACGTCACAGTCATAGATAGCGCGTGGTCGGATTTCTTCAGCGTGTACGATGCACCTAAGGGAACACCCGGTAATTCCAATAAAAATACATCGCTTCTGGAACCTCAACTCGATGGATCTGCATCGTGGTGGACGCAGGCACTTGGTCATGCCCACCCTTCATTGACGCAAGCAGCAGCGCACGCTTCCGGACGCTATGGTCATGTCATGTTTCCCCAAGCCACCCATCTTCCAGCTCTGAAGCTTGCCGAGCGTCTCGTCCATGCAGGACCAGGTAAAGGTTGGGCCTCTCGAGCCTTCTTCAGTGATGATGGTTCTACCGGCATGGAAGTCGCCCTTAAGATGGCCCTACGTTCATTTGCGGTCAAAGCTGGCACTACGCTCAGTTCATCTGCAAAGAAAAATCTGGGCATAATAGGACTGAAAGGTAGCTATCATGGCGACACTATTGGTGCAATGGATGCTTGTGAAGAAGGCGTTTATACCTGCGAGTGGCACAATGCGAAAGGTTATTGGTTTGAACCTCCCACCATTTCCATTCGACAAGGGGAAGTGACGGTCAGCCTTCCACCATCTATATCCTCATCGTCGGATTCATCCAATCACGCCATGCCATCACTCTCTTCGGTCTACGACGTTGAATCGCGGCTGCACACATCCTTAGCCACGGTTTACAGACGTCATATTGAATCCACACTGTCGAATCTTATGCACAAAGGCCAGCAGTTTGCCGCACTCGTATTAGAGCCATTAGTTATGGGAGCTGGTGGCATGATCTTTATAGATCCTCTATTCCAGCGGGTCATGATCGACGTCGTACGAGATCCTAAACTCTTCCCAGCCAGAGACGGTCCACAAGATCTCTCACAGGGCCTTCCAGTCATCTACGACGAAGTATTTATTGGCCTTTACCGCCTTGGCTTTTTGAGTTCAACCTCTTTGCTTGGCGTATATCCCGATATCTCCGTCAATGCAAAAATTCTGACGGGTGGACTCGTTCCGATGGCAGTAACCATGGCCTCAGAGTCTATATTCCAGGCTTTCTGGAGCAATCATAAAACAGATGCGCTACTTCATGGTCACAGCTACACTGCTCATCCAATAGGATGTGAAGTAGCAAACAAGACTCTTGATTTACTGGAAAAAATGACCGATAGTGAACAATGGAAGCAAGCGAAACAAAACTGGGTAGAGAAAAATCTAGAGGAGGGATCCAGCGAGATTTGGAGCTTCTGGGACCGGGATTTCATCCACTCGTTATCGCACTTAGATGTTGTCAATGAGGTAATGGCACTGGGGACAGTACTTGCTATCAAGGTCAAGGATAAGCAAGCAGGTGAGTACCTCGGTCCTCCTTAGTGTCCGTAACTCAGACTGATTACCCGATACAAGGGTACGGATCGCACTCAGCTCAAAAGTTACTCCAGTCCATCAAGTTCAGTCCATCAGACGATCCCCTGCTAAGTTCAGCACCTGGCGGAGCTCCTTTTGGTATTCATTTCAGAACTCTAGGCGATGTCGCCTACTTCATGACAAGTCTAAACACACCACGTGCAACGATAGAGTCTATCGAGAATCGACTGTGGAATACACTGTCCAATGCTGGAAGTCCGTAAACGCATGATACTGGATATTCGAGTAGCATAGGATTCATTAGGAAGCATTACATAGATGTACTGAAACACATACAACAATAAAGCAACGATCAAACATTCCTATACTTCAACTTCTCCAGTACTGTGCTAAATCATGTATCCGATCGAGCACAGCAGTAAAGTAAGACGTTTCGTTCAGCAGGGCTTCAAAATGCTTTATCGCTTCTTCTTCAGTAAGGTCAAGACGGAACTTCTCTTGGATTTGCTCATGAACATCACGATGCTTAATATCCGGTATGTTGGCGTCCACCATCAATGCAACCAAGTTCAGAATAAGGTTAGCGCTCTTGCGAAGGATGGTGAAAGCTGTAAAGCAGAAGTTCTTGAAGCGGGCGTAGTGACTTGATTGCGCACCACCCATCCCGTCGACCATTTCTTTACAGACTTTGACAGGTGGGGGGAATGGCTTCGGATCACGTCCCAGAATATAACCAAAATCAACTGGGATAGGATTGGGAGATCGATCAGTATCAATAATGGTTTACCACTGGGAATCAAGTTACGCACCATGGAAAAAGTGACCTATCAAATTGACGTGAGATAGGTACAGAGACTAAGATAAGAGTTGCTTACCATCAGGTGTCAGTAGCAGATTATCTAAATGACGATCGCCAACACCCAAAAGATATGTCACCACACAATAACCAGCTAACAGATATTTGAGCAAAGGACGGATGGCGTGGCAAAGAAAACACTGACCACAACTCCTTACGAAAGTATCAACGACACTCGGTTCTACTCCGTAAGTTCCCATACTTCCTTCATCTGGGTTGTTGGCTCTGAGATAGTTTAGAAGCGTGCCATTCTCGCTAACAATCGCGGCAATCGTCTTGCTGGGAAGGAACTGCGCCATGCCTTGCAAAGGTCCAGTGGCCAGTACGTCGTAAGGACTCAATTTGAGATCTAGGTTCTCCTTCCGCAATAGACGATCCATCAGAGTGAATAGCTGAATCACCAGCTGGTCTTGCCGCATGTCATCTCCATCTTTAAAGATAACAGGAAACTCTGAACCATCTGAACATTGAAAGTAGAGTAGCATAGGGAAAAGATTTGATTTGAAGACAGATGATTTTTCCGGTATGATGCCTGTCACTTCGATGCGAGCATTTAGTGGAAGGGGTAGAGGAGCCATGGTGGATAGATTATTCTTGGAGTCTACAATAAAAGATCGTAGTTTTTCTATCTTCTTTGGCCGAGGATCTTTGGACATGCGTAGTTCCTTGGCGCGTTTCGCCAGCGTTTCGATAAGAAGCCCTTGCCTACGCATGAGCTCCCGACGGTCACTTCCGTTATCAGACTACAACAGCGGAAAGCCAGACATCATGGCAATCAATAAATGTCAGTCATCATCAAGTAACTGAACTCACCTCCAGTATTTTGTTCATAAACTTGAAAACTACTCTACCATACATCTTTGCCATAACCCTGTCTTCGAGAGCTACTTCAACCATGAGGTACCAGTAAAGTCGATTGCCCATGACATGATTCTGAACACCACGAGCGATGAGAAAATCCGTAAGACCACTATCATCGTATGATATGGCACTAGTCGTAGAACGTGTTGATCTTTGGTCACTCGCGGCACTCTCGAATTTAAGGGCTTGAACCAGCTGGAGCAGATATAGCAATAGTTCCTGAAGTATCCTTTAGTAACACTATTGCATGTTCAAAAAAGTTTGGAAAAACTTACATCATCATCTGCTCTACTGAGCTGCTTGACCGCAAATGCTCTCACACGGGAATCGACGGTCCCTGGCCCTAAAAGTTCCAGCGCATCATCTGTATCAATTTCCGTCCACATTGGCAACAGCTCTTCCACAGCTTGTTTTACTTCAGAAGGATCTCGCCATGTTACAGACTTGAGAAACTTGGTGAGGCCTCGTTTGTCCCTGGCAAGATAAAAACGAAATTTCCAGATAAGGTCTTTCTCCTCCGAATTAAGTGGTTGACTGGGAGCATAATTCAAGATTTCCTGTACCCCGACATCAGCTCGCGTAGTAAAAATGACAGAAAAAATATTACATACTCCTAGTTCATCTCTGATTTTCGCGTTTGGCTTCAGTTCCCTGTCATAGGGACTGCTACGGTGACTTCGGACCAATCGACGGTGTTTATCCTCGACTGGATTTTCTCGGGCAATTTCGGGATCGATGACAGCCCAAAGGTGAGTGTCCACTGCGAAGGAAGACGATATAGAAGGTGTCGGAGGGATTTGAGCGCTGGCCAGTGCTAGGTTTGATGGCTGGGGAATGCTAGGCACCTCCTAATTGTTCATCAGAACACTCAAAAAAGGCTACAAAATTTAGCAAACCACGGATCTGTCACTCACAGGTTCGCTGAATATTACTGGAAAGTCGAAACGGGGTAAATCAATATAAAGAAAGAGGTTTTCTGATTTCTCCGTCTCTGCCTGCGTACAACTGAGTTAGAAATTCAGCTCGATAGGTGGTCTTGTAACACGTACTGCATGTATTTCTTCCATTTTACGAAACGCCAGCTTGTCCAGCCAGTCTGATTTTGGAAGGTCCCCTCGCTCGTATTTCTTCACAAGCTGGTGATAAACGCCGCTCAGCATAGTTGACTCGCAATAACGCCTTGCTGCATACCTTCTCCAAACGCCCCATCTCGTCCCTTATCCCTAGCTTACTGGGTGTCGAAGAATCCATCGAGCCATCCGCTTCTTGATCTGTCCAGAGGAGTAAGCGATGTTTTCCTCTCCGAAGAGTCCTTATATGATTCGTCAGAAAACGATATTTGAGAAACGAGCCACGCGCATCTCACCACTTCTTCCCGAACAAACGAAAAGTAGAGCCGCCAACAGGTACAGCAGCTCTTGGACCCCCAATATCCCAAACCGTGAAGGTAACTTGTGAACTAAGTGGTAAGTCGCAGTACCTCACAGGAAGCGTGATCCATTCGTTCCATCTGCAAGGAATGTTAGCTACACCCGAATGTATCCAGGTTTCCTAACAGTACACACATAAAGCTTGTTTTGAAAGCTTTGAAAGACGTTCGAAATGGAATAGTCAGCGGCTTGTTATCCGCTACGAGCTGACAGGTGACATAGAGATCCGAGAGTGACCTTTTTCCCATTCGTTAGCATTATCATATCTAGACCTGAAGTGATGTGATCGTACGATGACTGGACGCCGTGGAATCGTAGTTCGGGCTTCTCGAGAAGTTCTGAGATAGGCCGTGGACGTCTCGTACCTTCGAGCGATGAGCTTTGACAGGCGTGTCAGAATGGAATGAAACTAATCACACAAACGATTGCGTACATACGAAATGTAACCGGAAGCTTCAGATCAGAAAGCTTCGCAAAGGTGAAGTCATCTCTGTTGTCCTTATCCATGCAGAGTTGAAGTTGCAGGTCCCGTGCGTTCAACGGCGGTGATGCTGTCCAATGTCAAAGTACGAGAATTATTCACGACCGCAGAATTTTTCCAGGTCAGGGTGTTCCAGGAGAGTAAAGTCGATTAACAGAAAGTCAAGTCGCTGTAGTAGTTCAACTCAAGTAATAGCTTCCTCAGCCACTGATACCTATTTGGGCAAGCTCGAAGCGATCATTCACTCTCATTTGGATATCTCACGCAGGAAATTCATGCAATATTCGTGTTCAAATCATCGATGTAGCATTAAACAAGACGTATCCAACGTATATAAAGTACAGTGATGGGCGGGAAACGACGACAAAGACTCGACAACCTCATTAATACATGAGGCACCCTGCTCAACACATTTTGCACCAAGTGCTTTTGCGGGATAGATGGGTATGAAAGATAGGCAACTCCACTGATCTAATCAGCCTTGTAGTCGGGGCGCAATGAGCGGACAACCTTGCCTATATTATAGGCAAGGAAACAACGGTCATTACTGGTCCAACAAAGAAAAAGAAGGTTACATACCAGCTCTCCAGATTTCTTGGTCATCGATCTCCTTGAGCTCCTTAGCGAGGTCTACACGATACGTCGAACGACCATTGAATTCAAGAGATTTGCGGGTCTCCGTGCCATTTCTTACGCTCTGGTAGAGCTGCTCGAATACTGGTGCGTTGGCCTTCTCGAAGATGGGTGCCCAGTCGAGAGCACCACGACGAGCGGTGGTCGAACATGCGTTGTACATGTAGTCCATACTAGAATGATAATACTGTTTGACCCAGGCGAAAGACGCTTCCAAGAACAACTTACCCTTTCTGTCCGATCAGAGGATAGAGGGATTGAGTGGCTTCCTCAACAGTCTCGTTGAAGGCTTCCGACGGGGTGTGGCCATTGGCACGGAGAACCTTGTACTGAGCAAGGAAAAGACCCTCTGTATGCTGTTAGTTTTGCAGTGGAACAAACGGCGTTGACTTGAACTTACGGATGGCACCCATCAACTAGATAAATAAACAAAATGCACGCGTCAAAAAAACACTAGCGAATTGGATACAATAACGCTTTTACGTACGACACCACGTTCACCGAACAAGTCCGAGTAAACTTCCTTCTCGAAGGTAGTCTCGTACATGTATCCGGAACCGACGGCAACACCGATGGCGATGGCCTTCTCTTTCGCCTTACCAGTAACGTCTTGGAAGACCGCGACACTGGAGTTGATGCCGCGACCCTCCTTGAAGAGGGTTCGGACGGTACGGCCAGAACCCTTGGGAGCAACAAGGATGACATCGACATCAGTGGGAGGGATGACATGGGTGTCCTCCTTGTACACAACAGAGAAACCGTGCGAGAAGTACAAGGTCTTGCCCTTGGTAATGAGAGGAGCAATGGTAGGCCACGTTTGTGATTGAGCCGCGTCGGATAGGAGGTTCATAATGATGGTGCCGCGGTTGATGGCTTCTTCGATGGGGAAGAGGGTCTCTCCTGGCACCTAATAAGCGAATAAAAACGCGTCAGAATACACATTTTAAGGAAATGGTATGTACTAACCCAGCCGTCTTCTATGGCCTGTCTCCAACTCTCGCCATCCTTGCGAACACCGACGATGACGTTGACCCCATTGTCACGAGCATTCAATCCCTGACCGTGGCCCTGAGAACCATAACCGATGAGAGCGAGAGTGTCGTTCTTGAAATAGTCCTGGAGTTTAGCCAATGGCCAGTCGCTGCGCTCGTAGACAACTTCCTTTGTGCCAGCGAAGTCGAGGGTTTTGATTCCACGAACAGTCTTGTAGAAAGGTCAGCTTCAGGTCCCAAAACATGACAAGAATACCCACCTGGAAAGCTGGCTGCCTTGAGCTGTTTGCAACCGCAGAGCGTGCAAGGAGGGAGTACGAAGCGGCTTGGACAGGCTTCGTCGCTACCTTGGAGGCAGCACTGCGGGAAACAGCACGGAGAGCTTGGGCAGAACGAGATGCGATGGAGGCCATGGTAGTGGTTGAAGAGAAAAACGGAAAGGGCTGGCTTAAGAACCTTTGGCTTTTTTTTGGGGAGTGACCGAGTCACCCTCCGACAGTCGGCCGAATGCTGCCGTATAATTCCGAGCAGACCCTACCTTCTCGTTAAGACCCAAATCATCATTTCTGTAATCCATACCAGTAGTAGGATCAAGTCCGTAATAACGCTATCCGCCCGAAAACTTACAGTGCATCAATGAGCTCAAAGCATAACCCGTTGAGGAAAACGCAGAACGGGCATACTGTTTGCATCCTTACCCTCTCATAATGCACTGAACTCCTCGAATATTATAGCGATGATCGAGATGATATATTTCAACTCTTCTTTATTTCATTTCCAGCACAAGACACCTATTTCGAGTTGCTTGGCCATAGCAAAACACTCCTTCATCTTATGGTTGTTTGACGCTTGAAGACCAACCTCCCCTTAGTCTCAAAATAACTTGAACAGTATGTACTCTCTCATGGTCGGTAAGAAGACATAGCTACATGATCATGTTCTCACAGGTTTCGTTGTCTCTATATCTAGTGATCAGTTTTCAATGATCATCTAATGCATCGAGTGGCTAACTCACTGGAGATTGGTAGGCACATGACCAATCTAATCAACCTGTGTTCAGTAGCGGTTCAAGCAACACCCTCTAAGACACCAAAATTCTTCTTTCGCGCTGATTTGCTTAACGGTGTATGCCATGATATATCTGCGGCGAAGTACAGCTACTTATTGAAGATGGTCGTTAGGCATTGCCCCTATGCGTTTTCACACGTCGCTGCGTGTTTCTTTTCTTCATCAGTGTGGGTGGGCGGGGACCCCCCGTAGGTGATATAAACTAGGTGGAATCTGGACCCATAGTTCTTTACTCGGACTCGCCACAAGTGTCAAGCCTTTAAACGCCTGTGCTCATAATGTCGGATATCAACAATGAAGTGTCAGCCATTCCCCAGCCGTTTCCTAGTCTTAACAACTCGTTTGGTGCCTTGTACATCGGCCTTTTGTTCAGTGCTATGTGAGCGATAATATCATGACTTTCCTGCTCAGCGTTTATGCATGTATGCAACTGCAGCCTTTATGGTATCACAAATATACAGCTCGTAACATACCTTCAAACACAGTGGGAAAACGATCGGCTTGTTTATAGAATAATGGCATGTTCAATTCTTTGACCAGTACTGCAAGCTGACATAGACGGGCTTAAGGTTGTATGGCTTTGGTGGGGTTTCCTCCGAGTTGTGGAGTACTGAAATATTGCCGATGATGACGCCTTGTTTTACAGGTCGCTCGACACAATCCATATTGTTTGTGTCTCGCACATGTTATACTACCACCTCATAACAAACTTTGCAAATCCTCTCGCACTCTCGATAATAGTTTGGAGCTTCAAGGTAAATTCACCGTATCACAAATTTCCCTTCTCTACCATCCTCATTCATTTGATACAGATGCAATATATAATAACTGTTAGTAACATTTGTTTGTATTGTTCATATCCTCCTTACAACGCGACTGTATTACAGGTGGTTATCATATTTTTTGTTCACTGGTGTGTCTTCATAGAATACTTGAACAAGGCAAGGCAAGCACTGAGGGACACTAGTCTATATGCTCATCGTCTCTGGATTTGTAAATTTTGATTCATCAAATGGATTCCTTATTTCTGACTGATTACATTTATCAATAATAGTGGGGAAGGGACGGAACCATATTCTTTTTTTGGTGCAAGTATGTGCATATGTCCGGCTACTCGGTCCAATCTCACATATCATCGTTATGATAGGTTGTCGTCATAGTTCTTGGCTCAGGTATTGCTCACAATTTATTACTTCTACGGCACATGATTTGACACTGCTCTTGCTCTCTAGGATTGAGCACGTGTAAGTACATCTCAAGTAATCTCTATGACATTTTCCAGGCTAATAAGTGGTCGAAGTTCTATGTTATGTCATGTCAGTTCCTCACTTTTCTCCGAGTGAGGTTTCACCTCAGTAGTTTCTTCGTTGACCCAGATGTCAGTGTCGCCTGTACTCTGATTTGTGGATGGTGAGAGTAAGTGTCTCCCACTATCGAACTTTTTATGCTTCTGCTTAATTGCAAATGTTCCACAAATGTCCACCGGTTGTCTAAACCACTGCTCGTAATATGCATGCATCAATTTGATCAGTGGGAGCCGATATCTGCGCTTGCTTTGCTTGCCACAAACGACGTCTTTGTTGCGGCATCGATGTGGTATCTCCTAGTTTTATCGCGAACTGGATTTTTAAAGTAAGTTTATTATTTTCTTGCTCCATAATTTCTTACCCGATTAAACGCTCATACTGTGTTGGTTTAGAACGGACACAATAATAAAAAGATTAGTCATTTATGTGTGTGCTTCCGGGTCCTTGACAAGGTGAAACTCGTAGTTTCATAGTGATGTCCGTCATAATGATCTGATGATTAATACCTGAATTCTCAATTCTCAGCATCTTCTCTTTGGCTTCGATTATTACAGTATGCATAATTGTCTCTCAGTTCAATCATATTTGGTTATAACATTTAGAGCAGTGTGCGGTAATGCCGGATAACAGTATTAACTTAGCAGTTGGCCTTTTGCTCTCCAAGCGTACGTCGTTTCTTGCAACGGTTGAGCCCACTACTTACTGATATGATGACCATAGTTTACGTGAACTCGTTTATTGCCCTCCTCAATTCGCGAAGTCATGCAAAATGTTTTGGAGATGCCAATATGTCGACTCTTGGAGCTGTCCCACATCCAGTCAAGTGCCAAGACGATGAAGAGGATTAAACCTATCTGGGAGTACAACTCAAGGAAGATAGTCCTCACAAGCATTGTAAACTGATACATCGTGTCACAAAGACAATACTGGAAGCCTTATAAACTTGGATTCATCTGGGATTCCTACTGCAGCTTACAATGGCACTTTCCCTAACACGGGTATTGTCAGGCTCTAATCGCACATCTACCATTTTTTTTACTGCTGCTGCAGTACATTCCAATCTCTAGCTTTACATTGTTATGACTTCTCAACACTACAAATAGATACATTCCTTTCTTATTTCTTTCGCTCAAAAAACATAAGTAAATTATATTTATATGAAGGGCTTGGTTTCGTGATGTAAGGGATACAAGGCTAGTAGAAGATCATCTACTATTGTTCTTGGTGTTGAATTGTGTCGCTCTACTAATTTGTCCCGTGGTAAACATGTAACCTTGTCACTGCATGTATCACTCTCGAATATGCCTTTTGTTAGTTTCTTAATATCACATTCCAGAGCCTGAACTAACCGACGGAGAATATGAAGTGAAGCCTGAAGCCTCAGTGCTCAGCATCCACTTTTAACATTCAAATGAGGACCGTCTCCTCACCTAATGAATATGATTTAGAATTAGGAGCACGGCCAGCGTGTAGATGCCCAAACATCTGAAAACCTGGCGCCAACGACAGAAGTCATTGCGATCGGGTATCAAGTTGACTTCACTTTCAATAGGCCAATCAAGTTATTACTTTCACTCGACTGATTGATTACAGTGAAGAGTGCTATGCTATCGAGTACGCAGACAAAGTGCGGTAGATGCGGATGTGGCCACTCTATAGCACTTGCCTAAAATGGTAGTGAGACGCGAAATGGTCCGTGCACCCACCCTCAGGGTATATAAGCTGGGCGCGAACAAGATGAATCCTTACCACTCTGGCCTTTTGGCTTAGATCAAGTGTAGTATCTGTTCTTAATAGTTTAACCACTATTATGGAGGCACCGCCTCCATTCTTTGGTTATCTAATTTTTGCCGCCCTTGTCCTCTTGTGCTCTGCTTGCAACACGAGGGGCGTGATGACCTTGCTACTGCACTTTCCGGCTTGCGTCGTCGGGGGATCTCTTTTTGACCCTTATTCTCTTTGTTCTGCTTTCTAATGCTTGTCATTTGACATGTCATGGGGTCGGACAAATAGTCTAAGAGTTGTTATCTTACTTAATAGTAGTTTAATAAAGAATATATTTGTTCTATATTCTTTTGGTTTGCTGAGATGAATTCAATTACTATTGTTTATTTTTCTGAATTGTTTTGACTGTGTGAGTGGTGTGTTGAGCAGTTGTGGTAACGTTAGCAGAGAGGTATGTAGTCTAATGTAAATCTATGGTGCTGACATGAATAGAAACACATCCTAGGATGCGTTAGGACAGCCCTCAACTTGCTATGATGGCAAGCAAAGAGATTTGTGTTCAGATACAAGCTTGCGGTTGACATATATACTGCGAATATGAATGGAGTAACAGCATGATGATAGAGCATCAGGCCAACACCAGGACACCAGAATTACCACTCACAGACTCGGAAGTCCACGGTTCCATGGAGACGGTGAGTGTATGAGCGATTGACAATTTGACAGGTGACATGGCGGTTTGATATAACTTTGCACCTCGCCAGAAAGCGGGCAGGTTCAGGGGAGTCGACAAAGTTGTAAAAGAGGAGCCGAATAGGGTCACAGTTGATGAAAATACTGATTGGACGCAGATGAGTCCTTGGAAATCAAAGAATCACATTCATGACCAACTGTGTTTTCATGGAATGTCACGAATCACTCGCGCTACCACCACTTGGAGTTGCCGTCGCAAAGTCCAAATTTTGGCGTGATGTCGCGGCTCATCTCGATGGTACTCATTGGCAGGCTCGCTTCGATGCTATAGCTGGCCAACGTGCTGGGCGAGAATAACAATAAGAATCTCCGAACTATGTCGCCGACCGCAGTGCGATACAACACTTACCCAACTTGAGTTTAGGTCTTTCGCGTTCAAGTACCGTGACAGTGATGGACCGGGCCCATTTCTCCAAGGTGCATTCTCATAGGCTCAAATGACAAATGAGGCTTATCCAGTGCAAGACCGGTACGTCCTTGGCGAGATCTGTACAAGTGGATCCACGACTTCGAAGCCGATATAGAAAGATATTACGGTGGATGATTGGTTACGGTTCAACTTTCGAGCCCGGCCAATGTCCGGCATAATATTTTTCAAAATCCGATGTACCTTCAGCTATTATATTTGTATTTAGCAAAATTCGAGCAAGGCCTTTGATGGGCGATCAACGAAGATACATTTTAATTAATTTCTTTGATCCAGCGAGTGTGATTTGGGCAAAAGCCAGTGTGATGAGAGATCGAGCGAGCGTGCAATTCAATATGTCAACATAGGATTTCAAGCGTCCAAATACATCAAGAAATTACAAGTATTACACATATACTGACAACCCCTCTCCTCAAGGTAAGATCTCCACCTCACCCGCTTCGATTGTGTTCTGCATGGCTGTGATACCGGCGGAAATAGAAGGACAGCGAGTAAAAACGGCGCGGCTGACAGCGATAACGAGAGGAGAGGTAGACTGCCTGAGAAAATAGAGATGAGACAGTTTCGAAGTCGACGAGTCAAAGGTCACTTACCACGCAGCAAAGATACCAATTCTACGTCCTCTGGTGACCAAATAGAAGGGACCAGCTGTCCCAGCATCAGGAACCTCATAAACCTGGCCGAGGTATGTGCGAGTGATAGCCTGTGAGGCATTTGGCACATTACCTCCAGGTGGAGCGGCAGGGGTAGCGAGCGAGCCAAGTGCTGTGGTGAAAAGAGGAGAGCTGGTGGTGATCGGAGAAACTGTCGCATAAGCACTGGCACCCAAAGCAGGAGTAAGCGGAGAAGAGGCGGCACCCAAAGCAGGAGTGCGTGAAGAAGCAGCAGCTGAAGGACCAGATACCACAGTAGAGCTGGCGGCAAGCGACCCTTGAACTATTGAGGAAGATGGGGAAGAGCTGGTGTATATGGGACTTGATGGAGTTGAAGGGCGGGCACTGCCAAGAACAGCGGACATCATGAGCATAGCGTTGCTCCTACTCAAGGTTACGGATGAGAGGAGAGAAAGGAGGATGTCTGGAGGTACACGTAAGTTAGTGCAATAATCAGAAACATGAGAAGGCCTTACTCATAGTTTCTTCCTCGTCGCTGAGGCAATCTTCACTCACGGAGCGTTCAGGCTGCTTGGAAGAGTTTGAACGACCAGGGGGAGGAGATTGAGTCATTGCAATTTGGAAGGAGGAGGTAAGTATGTCTGGATGATAATTGTGAACTCACCCGTACCTTTTATAGCTGTTTGCTTGAGGCAGCATAGACTTACAGCCCATAGTTGACAATTATTGAGATCTACAAACACGGCAGTCTGACAGAGTTGCAGAATTTTCATGCGTGAGAACAATAGCTAAGGTCCAACAAATCAACATCACGTGTGTACTTCACGATCTCGGAATAATCAGCTGTTCAGACAGCACTGTAAATCTTTTCATGCAATTCTGGCGACACATTCTTGAAGAGCTTCGCGTCAACCACATGCTCACGCCAATACAGTAATGCACAGTCAGTTCCAGCTCTTTCTTGTGGTCATATGTCTCATATTAGCCCGCACTAACCAAATGATTCAACGCAAAGCCAAAACAATGGTCTCCGCCGACGCACAATGGAATCCCATTGTACTCACATGCTTGGAGGATCAAGGAGATCTCAAAGAGACTGGAAGGTACAATTCCCATATTAAATTACAAATAAACTCGGTGTGAGTTGCTCCTTACAGCATCTGCACAGTTGTGCATTCCAGAACTCAAGTTCTCGGGCCCAAAGCATGATTCCATAGAAACATTCATTGTTGTATTTAGCTATTCTATGTACAATACAATGATTTGATATCCAAAGTGCATTTCAAGAAAACAAGAAAGACCAGAACACATACTAAAAGGCCTAAGCTAATCCGAGTCGTCTGTCCACTCATACTCAAAATCTGTATCAGCTTCGTCAGATGAGTAGCCCCCGGTGTTCTGTGGTGCATCTCCTACAACGCGCCTCCGTTGCCGGTGGGGTGGAAGCTCCATGACTGGCATGAATTCGGACTCATCCTCCTCATTAGAGTTCACTGAAAGGGCCATCACAGTACGCAACTCCATGTTGTTTGGCTGATCTCGGAACTGCTGGAGTAAGTGTAAATAGATGTCCCATATGTTTTCTCGGCCAACTTGAGGGTAGTTGGCAGCATCCCAGAATGTGCGTGCCTGTAACGAAAAGGCCGGCGGGACCAGATGAAAAACAGGGTGATCGGGTGGTGCATACTTGTCTCGCACTTCTGTTAGATACGGCGGATGCACCTTAACCTGTAGATGTATGTATTATAAGTATATGACAAAGTGGAAATGATACTATGAACTTACAGCAAAATTGCGTGACTCAAAAAGCTCCGGGTTCTTGAAGATATCTACAGGGCGTCCATGAGGTAGTAACTTGTGTGAGTTTCGTCGGGGCTTTGAACCGTTGAACCTCTCAATGAAGCAGTTGAGTTCTTGCTGTATCCAGGGGATAAATACATAGTGGAAGACTAGTCTACAGGTTTGTGTCAGTTGTGGCCGCTTTGCTTAGGTAAATGGATATACGCAACCGTTGAAGAGCATCGTCAGCATCATAAAGGCCCTCGTTGACCCCCCAGTCAAGGAGAGCCTCAAATCCCGGCGCCCAACGTCTTCGAAATTGGCCCCAAAAGATCTCAGGCTTAATGTTCCGGTGAGATCCTTTGAACGTATGTTGCAGGGTCTTGTCTAAAGCCGGGTCTTGCATATGACGAAGTAATGTATGGCCGTTTGCGATACCATTGTTTTCAGTGCCGGGGTCACTTTGTGTGATTAGAGGCATCCCTAGTATAAGTCAGCAATTGGCAGCCAAGCAGTTGAAACACCGGAGAAAGAGACTCACCACCCAATCTCTCCACGACATCACAATACCATCCACATATCAGACGCGGATTATGGTTAGTCCACCAGACTTTGAGCCAGAGTACATAGCCGGAGAAGGGCTCGAGTCCAACGTGAAAAAAAAGCTGAAAGCGTCTCCACTTATCATGCTGGTCAAAACACCACAGTTCATTGACACCTGCTGTCCAGAAATAACTACGCTTCAGCCGGCGTTTTCGACGTCCTTTTACTTCGTCTGGATGGTGTAGATTCATGTAGTCTAGTATTACCTGCCTAGTATACTAACGTCCTTGTGACTGCCACTGTGTGAAAAGTGAAACAACTTACCGAGGCACCATCACCCTTTCCTCTTGTCGCAAAGTCACTCTCATATCGTGTGACCCCTGGTGAGGGAACCGCTCACGAACACGTTCAATGGTAGGCCCCACACTATCAACTGAGTGTGCCTGGCCCCGAGCACTCTTCAAGCCCCAAACCATCCGTTTTTTCTTCAGTAAAGCGAGACTATAGTTAATCAAATGTGTCAGTGTATTGTAGTATTACAGCTAGAAGGCTTACGAAAATGAGTAGCGGTCCGTGTCATAGTAGTCCTTGAGTTTAGTGACAATTTCTGGATTTGTGTATCCATCTGCGACGAATTGTTCCACCAATGGTCGGATTAAAATGTCTGGAGCTGTGAGAAAAGGACAGAAAGTGAGCATTACACCCTTGGAGTGTCGTTTATGCAAGCCTACCAGGGGATACCTTATACCCATTGGTACCTTGAGGGTTAGGCATGGCCTGCAGGGCGTTGACAGTCCTGGATAGCGTTAGCACTTGGCTGATGCACGTGGGGCACTGCAATTTGAACACTCACCTATAGGATGCACAGTCCAATAGTACACTTCCTATTTGATCCACAGCCTGTTCAGTGTAAGCAGTGGAGTCAGTTCTTCAAGTGATCCTATGGGCAGAAAGGATATGGAAGATCCGCTCAATAGACACTTGGATACGCACTTCAGACAAAACCGTAAGGCTAATCAGATCGTGTTTGCACGCAATTCATTTAACCGGTGCCTGCCTCTTCCTCATTTGTTTTCACTGACATTATCTCCGCAAAGATCTCCCATCTCCTCATGTCAATTTGCAATCACCAGCTTTGACATATCCATATTGATCCTTGTCCGCGTGTTGTTCGAGGATGGCCCATTGGTGAGTCGCCAGCCACTCAGATTGGCAAAGTCCTCATTGTTATCTTTGTGCCGAGGAGTTCTCAAATTTGACTCGACTCGACCCAAATCCATTCGGACTACAACTCATCTTCAAGGATCCATATAAACTACACCAGGAATGGGGGGAGAACAGTAAGTAAATTAGCCGCCATGGACTTCACACCCACTATCGAAGGCCCACCAACTAAAAGTTGTCATCGTTGTCGTACAGAATTTGATAAGTCTGTCCGGTTCTTGTATATCAAGGGTAGGGATGGGACCGGTCGCCACTGCTGTTCAGATTGCGTCGAGCATTATCAGCGCAAGCGTGCGGAAACTGGAGAACGTCATGGTCATAGTACCAGTGCAATATCTGGTGAAATTGTCGGTATGTCTGATTGTCTTCTGTAATTCAATGTATATGTTAAGGATCAAATCTAGATTTCACGAAAGTGGCTTCCCGGGCACATGGTGTTGATGCCGACTCGCGCCAGGCTCTTGTCAAGGCTTCTTCGGCCGCACAACGTGGCGGTGAGTAAAATTTCCAGCTCACCTGTGCGTGTTCAAGTTACTTACCAAACACACATTATGAAATCCCAGAACAGTCATTCCCTAGGCAGCATATTGGGGTGGGACATGCTACATCTAGCGTTATGCCTCCCCCTCTTATCCCCTCGTCTGCTAGTGTCAGTGCTGATAGCGTCTCCCAAGCCATAGGATATACTCAGAACCATGCATTCCACGCCCACCACCGCACGAAAATGCTAGCATCAACAGTAGCTCCTCAACGTCAAGTCACAATCCGGATAGCTCTCCATCATGTGAAGGACGAAGGAAAATCTGGAACAGAGCTGGTTGGGGTGAGTCTTTGGGTACTTCAATATTTCAAGGATACTCACATGTACTATTATTTGAGAATATTGAACGAGACATTACAGTACCGCTCTCTATTAAATGTGGCCAACTACGCAACATAGTGATTGAACACCTGAAGCGTTTGTGGGTGGTCTGGTCTTGTGACCATCAGCTGGCACTCGAGTCTTTACAGATGCTGAAGGCTCCATTACTCCTCATTTACGACCCCGAAGAGCCTCATCAATACTCTGAGCGGCTGGTCCTTCACGATTTTTTCTTCCGCACATCAGCAAAGGACAACATGCCCAAGTTTTCACCAAACGTGAAAGTTCCCATCATTCTCTTGATGTCAAAGGAGGAATTTGAAGATGTCTTGCTATGGAAGGAAGAAGATAGGCATGCCAAAGCACGCTCACGCAATGAAGAGGTTCAGAGCCCCGGAATATCGTCAGACGATGATGATATTGGTGGTCCGATGGACAAGGTTATACATTTTACTTACTTTTACTGCGCTATACTTACAGCAACTGGCCTTACTAGATATTCCTTGCAGCAACACGTGGTGGGAAACGAGCTAGAAAGACTCGTGTGCGAAAGGCGCCAGGCCAATCTTCCATCCCCGCACGTGAGTCGGTATCTGTGCGTTCAAAAGCACCAGTGTCAGAGGAGGTATGCCAATGGCCCTCACATTATTGGAGACGATACTTACCACATGTAGGGTGAATATGACAGTCGTAGTAACAATACACGCAGCACAGCATCAATGTCAAGCCTATTCCACAGCAAACACTCCATCAAGACGTCTGAACTACGCCCCCTCACTCCCTCAAGCTCTAGCAGCCAATCACTGCCCTCAAGACTTTTCTCCAAGGCTGCTACTAATCCCAATATCCCGCCATTCAGCATGCCTGACAAGGCAGTTCTTGAGCGTGTCATGAAGGCACAAGGAGATGTTCGACGCCTAGCAAAGCCGATATGTAAGTCAACCTATATTTCTATCTAAAACATCTATTAACGTGCTAGTGAAGTAAATACGGACATAGGAATCTATGTCCTGTTCCTCGTCCCTTCGATCCCATTCACTGAGCTTCTAAAGAAGCGGGTCCCTTTCGATGTCATGAGCAAGGTCAATCGCCCTCTAGTCACTTTAACAGTTGACTGCAGCTCAAAAGCAATGCTGGGGCCAGCCGGTAGCTTCAAGACATGCCACCCAGCGTCATATGATCTAACTGAAGCTCTGCCAGCAGAGGAAAATATTCTACAGGTAGAGGCTATAGTAGCAAAACGTTGCTTTTACAGAGAAACAGTACAGGGAGCCGAAAAGAGTGGTACACCATCAAGTCCTTCAGGCGGGCGCAAACGACTGGCCATCAAGGATGAGCTAATGAAGATGCTCGACGAGGCTAACTGCCTTTACTGGGCAACAAGCCTGTTGGCTTTAGTTTATAACTTCGTCGACGACAAGCTTATTCGAAGGCCCCTTGACTGTCCTCCCCCGGCAATCCCCCGACTTCGAGTCGTCCACGCCGCTTTGGCCATCCCCCAAGACAGCAGAGAGTTGCGTAATGCCGTTTATCTTCTCGAGGAGAAGATAAACGGTAACTTCGTGAAGTATATCAATAACAATAGTGCAGCTCCTCGGCACAAACTTGCTCCGCCTGAACTGGAGATTGCAACCTTCCTATGCTTCGCACAACACACTCAATATCATTTCTCGCAAGGCCTTGTGTTCATCTCAGATTTTCAAGGTAAGTTAATATAAGCTAGTCTCTTTTGCTTTCCTTTTCGTACTTACATTTGACTTGTCAGGGTCCGGTGGAATATTGACTGACTGCCAGGTTATCACTACCAAGTAAGGCTCTATTACCTCCATGTGGTTGGTTCTCATCCTTTCCCAGAGACTTTGCCGATAATTTTGGCGAAGGAAACTGGACGGCGACGTTAGACAACTTCCCCTTGTTGCACAAATGCAACCAGTATTGTGTATATTTCGGACTCCCTTCCTTGCAGACAGCAGTATGTTTTCTTTTTCTGATGGATCCTTTCTACTACATCTCATGTCACCTCTTTTTTCACAGAGTTCGGCTACAAAGATGAGAACATCACAAGAGATTGACATCATGTCCAGTCGTGTTCGTGGCTGAGAGGGATTTTTTTTTACATGACATGTACTTACTGTATCGCTTGAAATCCTATGTTGACATGTTGAATTGCACGCTCGCTCGATCTCTCATCACACTGGCTTTTGCCCAAATCACACTCGCTGGATCAAAGAAATTAATTAAAATGTATTTTCGTTGATCGCCCATCAAAGGCCTTGCTCGAATTTTGCTAAATACAAATATAATAGCTGAAGGTACATCGGATTTTGAAAAATATTATGCCGGACATTGGCCGGGCTCGAAAGTTGAGCCGTAACCAATCATCCACCGTAAGATATACCCCTTCCTTGATATTGACGCTACCGAGATGATGTACCTTCAGCGCATATAATAGCAGCATCCTTTTGTTCGGTGGTTAACTCAGACGCAATATTTTGTCCTCCCCTCCCCCTTGAATGGCAGCCATTATCTATCTCACCGTTTACTTCCTTCTCTCTATCTCCGCACTAGAGTTTATCAGGCGTTTGGCAAAAAAATCATTCCACAGTCACAAGCCACTACTGCCGCCCGGTCCTTCGCCTCTCCATATAGTGGGAAATGTGCTTCAGATCGACACTCAAGAGCCCTGGATCACTTACACGAACTGGGGAAAGACATATGGTATTTCTTGCCCCTCTTCGTACCTATGCATGCCTAAAGTATCTTCTTCGATGATGGCTGAAAGGTGATATCGTCTACTCCCGTTTTCTCAACCAGGACGTTATTATTATCAATTCAGAGAGAGTGGCCAAAGATCTTTTGGACCTTCGCTCGAAGAATTACTCTGACAAGCCGGTCGTGGCTTCTCTTGAGATGTGAGTGCACCATACGTCTAAAGCTCCTACAATATTCCATCGTAGCGATATTTGACAGATTTGGATGGTCGTGGAACACGATTGCACTCAACTATGGCGACACTTGGCGACAGCATAGGCGGGTGTACCACCAGGCTTTTCGAGCAGAAGCAGCGTCCAAGTACCGTCCTCTTCAAATGCGCAAAGTGCACCAGTTATTGATCAACTTGCTCGAGGCACCCGATGCATTTGCCACTCACTTCAGCACGTATGTCTCCTGGATGAAATACCTCGTCAAGGCTCCCCGTGCATACTTACTTCCACAGACTGTCTGCATCGATTATCATGGCCGTCACGTACGGCTACCATCCATTGCCCCGTAACGACCCTCTTGTGACACTTTGCGATACCGCAGTCGCACTAGGTAACGAGATACTGACACCCGAGAAGAGCATCATACTTGGCGCTTTTCCATTCTGTAAGGGTTTTTTTCACCCAAGCATCATAGCTATCCATCGCTGTCGTTTATACACTTATATCCCATACAGTGCAGCGTATTCCTGCATGGTTTCCTGGGAGCATCAAGCCAAGGATCCTAAGGTGCCGCAGGCTGACTTCAAAGATGGTCGAAACGACATTCCAGTACGCCAAAAACAACATAGTAAGTTTAATCATGATCCTTCTTGACGGTTTCTCGGTATTGAGTCTAGCATAGGCCTCTAACACAGCAGTTAAATGCATGGTCTCTGATGTACTCGGCCGCGGAAAAGGCGACGATCCTCAGCTCGAGCAGGTTCTTAAAAATGCTTCCGCCACTGCATACGGAGGTGAGGCGCCAAATGAACGATCATCCTTTAGTGCTGTTTTAATTGATATATGCCAATATCCCTCACCTCGTACAGCTGGATCAGACACTGTAAGATATGCAGTCTTCGACTGTGGCATCTCGATTGAGATTATCGCCTAGACCTCATCATCGTTGCTCATATTCGTACTTGCTATGGTACTTTACCCGCACGTTCAGGAGCGAGCTCAAGCAGAGATTGACGCTGTCGTAGGCCGCGATAGGCTTCCTCGATTTGATGATAGGCCTTCATTGCCATACATTGAAGCAATCCTTCGCGAGACCCTTAGATGGCACCCTGTCACACCATTGGGTAAGTGCCCCCTTCACCGACGTGGCCAGAGTCCTTGCTACTAGCGTAACATCTATTCAACAAGGTGCTGCACATGCTGCCACAAATGCCGATGTGTATGAAGGATATCACATCCCCAAAGGTTCGTGCAGATCAAAACACGTAAGTTATGCAGTATTTCATCTTATCCATCGTTCTGCAGGTGCAACGGTGATCCCAAACGTATGGTCAGCCGTCTTTCACTCCATGCACCATCATCAGGTAAGCTAACGTAGTTTTGCGCCATAGGGCAATGTCGCAGAACGAAGAGAAGTACCCAAATGCATCGGAATTCAAGCCGGAAAGATTTATCACCCCAGATGGCAAATTCGTAGAGGACAGTGTTAGTTATGCATTTGGCTTTGGAAGGCGCATCTGTGTAGGCCGTCACGTCGCCGACGCATCAATCTGGGCAGGAATGGTGTCCATGTTGTCCATATTTAGGTTTAAGAACCTCAAAGATGAAGACGGAAAAGATATAAAAGTGAACCCACAATGGGTCACTGGGTTGACCGCGTGAGTGTTGTGCAGCTTCGCTGGCTATCCTTTTTTTTACTATCATGCGGTAGTCACCCAGTGTTCAAGTGCTCTGTTGAGCCACGCTTTCCAGAACTGAGTTCGGCCAGTCTCGAGCAGATGATAACGAGTCATGAAATTTACGCCTAATAACTGACGAGGCTGTATAAAAGATGTCGACAAAATAAATGTTTGTGCAAAATCAGCATCGTACGAATACATGAATATGAATGAACTTTAGCATCAGTCTTACAACTAGAATATTACGTGCCTCTATCAGCAAGCTAGCGTTTAATAGATAGAACACCACAGTACCAAAACTAGAAGACCTCACTGGAGAACTTTGAATCAACGTCAGGTTAATGTGCAGGTATTTCATGAATTAGAGCTTCAGCCTCTGGAGAACGAGGTGTGATTGAGCATTTGAACGGAGCTGGGTGCCTGTAAATGAAACGAAAGCCGGTTATTATTATTAGTCGTTAGAGCAGGACAAATGACTTTGCCACTCACGATATGGCGCCTGCAAGGCCTTCAAGGGTGGGGACGATCTCTACTCCGTTCTCAACCGATTTCGTGACGTTGAAAACTGCAAGAGTCGTTACACACGTGATAAAGATCGATGCATCTGCGAGGTGCATGCCTGCCACAAATTGTGTAGCAACAGTTACAAATCACGAAAAATTGCACATACCTGGACAGATCCTGTAGTATGGCTTCGTAAGATGGTCAGCGTAATGTAAAGATGAATAAGTGCAAACCGTCTGCCATATCCAAAGGCAACAGTCCGAGGATCAAGCTCAGGGTGATCCCCCAAGAACCTCTCTGGTTTGAAGAGATCAGGTTCACTGTAGTTTTGTTTATTGTGAAGTATTCCCCTAAAACATACACGGTAATGAGAAGTAATGTTGTGTCAAGATGAAAGACCTAATCATTACCAAATGTTGACAAGGACGTAAGACCCTTTTGGAATGAGATACCCATTATGAATGTCGTCCTTCGTAGACGCGTGAGGGATGGCTAGACAGATATGGAAGTTTCTAGGTCAGGATGTAACCTTGCAGCAAGTAAATTAGCAAATATACATAGAGGTGCCACAGTGTGCCAACGCATGACTTCCTTCGACAAGGCTTCGACATATGGAAGAGCAGCGCGATCAGCCAAAGTGGGTAACCTATCACTGCCGATAACAGCATCGATTTCGGCTTGAGCCGCCTTTTGAGTTTCAGGGTGTAGCGTCATAGCGAGGAAGAATGAGTATAGCGCGGAGACAGTCTAAAAACGTAGCTATTTTCACGTCTGCCAGATTAAACAAATAAGCAACCAACCGTTTCTGCGCCAGCTGAACAAGTTTATACTTAGTTGCGGAAACCTTACTTCTAATTAGAGTACATACCGCTATACATCGCAGCGGCAGACCACTTAATAGCGTGCTCGTCATTACCAGACAAATTTGCTTCTCCAAGTAAACTAGAAACGAATGAGAAGGGAGCAATGCCGGCAGCCTAACTCAAAAGGATTTTTGAAGAAGCAAGTTGTCAGTCTCAAGTTAGTATATTGAAGCTCCTTGACATTTCACTTGCCATCTGGTCCTTCACAAACTGATGAAGTCCGTCGACGGCTTGATACAACGTTGCTTTGTACTCTTTGGCGGTCTTCTGGAAGCTGGCGCCTGGAACCCATTCCGGGACATGTTTCACTGGAAGCAAAAAAATCTAGAACTGCCTGCACATATAATAAAGAGGACCAACAGAACGGTAAGAAGTCAACTAGATAGGCACCAGCGACGGTCATTTCCGAGAATTGAGAGAGTAGATTGTCGGCCATTTTAACCCAGGGGTCATGGTCACCCTGCACGTCATAACCGTATGATATGCTTAAAATTATTGAATCTGCTGTCCTTTGTGCGATTTTATGAGTTTTTTTTGAGGGAGATCATTGACTGAAACAACAACTTACTTGCGAATGTGCGTGCTCAGATCGTTGGGATTCTTCAAAATATCTTGTAAGAAGCGATATGTCAGACGCTCCTCCACGGGATGGAAATTTTGCATTAGCGCACGACTTCCGATTAGGCGATGAAAATATCGTCTATATTTGCGCAAGGTTTCACCATATCCTAGTAAAATGAGTGTATCCTTCCATCCAGCAAGGTCGCCAGCCATGGTGAGTCGAGGTCTGTCAGAGTATATAGCACCCTTCTTGTCCAAAATATCGATCGCTAATTCTGCAGAGTTGATGACAATGAACCTGCGTCCTAAGATGTGGAAGGACAAAAGGTCTCCTAGACGAATGTGAGTAGAGTACAACACAAACACCAATGAAATGATGAACATGCCATATTTCTTTTGCCAATCTGAAAATGCAAACCACGATTTATCAATAGGCACGTTGAAGATGTTCCCTACGATGGGGAGTGGTCTAGGGCCTGGCGGTAGTGGCTTAGAAGGCTTCAGGCTGAATAGTTGCTTGATGAGAAAGACTGCGAGGGCAGCCAAACACCAGTCCAAAAGCTTGAGATACATTAAATTTATCTGGAGATAACAGACCAGGAGTTCAAAAGGAGGTTTGCTACTCAGTGGTGTAGGAAAGTATATTTTGGCGAGGTTTATTAGGAACAAACGATTTCAAGCCTACTTATGTGCAAAAATACAAACGCATCCAACTAGTATTGCTCAATTGTAAGACACCACGGGCAGGACCGGGCAACAGACAAGCTGGATGGAGCACGAGGGGCAGGCGACGAATGACTGGCCGTTTAAACTCACACGGTCTTGCACTAAGTGTCGTAAGCAACCCAAGCCGAGGATAAATTTACCGCCGGCCGTAAAGTCATCAAATACAATCAAGCTACCATATCCAACTTCATTGATAACGGTTCTGACCAACAATATGTGTACCATATGATATCTGTATGGTGCTAGTCAGCCTTATGAGTAACCCATATATCGACAGCAGTAGTACATAATATTTGTATGGTTCTGGCCAGCCATATGAACAAACCACATATCAGAAAGCAGAACCATATGTTACCATATAATATTTGTATGGATCTGGTCCACCATATGGTTTTTTATGGTTCTCACTGGCCATATAAGCAACATTTCAGTTGACAGTACCATATGATATCTGTAGAGATGTGGTGCACCATATGAGTGACCTGCGTATCATATGTCAGCACCATATGGTTTTGTATGGTTCTCACCAGCCATATAAGCAATTGACATATCAGTCAACAGTACCATATGATATCTATATGGTTCTCACTGACCATACAGGCAAATCACATATTGGATAGTAGAACCATATGAGCGACCTGCGTATCATATGTCAGCACCATATGGTGTTGTAGGGTTCTAGCCAGCCATATCAGCACTTGACATATCAGTCAGCAGTACCATATGATATCTGTATGGTTCTCACTGACATATGAGCAACTCACATATTGGATAGTAGCACCATATAATATTTGTATGGATCCCGTGTACCATATGATATCTGTATGGTTCTCACTGACCATACAGGCAACCCACATATTGGATAGTAGCACCATGTATGGTTATAACTGACAATATGGGTAGCCTCTATATTGCATAGCAGCACCATATGGACATTGTACGGTTCTGGTGAGCCATATGAACAACCCATATATTGGACAGCAATACCATATAATATCTATATAGTTTTAGCTATGTATATCCCCAACCCGCGTATGAGACAATAATCCTGTGTTCAATCCCTGCCTACTGCATGCCAGTTTTTTGGTATGGGCCGAGACTCTGGCGCTGTAGGCAGTCGTTCGACTCCCGCGGTTTCCAAACATTTTTTTTCTTGGTAGTCAATGTGTCACTCCACTTCATCATTCAATCTTGATCAAGTGTAACAACCTAGAGTTTGTATACTCTGGTGCACAACTAGAACTAACTATAAAGGTAGTGAGGGGAGTGGTTACCCTTAGGATAGGACCGAGTTAGTTGTGGGTAAACAACAGGAGGACTCGCTGAGGAGTCTCTAGGATCTATTGCAGTATATATACTACTACAGATTGTTTAAGGCAGTGGCTGATGATGTCAGAGGGTGCAGCCCATGTGACCAGCTCCACTGCGTGAAAGACTTGCGTTACGATCTCTATTGGACATTTAAGGACTACTCATTTCTTTTTACTCATTGGTTATACCACCGGACCGATGACTCATTTCCTTCACATACACTTCCGTTCCTCTCGCATTCACAGTACCTATTATAGTACTTAGTCCTCAACAGACGGGCCTGCCCTAGATAGGACCTAACTCCTATCACCGATTCCTTTCCATTATAAATACCATGTAACAGCAGTAGTATTCTCTAATACGATTCTACGCAGTTTACGCTTACAAAGCTAGACTCCTAAGATCAGACTTCTATTCAGAAGAAGACCAACTCCCATTGGAAAACCTCCACTCAGAACTACGTTCTCGAACTTGTCTTCGGATAAGTCTCTTTACAAACCTCGACGAACCCTCAGACTTTGTTAAGCACTTCGTGCGTAACAAAAGAATCATATTCTAACCAGTCTTGAATCTGGGTGCGTCCTAATTTCTCTTTTTCTGTGAGTGAACTTTGCTATTAGCTAGCCATCAATAACTTCAACATATCATATTCTTCTTACCTTGTAGAGGGCAATTTTTTCTGTAACTTCCACTACCCACATCTGTCTTTGATTTCTTATTATTTCTTCCATCAGATTCATCGTTGTTGTTGTCGTCATGACATATCTGTCGTTTCTTAGCCCGCTCCATTTTTTTTTTTTTAACTCTGCAGGCTCGGCCATAGTCTTTGCCAGCTGGTCCTCGAGTATAGTGCATTCCCCTGCTTTGATCTCACCCTGGCACCTGCTAATATCTTTTGTCACTTTTTGCGGTTGGATATGGCTTGTTGCTCCTTCAGGTTGTGGCGTTTTCTCTGTCAATTTATCGGCTGGCAGCGTGTTGCTATCCACTTGGTCATCAATGCTAACGGCCTCGCCTGTCATATGAGACCTGTTGGCATTTTTTGTCTGTTCTGTGCTGGCCTTTGAGGCAGCAGAGTTGTCTATCGCTGGAGTCTTTGTAAGTCTTTCATCTCTTATTGTAGCCAGGCTCACATACCTTTCGCAATCCCACTGTCTTCTTGATCTCGCCCTTCTCCAGCTGAAGCTAGGCCTTCCCTCGACTCTTGGTCATCAACGCTCATAGCTTCATCTTCTATAGAATGCCCATAGTCCTAGCTCGCCATTTGGTTGTCAAAATTTGTGCCCTCGCCTCCTGTAGGAGGCCCATTGGTCGTGGTCAAGCCCCCCTGTGCCATGGCTTTAGAGGCTGAGATGTTGTTGATGGCTGGTCAATTGGTAAGTTTCTCATGTTTGCTCATTGTCAAAGAGTTGAATACCTTTGATGTGTTCAATCTTTGCCTTCAGCATGAACATGGTCCTCTTCAAATCCTTAACCTGCCCTTCCGTCATTTCCTGTGATTCTAAAACAAAAATCAGTTACATTGCTGTCATTGACAAAATCGCAACTACGTACGTTTGCCTCCTCCTTTCTTTTTGAGTCCAGCTTTCAAATTTATTTCAGCAAGTTTGGCCTCCTTTTTTTTAATGTCGCTCACTACTTTGACCAGCTCTTGCTCCAAATGTTGCAGGTTAGAGTCTAGTTTTGCACCTCGTGGCTTAGATATCGTCTAATATCAATCATTCAGTGTTACCTACCTGTGTTGTCATTGTCATCAAGCATCATTGCCATTTTGAAATGGCAGCAATAGCAGTAGGAAAGACAAAAAAGCGGGGGAAGCTACACCATCGCACCACCACATCAAACATTAAATATTTATTGTACATCATTTGGTTTTTCCCTCTAATACTCAACTATGGTTGGAACTAATGATATTTTCAGATTGCCGTTAATGCCTGCGAGTGAAACACGATTGTCAGCACTCACCATACCTTGTAAATTTACGGGCGTCGGCACAAACTTCCAAAATAATATGGCCAAGAAGCTCTAGCCAGGCCCGCGCACCATCCATGTGCTTCCCAAACTCAGCAGCAGGAAGAAATACGAGTTTGAATAAAAGATTCCATGTGGTCCGTCCCACTTGCCATCACATGTCCTCTTGCGCATACAAATGAATCATTAGAACATGGAAGCTGGGGGCTGGGGCGAGAGACATTGATGGCAGGATGTTCTAGTACAGCTTTACGATTATCAGAACAAATACACTATAGCAAAGAAGATCAAACTTTATATCATCAGAGGCTTGGACATATTACCTGGAGAATTTGAATGTCACGATCCTCAACTCCGCAACCTACAGTTTCATCCTATCTATCAAACTCTGAAGTAGAAACACTCATATCGCCATATCTAATTATGTAACAATATTTATCTTATCTTGTCACGTGACTCTAAAGTCATATGACCACTTACTCATCTACTTACTCATCAGCCATGCACAATCCTCATGTTTCTCAGTCAGCACCTCAAGGCTGACATATTCCTCTACATATATAAGTAGCTAGTTTCCCTTGTACATACCTCAGCTTTCGATTTCATCTAAATATACCAAGTTCAACTACCTGCTAGTAGATTGACGTTATCACTCTGTTGGTTCAGAATAGTGAGAACATTATATTGAAGGTATGTACAATATTTCACGAGCATGACGAGATCATTAATGATCTACCAGGATCTACCCAGCCCATGCAACTTTGCACTTGAAGTGACTGCACACGCTTTGGATGTAACTGATTGATTAGGGAAGACTATCACGCCAATCTCATCCATAGTGACCGTGCACAGCTGTGCACACTTTCACAGCTGATCGATTGGGGAAGACTATGACACATCTTGTCCGATCATCAGATAGCTGTACTACTGTACTACTGAATGCTTTTGCCCGTGCAACCAAAATTTGGATATAGACTCATCCAATTGGGATATCGCTACGGCACCATCATGTTATCCCATATCGTAGTAGAGCTGGAAATGACTACAGCGGCAGGACTTAACAAGGTAGCGGGTAAGGTTTACCATCCAAGACTTTTGAACAGGCCATAAATATTGATTATCCAACAACTACAACAGTTACATCCACTACAATCACTGAAAATAATGACAACAGAACCACAACAACAACCATGACAATAACCATGACAACAACCACGATAATAACCACCACGACAACCATGATACCAACCATGACACCAACCAAGACACCAACCAAGACACCAACCACTATACCAACCACAACACCAATGTCACCTCTTACTAATGTTAGCCAGCACAACATGTGAGTTGAAATTATCACTAAATAACCCTTTCATTTTACCATCTTGGAACTAACCTTACATATCAGTTCAGCTATGTTCGACTTCAAAGCTTTTAGGTCTGATACGGTTCATCGGACAATATCACTGATTTTTCCTTCTCAACCCTGGGTCCCTGATCACACAGAAATAGCGGCAGGAGCACATCCATGGTCACACCTATGTAAAAGTTAACTGGGCCTTGTGTGGATTGAGAAATGTTTGATCAACACCAAACACAACACCAACCACGTATTCTCATTTGGTCAATGGTTTGTTCACGCATAGATACGGTGATCACATCACAGTTATATCAAAATCAATATATCAGAGTGTAATACAAATCACTATTTACAAACCGAGTCTAGCCTTGTACTCTGAAATCAATGCATCTTTTTGTGCCATCTCCAATTGGGTCTCCACTAGTTGATTTTCGGCCTGTGCTCGTGACTGATTCACTTCAGATAATTTTTGGGATAGCTCAATAGCATCCAGTCACCGTGCGTTGATGAGATTATTGATAGTATTTGAGAATATGTTAATAATATCCATGGTCTCGGACTTGGCCTCACGTTGAAGTCGGGGGGAAGTATAATGGATGAAATGAGTGTTGGCTTGAGGATGCTGAGCTGCTACAAAGAGCCAGCAGTTGGTTTCATGGCATACACATTCAGCATAAATTTTGTTGTTATTCCGAGCTTTAAATGTGAAAAAAAAACTTACCCGCGCAATAATGTCGAACATGAGACACAAGAAATGTGCAAAAGCTTGTCTTGAGCATGTTTGCAGAGGTCGCAAGTGTGCTGTGCAAAGTATGGCTTGATAACAATGTGAGTAAATTGTATTTACCCAGATAAATTGACACTGACACCATTCATTTGCTCCCCTCTTAGCTCCTTCTACACAACCATAAAGTGGATTTCTGGTTGACACGCGCTGGCGTGAACGACAGGACCATGGTAACTACTGCCGGTTAGGTCAGACAGCAATCCCGCCTCTGTTTCCTGCGAGAAATATGACCGGGGGGTTACTGGCTCCAGGATGTCAGAGACTGAAGATGTATTGAAAGGGACGGGTGGACTTCCCAGCCTGTCAAGCGGGAAGAGATTGATGTCAACTTTGGCGCATCGGGGGGAGCAGGTAAGTCAGTCATGTGCAATTGTGGAGAGCGGCGTAGGGGTTGTGCTCTCTGCTTCGGTGTCACAGATTGAGGAGGTACGAACTAGGCTAGGATTGCTCTGATGGTCAAGTTGGAGGAGGGCTGGGTCGATGTTCAAGGTATCAGGAGGGGCGAGAGGGGGTGGTGGGCAAGGTATGGCCATCTGCGAGGCGAGTGTAGCTTGGCCATACAATGTGGCACAGTCCGAGTCCTCTTGCTGGTAGTCTACAGGTTGTGTAGAAGAAGCTGGTAGGGAAGGCCCAAGGAGATTGACAGAGGGGTGACTACCGGGACTGCTTGATGAGCTTAGTCCAGTATTCACGTCTGTCCGTCGCTATGCAAGTCTCTGAGATTGTGAGATAACATACAAGAACAGCAAAAACTCATGTGTTCAAGATACCTCCTCCCTGCCTTTGTATGCTGGCATAATGCCAAGGGTGGATTTCTGGCGCATCTGCGACATTGTTGGATTTGTTTGTCGCCACTGGAGGCTGCCATTGTTCAACAAAGAGCTGGAGGATGTGTTGCGTGGTTGAAAAACCATAAAATTGGATTGTTGGATTATATATTGCAGCTGATGAAAATTTTCAGGTGGTGGCGCTAAAAAGTGGTCAAGAATGATGTAGGACGACTTACTTGATGAATGGTGCGGTGAGGACATATGTAGAGTTTGCTTGCCGAAACCATTTGGAGGTTTGGCTACATTAGGAAAATGGAATGTAGCATAGCTTTAGACTCAGAGATAGAAGAACAGCAAAAAAAAAACTTATTGGGAATCAAGCCCAAACCCTTGAAGTTCAACTTGAACATGGCCAAAGCGAATAGACCACACAACCAGGTTACAGTATCAACACCTCCGCCATCTCCCTCACAATGTACAATACAGTTATCACCTAGTGTTATCTCGAGCCCTGGTAAAAGTCTTCAAGACCGGACTTTGTTCACAGGTGTGCTAGGACAGGCCTTGATCTCAGCACCCTCCACTGACAGTACTAGCGACAAAGATGGAACATACCTTTTTGCGACGTCAACGCTCACACCTCAAAAATGCGTGCGTTTCTATCTCAAACTGAGGCTCATCAAGACTAGGACTCGGGGGCTCAAAACAAAGCACATAGGCGACAATGACCTGGACCAGCCAAACTTTGATCATGTTGATGACAACCACGAGCCATCATTTCCCAATTTGCCCATGTCCCAGTGATCGGTCAACAATCATGGTATCGACCTCGGGGAATCTAGTTACAAAACTTTTGTCAATCTAGCATTGTCGGAATGTCTTCCCATCTATCAAATCACCCGTACCATTTTTGTTGTCCAAGGATGGGATCCTAAAAGTACATGCACGGTAAGTAAATGTGACTTGATTATCACCATACTATGAGGAGACTAACCAATCCACAATTTGGAACAGGGTGTGTTTTACCACCTTCAAATGAAGAAAATAGGCTCAGAATTGGTGGTTGTTTGCTTCTGCCCTAAAGCCAATGAATGCGTCCACATTCAATTTTTCGAGGAGTGTGGGGAAGAGTTTTTCCCTGTAGATGAGGCTACATTCACTTATAACGGTATGTTATGTACAATTTTCTTGATGCTCTCATTGCTAAAATTTTCAAGACGAAGAATCCGCCATCTTGTTTTCTCGACAGCCTGTCAATGACAACACATCTACAAATATGTTCTCGGTGGTGCTGTTGAACCAGCCTTCTGCAAAAAACTGCACGTCCATTTTGCATACTGGTTTGGACAGAGGAGAAGGGCAGTGGAATTGTATTAAGGATAGGACTAGTAGCTGTCCCCATGTAGTACAAGCTTGTCACCAACTTCAGAAACTTCTTACTGGTGATCCTAATGTGAGGGACAGCTATGTGTTACAATAACACAATTTTCGGACCTTTCCTTTAATTTTCATTTTCCGCTTTAACCTTTTACTATAGTTCACACTCCGTGCCATACAGCACTTTCCTTTTTCGTTCTAACTCCACCTTCTCGCGCAGCGCTGCCTTTATTCTTCTTTTAGACTCAAACTCTCTCACGCAGTGGAGCTGGTCACACAGGCTGCGCCCTCTGACATCATCAGCCACTGCTTTTATCAACTGTACAGTACATAGGTACAAACACTCTGTATTAGTATAAATACCCCAATAGATCAAGGAGACTCCTCAGCGAGTCCTCCTGTTGTATACCAACAAACTCTCTGCAGCTTAAGGGGTAACCACTCCCTCATCACTACCTTTATAGTGTGTTCTTGTGTGCACCAGAGTAACTAACTCTTGGTTGTTACAGCTACTCTCTACTAGTAGCCAAGCTAGAATGATACCTTGGTAGAGTAGCAAGACTTTAAAAAATTTGTGCAGCATTGTCGGCACTGTGTGACACAGTGATGAGGTGTTGCCACCACTGTGTCACACAATGTGGTGACAGGGAGGGAGGTGCAACTGCGCTGCAGCACAGTAGCGCTTTCCCACAGTTGACAAAACACTATAGAGAGGTTTGACCGCTTTTTGGGATATTTAAGCTCCGATTGAACACTTTCCCACGTGTTGAGCCAGCCACTTTGCTCACATATGTCTCAAAAAGCACTTCAAATTTTGGCTTCAAGGATAAATTCACGCTGGCTAACTTAGCATGTACATACAAGATAGCCAGCAAAATTCTACACTAGATATATTTAGTAGTGTTGATTGATATAACTAGTATCCTCATTAATTATGACTCTAGGTAATAAATAATTAAATTTGGTATAGTGTCACTAAATGCTTTAATCCACTCTGATATGCTTTAGGTGGAACTAATTACTATACGTGCCACAGCTGCCAAATTTATTCCAATATGATTCACTATAAACTGATATAGATCACTTTAGATGTACTTTTTGCCACAATCGCTATATTTGCATAATTACCTATCCATATCCAACTATAGCAAAATCATGTTTTCCTGATGTAAGGCCAGTTGTTTAGGATGAGCTGTAGCTTTGACAGAAAGATCTAAGGACAATTGGCATTTTGATGAAGTCAGCATATCTGAGGGGGTGTGAGGAACAAAGAGCAAGGATGGATCAATGCCCATGTCCTGTACAAGGGCCAGCGGCTCGTTGAGAGCAAGCTTGCACAGGTCCTCTGCAGTAACTTCAGCCTCCAAGCCACATTCAGCATAATTGTAGTTTTGATCTTCTGTCTTTAGAAGACCTCCAAATGTCTTGGTATGTGCGGAGTGAACAAGGCCAAATGTCTCGCTACTGTTGGGAATATGGAGAATGGGCCTGGGCTGTAAATTACCTCCATAAAGAGGAGCGCTCTTCTCCTTCATGATCATGGTGTTCCAGAGCTGAGCTATGTGATCGACAAGACGGATGTGGTGGCAGCCATAACTGGACATGACAAGTGGAGGAAGAGTTGCACTGCTGTGAGTAATATGCAAGTTCCTGCGAAGGACATGATCATGCGCTAGCACTGCAAAAACCTCTATACCACTTGTGAATGACCTCATCAAAGAGTTCCAACCCTTTTGAGAGCCTTCAATGCTACTTCCATCTGAATGGATGTCTTGACATGTGCGCTCTAAGCACCCCTTCCTAATGTGATTCAACTGATCAGCATGTACCTGTAGTGTCAATGAAAGATATAATTTGTAGACAGTAAGGTGACAGGTAATTAAAAGGACGTACCTTTGATGATGCAGCTGACCACACACCGCCTTTCTGAGACCATTTTTCAAACACCATCTGAAGACGAACCTCTTGGTCATCCTTAGCTCGATATAGTGCAAGGCCAGTCTTGTCATTGTGTTGAGCTGTTGTAACTAGGATGGCATCTGTGATTTCTTGTGCAACCTGTGGGCGGTTTGGGTTATTTGTTCCATTGATGATTGTCACAAGATACCTGTCAATGGTTATTAGCTGAGTAATCTGATTTGCTTACTAACTACTGACCGCATTATCATATGAAACACGTCCAGAATAACATGGGTGGTGGGCATAGCTCAATGTACTGCACTTTGCACATGGCAGCAATTGTCTGCCACCACCATTTCTGGTAACTGTGCACCAAGCTCCTCACAACAGCCCTTAAGGCCCATCAATAACTCCTCAATTTCAGCATGTGTTTGGGAAAGGCAAAAATGCTAACATTGATCAGCAATACTGATATTTTAAGATACCATTTGTAAACTCACCCAGCTTAAAATCTTGTTTTTCTCATTGATGACAGTAAGTAACCCTCCTCTCAGTGTCTTGGTCTTGATCTGTTTTGAGTCTGTTATCAAAGCTTTTCCAGCAGCCTTGGACGTGTTATCAAGGGACAAACAAATGCCTATCCAACCCAAATCAGCCAATGCCAATTATCACTCGCTAGCCAAAGGCTCACCTGTCAATGTCTTCAAATAATCCTCTGATTCCATCTGTCGAGTACATTTATTAGCCTCAAACAAGATATCAGTAATCAAGTCATTTGTTATAGGTTTATGATTATATGCGCCTGTATCTGTAGGCACTGAGAATTCTTGTAAAGGAGCGCGTGTCTTGAAGAAGGACATGGGGAGGTACCACTTTTGGTAAGTGTTCAAGTACTCCCACACACATTGGTGATACCGCAGTTGATGGAGTCCTTGACCAGAATCAACAACTGTCAGCAAACACACATAGCTCAATAGGTGAGTCAACATACATTTAATGTGTTCAGCAAGTCCTGATGATGTTATACTTGGTTGCAGCTCAACTATTAAATTGAAAAGATCGCGAGTGACCTCACTTCTCTTAAAGAATATTGGGATATCAGCTAAGACAAAATAACAGGTGAGTACCCCAGCCAATTATATATTCTTGCAAGGACAAATACTAACAAGGGAGTTTCCAAAATTCCCACTTCTCCCAAAACAGGTGACTAGTTGTTGCAAAACAATAGTCGCCACCGCTTTCATCATTTTTACAGACCTTGCACTGCAACTGGTACCCTAATGCCAGCTCCTCAACATCTATGACATACAACTCTCTGTGGCCTGTCGCATTCCAGCCATTCCAGAGGACATCTGTCGAGTTGCACTTTGGGCAGCTTGCTATGTTCAGATGATAAAATGGGTGTATAATGTGAAGCAGTTTCAGGTAAGCATGTTCTGGCTTGATATCAGGTCGGGTTTCACGCTTTCCTAGGTGGAAATATGTTGGTAGGGTGAAGTGAGGCCCATAAATAGGTATGTCACCTAGACTTGGTGGTGTACCAGTGTTTTTTCACATTCCCATGCAGCTTGGTTGTTTTGTAGATGTAGTCAACATATTCGACAACACAGGCTTCCCATTAAAATTGAGCCTCCTGGGCCTCTGTGTATGCTCCGCAACCATCTTTCCATCCTTTGGCTTGCTTTTTGACCTAGAGCAAAGGTAAGTAAAATTATCTTCTTTGTATAATATCTCATTTACATTTGTGTCCCACTTAGCTTTGAAAGGCTTTTGTTCAGTAGAAGGTAAGCTGTTTTTTACCAATCTTTTGACAATGTTAGGTTCAAAAACTGCCATTTGGAATAAGCACAAGGATAAAATATGGAGGGAAGATGAGTCTCCAAGTCAAGGTGTGGGGCCAACAAGTGCTGGATGCGAAGGTAAAGCACTCCTATTTAATTTCAATTTCACATTGATTTACTCATTCACCGCTATTTTACACACTAACGGTAACTTGAAACTGACACACTAGGTAAATAAGCTAGAAACCCACTTTCAGCGGCAGCAGAGAATACACACAAGAGGTGACAGACTACCTTTCCAACTTATGGCTTTATGTCGAGAGAAGATGCTAGGTAAATAAACTAGAAGCCCATTTTCAGTAGCAGCAGTGAGAATATGCATAAGAGGTGACAGATTACCTTTCCAACTTGGGGCTTTATGTCAAGAGATATAAGTTACCATTTTATGATACAAATATTACAAGCTGATGCTACATTATTTAACTTGAATTGATAGGAAGTGAGCCCGTATGGACCGACACCCATTAAGGCCTGGTTCATTCCACAGGGCAAAGACCACTTTTACTGGCTTGAAAAATGGAACATCATCAAGTGAGTCTGGGGGACAGCACTTCCCATTTGAATCATAGATGGGTAATATAGAGGTGAGAGAAACCTAAAAAGAAAACTTTAACCGGTGTAATGAAAATATAAAATGTGGCATACACCATTATCTGAAGCAAATTGCCATGAAATTCGTAATAAGCTTCCCTGGTAGCTATAAAACCTTGCTACTAATTCACTAGCATGGGTCTCTGAGTGTGTGTTACACCAAGTAAGTTTTTCAATATGTGAAAGGACTGTTTGCCATTCATCGAAGCTAGGCCCTTCCTCTAAAACCGGCTCTAACCAGCACAAAGCAGTTGGGGCCTGGACAAATTCAGGGTCTTCATCAAATTTTCCCACATCTCCATGTGTCATCAAAAAACACAATTTTGTTGCTATCACACATTCAACCTCCAGTGAAAGCTTGAAGTATACCGGAGGGACTTGAAAATCCTGTAGTGTACCTGTAGCAGAGCAATTGCTTGTTTCAGCCAGCTTCGATTTCAACAAATTTATATGAGTCTATGTCTGCTGTATCTGCCAACTGAGCAGGTAGACATATAAAGTACTCAGAAACATTCTCTCCTGTCGTGAATATGTCAAAGATCTGATTTTTACATGCTAACAAACATACTGTCTATTTCTGAGCTTAATTTTCTAAGCCAAGACCTAACCATTGTTTGAAAGTCTATTATTTCTTGAGTGATCGACATTGGGCTCTGATCCATCAGTGATTAGAACACTGACCGACAGTTTGGTATGTGTAGCGAGGTCGGCTATGGTGATAGACGCTTGAGAAGTGAGAAGCTAGGTACAGGGGACCAGCTAGTCAGTGCTCTGGGCTGACCTCATGCTGCTCTCAGAGACTTCTCTGGCTACTTTTCCAGCCCGCCTTTGGCGGCATCTCTCTTGCTATTACCAATTTTTCCAAAAAAGTAGAGTAAAGTATATGGTCACGTGACTTAGAAAATGAAAAAGTAAAAGTACAGTAAAAGTGAAGTGTGCACTACGGTAGGTGCTGGAAGTGTCTATTATAACACCTTCTATAGTAATATTATCAGGTAATAATGCCCCATCTGTGACAACACCAACAAGATGCAATCTTGGGGCACTGGAGCACAATCTCAAAGGCTACAACTCAAAGGAATCACTAATGCTGTTATACACTAGGAGAGGACTCACTGAGTCCTTCCCCATGTATTGCTCAGGTATATATACACTGCAATACATGAGGTACTGTATAGTTGTAAATGAAGTTTAGAGTCTGATGTCCAGCATGTGACCAGTCACATGGTGAGTCTAGACACTGGTCAGGTAATGCATCACATGATTGGTCATGTGCCAAGAAGTAAAGTAAATGGTCACGTGATCAGTCACGTGACTTGGAAAATGGAGAGTAAAAGTACAGAAAAGTAAAGCATAAGTAGGTGCTGGTATGTCGATTGTAACACCATCTAAGACAGACAATTATAACTATAAGGGCTGGCAGTCCTTGGAAATCACATTCATGCTCAACTGCGTTTTCATGGAATGTTATTGAATCAATTGCACTACCACCACCTGGAATTGCCATTGGAAAGTTCAAATTTTGGCGTGATCTCACAACTCATCTTGATGGTACTCATTGACAGCCTCACATTGATGCTATAGCTGGCTGGCTAATGTGCTAGGCGAGAATGGCAATAAGGAACTCCGAACTATGTCGCTGACCTCAGTGCGATACAACACTTACCCAACTTGAGTTTAGGTCTTCCGTGTTCGAATACCGTGACGGTGATGGGCTGGCCTATGTCTTCCAAAGGTGCATCCTAATAGGCTCAAATGACAAATGAGGCTTATCTGGTGCAAGACCGGCACGCCCTTGACGTGATATGTAAGTGGGCCCATGACTTCGAAGCCGATATAGATAGATATACCCCTTCCTTGATATTGACACTACCGAGATGATGTACTTTCAGCACATATAATAGTATCCTTTTGTTTGGTAGTTAACTAAGACGCAAGATTTTGTCCTCCTCCCTCGAATGGCAGCCAGTAGCTATTTCACCGTCTACTTCCTTCTCTCTGTCTCCGCACAGGAGTTTATCAGGCGTTTAACAAATAAATCATTTCACAGTCACAAGCCACCAAAACTAAAAGACCTCATTGGAGAACTTTGAATGTAATCAACGTCAGGTTAATGTGCAGGTATTTCATGGATTAAAGCTTCAGCCTCTGAGGAACGAGGCTTGATTGAACATTTGAACGGAGCTGGGTGCCTATAAATAAAAGGAGAGCCTGTTATTAGTCGTTAGAGCAGGACAAATGACTTTGCCACTCACGAGACGGTGCCCGCAAGGCCGTCAAGAGTGGGGGTGATCTCTACTCCGTTTTCAACCCATTTTGTGATGTTGAGCACTGCAAGAGTTGTTGCACATGTGATAAAGATCGATGCATCTGCGAGGTGCATGCCTGCCACAAATTGTGTAGCAACAGTTACAAGTCACGAAAAGTTGCACATACCTGGACAAATCCTGTAATATGGCTTCGTAAGATTGTCAGCGTAATTTAAAGATGAATAAGTGCAAACCGTCTGCCATATCCAAAGGCAACAGTCCGAGGATCAAGCTCAGGGTGATCCCCCAAGAACCTCTCTGGTTTGAAGAGATCAGGTTCGCGGTAGTTTCGTTTACTGTGAAGTATTCCCCTAAAACATACACGGTAATCAGAAGCGCTGTCGTGTCAAGATGAAAGGTTTGATCAATACCAAATATTGACTAGGATGTAAGACCCTTTTGGAATGAGATACCCGTTATGAATGTCGTCCTCCGCCGATGCGTGAGGGACGGCTAGGCAGATATGGAGGTTTTGGGTGAGGAGTAACCTTGCAAGCGAATTATCAAACATACATAGAGGTGCCACAGTGTGCCAACGCATGACTTCCTTCGACAAGGCTTCGACATATGGAAGAGCAGCGCGATCAGCCAAAGTGGGTAACCTGTCACTGCCGATAACAGCATCGATTTCGGCTTGAGCTGCCCTTTGAGCTTCAGGGTGTAGCGTCATAGCGAGGAAGAATGAGTATAGCGCGGAGACAGTCTGAAAAAGTGACTGTCTTTATGTCTGCCAGATTAAGCAAATAAGCAACCAACCGTATCTGCGCCAGCTGATCAAGGGATTATACTTAGCTGCGGAAATCTTATCTTACTTCTAATTAGAGTACATACCACCATACATCGCAGCAGCAGACCACTTGATAGCGTGCTCGTCATTCACAGACAAATTCGCTTCTCCGAGTAAATTAGAAACGAATGAGAAGGGAGCAATGCCGGCAGCCTAACTCAAAAGAAATTTCAAAGAAGCAAGATGTGAGTCCCAAGTTAGTATATCGAAGCTCCTTGACATTTCACTTGCCATCTGGTCCTTCACAAACTGATGAAGTCCGTCGACGGCTTGATACAACGTTGCTTTGTACGCTTTGGCGGTCTTCTGGAAGCTGGCGCCTGGAACCCATTCCGGGACATGTTTCACTGGAAGAAAGAAACATCTAGAACTGCCTGCATATATAATAAAGAGGACCAACAGAACGGTAAGAAGTCAACTAGATAGGCACCAACGACGGTCATTTCTGAGAATTGAGAGAGTATATCGTCGGCCACTTTAACCCATGGGTCATGGTCACCCTGCACGTCATATCCGTACGATATGCTTAAAATTATTGAACCTGCTGTCCTTTGTGCGATTTTGTGAGATTTTCTTTTGAGGGAAATCGTTGTCTGAAATAACAACTCACTTGCGAATATGCGTGATCAGATCGTCAGGGTTCTTCAAAATATCTTGTAAGAAGCGATATGTCAGACGCTCCTCTGTGGGATGGAAATTTTGCATTAGTGCACGACTTCCGATTAGGCGATGAAAATGTCGTCTATATTCGCGCAAGGTTTCACCATATCCTAGTAAAACGAGTGTATCGTTCCATCCAGCAAGGTCGCCCGCCATGATGAATCGAGGTCTATCAGAGTATATAGCACCCTTCTTGTCCAAAATATCGATCGCCAATTCTGCAGAGTTGATGACAATGAACCTGCGTCCAAAGATGTGGAAAGACAAGAGGTCTCCTAAACACGGATGTGAGTAGAGTACAACACAAACATCAATGAAATGATGAACATGCCATATTTCTTTTGCCAATCTGAAAATGCAAACCACGATTTATCAATAGGCACGTTGAATATGTTTCCAACGATAGGGAGTGATCTAGGGCCTGGCGGTAGTGGCCTAGAAGGCTTCAGGCTGAATAGTTGCTTGATGAGAAAGACTGCGAGGGCAGCCAAACACCAGTCCAAAAGCTTGAGATACATTAAAACTATCTGGAGATAGCAGGCCAGGAGCTCGGTGTGTAGGAAAGTACACTTTGGCGAGGTTTATCTTTGTCTTCTGGAAAGGTTGAACGTGAGAAGTATGGCGTGATAAAATAGCGACCACGGGCCAAGCACGAGAAGTCTTTGATCTAGGAACAAAAGACTTTCAAGCCTACTTATCTGCAAACCTACAAACGCGTCCAATTTAGAAGCTTTGAAAATTCTAGCGTGAAGTCAGATGATGATTGGGTCGGTTCGGACTGCTTTTGGATTCTTCGCCAGCATCAGGCAGCATTTCTCCAGGCCAGTCGCAGTCTTTCGGATGTGGTTCTTTTGCAGTAGGGAATTGGGAGACCCACGGTCATCTCACCTGCCAATCTAATGGACGTCTAAAAATATTTACGGTCTCTTGGCATGCATGCATCTGCAGGATTAGCTCCTCCTGGCCACGACCGTCTTCATCAGTTTAGGATCACGAGCGAGGAACGATGTGGTAGCTAGATAGGCTCTGCTTCACTTTAGAATTTTGCGTTTCGCATCCAGGGTATGGGTCTTTTGCGGGGTCGAGCCAGGGGCATACTTACGAAAGATTCATCCTTATCTTGCGTTTCCAGCGGACCAGCCCAGAATCAACATGAGAGTAAAAGGCTTACTTTGATAATTGCACCGTATAAGGGTTTGACAAACCGAAAAAAAAATTCCCATGCAACGCCCTGATTACAGACGTGTCGGAGCGTTGATATAACGAGCAACTGTCCCACCTGGTATATCAACACATAATCATCGTATGGTAATCCTAAAGTAGAAGACAAGTCGAGTGTCATGATAAACATGGAATGATCCACAGCTATTGACCGCAAATATTTACCTTCCAAGCACTAGCTTAGACCATAGGTTATTTGCATCCAACATCCAGTGTTGATAGACATTTAAATAGTACTGTGTTGAAAGAGCACCATGGTTTCTTCGGATGCCGCTCTGATTTGCAAATGTGCAGTCAAAATCATAGATATTTGTTCGGTATATTCCAAACGTTTCGAAGTGAACGACCAGAGCATTAGTGACAGTTGCAAAACACAATTGTACAAGTAATAACAGCACGTCCGGAAGGGCCCGTTATGTAAGCCACAGCTAAATACAAAGTTATGTTACCGTGACCTCTTAACCACCAGACCATCCCGAGTCGAGTCTGTGTGCTTAATATTTCTTGTATACTAGCTATTTACATGAAGAAATGTGGAGAGCCTGCATCAAAAACTCTCCTCTTCTGCGCTGCAAGGCTGCAAATCACACATTCGCTAAGGTGTTTGCTGGGACATCTCCAACTACTATCGCATCCTCGAAACTTGAGGTATGTCTTCGCAATTTATGATCTCTATCATAACTCATCAAGCGAATTCTTGATTCTGGTTTAGCTCCGCTGTGTCAGAAAAAATCAGCGGCCGTACTCCACACAATTCAAGCGGTCGGCCACTTCAGTCGCCGTTGCAAAGGAAACGGAAACCTTACCTTCAGACCAACTTGGATTTGCTGTCAACAGTGTTCACAGTGACCTCCCAATTACGAGTGCTGATGATCGTAAGGTCTCCGTCTGCTGGAGCCCTCAAAAATGGTCACGGTTGTACGTATTCTTGATCTGTGTAGTGTTTTTCCATTCTCCTGATTTTGCACCTGAAGTCATAACATATGGCTACGAGATCACTGTAGATGTCCACAGTGCTTCCATTCCGTGACGAAACAACGTCTAGTCAACACTTTCGAGGCACGTTCAACCTGGATTCACTGTTTCTTGGTTCGCAAAGCTAATTTGAACTCAGATACCTCCAGACATTAAACCTGTCCATGTTCATTCGACAGCGGAGGGTCTGGAGGTTATCTGTGAGTCATAACTCATGATTGTCTAGGTGTACTTCTAAAACTAGTAATAGGGCCTACCGCTGCCACTGAGCTGCATTCCTCTCTGTATCCTTGGTCTTGGTTAAGATCGAATTCCTACGACCCACCTATACACCCCATTTCACAGAGTAGCGAGTACGTGCCTAATTTTCCATCCATATTTCAATAGATATCTGACTTGAATTCAGCAAAATCCTGTGGGGCTCCAAAATCGACAAATCACCTCCCACCATAGCCTATGAAGAAGCTATGGGAGAAGATGATCGAGGGCTATATAAATGGCTCTCTCTCATTGTGCGCTTAGAAATGCACGTACAGTATTTTTGTACTCATCTAATGTTATTGCTTAGGATAGTTTTGGATTTTGCTTTGTCACTGGTGTTCCGCCTACACCCGAAGCCACTGAAGGATTGTCCGAAAGGATTGGATTTATTCGCGAAACTCAATGTCGATGGTTTATCAATTCAAATAACACCGATAGCTCACGTCTTTTCTAGATGGCAAATTCTGGGAATTTACCTCTGACCTGGCGAAAGGAGACACTGCATACACGACTATGGCTCTTGGAGCACATACCGACAACACATACTTCGTAAGCGGATTTGTAATGACCTTAGCATATTTCTTATATCCCCCATCAGACGGATCCATGCGGCCTGCAGCTTTTCCATCTACTCTCTCATACCGAAGGTTCTGGTGGTGCTACATTACTCGTTGATGGGTTTTACGTCGCTTCAATCATGAAAGAACTGCACCCAGAGCTGCACTCCCTCCTTTCAAGTGTTCCTATCCCTGCGCATGCTGCTGGTGAACCCACGGCACTATATCGGCCAAATCCATCATCGGGCTATCCAGTGCTAGGTCACGATGCACTGACGAAGGAGCTTATGCAAGTGCGTTGGAATAATGACGATCGAAGTGTAATGAGCCATTTGGACCCATCGTCAGTTGAAGATTGGTATGACTTAACAATCTACACATACATATCATACTTGTTCTGATCTTCATCGAAGGTACAAAGCAATCAGGACCTGGCACAAGCTTCTGACAAGTCATGACTCCGAGTACTGGATTCAGTTGACACCTGGTACCGTTCTCGGTGCGATTTCACTCGTGTTTAGGTTTTCATCTACTAAAACCCTGATTTAGCTGTTGATAACCATCGCGTACTTCACGGACGGTCCGCATTTGATGGAAAGCGCAGAGTGTGCGGTGCATATATTGGCGTTGATGAATATCGTTCAAAATTTTCTGTCCTGCGAGAGAAGTTCGAACATGGTCTTGTCTCTCAACCACAACAACATGGGTCCGATCGACACGCCGAAACACGTAGCGTTTGGAACTCTGCCCTCTGAATCGTAATTCCTTCTTACTGCAATTTATGGGGCGGTAAGCATCTCCTTGAACCTGACTACCAAAGCTTCATGATGGGACCTTGAGCGAAATACGCAAGATGCCTCCTTTACTTGAGTTGACGAAATCATCTCACCGACCATGGTCATATATCTGTCGAAATACATCTAAATGAATGAGACTCCATCAAATAAATATTCCTGACATGAACACTATGCTGATACCTGTATTGTTTACTCATTTACAACGGAACCCTGAATAATTCAGGCATTTTATGATTGCGTCTGTATTGACTTGAGGATGTAACCCTCCAAACCATCGCAAACCCAAAGCTCTTGAACACTGGCTCCAATGGGTCGGACAGCATAAACCTTTTTCTCGCTATCTGCACTTTGCACAACTACGCTCCCGTCCGTCATCCCTATGCGTATTTCATGCTCTTTATTCACGGTTAACTCGCCCTCCTTTCCTCCTGCGCCACGCTGTCCATTCTTTCCGTATGCTTCGGTAAGATCCCTGACAAGGTCCGGACACTCGAGGCACACTAGCCCATTGTTGATGGCATTGCGCTTGAATATGTCACCAAATGAACCAGCAATGACAACTGGCACGCCTGCCGCTTTGAGGGCAGTGGCAGCTTGTTCTCGTGAAGAACCAGTACCAAAGTTGTAGCCTGAGACAAGGATCACTCCTTGTTTCGTGATATCAGAAGCTGCAACGGGGCTCTGCTGCTTCATCAAATCAGCGACCAGTCCGGCGAACGAAGGATCATAATTTTCCATGACCACTTGGGCTTGACGCTCGAGGGTAATATCGTCTTGATAGGTATACTTTCCAGGATAAAGCGCGTCTGTGTTCAGGTTGTCCTGCGGTGCAAATAACAAACGACCAGAGAACGCATCAGGAAATCCAGGAAAGAGCGGTTCCTGGGATGAGGACGTTGATGAGGAGGAAGTTGATTCACCATTTGCTATAGAGAAGGTAGGTGTGCCGGCAATAGGCAGTTTGGATGAATCCAAAGAATCAGGTCCACAGATGTAACCTTTCACAGCACTTGCAGCAACGACCGCAGGACTACCGAGATAAGCCTGTGCCTTTGGATGACCCATCCTGCCCTTATAGTTCCTGTTAGTAGCACTGATACCAGTCTCGCCTTCCTCCAAGAGACCAGTTCCAAGACCGATACATGGGCCACAACCAGCAGGTAGCACTTTTGCACCAGACGCAATCAAAGTATCCCAATCCCCGAGTCTTTCGGACTCTTGCTGCACGATAGAGCTGGCCGCAGCAATGTAAAACTCTACCCCAGGTGCAACCTTGTTCCCTTTCATTACTGCAGCGGCTGCAGCTATATCGGAAACACGCGAGTTGGTGCAGCTAACAAGATAGGCTTTCTGTATAGCGATACGAGCATCCTCAAGAACTGGAAGTGGTGTAGACACCTTGACGCTATTCGGACCGGACACATGTGGTACGAGAGTAGACAGGTCAAAGATAAGATGAGATGAGTATTCTGCGTCCACATCGGACCGTAAATTAGCCGTACGGATAGCATCAAGCCTGCGGCGGTTGATGCGAGGGTGCTCTGGGGGAGGTGGTATCGACGAGGACGATGCCGAAGAGGCGAACGTACGCAGTTCAAGTTTTCGGAGTGCATTTTCGTACCAGTTGAAAAGTACGTCGTCAGCAGGGAAAACACCAACAAGAGCGCCCCACTCAGTCGTCATATTGGAGATTGTTAGTCGGTCGTCGATAGCCAAAGCAGGAATTCCGTCGCCAGTGAATTCGATAGCGGCGTTGAGGACTTCATCTTTGTTGAACAAGCCACACAACGCAACGATCACATCTTTACCCGTAACCCCAGGAGCCAGCTTCCCTCGTAACTCGACCTTGACCATTCGGGGAACTTGCCACCAAGTCTTTCCAGTTGCCCAAAGCGCGGCAGCGTCCGTTCTAACTATGGGTGTACCGACACAACCCACACCTCCGTACATATTGCTATGACTGTCGCTAGCGACAGTCATAGTATGAGGGAAAGCGTAACCTTCTTCCACTAACACTTGGTGCCCAATGCCTCGTCCAGCAGGGTAGAAATCAATACCATGTTTCCGTGCAAACTCCTCGATAGCCGCATATTTTGCAAGATTCTTGTCTGACTTGTTCTGAACGTCATGGTCTAATGTGAAAACAGTCTGCCTAGGGTTGTCTATCTGAGTGGCTCCAATAGATTTAAACCTGAAGAAAGATCAGGATAATCGTCAAAATAAGAGGAGTGAATTAAGCACACTTGGAGATTACAGGCCCAGTATTGTCATGGGTCATAACATGCTCTGGCCGAATCATCACATAGTCTCCCGCCTTGACAGCCTTTCCATCAGGCAGACCAACAGCATATCGTTGAACTACTTTTTCGATGACAGTTTGTGGGGTTCGTGGTTTGTCTGCTATGGTCGCCAGTGACCTTGCGGTACCCAGCCTGGTCCAAACGGGTGCCAACGAAGAAGGCAGGCGCATCATAGCGAGAAGAAAGGTAAGTAAAGGCCCCTCGTTGTCGTGAGTGACGGGGATCTATGTGGACTAGCAACAAAGTTTTTAGCAAACCATTACTGTAGAAAAGCACACTGAGCCGAGTAAAGCCGACTCGCCAGATGTCATGCTAACTTAGTTGTGCCTTTCAGTGTGCCCTTTAGTGCGGTCTGCTTATTTACTGCAGAAACAATACATGAATATTGTACAAGAACAACACTACGCATACATAGGATAAATATTATGAATATGTACCAGGCCGTACATTTCCCAAGCCCTAAGCACTAGCTACCCCAACTGCAACCGATGCAGTCACAGCGATAGGGGCGGTTGCGCCAGATTCCACAACATTATTCGTAACTGCAGTAAGGGTGGCAGTAGTTGCAGCTGATACAGCTTTCTCATCCTTAGTGCCTGATGCAGATTCCGGAGAACTGGAAGAGTGATTTATCTTGGCCTTCTTCTTTTTCTTCAGCAATCCTACGAGGAAGCGATGTGAGTTTTTCTTTCTTTCTATCCCATGCAATGAATATACACCTACCTGCCATTACAGCGGTCTTTACATTGTCCACCATTTCTCGACTTTGTTCCATATACTCTGAGTCGTCGAATCGATGTTTCTTACCGGCCAGTGGCTCTGGATCGGCTCTTTTGGAAGAACTACGCTCTGCTGCTGAAGGCGTTATACCCAGTTTCCTCTCCAGGGCCTCCAGTTTCGTTTTCTGCGCTTCTGCGGCAGCTCTCTTACGAGCGGGTTCATTTTCGACGTACTCTGCAAGTCTATCAGAATAACGTAAAAGGTAAGATAGGTAAACGGCTTTTCTTCTCCAGATACGGACATACTCACTTTTTAGCTTCTTTGATAGTGCTCAACCTACGTCCGCTCAAGTCTCTACAAGAATCATTATTGCTTGTTTTCTGACTGCTCATGCGACCCCCAGCCGCCCGTAGTTGAGAACCAAATCCACCTTTTCCACCCCTTAAACGCGGTATTAATCTTAAGGAAATAAAAGAAGACAGGTCCGCATCTGGAGCATGGAGGGCCGACAAGGAAGTTTCTGGGCTTGGAATGAGACCAGAGTGAGGCGAGAATGCAAGCTCATCGAAGCAAGGAAGGTCTGGGTAGCGATCATGTAGAAGGCCATACAGATCTCCGACTGGGGTGTCTTTTGGAACAGAAAGAGAAAGCGTCGGGAACGGAGGGAACGACGAGCAAAGGACTGTGATCGACATGGTGGATGGTGAACAAGAGTGGCGGGACTGCCCGAATGAAATAATGCATTGGGTAACTACATCACGTGACTCGTGATTCCCTTGCACTCGATCGCGCACCAAGGTGACCATCATTCTCAAACCTCAATACTTCTTACCACCATCGACTACTACGCAAGCCAGCAATAAAGCGCAGGAATTGTAACCAAGACCTATAGAAATTATGGATTATCTGCACGGTTTGAAGGAATGGACACCGGCATTTGTCTGGCCTGCTAAGTTTTGCGTCGCTACAACAGTTGCGAGCTACGTTTTATCCGTCGTGACAGGAAATGTTTCGCAGGTCGACAGAGTTTGGACATTTTTGCCAACGATATATACAGCATATTATGCCCTTATGCCTTTATGGCCTCGCGCCTCCCCGACGCCATTGTTTCCCTATACTCCTCAGGAGGTCGATTCGTCGATCACGAGCGACTTCAGTCCCAGGGCATTACTGATGCTTGCTATGGTGGTACGTCCCTCATTGTTCCAGCTACCTTCATTCGAATGTTTATACGAATCATTTAGACTACGTGGATGTTCCGGTAAGGCTGCATGACGTAACAGTCGGACCTTGTGTTTGAACTTGCATTTACAGGCTCAGCTACAACACTTGGCGGCGTGGTTTGTTCAATCTGTAAGTTATATGTGGTTGTAATCTTCAAACAAGTTTTAATGAATGGTTCTTCCTGACTTCGCAGAAAAGATGAAGATTATCGATGGGAAATATTGCGTCAGAAAATACCCTGGTACCTTTTTCAAGTATTTAACCTAACGTTCATTGGTTTGAATCATTTAATTTCAAATTCTGTCATTATGTCTGACAATTCATCTTAGCCATTGCTCAGAATATCATCCTCTTTCTTCTTGGCATACCAACGCAAGCTGCCGCCGCTCAACCGCACACACCTCTTGCTCCCTCGGATTACGTGCTTGGGACCCTTGGTTTTCTCGCCATTGCAATAGAATTCGTTGCTGATAATCAGCAATACTCGTTCCAGACATGCAAACATTCGGGAAAGCTTGTGGCCAACGATTGGCCTGGTGCCCGAATTCGTTGGACTCCTGAGGATACCAAGAGGGGTTTCGCGACAAGAGGATTATGGGCATGGTCTAGGCATCCTAACTTCTTGTGTGAGCAGTCGTTTTGGGTAAGTTGCAACTTCAGCTCGATTTACGATCCTACAATGGGCTAAACACGCATATGTCAGATAATCATCAATCTCCTCCCTTTATTATCCCCCTCATCTCCCAGTCTCACTTTTCCTCCCTCTTCATTGACGTCACTCGCCCCTCTTGCTCCCTGCCTAGTGTTGTGTACCCTGTTCTTCTCATCAACTCGGTTCTCAGAGGCTATCTCTTTATCAAAATACCCTGTGGCATATGCGGCATATCAACGGAGAGTTGGAATGTTTGTACCCCTAGCAACCCCCCTGTGGGGATTTCTGCTCCGTTTACAGGGAGAAAAGGACGAAGTGGATCGACTTATATTTGGCTCACACGATGCGAAGAAATCGGAGTAAATGGTCTAATAATGCCTCTTGAAAAAAAAACCCCACATTTCCTTTGACGCCCTTAGTATTTTACCTTTCAAATTTTGGACCGGGTATGTGATAGTACGAGTTGTACGATATGTGTTTATCATCCGTTTTGCTAATCGAATGTCTGGTTTATTCGAAACGGAGCCCCTCAGCGAAAAACTCGGAATTTATGCATAGCTTCGTTCTTGACAGAAGATATGTTGCAGATCGCATAAAGTAAGGCGGTGCGTTCCATGTCACGGTGGTTGTCAGTCTCCTTCCGATAGTCTGCTTTTAGAAGACCAGTAGTCTCGTAAAAGCAGACCGTATTGGCGGGAAGACATTCGTTCCTGATCTACATCGTTGTACGGAATCACAATTTCCCAAGTAAATATATCAAGCTCGCCACGTTGAGGTCATATGAGCGGCAGCACGTTGCTACACTTTCATCTTCGAAGCTTTCTTCTATCTCATCTGTCTATATGAACCCTTCCAAAGGTATAGCTCCCATCTCGCCCTTTACAACTCTTACACTAACGCTTTATCTCTTGACAAACGCAATGGGTCTTACGCTCCTGGAGTGGGCTTTAGCTGCCCTAGGGGCATTCCTTATCAGGCATCTGCTCAGGTCAAAGCACTCGCCGCCGCCAGGTCCTAAACCACTTCCTTTCATAGGAAATATCTTCGATGTGCCAACAGACAAACCGTGGCTTACGTTTGTAAACTGGAAAGCTAAATATGGTACATCCATCCCTCCACTAGGATTTAGTTTATGACTCACCTTTTTTGAAGGAGACCTCATGTCCTTCACCATCTTTAGACGCAGAATGGTCATCATTAACTCTGCAGAATTAGCGGCAGATATTTTAGACAAGAAGAGTGCGATCTACTCTGACAGACCGCGGCTTGTTATGGCTAGTGACCTTGTCGGATTCAGCGATTCGACTCCTCTCCTGCAATACGGTGAAACGTTACGTGAACATCGAAGCTTAATCGGAAGTCGTACACTTATGCACGAATTTCATCCAGTCCAGGAGAATATAATACATAACTTCTTACAAGATGTTTTGAACAATCCTGACTGTGGTGATTTGAACACCCACATTCGCAAGTGAGTTTTTGTGTATAATGGTTAGATCCTAGAGGCCTCATATTATCCCCCGAAGAATGTCAGGTGCGATAATCTTGAAGATAGCCTACGGATACGATGTGCAGGATGGAAACGACCCCTTGATTACACTAGCGAACCACGCACTGGTCCAGTTCTCAGAACTAGTCGGCTTTGGTGCTTTTCTGGTCGACATGCTACCGTTTTGTTTGTCTCTATCCACAAGTTCACAGGCTGTTTCTGACATGTCATTTCCTTCTTCGCAGTGAGATATGTTCCAGAATGGTTTCCGGGTGCAGGTTTTCAGAAGACTGCTAAAGCTTATAGAGAAACATTAAACGAGGCAACTGAAAGACCTTTCAAGTATGTCAAAGACCAAATGGCGAGTAAACTGCCAGGAATTTTGATTAACGTAATTTACTAAGGTCTCCTACTTTGGAACTAGGCAGCTGGTATTGCTCCTGTCTCGTTCATATCTAGCTGCCTTGATAGGGCCGACTTGACAGCCGAAGACGAGAGTATCATCAAGTGGACTGGTTTTTCACTTTATGTCGGTATGTCTTTATGAAACTGCCAATGTATTGATTTACACTCATTCCGGTACAATCCAATCGAGGTGGTACGGATACGGTTTGTTGTTTGGCCCTCGCTTCACATCAGGCTTAAAGACAATCACAATTATAGACTGTCTGTGCGGTATATTCCTTTTTCCTTGCCATGACTTTATACCCCGAAGTCCAAAAGAAAGCACAAGCAGAGATTGATGCCGTTGTTGGCAACAATAGATTACCCACTCTGGCCGATCGCGTTTCTCTTCCTTATGTTGAGGCATTATCGCAGGAAGTCGTACGTTGGCATGCAGTAGTAACATCTAGTGCGTCGATTTTACTCCAACTATCCTGCACTCGAGTTCTCTTTCTTAATATCTGAAATATTTATTTTCGTCTAGCCATTCATGTTGCAATGGAGGACGATACTCATAATGGGTGTTTCATTCCAAAGGGGTCATACGTTTCTCCTAATATCTGGTATAGATTGTTGTATATCTCTTGGGTGCATGGAATCTGAATATTTCGTTTTGTAAAGGGCAATACTTCACGATGAACGAACCTATAGCGAACCTGAACTATTCAAACCAGAGAGGTTCTTAGGAGACCGTCCCGAACATGATCCCCGCACAGTTTCATTTGGATTCGGTAGACGGTCTGTCCCGGTTTATTCTGGTATTAAATTCGTTTTCTGATATACACATGTATTATAGCATCTGCCCAGATATGTCTTTACAACAGCTACCTCTTGTACGCCTCGTGTTAAGTGTGCTGTATGGTTTCCGCTAGGCATTCACCTTGCAGACGCATCGATTTTTATCTCGTCTGCCATGACTTTAGCAGTCTTCAGCATTGAAAAGTACATCGAGAATGGAGTAGAAATTACGCCCAAAGTCGAGCCCCCTACATGCATAATGGCGTGAGTGAAAAACTTTCATCTTTACTATGCTGCATCATTTGAATGACTTCTTGCAATAACTAGACACCTAACGCCCTTCAAATGCTCAATCAAGCCTCGTTCACTAGAGGCCGAAGCCTTAATCCATGAAACACCTAGTATGTAGTGCAGTGATATGGTCTTAATAAAGGTTTACGACAATTGTAAAGTACCATAATAGTGCGATCCAGAAGTTACTAGTACATACTCGTCGCCTGGTCGAGATGAAAGTCGAAAGTGCTACTACGTTCGCACTACCATATTTGGAAATAACCAAATAGCTACAACCCATGTGACCGCTTGACTCAACGCCGGGAAGGTACTTTGTCACTTGGCCACGCGATTGATCGCCGATGTTCTCGAATGTAATAGAAAATTCAACAGAAAATTCTTTGCTCGACGGCCTGGAAGAGACTCGTAGCTTCAAGAGGGCTCACCCTTGGATATAAAAAATGACCATGTGAAGTGCCTTCTCATCCCCAGAATTTACAAACTCACATACCCTCTGCATAGTCCGTGCAACACGCTCATCAGCGTCTCTACACATACGAATTACCACTCCTCGATCAAACATGTCCGTAACACATTTCTACTATGATCCATTCGTAACCTTCGACCGTCTCTTCGACGACGCGTTCTCTACACGATTTCAGCCATCGAGCTCGGACGGGTCCAGAAGGAGTTTGCAAGGCTTTAAGCCAAGGTAAATATATTATTTTCTTTGTGAGACACGACAATGCTCACCTTTTACCTGTTCTTTTAGAATGGACCTTCACGAAAACGCAGAATCCAATACTGTCACGGCGACCTTCGAGCTCCCAGGTCTGTCTAAAGAGAATGTTAACATCGAAACCCACAACGACCTTCTCACCATCTCCGGCGAGTCTGTTTTATCTGAGGAGCACAATGATGCTGGGTTCGCAGTCCGTGAACGGTCATTTGGCAAATTCTCTCGCACTTTGAGGCTTCCTCAGGGTACTAAGGTGAGCTAATCATCGATGCTCACACATATAGCTTCGAGGGTATTGATGAAATGCGGTTTTTAGCCCGACGATATCAAGGCAAAGATGGAGAACGGTGTTTTGACCGTGACATTTCCCAAAGTAAACCCCGAGCAAGCTCCCAAGCGGATTGCACTACTGTAAAATAATCCCAGCTTCAGGTTGTATGGTTTGGTTAAATTTCAGGTTCAAGTTCAGGGAGTGCCGAGACATTGTGTGGAGGTAATGGAAGCAATTGTATTTTGAATTGTATTGGCCTTGATAATAATACTTGTAATGAATCATAATGACTGCAAGGACCACCTTGAAAGTAACTCTAAAGGATGAAAAACTCACACTTGGTCCGCAAAAGGTGAGCAGCAGTTTCAGCAATACCAAACCCATTTCCACCGGCATTCAATAACCAGCGTTCGTGATGGCTATCATTGAGGTGACTGTATTTTGCGGTGCATCCTCGTGGAGGTCCATTCCGTTCGTGTATCATTGCAAATGGATCAAAGTGTATACATATTTCCTTTGGCCTCAGACTGGAGGTCAAGCTGTCTTGATTTGTTCTGACGTCTGTCATGCGCTTTTTCAAAACTGACAAAACGGGAGTTGGTGTCCAAAGCTCAGAAAGCCGACGCAAGCCTGATCATGAGCGGCCGTGGTACTTGATTTGGCTCCTAAAGGCAGTGAAAAACAAGGTTCTCTTCACAGACTCGAAATAACCCTGGTTACGGTATAAGTATCTATGACATTATTGATGGCACTCCCTTGATTATAGCTCCTAACTCTCTGGTTGGTGTATTTGGACAAGATAGACTGAGGAGCTCCGAGTCAAGATGGGTCTCACGTTTTTGGACTGCTCCTTAGCTGCCCTTGGGATCTTTCTCATCAAACGACTGCTCAGCCCAAAGCCTTCTGTACCACTACCACCAGGTCCTAGGCCGCTCCCCATTGTAGGAAACATCCACAACGTCCCTCTTGAAAGATCATGGGTCATGTTTGCAGATTGGAAAACAAAATATGGCACGTTCTCCGTTCCCTTGATACTTATTTGCCGCATTGTTCATATACACCTAGGGGATATTTTATCCTTCCATGTGCTCGGAACCAGACTTGTCATTGTCAACTCGGCAGAAATGGCAGTCGATATTTTAGACAAGAAGAGTGCAATATATTCTGACAGGCCATCATTCACTATGGCTGGCGAACTTATTGGTTGGAAAAATACGTCCATTTTCCTGAGATATGGTGAAACCTTCCGTGAACATCGACGAAACTTTCACCGCCTGATTGGAAGTCGTGCGCTGATGCAAAAATTTGATCCGGTCGTGGAGCAGTTCACACGTCGCTTCTTGCAAGATGTTTTGAAGAATCCTCATCATGATAAACTAAGACCATATATTCGCAAGTGAGTCTTTCTGCGTGTTTTGCTTAGTTCTCGAGAATCTCACATATCTCATAAAGAATGGCAGGTTCAATAATTCTGAAGATATCCTATGGATACAATGTACAGGACGAAAATGACCCATTAGTTAAGCTGGCGGATCGGGCTGTCGCTCAGTTTTCAGAGCTGGTCGTCTTTGGTACATACCTAGTGGACATACTGCCGTTTTGTTGGTCTACCTTCATACTAGCGCAAACTGTCCTTGACTTTTTTTTACTTTTTTATAGTGAAATATGTGCCAGAATGGTTTCCGGGTGCCAAGTTTCAAAAAACTGCTAAATCTTACAAAGTGACCTTGAATGAAATGGTAGAAACACCTTACAAATTTGTCAAGGACCAAATGGCACGTACCATCCCAATGAACTGCTGTAGTATGCTAACATTAACCTTCTTTACTTTTGAGACAGGCGGCTGGTGTTGCACCCTCCTCTTTTGTGTCTAATTTGCTTGAAGAGTCAAATTTGACTGCTCACGAGGAACATGTCATCAAGTGGTCAGCTGCGTCCCTGTATTCTGGTATGTATCTTAATCAGAAGTATAATGGCTTATCAGCCTTCATCTGAACACAACTCAACCCAGGTGGTGCGGATACGGTGGGTTGGTCAGCAGTTAGTGAATTTGTAGGGCTGATAATAGTTGACCATGTTTTTAGACTGTTTCTGCAATATACTCGTTTTTCCTCGCCATGATATTATATCCCGAAGTGCAAAAGAAGGCTCAAGCAGAAATTGATGCCGTCGTTGGCAGTAATAGATTACCTACTCTGGCTGATCGCGCCTTCCTCCCATACGTCGAGGCCTTGGCAAAGGAAGTCGTGCGTTGGCACGTAGTGGCACCTTTGAGTGTGTTTATTTTTGTCTATTCTCTAAGTAAGCTTGGGAGCCCTTTTTCGATGTAGCCTTCCAACACGTTGCGATGGAGGACGGCATCCATAACGGATATCTCATACCAAAAGGGTCCTGTGTTTTAGCCAATATCTGGTATTGGTTCACCTCATCTCAGAGGACAATGAATCTGATTACTGTATTTTCTCTAGGGGAATACTCCACGACAAAGAAACCTACAAGGAGCCTCATCTATTTAAACCAGAAAGATTCTTAGGGGATCATCCCGAGCTTGATCCACGAACTGTTTCATTTGGATATGGACGACGGTTTGTTCTTCTTATAGTCAACTCGCGCTGATGTTTTCATCTCAAAAACTTTTCTCAAACCATAATACAGGATCTGTCCAGGCACGTCTATGACTTTGTCCGATTAACAATTCTCTCCCCTAAATTTGATCTATAACTTTCACCAGGTATTCAACTTGCGGACTCTTCGGTTTTTATCTCGTGTGCGATGTCTCTTGCGGTCTTCAACATGACAAAATGGGTTGAGAACGGAGTAGAAATCACTCCCAGTGCCGAGGACCTTCCTGGCACCATCTTGTGACTATCAAATTTTATTGGCACTCCTCTCTGACTGACAGTATATTATTTTACAACTTTATAGGCACCCGGCGCTGTTCAAGTGCACAATCACGCTTCGTTCTCCAGAGGCTGAAGCTTTGGTTCTTGAAACGCCTGAATATTAACATAACATGATCGATTTGGTATACATTTTCCCCTGGAGTCCTCTCATAATAACGATTAGTATCCGTTATATACACAGTGTTGTAGTTAAGGTCGTGTTATTTACATATTGTCTTTCTCGCTCTATAGTAGTACTCCAAGTTTGAGGTTAGGGTTTGTGACGATTGAGCCTAAGTCATACTGCAAATGTGCTTTTACCGCAACATCTCATAAACCATTGACATCTTTCCCGCTTTGGTTTGCAATGGCACTCTCCAATTTATCAACGTACTTCGGTAGGACTTCGAGAATGCTGAAGGAGAGCAGTGTAAAAAGTGCATATGTTTTCCGTCCATCTCAGGACCAATTCTAATGCAATTTGTCCAGTTCTAAGGATGGAGGGTGCAGACGAACCTTCTCGTATTCCCAAAACACTCTTCACACTCAATTCAAGAGAAGACCTCCAACATTTTGCTATGGGCTGCGATGCGGATATTGGAGGCCTGTCATCTTGTCATCTCGACCTGGATGAATCAACCGACATCAATAAACGCATTCAGAAGAAGGCTACCGCACGTTTCTGGGGAGAGATGAACTTGGGTGTTCGACCAGAGGTTCAAGGGAAAATAAGGGGAGGGTATGCAGGGTTTCGGTCAAAGGCACGTCCAGGCAGGCTTGCTTTTGCCAAAGACCTCTCCTGAACGCAGACCTTGTCCAGGTCCGACCAACCCTATTCGGTGAGATGACAGACGACGTCTCGAACCACCGGTATCTTGCTCTGCGACTGCGATTGGGTGGCCACGCTAGGACTCGCAACTCCTATTTCGTAAACATTCAAACGGATGGACCCATCACCACTGACCTCTGGCAACATAGATTATACTTCCAGAGAAATGACGGCGACTGGGAAGATTTATTTGTATGTTATATATCTAAGCCCAGTTCGTCCTACTAGTTCACACATCTAAATACTAGATTCCATTCGAAAACTTCGTCCTTACCAACACTGGTGAACTAGTCCAACATCAGATCACAATGTTACGGGAACGCATCCGCACTGTCGGTATATCACTACTTGGTGGCAACAGTGGTGTTTCCGGATCATATGAGCTGGGAGTCGATTCCATTCGTGCTGTAAACAAGGAAGACGTGACAAAGCCACCACGTAAGTCCATCCTTTTCCACAACACAGTTAGTGATCGTTGCTCAAGAGTACTCAGTTACAGAAAAAGACTCGTCTCATGGTACACAATGGGAGCGAGGGCCTGTGTAGTAATAAACATACATATATGCTGGTAATGCTTTACCACAAATTCCACTGTACACTCCACGCATCTCCAATGTCCAGCAGTGGTGACCAGCTCACATCGTCAGTCTTGAAAGGTCGGGGAATAAAAGGCGGTTATAATCGATACAAGAGAGGCAGCACCCTCGGGCTGTATAAGATGAGTGGGTTATGCTAGTGATTATTGCGCTGTCTATGGATGTCCGAGTGTGGCGGTGATGATCAGGCAACTATACAGCCAGAACAGCATCCATCATGGTTGTCTTCGTTCAAACCATCACCTCTGTTACCATTACTGTAGGCTTCAGGTTTGCTGGCGGCAGAACCAGCCATGAGAGGTCGACCAGTTTGTTGTAACTGTGGAGAAAACTGGCATCAATACAGCCGATACTCAAAGTGATTGCACTTCACCTTGTTAAATCTTCGAATCTCTCGAACAATGTTATTGAAAGCATCGTCAACATTGAGCCTGGTTTTTGCAGAAGTTTCGATGAATTTACAGCCAAAGTGTTTGGCGAGATCACGTCCCTCTGCGGTCCAGGATATTATCAAGACTGTTCTACCTGCCATGCAAAGCTACGAACCATTCATGCCCACTTGTCGCTCGTATTCCAGGTCGCACTTGTTTCCAACTAGGATCACTGGGCAAGGACCATCTTTGACACGAAGGAGCTGTTGGTAATAAGTATTGATTTCTTCGAAGGAATCCCTCGATGTGATAGCGTAGACGAGGAGAAAGCCTTCACCAGTACGCATATAGTGCTCACGCATGGCGCTATATAAATCATCTTCAGCTTGCGTTGAGAGCGGAAAAATGAAAACGGATAAAATCGCAAAAAATATCTTACATATATTCGTCTTGGCCAGCTGTATCCAGGACATCGAGAAGAGCAACCTCATCGTCGATGATGCACTGTTTGCGATACGAGTCTGGTATGTAAACATTAGATGGATGACGTACTTATCACACTGCAAATACATACCTTCAATAGTAGGGTCATATTCTCTTACAAAATGGCTTTGAATGAACTGAATGGTGAGGGCCGATTTACCAACCCCTGCAGCATCACTATGTTCATAAACTCGACATGGCCGAGCTCGAAAACCTTCTTACCACCACCGCCCACGACGACAAGTTTATACTCTCGCAAGAATTGTGCCTAAGCAAAATGAATTACATGAACACCGTTCGAACTATCATGAAGTCACATACCCGAGACATGACAAGGGCAAAGGTCGCCTATTGAAATTAAGTGCAAGGAAAGGAAAGGTTTACGCAACAGGAAGACGTGGGCAAGGACAGAGCAGGTGCAAACAAAAATGAGAAGTTGACCAGTATCGGCTTGAGAGGTGGATTTATAACAAGTTTTGACACACCAAACAACAGCAAGCTGTTTCGCCCGTTGCTTACATCGAGTACGAGTATTGGGAATGTAAGCATCCAGATCAGATGAAGGATGGCTGTGACTTTGATGAACTGCGGCGTTTGTGGGAACGGACTGGTCTATAATTCGCAATGCGAAAATTTCAGCGTTTGACAGTAATATAGAAAGCGGATTTTGCAAACTAGAGCCTATGCAATGCCAGAGCGGCTCACCTGACAGGCTGGCAGTGATATCCCCCGTCTCCGGAGTGGCGATAGGTGAGTGGATCATCGGACAAGTCCTGAAAAGTAATAAACCAGCCTGTTAAGGCGGACAAAGGGGAGACAGCAGAGATGGAAGATCGATAATAGGATATACGGTCTGATGTATTTTTTTGCTCAACGGGCATGAACATGTTAAGCCTTATACAAATATCAGTACGACTAGCCACATTCGCATCCTCTGATGGAAGTAAAACTAAACCTGTTATCAATCTCTAGATAAGCGATAAGTAATCATGACACATACTGTAAGAAAACATTTCGCAGGTGCAGCACGCGCACTTATCGGTGAAAGGTAAAAGGCATATGAGTATCTAAGCATCACGTATCCATCACAAGTCCGAGTCATGCTCACGCTTTGCATTCAATTCATCAAGTACCGTTGTGAGGTCCCAATACTGATATGCCCCTATCAGTCACACATGCCAAACGACAGTGCCTTTTGATAAATACACTCTGGTGCATCTACTAAACTCTATATCCCTGTGTATCTACCAACATAAATGAAGCAAAAATCCACGCTTCATAGTAATTCATTTATTCAGTGTGCTCGTCCTCTGACGCTTCAATGCTCATGTATTCAGAGGAGTTGCAGTCAAAAATAGCAGATGAATGCACATCAGGTTATATATCACACGATATCACTAAGCAGGCTGCAGCCCATAGCTTTCGTACTCCATCCCTATAAGCCAGGCACGGCGAACCTCTCTAGCTCGATTCAAAAATCGATTGAAAACATTGAATCATAAGCATGAATATATGTACAGTTTATCCCTTCATAGTGTCAATAGAAAAAGAAAGGTGAAAGCGGCCATCGTACAATGCGAAGCATGAGGAGAAAACAAATGGAAAGATAAAGAAATATAATCAGGGACTCAAACAACAACACACCCACAGCATCCACTGTGGTTATCGTCCCCCGCGTCTCCCTTGCCGTTGCCGTACACACCAGGTCCACCGCTACCAGAATTTGCCATCACAGGTCGACCTGTTTGTTGTTCCTGATATATGCACATTAGTACTCAAGGTCAACCGTCGAAAGAGGCGGTGATAAAACATACCTTGTTGTATTTCCGGATTTCGCGGACCAGGTTGGTGAATGCCTCATCGACATTGATACGTTGCTTCGCTGAAGTCTCAATAAACTTGCAACCAAAGTGTTTTGCGACATCACGACCCTCTGGAAAAACAAATAAAATCATTATCTTTTATACCTCGAATGGGAAGTTTACCCACCGTTCATGCCAACTTGTCGTTCGTATTCGAGATCACATTTATTTGCCACAACGATGACGGGGAACGAGTCCTGGTCCTTTACTCGGAGGATCTGCTGGTGGAAGGTGCTGATTTCTTCGAAGGAGTCACGAGAAGTGATAGAGTAAACCAGGAGGAAACCTTCGCCGGTCCGCATGTATTGTTCACGCATAGCACTATATGACGTTCGGAAATATGTACGCAGATCCTCCGGCCATGAAATGACTTACCCATATTCCTCCTGACCGGCCGTGTCGAGGACATCGAGAAGAGCAACTTCGTCATCAATTACGCACTGTTTCCTGTACGAGTCTGGTGCGTTGATGTCAGGACGCGACTCATCATCAAGACTGAACTCATTTCCTCACCCTCGATAGTTGGGTCGTACTCATCAACGAAGTGGCTTTGGATGAATTGGATGGTCAGGGCCGATTTGCCAACACCTGCATAAGCCAATTCCATAAAACGATATGGCACCAAGTCTTATTCTTAGGCTTACCACCACCGCCGACAACGACCAATTTGTACTCCCTCAAGAATTGTGCCTACAGAGATGCCAAATTAGTGCGCAATGATGAAGAACTGAACCTACAAACTGCCAAAACTCTACGCACCTTTGACATGTTTTCTTCGATTTGAAGTGTAGGTTAAGAAATAATAGAAAAATGGAAGATATACTGTACGCAAAGAAGGCAAGTCTGAGGGAGGGGATGGACAGGAACGGCGGAAGAAAAACCAGACGATGATGGACGACGCCTGAGAGTACCGACTTTATTACTTATTATAACGGTGATTGCCACGCGTGAGCCAAATAAGACCAAGCCACCCGGGGTCCTTCTGTCCCAATCAGATTGCCTTTGCACACATTGTATAGATGCAGTCCTATTGATGCCGCCATCCATTGCAATCTTTTTACTTGTACTTTCATGCTCATCACAAGTTATACGTTGCGCGCTGGGACTGAGGTATTCCCCAATGTGTCAATTTGATTTCAAGACAGCATCATGATCATGTCTTGAAGCTGCTCTTTCAACAGGCTGTGATTCATCTATCTTGATCGATAATAACGTACAGCCCTTTTGACAAGAAAGGGAAATCACAATTCTGACGAAGTGTAAATATCCCATATTATACACTGGCAATACAGAGAGTAGTAGAGCGTGTTGAGATATCTGGTAGAACGTCCAGAGATTATACTGACTTGAAAATAAATAAACGACAGTCAGATTTACAGTAAGGGGGACCGGGGCGAATATTCCATATCAAAGAGCTTGTCCAAAGGAAACTCATCGCTAAAATCCATTCCTCCTTTTCCATCGCAAGAACTGGGCATACTCATGGCCTACTCGAAACGGAAGGACCTTTCGGCAGTGACCGGCTGGCGTACGCATTGCTGTTCTTTCCGGCCATAGGTGATGGCAAGATGGAGAATCCTGAGAGCAATGATCCACCCCTGGAAGAGCGCTTGGCAGCGTTAGCGCCGGTGAAGCGCACGGTGAAGTTAGACAAGGGCGTCCTCGGTCGCAAGGTCGCAGGCACTGGGACAGCTCCAAATGTACCATTGCGGGCTGGGGCATTCTCACGCACACGATTTTCCTGATTGATCGACGACGTGCTGCTCGAACCAGCACTCGTTCGTTTCCCTTCCGAAAGCTCCGACCAGGAGATAGCAGCCTCGACGTCTACTGGATGACCGTGTGTCTCAGCGCTGTCTTGAGACCAAACAGATGTCATTGTCGTGCGGCGGCTTTGCATAGTATTACTGCGACTGGGTTCTTGCACTACCTTCTCAGCGCTCGCTTTTCGGGGTAAAACAGGAAGGGGTCTGATGCTACGCAATGAGCCGGAAGAGGAAATCCCTGTATCACTGGTGGAGTACGACGAACGTTGTGAAACGGAGAGGACGGGCAGCGGCGACTGTTCTGCTTCCGCGATGTGAGGTGCAGCAGGGATAACACGGAGTACTGGGGGTGGTGCTCGACGTTTACCAGAAGCACCAGAGAAGGCTGGTGGCCCAGATGTTGCTGTAGGTAACACTGGCAATGGACGGATTCCGAAGCTATCGCGAGGCAATCCAGTGCTTGAGGGAGTTGCACTCGCTTCAGATGTGGGCGTAATCGGTGGTGTGATAACTGTTTCCTCGCTGGTATCCAAAAGGTGTGCAGAGGGCTCGGGTGTTGGAACGACACGAGGAGCTGGAGTCAGACTACGAGTGATACCTTGTGAATCGAGCAGAGCCGACAGTGCAGTACTCGAAGTAATAGTTGACAATCGAGACGGGACATCACGTGGCTCTGAAAGCTGGCGTTCAAGTTCAGCGAGAGGAGCGATGAGGTGTTGGAATGATTCCGTGGGAAGGGACTCTCTGAAACTGGCACGGTTGGCTGGTGGCTCCACGCTTATCTGACTAAAGCGGATTATCTCCCTCTCAGTGACCGACATGCGCGTCACCGAATACACGCTTTCCCTGGAAGCCTGCTCTGCAGGAAGAGCAGGCAAGGGTAACTCGGTTCGAGACGAAGTTTTCTCACTGCTGTCACTTTTTCTGTACAAGGGTAGTCCAGGTCCCGAAAATGTGACGGCAACGGGAGGGAGCGAGGGCCCTTTGTAGATTGACGATCGGGAAAAAGCTTTGTCGCCGTACAACTCCCCTTTGCAGCCGGCGCTAAATTCACCGTGGTAGACTGGGTTCAGGACGCGGAATATGTTGTAGAGAAGGACGACGTTGGCAAAACCTAGAAGACCAGTAAGCACAGCATCAGAAGCTGTAGGGGCGAAAGATCGAACCAAGCAAAAAGCAGCACACGTGTGCGAAGACATCAGCGCCGAAAGGAACGTTGTAACCCGATACGGCGGCCAAGGAAGCAATGGAATAGGGCAGAAGGAGTGTGATGAAAGCTGTAAATTAATGAGTACTGGATGAACTAAACTATGGATTGTGACTAACCAAAGGGATACCTAAAAAGCGGTGCTTAGTAACTATGCATAGATCTGGATGGAATAATGTCTTACCACAACAAGCTCCTTGCGATAGCGCCAATGAAGCGATCATACTCCTCGAAGTTGCTGACAGAGCTCCAACGCTCCTCAGGATTAAGGGTAAATTTGATGCTACCCTTGATCTGTAGGGTGCCGCGAAGGACAAGAAAAATGAGAGAATATAACGTAACCGAAAACAGGGCGCCAAGAAGAATCTGCACCATGTCGTCAGTTAGCATTATTTATTTCGTAGGAATGCGCTTACTGGGAGAGCATCGAAGACAAAGACGAGAGCAGGATGAGAACTCGTGACGCCACATGAGATTCCTTGTGGGCCATAGATAGTACTTAAACCTTGTTTCTTTAAGGGAGCTAGGCCTATTCAAGTCCAAGGCAATGCCAACGTCAACGATTTTCTTCGATTTTCTCAAAACATCAGCCTCACCAAATGCAAAAGACGTTATCCATCCAATAGCAATCACAACGGGACTGAGCCACGAAGTCTGACGGATGCGGAGCACAAGGGAATTGCAGGTATGAATAGCCATAGCGACGGTAAAGTAAGCCGTCGAGACGTTCCCAATCTCCATCAATACAGCTGTCAATGTCTTTTAGTATGAAAAACAAGGGCTGAGAATTGACACAGTACCTTGTGCATCACAGAGCGAACCTTTGCACAGCAATGATATTCAGCGCTTGGTCACAGCATGACAAGGATGAAGAGACATACCTGTGGTAATGCCTGACTCAGCTACCCAGCGAAACTCTACGAGCCCTGATAAGCTGATGAAGACATTGCTGAACACAAGAGCAGCAGCATAGTGACCAAGCTGCGTGCGGAAGAACAGGTTTTCAGGTGCCCTACTAGCTTTTGCATTCCCCTGGAAGAAAGGAATAGCGACCAAAATCAAGGTTCTGAGAGCGATGAAACATAGAGCCAAAGTGGAGAAAAGGGCAAAGATTGGTGCAGCCTACGGTGACATCAGTTAGATGAGAATAGTACATGAGATTCGGTTGCAGAATACACTCACAACGACCGATTTGGAGTAGCCAGCAGGGAATGGTGTGAAAGTGGAGGTAGACGAGTTCATATCGTTAAAAAGGTCGTGTCTTGAAAGAATATGGTTGATTGGGCTACAGATTTATAAAAGCTGCTCGACAGCGAGGCTCTGTTCTGAGCAAGCAGAACTGGAGAAGAACGAAAGATTAGAACGGTCTAGCCGTAGTCGTAATAGGCCTCCCAGAGGTAAAGAAAAGGGACCTGTAAAACAGAAAGAAAAATAAGGGAAACAGGTGAGAGTGGTACGAAACGAAGATGACCCGCCAGTGTTCGACACCGAGCAATCCACCCAAATCCGCTTCCAAGGTTGATTCGGCAAAGTTGGAATGATGGGACATTATATTCGTGCTAAAACGTCACCTGGCACCCAAACTGGAGTATTACGGCCACGACAACGATCAAAGGTACCACAGTGTACTGCCTTCACTCACAGGAAAGCGCTTGTCTCGACCAACTCCATTGATCGATGCTGATGCGACATTGGTGGTTGCATTCTGTCTTGCGTTGGCGTAATCCAGTCAAACATCACATACCGTGACTGTGGTAATCTTCTCTCAGGCTCACTCTGATCATGAAGTCCTACATGTTTGGCATCATGAATAATTTACTAATATACACTACTTAACACAAAGTAACCTCACTTCTTTCTGAAAAATTTCGCTATTCCCTTTGGTTCCACCTGCTTTTTACGTCGCTTTGTGGCCCTCGACGGTGAAGACCCTTTTGAGCTCGATATATCAGCTCCAGATGACTTGGCTAAATCCTGTGCAAAATGGAAATCGTCATGTTCCATACGCAACACAGCCAGCACTCCAGCTTGGCGTGCCTCTGCCCCGCCATCTTCATCGCTCTGCTCGCCCTTATCTGGCAGAACAACCCGCTTCCCGCATCGCCCACACACAAACGACACGGACGAGTCATCGTTCGGTGGGTCGGACGACTTGCTACGTGGCTTACTGCCTGATCCAAGAGACTGGCCTTCCGTAGAGTCCCCTTCCTCGTGATTTCGTTTTAAAATCTGGTGTATTGAACCCTTGGACCTAAAGAAGCCTTCGATGCTCTGTTGTCCAGCCTCCGTCGCCTCTATATTAGTGAACGCAAGTTGCACGTTGGTCACGTAGACACTTTTGGCATCCCCTGTGACTTCCTTCCACAGCTTATCAGCAATAGCAGAGATGACATCAACCGTTATATCCCGAACAAACGGGAATGAAGCTTGCTTAGAACGCGCAGTCTCGTAGCCTGTGAATAGCTTAAATTTAGCGTTTAGACATCAAATCTTCCTTGGGAAAACCACCTTTACGGGCGTGCAATACAATGGTTTTTGGCCATAAATTTGGGCTTGCTTCTCTAGAGTCCTTCAGTCTCAGCGCTAACTCAGCTGCTAGGACACGAAGCCAATGATGCCCCTCGGAGGGGTTGGTTATCGGCTTCGGGAGGTTTTTGGATGCTAGCATACTCTTGAACATGGCGGATTTCTCCTTCACTGAAATATGCCGTTATAGCTTTAACATAAATGAAAATGAACAGCATACCTTCGCTACGGTCTATCCCACTTGTACTTACAGGTCAAACAACGCCCAAGTGGCAGACGATTTGAAGAAAACTCACCGGAGAAGCTCGTACACCCATATTGAATTTTCGCCAAACTTGCGTTGCATTTCCTCTACAAGAGCAATTCAGTCATCAGTCTGACAATCAATCTGGCGCATTACCGAGACTGATCGTTCTGAAGTGACCTTTCATTTAAAATCAATTGATACTGAGAATGGCAGAAACACTTGCAGTAGGTCGCCGACCGTAGATACGTCGTATTCTTTGGCCAGTGCGTCACCCAGTTTACCTCCTAGAAATCGGATCTACGTCTTGTAATGAGGTTCTGGGTTGTAGGAAAATAAAATCGTAGCACCTTTTGGAAGGGTAGCGGCCTGAGATAATTGGGGATCGCAGTGTTTCGCAAGATTGACTGTAATGATATCAGCCTGCCAACTCAGAACATTTGGATAGACACATACTTGACTGTTCGGCTTTTTATAGGAAGCACAAAGCTAACGCCAGTAACACTTAACCTATGGCGTGCTTGCGACAGGCAAATTAAACCAACACACCTTGGCCAAGAACTTGTTTCGTGAAATACCCTATTGTGTACTCTTTAGATAATCCGGGGTTAGAAGGGGATTGCTTTCTACGAACTGCTGATGTAGTGTAACCAAGTTTGGTGTGCACTTCTTTACGGATTTGGTCCATCAGTTCTGCAGCTATAGAGAGTGCGACATCGTGCCAGGTGGTCGAATCATCGTCCTCACCACGAAGTAGTTCCTCGCCTTCGTTTCCTGCGCTCTCCGAAGGCGTGACAGGTACGAGGAAGCCGATAGCATTCCAACTAATAGGCGGCGGCGGCGGTAAAGGACTATCGATGCCATTGGGAGCATCATGAGGAACTTCCGCTAAATACGGGTACCGCTCAAGAATTTTTTCGCGCACTGGGCGAGTGAAATCTATAAAGGCCTCATCTATTGATGCCTTTTCTTATCTTGACAGGTAAGACCGAGCGACAACGATAAAAGCTGGAAGTCTCACCGATTTCTCCTCCAGGCAGGTTTTCCTTGAACATGTTGATAATCTTCATACTTTCTCGCCGATAATAGTCTAAGGAAACCTATTGTATTGAAGTGTCCACATCAAATACTTTTTTTTCCCGCGTTATTTGTGTGTGGGGTCAACCACCACTTGAGAGACATACCTTATGAGTATGCGAATCGACATCATCCCAATATCCAGGCTCCTTTTGCCCCTCTTTGTAAGTTGCTACATGTACAGCGATGAGCTCTGGACACCTTTTCTTCGCGTCTTTGACTCTGTCCATCCTCGAGATGCCAAACTTGCGAGCGGGATAGTTCACCGCAATCAACGCTTCCCACTGCTGCACGACCATGGGCACGTTTGGGTCGAGGCCAAGTCTGACTTGTTCGCATGCTGCATAGAAAGCATCGCTGTCGCATAGTGCAACAACACGTAGTGGATCTTTGACACCAAGACTCTGAGATAAAATATGGCGATAGGTTATGACTGGTGTGAGGTCGTCGTAGGCATCGTCGGTGGCTTTTTCCTTTCCCTTCCAGAGAGCGCCGGCTTTCGATGGAGAAGCCAGAGACATGATGTATGATAGGCGCACGCCGACAACGTGCAGATGGTATATATAACAATGATTCAGAAGTCTTAGATTCGAGGGCTGGCAAAAGTCAAAATCAAAGATGAATGTAGAGAACAGCCATGAAGTGCATGCGCATGTGTAACGTTTCGGTGAGTCCCGCTCTCATTTCTATCCATCGCCACCAGAATACACTGTATTTCCCGAAACGTCCACAACCAGGCATATGGAATCAGACAATTATCCAGCTTTGCTCACCGTTACATGCAGATTCGGTATGTCAAATAAACGTGTTTGGAATAGGGCTCTGGCTTATAACATGTCCAACTTTCAGTCCCATATGACCAGTGGTTCGTCACCCATGTCGATGACAGCTGGAAAGTTAAACAGGTTAAGCACTGGTTTCTCTCCAAATGCAATTTAATACAAGAATCAGCTCCACCGAAGATTCATCGTTCGGTATCGCCTATCACTTTTGCTTCGACCACCCGTACAAAGAGCTCGCTGGATGGTAGCGGGGATGACACCTATGAGGAAGATGAGTACGACGATGATTCCGACGACTACGATGACCTCTCCTATCATCACCAAGCACTGCGACGGCACAACCTACATTCTCGCCAGATGCTCAAGGCGTCCTTTTCTTCGAATACGTCGGACCCTCCTGGCAGCTTTCAAGCCACACTACTCGGGAAGAACACCGTGGCTGACCAGTACACACTCCTTTCGTTTTCCACTGGAATTATTTTAGAAGATGACTTTGCCCTCTCCTGGTACAATATACATCCTTATGAACTCCTCGAGCTTCACCGTGCTGGAACTGTAATATCTCTGCCAAGAGACGTAATCCCCGACTACGTCCAACCCTTTTTTGAAGCTAAGGTAAGGGCGTTGCGCGCCGTTTGGAACGAGAAATCGGGGCGATTTGAGTCCCCGTCTAATGTTAAGGACACTAACTACAACACACTCGGTGGCAAGGGTAAGGACAAGGCCAAACCAGATCCATTCATGACTGTATCGTCACCACGACCTGCCGAGAGGAAGAACCGTAGAGCCAAGGTAGAATGGAGAGATCGTTGGGTCATTATACACCAGGGGGTTCTCACTTTATGTAAAGATCAATCAGTGCGTACAACAAGCTTCTACTTGCCATCATAGCTGATCTGTTCAACAGGGCAGCATCCCCATGCACGCATTCCCTCTGTCTTCCTCATGCGCCCTGCGTGGGGCCGACTCCCTAGCACGAGCATGTTCAATCATAACAGAACAGCGTGTTGTATGCGTTAAGTTCCAGCCATCTGTGTCCTCACCATCATTTGTATCACCTCCCGGCTCAGTGCCTTCATCACCCTTAACAGAACATTCCAACTTTGATCAATTCCGAAATATCGGGAAAAGTGATCGTGCGAGAGGGAAGGAGAGACAGCAGAATATCGACACTGATACGGATGGAGAGGTAGAATATAAGCCGAGGCAACAACCGTCCAGTAACTACAATCCAGAGGATATATGCCGTTCAGAGGGAGAGTGGCTTGTGTTGGACATGCTGGATGATCAGGGTAAGCACATGTGGTTCTGTATTCCAGCATCGTTTATTCTGTCTGATGTCGAATAATAAACTAATGACTATATGCTCCAGCATTTGCAAGTATTCTTCGCATTCTCCATCGTCATTTACCGTATCCCATGTCGTCGTCGTTCATATCATCCTCATCCATAGTTACAATGCCAACTCCCAATGTTCTCTTACCAGCTATCACGCCATTCATGTATTCCTATCCCTACGACTCGCTTCCATATCCAGAATGGCGGACAAATATCACAGAAACGGCTCGCAAGGCTGGTATGGGAGACATTGGCAAACCAATGGCGTGGGTACTTTGGGAAGAGAAGGGATTAGGGGACACGCTCATGGATAACCTCCGCGACCAACGGCGGAGATTTACCCAAAAGATGCAGTATAGGAGGAACGGCTTACCTTCGAACGCGGATATTCGAAGCGATGATATTGACACAGACGACAGCGAATTAGAGTGGGAAGGATGGATGAGGGATTTGGATCGCCAAGGTCGAATCAAACAGTCATTAGAGTCGCGGTCTAGTTTGGGACAGAAAAGTCCAAGCTCGGATCCTTCCACATCCTTACCTTCTCCACCTCTGTCAGATGCTTCTTCGCCTGATCGGGGACGCTCTCCAACGCTGACAACACCTTCTGCTACCTTTCCAATGAAAGTTTCTCATAACTATCTTCCTCATTCCGCATATTCCAGTCTCAGCACGTTAGTGGAGAGACCACGAACGTCCCCATCGCAAGATGTTGGAAGAATGACCATGGATATGGATAGGATGACAGTCACGACCAGTACCGTGAGCGTAGGCAGTAAACCAGCCCGGAGGCGTTCCTCGACCATCACGACTGCTATCCCCGCAAAGTTGAAGAAGGATAAGGACAAATCGGAAACGCATCAAGGTCACCGATCGCAAATGTCTGCCATGTCTCCTACCATCCTCGAACGTGGAAATATCCGTATTTCTACTGCTACATCACCGAAATCGAGGAGTAATCCTCTGATTCGCCATGCACGTTCTGGGTCGAATCTGCAGATGCGCTCTACTGCACATAACATCGCTGAAGTAACTTCTGATCAGGAAGGAGGGGACACTGATAATGCCACTGGTTCTGGAAGCAAGAAACGGCAGAATGGCATTATGCGTGGAATGTCGATTCGTGCGGAGAAGTTTGTTAGAGGACTAGATTCCGCCTTGGAGTTCGTTGAAGGGAGAACCTAGACTTGATGATATTTCTCTTCATCATACTCGTAAGTGGTGTACATGATTCCGTCTAGCTCAAGCCCAATCGCTTGTACTGTTTATGTGCATGTTTTCATTTCGCTGTTCCTGTTCCCTGTTTTATTTCTCGTTCCAGATATGTACATCACATTCTTGCAAGCATATTTCGCTTTTCATCGACAGCATTTTGGTCGAAAGCAAACGAGACTGTCTTTCAGACATCAGCACGGAAGTTCTATTGAGCGGAAGCAGATCAGATCATGTGTAGCCCTAAGCTAAGGTTAAGGTCATAATCCCGTCATCGCGATAGTGGGACTGGTGCGGCAGTATCATGATCCTTGTCAGTTGACTACTGTCATATCATACGCAAAGGCTCTTCAAAGGTTTTCTTCAACCTGCTCTTCATGTCCTTACGCCGTTTTCTAACGCTTCAAAAATTTGTAGTTCCACAGCAGATCCGGTTGTATACACGCAACATGTCTCTTAAAACCATAGCCGTTCTCGATGACGTCGATCTCAAGGATGGTCAGATGTATGCGCTGATCTATATCTATGCACTTGGATTTTGTGCCATGAACACTGATGAGCATATAATACAGGAAAGAAGTCAGTTTCGAAGGGGAAGGGAAGGTTTTGGTCTATAAACTGGGAGACAAGGTTCACGCAACTAGTGCTTTCTGTACTCACTACGGCGCACCTTTGGCAAAAGGTGTGCTCACAGCCGATGGTCGGATCGTATGGTGAGGTGTGCACTTCTTACAGCTAGAGCATGTCTGACGATCGTATTTGACGTCAGCCCGTGGCACGGAGGTAAGCTATATATGCATGCCGTAATACATACTTGTCCAATTAATATATATAAAATCATCTGACCTGCAGCTTGCTTCAACGTCTGCACTGGAGACATCGGTGTGTATCTTATTTATCAAAAGCCGAAAACTGTTTACTCAATACCTTGATTAGAGGACGCACCGGCACCTTCTGCCCTTCACTCATTCAAAACCAAAGTAGCAGATGGAAAGATTCATGTCACAGCAGATTCTTCCCACACGCTCAAAGCCAATATGTCTCGACCCCCTAAACTGCTCTCTCCCGGATTTCTTTCCGGTGGAAGGGGTGTCGTGATTGTAGGAGGAGGCTCTGGTACCTTCCACGCCATCGAAAGTCTAAGAGAGGTGTATACATGTCATGTATTCTGTCACAATTTGTTTTCTGACTCTTCTCAAGCACGGATACTCTGGAAATATTACGGTGCTTTCCAAGGAGACCTACTCACCTATAGACAGGTAAGGTTTGATATCCTTCCGCTTGGACTCGGTGCAATTACCATTACAACTTTAGAACGAAATTGAGCAAAGCGCTCATTACAGACCCTGCCAAAATTCAATGGCGCACAGCAGCAGATCTCAAGATTAAATATGGAACAACCCTTCGTACAGGCGTGGTAAGCACAGTATTTTTTTCTGGGATATGTCCTCACATAGACGTTAGACTGTCACATCGGTGGACACGTCATCGAAACAAGTTGTTCTCGACGGAGGCAAAGAAATTATATCCTATAGCAAACTCATCATTGCACCGGGAGGAACCCCACGTCGCCTTCCTGTAGAGGGTGCGGACCTGGAGAACGTATACACTTTCAGGGGCATTGAAGACGCGAAGAAAGTCGACGCTGGTATCTGCACTGCCCTTTGATTGATACCCTCGAATTTTCTAATATTATTGCAAAGCTGCCCAGGAGGGGAAACGTATGGTGGTCATTGGAAGTTCCTTCATCAGTATGGAGCTCGTTGTTGCCGTTGCAAAGCGCAAGCTTGCCTCCATCGACGTCATCGGCATGGAGGAATATCCTTTTGAAGCCGTACTTGGGAAAGAAGTCGGAAAGGGTCTAAAAAAGGTTCTTGCCTTTTTCTAGCTTCAGTCGCAGTTACCTTATGCCCCTCCTTTATAGTATCACGAGTCTCAAGGTGTCAAATTCCACATGAACTCTAAAGTCGACAAGATCGTACCTTTGGAAACGGATTCATCGCAAGCAGGAGGGGTAGTTGTCAATGGCGAGACAATCCCCGCTGACTTCGTTATCATGGGTGTCGGTGTTGCACCTGCAACTGAATTTTTGAAGCAGAGTGGCTTTGAGCTTGAGAGTGATGGTGGTCTTAAAGTAGATGAGTATCTGCAGGTCAAGGGATTCGATGGTATCTATGCTATTGGTATGGAATTCTCTGAAAACATTGATAAAAGCGATCTTGATAAGTGATTATTAGGTGACGTCGCGGTTTACCCTCAGCACAAGACAGGGGAAAGTAGAAGGATTGAGCATTGGAATGTGAGTTCCAGATATTAGTGCTTCTTATCTTCTGGATATCTGATCTTTTGTACGTGCGCATAGGTTGCAGGGAATCATGGCCGTGCTGTAGGGAAGACGATTTCTGGAGATCCACAACCATTCGTGAAGGTTCCTGTTTTCTGGAGTGCCCGTGAGTGTGTGCACTCCTTTATCAATTTTACGAGCTAAGGGCCTGGCTTACAGAGGGCCAGCAATTGCGATACTGTGGTTTGGGTTCTGGTTATGATGATATCATTATCAACGGAAATCCGGATGAGATGAAGGTAATCTTGATCGTCCTGTGTTTGTCAGGATCTTGATGAACATTGCTTTTAGTTCATTGCATACTATGTCAAGGCAGGCAACGTTGTTGCAGTATCCAGGTATGTCACTGCACAGTCGATTAGATTTACACGTCTCACACATCTCGTAGCATGCAAAATGATCCAGTCGTTAGCAAAGCTTCTGAGTTGCTTAGGCTGGAATTGATGCCATCGCCCGAAGAGTTAAGGGCTGGAAAGGTTAGGACCATCATCACATGAGATTGGCTGTAAACTCACATCGATAACCCCACAGAGCATCCTTGATGTTGATATCTCGGGCACGGGGGCTAAAGCACGAGTTGAATCTGCGTGATCAAAGAATAATATGGCGCTGCCGGTAGTGTCGGTAGGAAATGCAAAGAAGTTTATCCATGTTGTAAAGAAATTCTGTCATACGCGGTCGTCAGTGATTCTGACATTGGCTTTATGATCATGTACAATGTACCCTAGTGGAAATGAGTATTGGAGAAGGTGATATATCGAGATTTAGCTGCGATGTGGAATTGAAGGGAACTTGCAAACCCCAAGTCAAGTTTTACGTAACCTTGGATTTACCGAGCCGAGGTTCTCATCTGCACCCTTAGTGTCTTGATCCTGACACTCATGTCACCCTTTCAGTCCTGGTTCTCAAATATAATGAACTTCAAATCTGGTATGTCGCCCCGCATTCATGATGACATGACAGACCACTAATGCCGATATTTCCCAGACTCTAGTCCAGAAGCAGGACAGTCAGCCCATGACCCAGTCGCACCCAACGAGGTCCAATATCCTTCAGAAAGCCTCAAATCTGAATCTGAAGATACGATTGTTCACATTTCATATGATCCTTTGAATCCCCCGCCTCACCCGGGAGCCAATTGGACGCGGTTCATATGTATAAGCGACACTCATTCAAGTACTTTTAATATCCCTCATGGGGACGTTTTACTCCATTCTGGGGATTTGAGTAAAATGGGCCGGGAAGATCAAATAAAGATTACTGTAGAGTGGTTACGAGCACAGCCCCACCCTGTCAAAATGTACGGAACTTGATAATGGCAAGCGTGCACCGACTTACTGGCTGGTAGCATCATTGCAGGAAATCATGACTTGCCTCTGCATCAAGAATGGTATAAATCAGCCTATCGCATGTTTCATGGCACAAAAAAGGAGGTAAGTGCGTGCAAATTTTGTGTCCTATTAAGATAAACTGACTCAGAAGCTTTCATTACATCAGTCATGCTCTCGTATCCGGTCACTAGTAGACAGCAAATTGAATCGAAAACACGGCCTTGTATACCTTCAAGACGAGTCACACACTTTTCAGGCGAAGGAGGGAGGACGAACATGGTCGATCTATGGATCTCCTGTACGTTTAGTTTCTATCATTGCTGGGTGATGTGTGAAAATTCTTCGTATCAAAATAGTGGCAGCCATACTACGGAGGATGGGCATTCAACTACATGCCAGGAGACGAAGCAGATGGTCCGCTCATTTCGTATTGATGGCTTTTGCACTGAAGATTCATAGTTGTGCATAGCTCTAGTCTCCAAGATCCCTGAAGTGGATATTCTGTGAGCCACCTCCTGTAATATCATTCCGCAGCTGATAATAGCCTTCACGTTTACCGCCCAGTTTGACGCATGGCCCACCTCACATGCTTCTAGACGAGGCCCTGAGCGGTGGCCATGTTGGATGTTCATCTCTCAGCACACACCTATCTCGCATGGCAAAGCCTCCTCGTTTACACGTTTTTGGCCATATCCACGAGGGTCACGGAGCTTTGATGCATTCGTGGTCGCCAAGTGATTCGGAACCGAGTGCGGGACGACATCCTTCAAGATCGACTATCACGGTTAATGCAGCCAATTACCCCATGGGCCCCAAAGCTCGATTACCCAACAACACGTCTGTGCCGTGCGGTGGTCTTGGCTTTCAACCAGTAATCGTGGACTTCCTGGATGTCACAGAGGCCTAGACTGCATCAAGAAAGGAGAATGTGATACATGTATACATGTGTCCTCGTATCACGTCGCCCTATATACGAGGCCTGGGTCGACGTGACACTTTTAGAGGTGAGATGTAACTGCCCCATAGTTGTAGGTGTCAAGGCACTAGATCTTGCGCTTACAGGGTCATGTCTGCTACTATCCGTTCCTTTTATGTATTATAATACCTATAATGCAGTGTATGCGCTGCTTTGTCGTTCATAGAGCTACAGATGTAGTAGAGGGAGATTTTACAATACGTGCTACAGTGTACATAGTAATCTTCGTGCTTAAAGGCCTTTGTTTATTATTTCTGCAGTGTGCTATGCTGAGATGACTGTGCTGGACTCAACAGGCCAGGCCCACACTATCCCTGCAATAGAGCAATGAGCGGGGCAAATACACGGGTAGTGAGTGCAAATCCTACCATGGTTCGTTATCTTGTAGCCAACCACCTTCGTCCCAGAACGAAACTAGTCCCATGCCAGTATCATCTTTACTGATATAAGATGCACGGTTTTCGTACTCTTCTTCACGGTCACCTTGCAGACGAGTAAATCGATCCAGTCCCAGCATGCCAATATCAATTTCCGACAATGAAGGGGATGTGGCATCGAACACAGATTTTGGAGTGCGTGTTTGTTCAGCTCCTGATCTTGCCCGGGAGTGACGAGTAATGATGCTTCGTGTACTTGACTTTCGGCTCGCTGCACCTACGAGAGAACCTGCTACGGAGACTCTGGGTGAGGTCCGCGGCGGTATGGGTAAGGTTCTCCTGCGCTTGTTCGATCCCGATGAATATAAACCTATGGTCCGGCCAGTACGACCTGCAAAGGTGTCTTCTCCCCTTCGAATTTCTGGGCGGTTTTCCTTGTCCTCATCATCAATGAAAGCGACTTGGCTCTTTTGTGATACATTATCGGAAAGTACTACTCTTCTTAAAGGAGATGCACTTATAATGGAGGCCTTTCTTGCGCTGGAAATCCCGGTTTTTCTGTGTTTCGAGTTGTTATTGGGGTGTTGCACTGCAAATGCAATTGGAGTGGGCGACCATGTAAAAGCAGGAAGAGGAGAAGAGCCTTCGATCAGCGATACGCGGTGCTGAGTCAAAGTGAAATCTAATGACAGGGGTTGGTGTTCAGCGGGTGAGGTGTCCCCATTGGCCATATCGGTGGCGGGAGCATCGTCGAGCACTGGAGTGTTATTGCATATTTCGACGCTGACAGGCTCCAGTATACCAATATCCATGTTGTGTGGAGGGGAGATTTTGCCGCTTGATATAAATTTCTGGGTGGGTTTCACTTTTGGCGATAGACGTGTTGAAAGGAGAGGTGACGCTTGCGCATAAGGATGAGATATGCTAGTCAGAACAGAATTGAAGACTACGTTTGAATTATCTGAACGATTTACAGCATAATTAGAAAGGGTTGGTAACGCCGGAAGGATTGATGCGCATTGAGGCTTTGAGTGCAGCTCATATAGACAAGGGCTACGAGTGACGGTGAGAGAAGAAAACAAAGAGCCAGATAATGATGGAGACGGAATTTCGGTGCCTATGGTCGGACCCACGAGACGTAAAGATGCATTTCCATCTAGAATACTGTTCGACGATATACGGCTGCAGGCTTTCGCAATAGTTCCGGAAAAAAGTCCCTGAATGCAAACCGTTTCGCCAAAGTCTCCTGGAACAGTATATCGTTCTGTACTACCGGAGTTTGGCATAGATCTTCGCCTGACCAAGCAAGCTTCAGGTTTCACTGGATGAGCTTTTACAGGATATGTAAGTATGCGAAGCGACCTGGGGCTTGCGATCCAATTTTTCCCGCGTGGTTGACTAGATTCTTCAGTATTAGCTATTTCTAGGAAGGAGCGTGACAGAGGCCTCCGGTGGTAGGCGGCAGGATTCGCGTTACTGCTGTGGTCGTGAATAGCTGCTGTGGCGCGAGAGAGGCGCTCCTTTGATTCCCTGTGCAATTCATACAAAAAACTAGATGTTCGTTGTTGTTTCCAAGCTTCCTTGTCGACCTTGGACTTGATCCTGGTTTCCCATGCAGGTGAACCTAGGCAACCGATAAAAAATCCAAAGGTGCCAATATTTTCTTTTTCCACATTTATTTCGCTGCAAAAGTTTTCTTGATGTACAGCTAAAGATGAATGAGAGGTATAGTCGGATGAAAAATCATGAGGCATCGAGGATTGAAGGAGATTTGGAGCGTGTATTGTTCCAATGCGGCGATGTTTCATGTAGAGGATCTTGATAGCCAGAAGTGCTCCAAATATGAGAAGAAGAGCGATGCAGACAATTATGAGAGAGAGGTGCTGATTCGAATGTAAAGTATAACTTGAACTGGAGGAAAGAGGTAACGCGGACACCGTGTTGATCGTGCAAAGTATACAAACCAAAAAAGAGAGTTGTAGTTTAAGAGAAACCATGTTTCGCAAGAGAAAAGACAGGACGTGTATAGAACGCATACACCACAAACCAAGACTCGCAAGTGCATTGGAAGGAATGTTCGAATTGAACTTGGTGATAATTCAAGCTCAGCCTCTCCGCGTCTATTCTGCCGGGAGCGGCAACTGCGATTTGCTGTGGTTCATTACCCCACAAAACATGCACTTACCACTCCGAACTTTTGAACCGACGTTATGCATCCGCTCTGCTACCTGCTTGGGCTGTTGTCTTTCTTTGTATTTTATTCGCTGGCTCAGCAAGGATCAGCCAGAATCTTGATATATTCAGCAACAAAGGGGTTCAGGCATGACTCCATCCCCACAGCCATTCAAGCGTTAAAAATGAAAGGGTCTTCCATCAATGTGGTGTTCGACAATACGGAAGACGAGACCCAATTCAATGGTCAGGTATTGGCTCAATACGACGCTCTTCTATTTCTCGATACCACAGGACAAGGTGCGACTACAACTTTTCTCTAAATCGCTTTCAAGTTAACGTGTCCGCTAACTGATTTTTGCAGTCTTGGATGACTCAGGAACCGCTGCATTGCAAAATTATTTGAACCTTGGTGGGAATTTTGTTGGTGTACATGCTGCGTCAGACTGTCTAAACAGCACTACGTTCTACGGTCAGGAACTGGGTAAGTATATATGGCGTGTTTTGTGGATGTGTACATTAACGCCGTTGTTCGTAGGAGCCTATTTTGACTACCATCCAGCTCTCCAGAATGCGGTACATTATTTCATATCTTTACTGCATAATAATAATACTGATCGGAAATTCACTATAGACCGTTGACGTTATTGACTCAAGCCACCCGAGCACAAGTATGCTCCCTGCTGAGTGGCATGTCCAGGATGAAATGTGAACTCCATTTCTTATTGTTTTGAATCTTTGTTCATAAAGAACCTAACATGATCAAGGTACAACTTTAAATCGGACCCTCGTGCAAACGGCGCCATTGTCGTACTTTCAGCCAACGAATCGAGCTATAATGGTCAGTGAGGTCTTTCTAATGAACATTCTGAATAAACAGCCGGAATATCTCGTAGACCCAGGGCCCCGCCTCTATAATCAGGGGACACCTCATCCAACTGGTAAGGATACAATTTTATATCCAGCTTACGCATGCTGAATATGCCTTCGTGTCGTTCGCAGCTTGGTACCAAGACCATGGTGCTGGAGTCCAAAGTAATGGCACAGCGGGTCGCAGTTTTTATACCAGTCTTGGTCATTTGAATGAAACATGGCAGGTCGGTAGTCACTACTTTCTGTCAACCGCGATACTCACATGTAACTTTATAAAGGATGAATTATTCCTAGCTCATGTCACTGGTGGTATCACCTGGACATTACTATCAAACACGACCCGCGCATTCAATAAAAGCGCTCTTGTCGGAAACGCGCAATCGTCTTCCCAATCATCGACGACACCAAGTGGAACCTCAGTTTCATCCAAACCGACGTGCGTATCGTGTCGTGTCCACGAGTAACCTTTATTGACTTACATATTATCACTCTAGATCATCATCTTCCGATGTTCACCAACAGTTGAAGCCCTTTGATAGCAGGGTCACTCTTTCTGTCTTTCTAGCGACCGTTTTCTGGTATGCGTATATCTGCTTACAGGACTTGGTTTAGGACCATTTTGGCTACATTATATCGCACATTTTTGTTTACTCTACTCATCAAGGACATTTCCTTTAGGTGGCCCTTCATTTATATGTTTCATAATTCTACATATAACTAGTTTTGTACATGTGATATTATATTATATACATTTTGTAGCTGCGTCTATTCCTCCAAGAACAACCACGATGACTTGCAGGTCGTAGATTGCGCCGCTGCTCGGGCAGATAGAAGCACTGGCAAGATAGTCGTTCCTTCTAGCCGCACCGGTGGAGGTCATAAGATCTCTTGCATCCGCCACTTCCCACTGTCTGGCCCGAGAGAAATTTCTCCGAGCTCCCACAGTATCTCTCGTTGACAATAATACTAGTATGACTTTCACATAAATCGCGAAACTTGCGCATCGTCCTCCACAGCTCCCCATAAGTCTTACGCAACTTGTGACCAAGGTAAACTTGAACATGCCAGCTCGACTCCTCCTATACTCCGCCACTGCAGACTTTAGACACGATTCCATTCCTGCATCAATCGAAGCACTTCAAGCAAAGGCTGCTTCTATCGACGTCCAGTTTGATAACACAGAGGACAAGAGCCAGTTCAATGACGAGAACTTGGCAAAATATGATGCAGTTGTGTTTCTGAATAACTCGGGAATAGGTAAGAAAATCCAACGACTTGAAATCTGTCGTGGGTTACACAATATCTAATCACCGTTCTCAGTATTGGACGAGGCTGGCAAGGCTGCTTTTCAGAAATACCTCAATTTAGGCGGGAACTTCGTTGGTATCCACTGTGCTTCTGCCGCCTTGCGCGATAGCCCTTTCTACCTCAAAACAGTCGGTACGCTTCAATATTTGAACATAATATCGTCAGAAATATGACAAATGCTCTTATCTTGCTTCTCATCGACAAGGTGCATACTTTGATTATCATCCCGCTATCCAGGAATCGGTAAGTCAATACGGTATCGATATTTTTCCGTCCTTGACCTCCTCGTTCGTAGTGCGTCGATGTGATCGATCATGCGCACCCCAGTACGAATATGTTGCCCGAAAAATGGCGCCTAGTGGATGAAATGTGAGTTATGCTCCTGCGTTTCCTTCACTCTACATCCTGACCCTCTGCAAAGGTATAATTTCCAATCGGATCCTCGAGTATTCGGCTGTAAGGTTTTACTCACCGCAGATGAATCAAGCTATGATGGTAAGTACAATAATCACACCTAAGTACTATCCCATTAACTACCCATATTCCGTTCTCTCAGACCCTGGAGAGAGAAAATTTGACCATGGATTGCCACATCCTGTAGGTAAGTAGTACAAAAATATAGTTCTTCACAGTAAAGACTCACGCCTGCCCCATAAGCGTGGTATCAGGATCAAGGAGCCGGAGTAGAAAGCGGAGGGATCGCTGGCCGCAGCTGGTACACGAGCCTAGGACATTGCATTGAGATATGGCATGTGAGCGCTTGGTTTGGTATATTCTCTGGCCACAGATAGCTCACCTGATAATATTCGATGGCACAGGACGAACTGTTCTTAGCACATGTCCTGGGCGGTATCACCTGGTCTTTGCAATCCGGGACAACCCGCGCTTTCAATAGCGAGGGGAAGGTCGGTAACGCAGCTTAAGATTATATCCTGTAGGCACGCTCAGGTTAGATAGAACATCTATTATATTCCTTGCAACCGCGTATAGCCTAGGCTTTTCGGTCCTCCTTGAGTTTCTTGTAAATTAGTCCACATCACAACTTTATGAGCTTTGTTTGCCACGGAACTATTTCGCAGTGTAATAGCACAAAACCAGTCCTGTTGAATGGGTTAAATGGAAATCCAAAGCCAAAGCCTGATCGAAGTCACAAAAACATGTATTAGCACTTGCAAAGCAAGGTGAATATGATACATCCGTGAAGCAAAAGGAGGCAAAATGTGAGCTGAAAATGTTGAGGGGGGTTATGATCAGTGAAAATGCAAAACAAACCAGGCCGCCCGTAGTCCCATTAATTTTACGATAGAACAGCTTATTGGGGTCTGCATTCTGGTTCCGCGCCCATGGGGTTTCCATAAGGATCGTCGTCATCCTCCCAGTCGTCTTCATTACCCTCGCCGAACTGCGACGAGAATCCTTCATCAAAGAAGTTCGAGCTCGCCGGGAAAGAACTTCCACGCACTTCCACAATATCACTCTCTTCATACGGAGCCTCGTCTATTATGGCTGGGGGAGGATCCATTTCCGCCTTCTTCGGTGGAAGCAGTTGTTCAACAGCCTAGCACCGCAGATCTAGTTTTATTCCACACATGGGATTTCAAAAAAAAAACACATACCTTCCGATCGACGCTTCGCAACCACTGTTCGTCGGGCATTTCGATATTTATGACTATATATAGATTTCCCCGTTGGTCTTGGCCTTTATACACTGGCATGCCCTCGCCTCGCAATACAATAGTTTGGCCGACCTTGATGACCTTTCCGGGAGGACTGGACACATGTATACCTCGCCCATCCAGATGTGTAATCAGTATCCGCGAAAAGCCAAGAAGAGCTTCAGATAGCGTGATCGTGACACGAGTCAGCAGATCATTGCCAGAACGCTCAAATGAGTCATGTGTGGCAGCTTTGAGGACGAATATTACATCGCCCGCAGGAATGCCAGGCTAAGGGATATTAGTTGATGTCGGAATGGAAAGATTCCCCATATATGCTTACTTCTTGATCACCAGCACCTGCAAGCACAATGCGTTGCCGATCATTCATGCCTTTTTCAACAAAAATCTCCTGACGCGTTTTTTCTTTAACTGTTTTTTCGCCTTTGCACTTCTTGCATCTGTCAACCGGGGAATAAAAAATAAGAAGTGGAAGTCATAATACGGAGCACGTACCGATCTTTTTCACGCAGCTTCTCACCTGCTCCATCACAATCCGAGCATTTTGCCCTTGTCACCCCAAATCGAGATGATGAAATCTATATCAACGAGGTTAGCGCATGTCGTAGAAAATAAATAATCCATGCATACCTGTGTCTGGACAAAGCTAAAGCCCTTACCCTCGCATGTTGCACACTGTTTTGGCTTCGCATTACCTCGTGCACCAGAACTGAGTTCGAACACTATCAGTACCATCAACTAAACTCCAAAAGCGAACTTACCCCTTGCAGGTACCGCAGAGGATTTCCTTTTCCATGTTCATCTTGACGGACTTGCCATTGTAGAGGTCTTCCAATGTCACATCATAGGGAATAACGGTATCTTCGCCTTTCTGACGCCGAGGAACACCTGGACCAGCGCCGGATCCAAAATCGAAGAACGTATTACCGCCACTGAAGAACTCTGCGAAGGCTTCTGCTGGGTCCATGCCAGGTCCGCCGCCCCCTGGGCCTGCAAGTCCACCCATGCCATGGGAATCGTATATTTCCCTCGTGTTTGGGTCACTTAGGATTTCGTATCTGACAATGGGGAATAGAGCCGAAAGTAAGATGGGTGCCACTGAATAACGTTAGGGTAGCGGACGAACGCGGCCGCCATTTCCTGGAATTTTTGGGCTGCTTGAGGGTCATTAGGGTTCTGGGCGATATGAGATATAAGCTGGTTGGACGCTGATCGCCTGAAAGTCACGCACTTTGTCCTTTGTATCATTAAGCGCAATGTAAAATCATTCATGCATCAGACAAGACTTGGCGCGTTACTCACGGGATGATGTTCCTTCGCCTGCTCAACGATTAGACCTAGGAGTCAAAACTGACGGAGCAGAGCTCTTACTTTTTTTCTATATGCCTTTTTTATGTCGCCTATACAAGCATGTGAACCTGGCTCTCCATCTCGATGAGAAATTTGAAATGTGTACCATCACTAGCTTCGGGAGAAAGACCCAAGACATCATAAAGTTCAGTTTCAACGGCCACTACAACCAAGAAAGACTGTGAGTGATTATCTTGTATTCAAAAACATTAAGACTTACTTTTTGATATACAACAGCAGACAAGGGGGACCCGACAGACACGCACGCCAGCCACGAGCCACGACGCGAATGCAGCAAAAAAAAAGTCAGTCGGACTTTGAAACGCAAGTATATAACCAGGCTCTGGTCCTGAAGGTGCTCGCTTTCATCCCCTCAAATTTCAAAACAATCACAGCAGCTTGTAAGTCCAGCATTTCTTCGTGCCTCCAATGATGTTTTCAAATTTTATCTACATTGTCTGATGGGAATTTCCTGGCTTGACGATTACATCAACTCTGATTTTTGTTGTCTTTTACCTCATGCTGTCTTGGACTCTGTGCTGATGCTTTTCTCATTCCATCACAGAATAGTTGGTTCAGTTTACGGCTTAGACAATCTTCTTCTGTTTATATGTGCTTTTTCCGTCTTGCATCTGCCGGGCGCTGATGTCCTCTACATTTGTATATTAGCCACATGCAATGAACTTTTATTTCGAGGCAGCTAAAACTCTAGACCGGCTGGATGCAAAGCAAGGTTCGATCAAGGGTATCCTTGCCACTTTGCCCGAGAAAGATAGGGCAAGAACTGCTGCTCTTGTCATAGAAACCCTGAAATGTGAGGCCCATAAGTTTTCAAGGACATCCCCGCGCCCGCTAGACAGGCGTGTTTTGCTAAATGTGGTCTCGTAGATAAGGATGTCTTGACGAATGTCATTGACACTGCTAAGCTCCTAAAGGAAGAGAAGAAGAAAATCACATCTCTCAATCTGGCTCTTGTTCTCGTCCATGACGTCTTACTTTCCAAAGGAATTCAAGCTGCAGACGGACCTATCAAACAAGCAATACTCCGACATAAAACGAGATTACATGGTGAGTTCCAGAAAATCAAGATCAAACGTGGGGCGAAATCAAACGGCGAACTTGCACATACCGGAGACAGTAGAGGAGGTCAGTACGAAAGTGTAAGGATCAAAGCACTGACAATCGACATCGTTCTGCTCAGCTCAAATCCCGCGTTACGTACGAATTAACACTTTGCTCTGGACTGCCGACGAGGCTATTCAACACTTTGTCTCTCGTGGCTTCGAGTTATCAGGACCTTTCAGTTCGAAGTAAGCCGTCTTGTTTGGTAGTGAGTACAAGTTTTTAACAAGGGTTATCACCAGGAAAGGTTTTGCTAAGGATGATCATGTCCCGCACCTTCTTCTATTTAACCCTGTAATGCAATTCCGCGATGAACCATCCTATAAATCAGGCAAAGTTATTTTGCAGGATAAGGCATCTTGTTTTCCGGCTGTCGTCCTTGATCCTCCTGCGAATGAGGATTCTGTAGTTATAGATGCTACAGCTGCACCAGGTAATAAGACATCACACCTGAGTGCACTTATGCGTAATCGGGGGAAGGTAATATTTTTCATGGTACAATCATGGCCAACATTTGCTTAACGAAAGTGATTATGTTACAGTTACTGGCGTTTGAACGAGACAGAAAACGGTTTTCTACACTCAAAACGATGCTCAGCAAAGCGGAATGCAAGAACGTCGAGACGATTAATGCCGATTTCCTCACTGTTGAGCCTACAGATTCTAAATATGCTTCTGTATCACACATGTAAGTACCTTCCGGCTCCGACCTTCTCGTGCACTCCAACTGGTGTGCCTCGCAGTCTTCTAGATCCATCATGCAGCGGTTCAGGCATCGTTAATAGGCTGGATTACCTACTTGAATCTGGTAAGACTGACATCTGATTTTGGTGCCTTTGTAAACATGTTCCAGAGCAAGAAGATGATACCGATCAAGAAGAGCGGCTGACTAAACTGGCCAGCTTTCAAATGTTGATGATACGGCACGCCATGAAATGTAAGTGTTCATAAATCTTTATCATGGATATTTCTCTTTGAATGTTGAGTACCACGCTAGTTCCGTCTGTTAAGAAAATAGTCTATTCGACGTGCAGCATACATGCGACCGAAAACGAGGACGTAGTTCGTCAGGCACTCTGTTCCAACGAGGCCAAGGCTGGCCATTTTATATTGGCACCGCCAGGAGAAGTCTTACCTTCCTGGCATCGGCGAGGACTCCCAGAAAAAATGGAAAATCCAGGTACGCATCCACCGCCTCGTTTATGCTTGCACTACTGATAAGGCATGCAAAAGACGACGCGTTGTCTGTTGTGCGTTGTTCTCCCGGCGAAGACGCGACAAATGGATTCTTTGTATCCTGCTTTGTGAGGAAGACCCATCAAACATCAGATGCACTTCTTACCAATCAACAGCGGAAAAGAGATGATGGGGACGAGTTAGACTTGGTAGTTAAACGGAAAAGGAAGAAAAGAAAAGTGGACCATAAAGCACGATGATTCGCGGTACACCGCAAAAGAATTCACTTCATTTATTGTATAAAAACCCGTTCAAGCTTTCAGGCTCAAAATTAAACATATGGTTAAACTCATCAGGCTCAGAGTATAAAGGAACTATAATTCCATTCAATAATAAAAACAAAAGTTACGTCGAGGTCATCGATGTTCCTAGAGAAACGCCGACAATCAGCTGCAGTGAGTTACAGGCCCTATGTTCCGCATCAGCCTGCCTGTGCAAAGTTAAGTTCAATACCTGCTTCTCCTCAAAAGACTCCGTCAGTTTATCGAATCCATGTTTCCAAAAGCAAAGGCTAAACGGGTCGGCGGGAGAATCTGATTAAAGTGAGAAGCTCATGGTTTTTCTGTTAGATGAGTTTACCGGCGGTAAAAGAGGTTATTAATGAGAAGGAGTGCTGATTTGCTGTTGAGCATATTGATTCTGATAATACTGAGCGTAATTGGCCGAATAATCCTGTTGACCGTAACCTGCTTGAGAGTAGCCCGAAGCGGGTTGACCACTCCATTGCGATGCACCGTACTGTCCAGGGGCACCACTATAGCCAGGATAGCCTTGTTGAGGTGGACGATAGCCAACATTCTGCTGTGAAGTATTGTTATTGTTGGATGACTGCCAGACCTCCGGACGTCGCCAAGGGGGGATATTGGATCCGCCTGCCGTGATATCGTGTCCGCTGGTGGGTCCTGCCCAGGATGACTTAACGACATCTCCACCACCACCTCTGCCACCTTCGCCGAGCTCCGCCATCAGGCTAGCATATTCCGAATCGAATCCTCCCTTGTTTGAAGGAGGTGAGGGGCCGCCAAGGGGGACAGCATTAGGGTCCTTGTTAACTGTGCAATCACGCGCCATATGACCAGCACTACCGCAAACACGACAGATGATGTTAGCAGTGAAATTGCGTTGTTCGGGACAATCATATTTGCGGTGTCCTAGACCACCACAATTCTGACAAATTTGATTTTCATCGTCGCGAAGTGTACCATTCAATGCAGCCAGCTCGCGCAGTTGGTTGCGTTTGTGATCATTCTGGCCTTCAGGAGTGGATGCAGCCTAAATGGCACAAAATTAGGTTGCACAACAACAGCGATAGAGCATTTACTCACAGTTTCAATAACCCTGTTAATCATTTTCACGCAAGCTGCTACCTTTTCTTCGGTTTCGGCAAGAACGAGACAGTGAAGATCTTCCTCAGCATCATCGGCATATTGATCTGGGCGTGCTTTTCCTTCCTTTACGCTTCCTTTGCCTCGAATGCTAATCTTGGCCCCACTCTCCCTCTCCATTTTCTTCAAACTATTTCCACGAGGGCCCACAAGCAAACCAAAGAAATTGATTTCAGGGAACTCTTTTACGGGAATATAAACCTTTTCGGATGGACGTTGGGAACGCTTTTGCTGGTGATATTCAACTGGAGGGCGGAAATTGGGGTCGTTCTTCATAGCACGATCAACCAGCCTGATACGTTCATCTTCGAGCTTTTTGCGGTAGCGAACTTCACGGGTGTTAGTCCTGCGACCATGAGCATCATAAGTTGGTGGAGGAGAAGGAGAACTAAAATGGGTTATAGATAAGTATAAGATCAATACAGGATAGAGTTACACATACCGTTCGCGCTCAGGAGGTATGAAATCGTTAAGCCTGAGTTTACGATTAATCTCTTCTAATCTGAGGTGAATGGCATAGTTATCGAGCTGAGCTTGCGAAACACCAGCGGCGGAAATTGCTGTGGGTAATCCAGGAATCTCAGTTTTAGCTTCGCCCCAACGGCTACGCCTCTTTCGGGGTCCATTTTGGTCAGCTAATATATCAATAGCAAAACACAATGCATCGAGGTTAGTATCATGGTTAGTGTTAGTGCATGGTAATCAAGTTCTGAGCTGTGTTTGTCGAAGACCTTTGGTTTAGGCATACAGCAGCTAGAAGGGTTCGAAGCAGCTACCAGGTCACAAGGACAAGAAATAGAATAGGGCGGCTGTGACAGGTTACTTGCCAAGAGCATACAACTTACCTTGAATGTCCGCAATAGGAGAATCATCTCTGCCTCTCCTTCCATCGGGCTCTTGCTGGTTGTGTCGGGGATAAGCAGAAGGAGAAGGCTGAGCAAGCTGAGGGGGGGCGGTTTCTCCAACAGGAGCAGGACCGAAACGACGACGTGTTCCGAGGGGAACTATGGATTAATTTAAAAATCAGTTGAACAAATGCCAGTAAAACTGAATAGAGAATAAACATACCTTCATTTGTTCCTGTAACTTCTCTGGTTGCGGGCCTCCACATTCTGCAATATACAAGAAAGCAACGGAGCTGGATGAAGGCGACGGTGGAGGAAGACGGACGGAAGTGAGAGAAATGGGAAATTGGGCTCAGGTGGTTTCTGAATATATTCAATCTCCGCTTAAATTTGACCTTGCTTACAATGAGGACCAACGGTACCGACCGACATTGGCAGGCTTGTCTGCGACAGTCATCTCTACATCTTCATTTGTTCTTCCACTTGCGTTATCTGCTCATTGCTTGAGAGATATCACACATGTCGGGAAAACGTGCAGCTGACGGTAAGCTTTGCTAGCGCTCAAGCGGCTATCAGAGTTCCAATTAACTTTACATGTTCTCTAGCAGCTTCATTAGACTTAAATTTGCCAACAAAGCGTCCTAGAAAGCAAGATGACGAGGAATACGGAGAACTTCGCGAAGAAGACTACATGAGTGATCCTGCTGCGGACGCTGCTCTCATTCCTCGTGCAGCCACAATCAATTTCAGCGCTTTAACTCGTAAACTCGCAGAAACACGCCGGTCAACTACCGACGTGGAAGGTACAAGCTCATTAGATGCCCATCGTCGTCAGCAGGACAATTTGGTATCTCATATCTTCATGGACCAAGACTTCTCGTGGCTACATCTGAAACCTGACCACGCATCTCGCCCAATATGGATCAGCCCAGAAGATGGGCATATCATCCTTGAAGCCTTCTCTCCGATAGCGGAACAGGCTCAAGACTTTCTTGTAGCTATCAGCGAACCTGTCAGCAGGTACGCAGGTTGGTCTTACTATGTAGATTACCAGTTCAGATGGATGCCCTTAGACCGGCCTTTATTCACGAATACAAACTCACTTCCTATTCGCTGTATGCTGCAGTTTCAGTGGGCTTGCAAACCGAAGATATCATAGAAGTCCGTGTGCATTGCGCTCATCGCGTTTGTTTCACATGCTAACCACGTGTGGCCTGCTAAGGTTTTGAATCGTTTATCCAAGGTCAGTACTTTCTTTTCACCAGGCACCTATCACAGGAATTCAAGCCATCAAAGGTACCTGTTCCGGAGAGCATCATCGGCTTCATTCGCGAACGAACGCTATCTTACGGCAAAGTGAAATTAGTCTTAAAACATAACAAATACTTCGTGGAATCAAGTCACCCTGAAACCCTACAGCTTTTGCTAAAAGATAGAACCATTCGGGATGCTCGAGTCGTTAGTCAAACGGCAGATAATAGTATCAAGGCTGCAACTTTTACGACAGCTAAAGCCCCTGTGAAAGGAAACCTCATAATTCCTGGGACGAAGGAGGCAGAGAAAAAGAAGGATGAAGTTCCTAATGGTAGACCCGGTGCCCCTGCTGCAGGAAATGCCGATGCGGATCTCTTCACATCTGTGGTGGGTGTTGATAATGGTACGCACGTTAGCCTCCTGTGATGCTGTTATAAACTTTAACTTGCTATCATGTCAGATGAGATTGATGAGGACGATGACAACGTGCATGCATTTGAGATCAGTGATGGCAAAATTGACGTTCGTGCAATAACTGGATCTTCTTTTGCCATCTAACCGACAATGCATTCATAGGACGTAAAGAAGCGTTGTAACGAGCTTGAGTATCCTATGTTAGAAGAATATGACTTTCGCAACGACACCATCAATGCTAATTTAGACATCGACCTGAAGCCTGCAACCGTCATTCGGCCATATCAAGAAACGAGTTTAAGTAAGATGTTCGGGAATGGGTTCGTTTTGCTTCGTATACCGGCCGCACCCCTCTCTCTCATAGTGTTTTGACAGCCGTGCTCGTTCTGGAATTATTGTACTTCCGTGTGGTGCAGGAAAAACGCTGGTCGGAATTACTGCAGCATGCACGATTAAAAAGTCGTGTCTAGTCCTCTGCACCTCCTCGTGAGTGTCGTGTGGTGTGGTGGCGTATGAGAATCCCGACGTTGACGGTAACTGCCCTATTCTTAGTGTCTCCGTGATGCAATGGAAGCAACAATTCATGCAGTGGTCGAACGTTACTGATCGTCAAATTGCGGTGTTTACCGCCGAGTCGAAGGAAAGGGTACGTGCTGCAGTTCATAAGTTGGCTTTGCCCCTCACAAGCTACGTCTATAGTTCGCCGGCGAGAGCGGCATAGTAGTGTCCACGTATTCCATGGTGGCGAACACGCATAACAGATCGCATGAGTCAAAGAAAATGATGGAGTTCCTGACTTCACGTGAGTGGGGATTCATTCTTTTGGATGAGGTCCACGTCGTTCCTGCGGCCATGTTTCGTCGAGTGGTAACCACCATCAAAGCTCACTCGAAGTTGGGACTTACTGGTAAGGATTCGTTTTACTCGGAGAAGCGTATTGTTGTGTCATTTGCTCACGCACGTCATTGAAGCCACTCTCGTACGTGAAGATGACAAGATCGCGGACCTCAATTATATGATTGGTCCGAAGCTTTATGAGGCAAATTGGATGGATCTCGCCGCTAAGGGTCATATTGCCAACGTGCAGGTATGTTTTCTATTTTTTCACTGGGTACCATGATCGACTGGAACGATGCTACAGTGTGCCGAAGTATGGTGTCCCATGACGCCGGAGTTCTACCGGGAGTACCTACGGGAGCAATCTCGCAAACGCATGTTGCTGTATTGCATGAACCCTAAGAAGTTCCAAGCATGCCAATTCCTCATCAAGTTCCACGAGGACAGGGGAGACAAAATTATTGTTTTCTCGGACAACGTGTTTGCTCTCGAGGTATTATTCTATTGATCGCTTTGCTTGTTTGTATGTGCTAACATGCGTGGTTGGGCTAGGCCTATGCTAAAAAACTTGGCAAACCATACATTCATGGTGGTACTGGCCAGGTAGAGAGAATGCGTGTACTGCAGTGGTTCCAACACGACTCGAACGTCAACACCATATTTCTTTCCAAGGCGAGCCTCCTTTATGGCATTATCAGAGACGCTATCCTAACGACCCTTGATATAGGTTGGCGACACATCAATTGATCTCCCGGAAGCTACGTGTTTGATCCAAATATCCTCCCACTTTGGATCCAGACGGCAAGAGGCGCAAAGATTAGGTATGTGGCATCCGATGTTTATCCCCGCTACCGGACACTGATCGCTCCGCGCTAGGACGGATTCTTCGTGCGAAACGTCGGAATGACGAGGGATTCAATGCGTTCTTCTATTCGCTAGTTTCCAAGGACACCCAAGAGATGTTCTACAGCACGAAGCGTCAGCAGTTTCTAATCGATCAAGGCTATGCGTTCAAAGTGATCACGCACTTGGATGGACTGGAGAATCTGCCCGATCTGGTATACCGAACGAAGGACGAGCAGATCGAACTAATTTCATCGGTGTTGTTAGCCAATGAGAGCGAGGCTGATCTTGGGTCAGACATTCGGGCGACTGAGGGTGATTTGGCAGGAACGGTTACGTCGAAAGACTTTGGACAGATGAAATTCCCGGGGGCGCAACGGACGACGGGAACACTGACGGCATTGAGTGGTGCTCAACACATGTCGTACGTGGAACAAAACAAGTCGGCGAACAAGAAGCTGGCGCGGGATGCAGCGCCGAGTCGGCACAAGCTGTTTTCGAGGCGCGAGAAAGATAAGGCGAGTGCGAGAAAGGAGGCGCGCACATCAGGTCGGGGATGATTATGGGGGACAAGTGAAGGTGGCATGATCTGGTTCATCAGTGCCTTCTCATGTCGTTAAACTTTGTATATTAGGTAGATTCATGTAATGGGATCGTTATGGAAGTGTTAATAGAGCAGAGGTGGTATGTAATACATAATACACATGGAATCGATGTCATACTAATGGGGTTCATGGGATGGATAGACAGGCGGGGTTAAAAGAGAAAGGAGAGGAGAAAGGCCGTCGCAGCGGGGGGCCTCGTTTGGGAGGGCGAGGGGGCAGGAGAGCCAGGGCACCAACCAGGCTGTGGCGCTAAATGAGACCCTCGATGAGATTTGGAAGAACGAGCGAAAAGAGCGATGTGAATTGCCGTATGAGAAGAGCAGCCACGGCTGTCCGAAAGTAGGGTGAGACCTGGGGACTAGACTCTTGGCTCATGTTGGACGGGGACGGGTCCTGGATGAGGAGGTAGTTCGACCGTTCGAGATCGTTTCTGTTTCTCTGCAGACCATCATGGCACCATCGATATCATAGAACATGCATGGGCTCAGGATGCTTGTGTATGTTGCATGTGTTGACCCTATGTTTTAGAGACAGCCTGGTCTGCGCTGGACAGCACGGCACCGCCCGGCTGAGGTGGCTGGGTTTGAACCTTGCCTGCGGAGGTTCTATGGCCGAAGCATTGGGTCTGGCCTGTCGACCCCGATCGAATCCCGGCTGGTGCTGATACACGCACCAACAAATAGTATTAATCCTGACCGATGCTACCAAGTTACATCCGGACAATCCCTTTTATATGTTCTTCCTGCTTTCTCTCCATCCACACCTTTTCTCCTCCTAGTCTTCCCCATTCCTTTCCTATCCCTCCACTCCTCTCCCCCAATGTCCTCAAAGCGTGGACGCAAGAGAAACGACAACCTCCCCCCTAATCGTGCAAGGGACGTCCAGAGAGCCTTTCGTGCCCGCCGCGCTGCCCATCTGCAGGTATGTCGCCATCCTTCACCTCCTCTTTTTCGCCTTCTTACATGCCCTTTTCGCCCTCTCACAGGCTCTGGAACTCCGCGTTGCAGAACTAGAGGAGGAAAACAACTGTCTGCGGGCTGCTTTGAACCTTCCCCCAGCTAGCCGCCCATCCCTTGGCAAAGGACCAACCGGCAAAGATAAACCAAAGTCCATAGATGACTTGCAGTCCCACCACCCGTCTTCGATGAGCCGTGATTCCTCGTCAGCTGCAGAGTCGCCTTCCCCCACGAGGACGGATTCGGTCTCGCCTTCCATCATCACAAACTCCATGCGCGCATCTCCTCGGAATCTGTCGGTCATGGAGCCCACCGCATGGGAAGACAGCATGATCATGACCGACCAGCAGCAGCAAGCCCCCCAACAGCAGCACCAGCCCCCACCAGAGCCGCAGATTTCCTCGTCGTCGACTCCCTATCATTTACCTGCTGTGTCTGCGCCTATGCTGAAAAAGAATGCGCAGCAGTTTACGTTTCCGAATCCCATGTCTACCTCTTCCAGGAACTCGATGTCAAACAGCATCTACATGCCTCCTTCGCAATCTAGCTTTTCGCACACTGCCGATAGACCTATGGGTGGCGGATATAACGACATGAGTTATCTATTGCGTGAAGATACGCACCACCACTATTCCTATTCGCAGCCATCCTTCTCTCCGGCTGACCACAACATGCAAACACACCCGGCAAGTGCTCAGCAGCCCATGCATCAGCAGACGCATGCATCGCACCGTGAGCCTGCGGCCCAACCTCCGCCCACTTTACCATTTCCTCACCGGCGTTCGGTTACGGAACCGCAAGGATACCGTACAATCACCAATCAGTTGCCACATCTCCCTAATCCTGTGCAACAGGCGCATGGGATACGTCTACCGTCTCCACCTACACTGCACGACGTGAACGGACCACGACATGCGTACACCAATACAGGATCACGCATGAACGTGCTACCGTGAACGGATCGAGTGGCGTCTGTGTTTCCTTTTAGTCTTTTGCAAAGCATTTTATCTGGTCCGCACTGGGCAATCAATGTTACTGGTATCATTCCATCGAACGATCGAAAGCGCTGCTCTGTATCTCTACTGTCTGATAGTTGAATTTTCTCTGGGTTACGTGGTCTCTCGTATATTAGATGTACACGCAATAGTATCTAATCGTTTACACTAATTGCACGGACGAACATACGATAGCTCGACAAGATGCCTGTGTGCCCTGTACGGTTGTCGATCTACTATATTTCCTGTCTGTTCTGCAGACATGTAACTTGAAAATCTGCGATAGACTGGGATCTATATTGGGATCGGACGTAATCGTCAATGGCAAGGCACGGCACAGCCGCTCGCCAACTTAAGTAGCCCTTCTCTCACGTGAGTTTCGGTCCCTACGTTAATTGCTAATGCTCCCGCTTCAGGAACTCGACAGTCTGCTCAGAGTTTGCCATAACCCGCTCTTCATAACACCTACAATGTGCTGGCAGTGACAGCATTAGCCTTTTAATGTCCTGGTCACCAGTGAAACGCTGCTGTCCTCGTGATTGTTTTTTTTTTGCAGCCCACGATCTGCCGCCTGCCGGGATTCAATCTTACCCCTCCCGGAAACTTTCCACCGCGATCTCGTCAAAATCCCGACTTTTCAGGAGCTCGGGATGTCATAATCATGATTTCGCAAGCCCATCTAACCCAGGTGCAACCGCTATCTCACTTTGTTAGCACTGTACTTTGTCGAAAACTTGGTATCTACAATTAGCATGGCATCTTCCTTGAAAGTCATTGCAGTGACGTCTGCCATCACGCACTCTCGTCAGTCACCGGTTTGTCCAGATCGCACCAGTCTACCGTGCCCTCGCGCCCGTATCTCCTCTCTAGCCACTCGTTCGCCGTCTTAAAATGGCCGTTTCCTATAAACCCTTTGTGTGCACTGAAAGGGGAGGGATGCTACATCAAGTTAGTCAGAGCGGGACAAAAATCGGGGGAAAAAAGTTCATGATCCGTACAGCGCTCTTGAGTATCAGATGTTTCGTCTGATGCGGGCCCGACCACAAGTCAGCACTTGGTTTAGCCTCTGGAAAAAATCTTTGCCTCAAGCCTAACTCACCTCGTTCAACTTGGCAACCCGTTTCGCAGCCCAGGCTCCCCATGCTAGAAAAACGACACCGCGACCAATTCCGCTGACGTCGGAGTCCCCGTTCGCAAGATTGGCGCCGCCATACCTATCCACGACATCGACCACTTTATCAGTAAATTCTTCCCAGCCTTTGCCAGAATGGGAGCCAGCCTGGCCAGCCTTTACGGTCAGACAGGTGTTGAGCATGAGGACGCCATTATCTGCCCACGTCGCTAGGTTGCTTATCGCAGCGGTCGAGAAGGGAGGTCATTAATTAGTACAGAGAACCTCGGAACTTGACAAATATTTACCCATGCTTTGGTGGCTCAAATGCAGGGTACTCTGCCTTGATCTCGGCGTATATCTAACGTTCTTTAGTGAGGATACAAGAGCGCAGATAATCAGAACAAGATGAGCGCTGCTTACATTCCTTAAGGATGGTGGGACTGCCACACCTTTCGGCACGGAGAAGCAGAGCCCTGTGATGGCAGGAACAGGTCTTTAGCATATTTCGGGCAACTAACAATGGCAGAAAAAAACTTGCCATGCGCCTGATTAGGGCCGTGGTAAGGGTCTTGCCCCACTATCACAACTTTTACTTTTCCTAGCGGTGTATTAGACCATGAATAGATGTTTCTCGCTTTATGAATACCGATGGTTATGAGCACTGTGCTTGATTCATAATACGGCACATACGGGATGGATACACCTTGAGTGTTTTGGCACTATCACTGGGGCCTTTGACACCTTCTTCCCATAGAAACCGCTTTAGTGATATGAAGTAGGGCTTTTTGATCTCATCTTTGAGCACCTTGAGCCTGGAGAGGCAAGGGGGTTCACAGAGGCCCAATTAGTCAGACGGACGAATCTTAATGACCGTACCCACCAACTCTTTCCCATGCAGTCACACTCCAACTTCAGGAGGTCCTTGTGCTCTTCTGGTAAAGAAGCTATGTACTGAGATAAAGAAAATGGGATGGAGTTCAGGCGCTGAGTCCCCAGTCTGGTTGTTATTTTGTTCAAGTTTGAGCTGGACCCCGAAGCGGTCAGCTTCATCTTCTTCGCCGCTGGTTGTGACCCTTTGTCAGTCTGAGATCCTGGAAACATATCCATCAGAGTGCGCTGCCTCTTCGTCCCTGTTGTGGTAGCTATCACCGTGTCCTCGGTTCCCTCCTTGCCACTGAGCGCATTGGATTGAACTGAAATTACGGTGGATTCCACATCCTCAAGATAGACGACGCGTTTTTCATCCGCCATGATGCAAAACAGACGATTTCAGAGGTATACTCACGGTATGGAGTCGTCAAACGCGGTCGTTCTGGTTTTCGTTTAGATTCTAAAGCCACGTTTGTGGTGAGTTCGCCGCGGTTGCGCTAATAGCTCGCTAAAATAATCTCGGTGCTTTTTGCTTGTTCTTGTTTCCCGTCTGCCACGCCTCCATAGTCAATATTATTGCTGCAAAGCCGGACACCTCTTCATCACTTGCCAAGCTGCCTCGCTCACATTCTTCACCTTCCCCGCCATCGTCTAGGAATGCAGCAAGTGGGCGTTCGGACACGAATTCGAGAAGGTTCTTGGGTGTGCGTTCGGTGAAAAGGCGTCATGAGTCGTTTGGTGCCGTTTCTGCGGAGCCTCCGGACTCCAATGTGGAACTGAGTACGACGTATCATGCTGGATCGTCAAGGTAGCATCTTTAAAAAAAATTACTGTAATGCATGCTTAAGTACCTGTACAGCTCTGCGTCTGGCAGCGACACCGCCGAAGAGGATACGGATGAGGAGGTGCGATTCAACCGCGGAAGGTCGAACTCACAGAAGGGTTTGCGAAAGAGCAATAGCGCTCGAAAGAAGAAAGTTCACGCTTCGCCCATGAACAGGACTCTTAGCCCAGTTCTTGCAGAACACATCGATGTAAAACCTAATGTGTCCAGCGCTGCTCATCGCAGACAGTCGTTTACACGCTCGCGGTCACCCCATGTTCGAACACTAGGCCACAATGCCGGTAACGGTATCGGTCCACACCCCTTTTCTCCTTCCCCTTTATCTCATCGACATAGGTCCTTGCCGCAACTCTATAGTGTGTTGTCTATGGTGCTCTCTCTGCAAGTTCCTCTGCCCTTTATTGGTACTTGGACTGTATGTATGGATACAAGAAAAGCTGGGGAATCTGTTTTACTTTTGGGAACTCTGTTGTACATGGACTGGAAAATCTCGGGAACACTGTTAGACTCGCGTGGATCCGATCCATCGCTATCTCTAGGTTGATTTACTACCTCTCATTTGTCGTGACGTGTCTGATTTTGTGATTATAGAACTCTATACTCTCATCATTATCTCCTTTATTTATATTGTGTGGACACACTCCTCACTCACAAGAACTAGCTCCACTCCCTCATCAACTTCAAGTATACCAGAACAGCTGCGCACTTCACCGTCTCCTCGCGTTGAAGCTCGCGAAAATAGGCGTCATACTGTTCATTCTCCTCCCGGTGGCATCCCAAGAAAGTCTCACTTTAGCTTTGCATGGATGACTGTCCCCAAAAATTATAGGTGCGATTTGTCTCCTTTCCTAGAAGAAGCATGATCTGATCAAAACGTCAACAGGGAGTCTTCGGATGATGGTATCTTGACAGGCTTCCTTCTCGGGCCTATCATCGCATCAGCCATGCTCTACTCTTCGCTACAGCAAGCCGCATCAGCATCTTCACCAGACTATAGCCCGCTGCCTCGGGCATGGAGAATAGAAGAGCCTCGCGTATTACTCAACGCACGCTCTCCCCCTTCTGCTCTCGACGCCCTAGTTTTATCTCGCGAGAGTCTCGTCAACTTGGCTACGTTCTGTTCTTTTACGCTGTTGTCGCAGGTATGCGCTTCCTGGTGGTTCGAAGCTCGATGTTCGAAACGCAAGAATGTCCCTGAAGGCGAGCGGGGGTCGGTTCCTCGGAGTGAATTGCTCCGGACGTGGAACTATATCTTATTCACATATACTTTCACTTTAATCGCTTTGGGTATTCGGGCAGCATTGTCTCATTGGGAAATTAGTATCTGGCAGCGTACGCACCATCCATCGTTGTATCCTCTAATGTGTGCGTTTAGCTAAGGACTTTTGATTTTCTTTCAGACATAAGTTACTTTGACATCATTGTCTTTTCATTATTCTATCAATTTTGTCTCTATATTGCCATTCGTTTGGCCCATCGTGGATTCACTCTCGGAGAGTTAGCTCTAGTGTGCTTTGGCGGGCTGGCTATATGTACCGAGCTTTTAAATTTAACTAGGGCGCGGGTTCGTTCCTCCTATCTTAACTGTTACTCCATTGCGACTTTTCTGATGGAAACATGGATGTAGATATGGCCAGTTGCTACGCCGTTCATCAAAACATATCGCCTTCCCACCCCTCTTCTTATTTTTCAGATAGCGCTTGTCGCTGGGTCCTTTCTCACCGGATTTCTTTTGTCCCCCCTACTCGTTCTCTCAAGGCACATCGCGCAGAAGCCGGTACACCGTCTCCGCTTTCCTCAGGAGAAGCAGCGTCACCGACGTGCATTAGCTGCTGGATTCTACATCGGCACTATCGTCATAGTCGGGGGTCTCATTGGGGCGTGGACGTGGTGGAGTCTAGGCCGGCGTGATCCATGGCTTTGGACCATCTTCTGGCTTCTTGAGGGAAGGAAAAAATGGAGTCGTCCGATGTTGCTCGTGTATTGGGGACTCTTGGGAAGCATCAGTGTTGCGGCATGGAATAGGCAGTTGTCAAGGTCGAGGAGATACCGTCCCCGGAATACAACAAGTGGATCGGGAGACATTGTTGTTCCGGGACCGGCGAATAATAACCAGGTGTTCACCGAGACGACTTCAGTCCCATCCTCACCGGCAGGTGCTCTGGGGCTGAATTTCCCTAATTTGCCGAATTTGCCGAACCTGTCGAATTTACCCAACAGTGCGCAGGTGTCGAACGTCGCAACAGACCTTCTCGATGCTGCAGATAAGCATGTGCCAACCCTTGGCCTCAACGCCAGACGCAAGTTCTTCCACGCGTTGGCTGTCGTGATGTTTCTTCCTGGCGTGGCGTTTGATGTAAGCTATGTTGATGTTTGCCTCCGGCCAGAAATTAATGCGATGATGGCAGCCTGCTTTTACGCACCTGTCATTCAGTGCTGCTTTTGCCTTGTTTACTTTTGCAGAATATGTGCGGTATTTTGCGATCTATCCTTTCGGAGCTGTCGTGCATCTCTTCATGAACGAGTTCCTGGACCACAAAGATAGCGGAACGGCGATACTAAGCCATTTTTATCTCTTGACAGGATGTGCTGGCTCGTTGTGGCTGGAAGGGTATGAGATGGTACACATATGCAAGTGGCGTGAGCTAACGATGTGCCAGGCCCCATCAGATTCTGCAGTATACTGGCATTCTAGCGCTGGGAGTAGGGGATGCCCTTGTCAGTATTTCCAGATGGTTCGATGTGAATGGAGTACTGATGGGTAGCTGCAGGCGTCTATAGTTGGCAAGCGGATTGGAAAGCACCGATGGTCGCCCAGTACGTCGAAAACGCTTGAAGGCAGCGCGGCATTCACGCTATCGATTGTGGCATGTGTGTGGATCTTGCGGATTTGCGGCTTGACAGAGGATTTTTCGGTGGGTTTGCCATCACGAGCAGGTCATCGGCGTGGAGTGGCTGAACGGCACTTTTTCATTATAGATCGTGAGGTACACGGCTGTAGTAGCGCTGTCTTCCGCGTTGGAGGCGCTCTCTGACCAGAACGACAATTTAACGCTGCCGTTGTATATGTGGAGTATGTTGGTAGTTGCCGATGTTTGTTAGCTTCGTAATAGTAGAGCAATGGACAGTTTAGGGACAAGGGCTCGATGCCTGAACAGCGAAGTGTGCAGCAATATTGAGGTTGAGTAATATGTGCCACAGGGTGGTGTGTTGACAGCACTCTGATTGTTACGGTACATGCGATAGAAGTTCTAGATGTCCGGTGTCCGTTCCGATGGAGGTGGTTACCCCACTCCGGCCAGATATGCGGGGAAAGGCCCCGTAAAGGCAGGCGACGGCACCGAAACTGCCCGATATGGGGTGTGTAACGGCAATAGAAGCAGTGACGTCAGACAGTGGTTAGGGCTTGGAGTGCTTAGTCATCCACGAAAAGGTGCTTTCAGGCAAAGAGAATAATGCGCGTACATTGATTTGAACCCTTCCTTTAAACCTGGACTACCAAAACCAGCTCTGCTCCTTGGCTCTCCCGCCAACGCAGCTCTCATCCTTCTCTTCCACCACCACAAGCCCAGTCTCATTTTATCTGGCATTTCTCTAGGCGAACACCGGGCTATCCTGGATCGTGTCAGTCTTGTTTGATTTCTCGCCTTTCTTCACAGCCATGATTTGATTCATTATCGTACTAATCTTCCAGCTCTTCTTTCCTTACGGCTGGGATATTAACCCGGCGTTGATTCACGATAGAAACAGATTTTACTCCGTCCATGGAGCACACGTCGCTTGTGGACGATCATGCGGATGCAGCACCATCGCTCTCGCTGAACGGTATATCCCTTTCGGATGTGACGACTCCTCCAAATCCCTTCAGCTTGCCCATCCCTCGTTTGACCACACCGAAGCGTGTCAATCGACGGCCTCCTAGGCCGTCCACTGCTTCTGGTATAGAAGAAGTTCCCTCGCTCTTGCCCTCCATCCTTATTAGCCAGACCCAGATATCTCCCTTGGATTTAAAAGATCCCCAGACAAGTCAAGACGGAGGTAACGAGCTCTCTGCCTCAGATGGCAGTAACCGGCTTTCCGGTGGACAGAACTTTGCACTCAAAATGCCCGTAAATCGTGGGAGCAAGGACACACAGTCCGATCTAGGTATGCCAATGTTTTGAGCTGAAAATTATTTTTCTTAGATATATATCTCAGGAGTATTGTCACCACCTTTTGATAATCTTTCCAGCGATGATTTGGCGACGACGAGTCAACCTGACGATAGGATGGATTCAAATGAATCAGATTATGATTGGGCCACTTTCATGGATGCGTATGCTTCTGGTCGATGGCATCCTCATCGCACACCAACACCTCCACGATCATTTCTAGCGTCGCCTTCTCATCCGACGTATATCAAAACGGACACTTCGGCTCCAAATTCATTACCTCTAAAAGCAGTTTCCTCAGCAGGAGATTTATTATTGGAAAGAGAAGCGCTCAACGTACAACCGCAGCCATCTATGTCCTCCACTCCGATGATCAACAGTTCACCATTAAGCACTCTCTCTGCTTCCCCAACTGAAGAAAAACAAGAAACTAATTTCCCTGACGTCCGGAGCGCTGTGCCAAGTGCTGAAATGTCTACAGCTTTCGTAATGGACAGGTATTCACCAAGGACGCCTTCTAAACTGTCTACCATGACTCGTCGCTTTCGAAAATCCTTTACCGACATGCCTTCCGCGTCAAACGCTCAACAGCTTAATCTGTCATTCGATTCTGGAAGTTCGATGATGGCCATGAATCCGGACGTCACTACCGCTGCAGCAACCATGCGATGGGCAGCTGCACGTGTCAATCTCGCGCCGCTTGCTCTTCCTTCTCCAGAACACGAACTCACTGACCCCATGCGTGGAGTGCATACTGCAATACCTGGTTCACACCCTCTCCCCCATAGCCCAAGTCTCGATCCTATGACACCTGGTGGCACTCGCAAGACTCGCCTTGGCAGCTTTTGGGAGGGCACTCAGGATATCGAAGACGGTGGCGATCGGCTCTATACGATAGCAGGGAGTCCTTCAACGACGCCACCCAAAGTTCGATCGACAGAGCCTCCCACTCCCGGTCCCATAGAACCCGCATCTGCTTCCTATCAGTTACCCCCTGCTACAGCCCCTTTGCTGCATCAGCCGTCAGAAGGCTCTTATGAACAGGATTATTTTGGTGACACCAATGCAAGCAGTGCACGGAGCGAACATTCCCAAACAGAATCGACACAGACACAATCGACAATACTTCGACAAAACTTTGCTGATTATCGACGAGATTCGGAGCCACTGAGTCTTGACATTTCGACTGTACCAGCACTGCCGCGGAGGATCTGTTTAACCCGTCAGACATCTTCACCCCTTCCACAATCGGCTTTCCGCAACAGAGTCTTGCCAGGTGGCCGCACGGTGTCTGAGCCTTTTAACAGTATAAAAGCGGGACGGGCGGCGAAAGAGGAGCAAATGTTTCAGGAATTGGGGTATCTCGCTCCTCCAAATCCTCCAGACGAACTCGAACGTCGCCGTGCATTATATAAGTAAGTTTGGTTTTGGGCTTTGACTCTATAGTCTGCTGACATGCTTCGCAGGTTTAACATATGGAACACTGGTCCTGATCTCAACTTTGATCGCATAGCTCATCTCGCGAAATTAGTATTCAACACCAAAAGTGTCTTCGTTTCGCTGATCGATGGCAACGAGCAGTGAGTTTTATTTATCATGACTTTATTCATTGCCTTATACCTCCTCGCAGATGGTTCAAATCGCAGTGTATGATTTGTGATCTTGTGACTTTTTCACCATATTAATTTTACCCAAATTCAGGGGGCATGGATTTCAGTAGCTGTGCGCGGATAACGTCCTTCTGTGCGCATGCTATTTTGCAAAGGTACAACATTTACCTCTTATTCAAGCTGCATTAATCAATCCATATTTCAGAGGCGACGAGCCTACAGTCGTTTTGGATACTCACACAGATTGGCGTTTCGCCAAGAATGTATGCAGTAATTTTCCCTAATTCGGATACCACTAACCTGCTTAATTACATTAGCCTCTTGTCTTGAATACTCCCAAAATGCGTTTTTATGCAGGTGCGCCCCTTAGAACGCAGGATGGTTTTAATATTGGAAGGTAAGAGTACTGCACGGAGTGTTTAATCTAGTATGATTGACATGACCATGTTGTTAGCTTGGCTGTTATCGATGATCAGCCTCGCCAAGACTTCACTCCTCGTCAACGTCATACATTGAAGGAGTTTGCGGTAAGTCCAGACTCTGGTACAGAGAAATTTTTTATCTCAACACCTACCGCTATCAGGCTATTGCAATGCGTGAAATGGAATTATGGCGTGACAAGGTATTTTGTTTTGTCGTGCTAGTGAAACGTTTGGTTAAATTTGAATGTCATAAGATCCAATTACGAATTCGAGACCGTATCCAGAATTCAGTGCGTATAATTAGTTGCTTTGTTACGACATCCGAGGCTTCACGACGCACATTTCGCAGATGGAGCAGTTCAGCCGAGAATGTCTTGAAATCGATGCAGAAATCCGGAAAGAAGGGAAAGCCCCTGATTTGTACGGTGGTGGGTCTATGGACAAGGTATATGACCGCGCAGCAAAACTCGTAAAACGTACTTTGGACGTGGAAGGCGTGATTGTCATGGATGTATCGCACTGCGAGGTCCTCGAGACGATGAATGCCGAAGGTTCGGTGTCTGTGGTTATGCACTATGGCGACCCACAATGCGAAACCACGACACAGTCATTGACAGCGGATGAATACAGCAAACTGAACGTTTTCTTCAACAAGTACCCCGACGGCAAAATCTCGGAAGGCATCCTCCCAATATGCTTCCGCCCTTTCATACCTACACACATCGAGTATGCGCTGAGTGAGAAATTAATTTCATATTCGCTTCTTTTGCTAGACACTGATCGAGACCTCATCTGTTATAACATCATTTCAGCTGTTCCTATTTTTAACATCGACAAGCGACCGTTTGCCCTGTTATGCGCATATAATGCTTCGGACCCTACGAGGCGCTTCGTGAGTGTATTACCAAACGGTGTCATTCTGGTCTAACTGTATATGTATAACTAGTTGGAAGGTCATGAACTCTCCTATCTGCGGGCAATAGGTCAGCTATCTGCTGATTGTAAATGGATCACTACTAAACCATTATCAGGTGTCATTATCTTGTCAGCGGTTTTGAAACGGCGGATGATGCTGGCTGATCAGGCTAAGAGCTTGTTTATATCAAAGTATGTAACTCTTTTGTCTGCGAGTCAAGGTGTACTCATATTTTGATAGTATATCGCACGAGCTGCGCACCCCTTTGCATGGTGTTAGTCATTTCGAGTCATATTTTTTCATCTTCGTTTTTTTCAACGTGACATTCAGATCTTGGCCGCTGCCGAGCTATTGGCTGAAACCCCACTTAACCACAGTCAAATCTCGTTCCTCCACACTGTACAAGCTTGCGGAACATCGCTAGTAGAAACGGTTAATCACGTGTTAGACTTCACCAAGCTTAGTGGTAATGTTAAGTCGGGTGGAGTTGATAACGTCATTGTCCGAAGCAGGTACGCTGTTAACTGTGGTGTATTGTATGATAGATGTTGATGGTCATCTCTCAGAGTCGATATGATGCAGCTGGTTGAAGAGGCCATTGACGGATGCTGGATAGGTCATTGTGCTCGTACCTCCGCCCTACGGGAATCCGAAATTGGTAGTGTGTATTCGCCACCAACCCCTGATATGCAAACACCTATCTCTGCACATGCGACCACACCTTTCCCAACTAAACATGTGGAGATTGTCATCGACATTGATCAACGCCCTGGTGTATGCTTTTCATCCCTGATTTTCGGTTCTGATACTAAATATTCATATTCACTACAGGGTTGGACACTCATATGTGAGAAGGGAGGAATACGGCGGGTATTGATGAATCTTTTCGGAAATAGTCTCAAATTTACCTCGGTATATTCATATTCCCTATTATTTTCCTGTGTCGGGGTTTTGATATATAGCTTTGCAGGACGGTTATATCCATGTTTCACTACGACAATCACATGAAGAAGGCAGCGTTTCCGGTAATAGCATGAAAATAGAGCTGGCCGTTACTGACACGGGCAAGGTAGGTTTTCGAACTAGATTTTATCGATGAAGATTTAACTGGTGATTTTGGTAGGGAATCAACCAGAATTTCTTGAAGGTACGGGAAAGCACTACTGATATCATCGTGGGCACGTACTAACAAAGCACACAGAATCACCTATTTCACCCATTCTCGCAGGAAAACCCACTTCAGCCAGGCACAGGCCTTGGCCTGGCCATCGTGAATAGCATTGTTCAATCTCCTAGTATTGGTGGTAAGGTCGATGTCTCGAGTGAAGAAGGGGTAGGTACAGAGATCAAAATCACGTTTGAAGCCGAACAAGTGGGACCGGATGCGAAGAACTATCAGGAACCGTTTGTCTTTGAGGACCCCTTGAATCCGCCAACCGTTTCCCTTGTTGGCTTTAGAAAGAAGAGGAAAGGCATCCAGTTAGTTTCCAGCGTTATATGCACGTACCTTACATCTTGGTGGGGTTTCAAGGTGCAGCCCGACGGATCTGCATTGGGGGACATCGTCATCATAAACGAAGACCCTACGCTTGTGCAAAACTCTACGCAGAGGATGGAACGTGACCATATGTTCATCTTGCTTTCGTCGTCAAGGGGTAGCCCAAGAATCATGGGAATATGTGGTGCTTATGAACGCATAGGCGGATTTTGCAGAATATTGTACAAGCCCGGAGGACCTTCAAGGTTACGATCTGCCCTAAAGCACCTTCTCAGAGCGAAGCAGCGACGTCAAAAACGATCTTCCAGTTTCATTAGTGATAATGCCTCGGATGATAGTATGTCGACGATGTTTACGGAGGAGTCTCCGCGGCCAGACGGGTCAAGTCGACAGAACTCGGGGGAACACTCGGCAGCTACGTCCTTGGATAGGGATTTAACTATAGTTGCTCCGATACCCGGTTATCCTGAATTTGATTCATTCGACTCTGGTCCAAATACTGTCGTGGATCCAAGAAATTCGACTGCACAGCGGAATCTTAAGAATTCTACGGTCACTGTTGGGGCAGGAGGGACGCTGCTGAAGTCTTCTATTGGGTCTCTGCATTCAATGGAGCGACGATTTCGGATGCTCATTGTGGAAGACAATAGCATTCTTCGGAATCTTCTGTGCGTTTTTCACCCTCTGCGTGTTTGCTTTTTTGTTTTACGAATCGGCAAATCTTTAGTGCCAAGTGGTTATCGAAGAAGGTGACGTATCAGTTTGGTATGCGAGGACGAAGTTTTAACACGTATTGCAGGGATATGATTATCAAGAAGCCGTAGACGGACAGCAAGGGGTCAATATTTTCGAACAAAATGGCCCGTTTGAGTAAGTGCAAGTCGTTCTTGACTCTGCGATAATAATTAATGTGTAAAAAAAACTCTAACAGTGTTGTTCTGTTGGACCTTTCTATGCCTGTGCTTGATGGTCAGTCTACGCAACGATGATGAACGGTTTTGCTTAACAATTATTCAGGTGTTGGTGCTACTGTGAAAATACGCGAAATCGAGACGGATCGTTCGATCGAGAAACCAGCTCGGATATTAGCGTTGACCGGAATGTCTTCCTTAGAAGATAAACGTAAAGCCTTTGAAGCTGGCATGGATGGATAGTACGTGCAATGTTTTCGCTATTCTTGGGGTTGGATTAACGCACGTCATGTCTACAGCCTTGTCAAGCCTGTAGCGTTCAAAACGCTTGATGAAATGTTTCACAAACTCGGTCTGTCTTGACGTCTGACATATTTTCTAGGTTTCCGGGACAATTTGTTGCTCTACTTATACACATGTTCTAATTACATCCCCCATCTTATTGGCTGACAAGCGTCGTTCGTTCCATTACTTGTACTATATCTGTTGGCTTTTTCCCGTAGTCTATCTCTGTATCCCAGGTTTCAGGTTATTGGCATCTTCTTTTTTTAAGTACCAGCAAATTTCGGATATACATTCTCAGTTTTCATGGTCATGAACTCGATGAGCTTTTTCAAATCATCCTGGAAACACCCAATTTCAGGTAAACAGCACAACAGATACGTCAATATATATGCAATCTACAACATAACATACAAGCTACAAAATCCAGGGCGTATATGTGTATCCCTCTCCACAGTGTTGATACAAATTAGTTGCGTGGAGTCGGAACTAGCCTTTTTTTTTTCTCTTCCTCAAGTCCCACATCCTACATACCACCGCTAAGCGTGGTTATAGATCACCAATCTCACCAGTGTATAGCGACATACACTGTGCGGCGGTAACTCATGCAGCAACAGGGACAGGCGCCGGGCTAGATTGAGCCTCGCGGTGCTGCTTGAGCAGCCGGTCAAGCGCCTCCTTTTGGCCGACAGCAAGCTCTCCTGACTGAATACCAGAGTGGTAGACACGGAGGAGAGAGTCGACATCGTCCATGGATTGTGTGCGGACGTCAGCGAGCTCCTTGATCTTGGCAGTTGCATCCTTGATCTAGTCACAGGAGGGTTAGCCATCCCGTCAGCGACGTCGCTTTGTTTGTGTGATGGGGGGGGACTCGACTAACCTCGTCATCAGTGAGAGTAAGCCCGAGTTGTTCGACTCGCGACTTGACTGCGTTCCATCCTGTCAGACGGTGACTATGGGATACAAGAAAAAGTCAATTTGTGAATAGTAATAGGCGAACTTCTCAACTGACCCGATGGAGACGTAACGAGTGAGACCAAAGTCCTCAGGCTTGAGGATCTCATACGTGCTGGGGTTGTTGAGGATAGCCTTTGCGTGAATACCCGCCTTGTGTGTGAATGCACAGTATCCACTAAAGAAATGAGCAGTCAGCCTCCCGTAACATTCGCGAAATCGCATGGATAGGATGCCTACGTGATAGGGTTCATGAAGGGCACGTTGACTTCGACTGCTTCTGCTACGAGGTTTTCTATTTCTCGCAGCATGGGTAGGTTGTACTTAGCCTTGACATATTCGGGGTTTGCGGCGTAAAGGCAAGCAACGAGACCACCGAGGGGGGTAATCCCGACACGCTCACCAATGCCAAGAACAGCTGTCGAGTTATGACATCAATTATAGAACATATGTGAGTGACCTGGCTGCCACTTACAGGTGTCGATGTGGGTTGCACCAGCTTCAAGCGCGGTGTAGGCATTAGCGATGGCTAAAGGCCGGAAAATATATTAGTGTATGCAAGCCAAAGGGAAGGGATCATAACTTACCCATTCCGGTATCGTTGTGCAAGTGAATCTCAATATCACAACCAACGACACCCCTCAAGGTCCTTACGAGGTCATAAACCTGACGGGGGTTCGCACAGCCGACGGTATCCGCGATACCCACTCGGTTGACGCCGATCTTGTCGACGGTTTGGTATATCGAAAGCAAGTCCACGAGATCTGAGCGGAAAGAGTCCTCTGATGAGAAACGGACTTCGATGCCCTTGGACTTGACAAAGTTGATGACCTCGATGGCGGTCTTGGTGATGTAAGTCATGTCCTTTCCGTGTGAGAATTCACGGAGGAAAGAAGAGGTGCCGATCACAACGTCGACACCATCGACACCTGAACCAGGCAAGGAAGGTTAATACCTGTCGAAGACCGAGACGCACAAGACCAGGTATGTCCAAGATACTGACAGATACTGACTTGACATGCGCCGGTGCCCAACAGATCTGATCACTTTTGGATGGTCAAGTCGACTTACCAGTCTCTACGGCAATTCTGGCGTCATCCATGTGGCAACGAATGTGGGTGAGGACCTTGGCCTTCAAACCAAGCTTGCAGATGGCCTCGCAATCTGATCGGGATTGCTCCGAAGCAGCGGGAGAGGTGAGCTCGATGTACTCGACACCGAAAGCATCGAGAGCCTTGGCAATGGCGATTTTAGTTTTGGTATCGAAGAAAGCATTGGCAAATTGCTCGCCCTCTGCATAAGGTTAGAAAAAAAGGCATGAGAAAGGAAGGTGTGGGAGTAATAAGAAAGAAGAGCCAACCTCGGAGGGTGCTTTCGATGATGCTGAAGTTTGAGATGTTGCTGAGGAAGTCTGATGCCCTAGGTGCATATGGGTTTCGTTGCTGCTGGTCTCTTTGTGCGCGATGGCCGTTGATGCCATTTGTCCCGTTGGTGCCGTTGACACCGTTGACCTTGGAGGTGGAACCGTTTGTGTCTACAGAAACCATTTGGTCTGGGTTGGTAGGGAGAGAATCACCGTTTTGATGGGGACACATGCTGGATGGCGAGGTATAAGTATCAAAAAATTTCGACAGATTCGAGTCAAAGGTATGGATGTCGTGAAAAAAAGAAGTCAAAAACTGTACAGGGGGAATTTTATCTTGCAACTCTGAGTCAGATCTATGCCGGCTGGTCGGCCGACGGACTTGCCACACTTTTCATCAATAACCTGGACTTGAATACTCTCCATTTTGATCTAATCTACAGAAAATATCATATCTAAATTCCTACTGAAAGGTGCAATAAGGTACCAGACACCGTGCCTGATCTCGTCTCGAGGACTAAAAGTGCGCGTAGATCATCCATCTGTCGTGAACAATGTTGCAGCGTTCCTGCAATCGCAGTGCCATGGCCTAGCATTGCCTGCCATGTAGTCCACATGGTGCATGTGGACCATCGTCTTTCGTAACCAAGCGCTGCCATCGTCGCCATTGCCGTTCGATCAAGCGATCCGGGAACTGTGCACCTGTTATAGCGCAGAAAGAATAAACCAGGCCAGGAGTTGTGATAGTCCCAGTCGTCGCAACGGCCCTGTATGAAGATAGCGTGTCAGCAGTCGACTGTTCGCCAATCACAAAGTAATGACACTGTGAGCGCTGACCTCTGGTATTGCGCCATCATATGACCCTTTTCTCGCACCGTGTCTCGTTGTGCACACCTTCACAATTTAAGTCGCAATAAGGCATCGCACACCTCCTGCATTTATACCTCCCTTGATACCCACACACCGAACAAATCAGTCTCGTAGGCTCTCTAGGAGGAGACGTCACCGCCGTCAGATAAGTAGGGACATGTGCTGGAAGGTGTGCGATACCCTGAAATAAGTCAACTAACAACTGAGGAGGAAGCAGTAGTGCTCATCTTGACTTACGGACTCTTCGATGAGTGTAGAGAGATTCTTGCGGTACAAAAGCGCAGTGCGAACGTTCATGGTGGATTTCTTCCTCTTTCCAGTGATATCAAAGTGACGTTTGTCAGAAATGGTCTGTCGGGATCGTCCTTTTGCGTACTTTCCCCCACCACCATCTTCCTCGTCGTCGCCAAGTAGTGAAAAGGATGGTTCCGCATAATTCGACCGCTGCAGTTATAAACTAAGAATCTGTGCGAGGAATAGCTGCTTTCGCCATACCTCTAGTTCATCGAGATGTCTCTTTGTACGTTTCGCGATGATTTCTGGTGCAAGGATCTGTTTGGCTGCGTTGACTTGCCTCGCGGCTGATAGGAATAGATGAATTGCTGACTCCTAGAAACATAGGATAGCTCACCTTGTTCCCTTGCTTTTTTGGGTGCCATTATATGACTTGCAGCAAGCTTGTTTCGGCCGATAAGCTCTTGAATGGAGTGGAATGGCAAAGAAAGCACGCCATCATGTGGCTATGCTGCTGTATTACCTCAGGACGGCCGCTAAGCCATCCTGCATGTTACTTGCGAAATCTGGCCATTGCTTTATTTTAAACGTGCTTGCTTTTACTTTCTTGCTTCACTTCTGACCGCACAATATGGCCCCTTCCATTGACCCAAAATTCAAAGCTGACAGTGCTCTCCATGATCTGCCCACTCCAGAGCCCGAGTCACCTTACAGACCTCGCCAGCCTTACCGTTTCTCCACACTTTGTGCTACTGTCGAAAACCCATCGCAAAAGGACCAGTATGGGTCGAGTTCCGTGCCCATCTATCAGACAGCAACGTTCAAGGGGATTGGGGCAGAGTATGATTATTCCAGGAGTGGTAATCCCACCAGGAGCCACTTAGGTGAGTCACAGATCAGTCCATCTTGGGGGATTGGGTATGCATGTTTTCGTGAAAAGTAGTAGTGGATCGGGAGTATGAATATCAAACTTTAGATATCGCGATAGCATCTGCTATGTTTCATCTCTTTTTCTAGTGCACATATGAGCTGTGACTCACGTCATTTCAGAGCATCATATCGCAAAGATATCATCTGCTGCGCATGCTTTCGCCGTTTCGTCAGGAATGGCTGCTTTGGATATCATCCTTCGTCAGCTCAAACCGGGAGACGAAGTTATCGCAGGTGATGACTTGTACGGTGGTACCAATCGCTTGCTTGGTTACCTCAAGGCCCATGGTGGCGTTACCGTTCATCATGTTGATACCACCAAGCCTTCTAGCCTCTTGGAGTACATCAAGGCTGGAAAGACAGCTATGGTTCTCCTGGAGAGCCCAACGAACCCCTTGCTCAAGATTTGCGATCTTGCGACCATCTCGGCCAATGTCAAGGAACGTGCCCCGGATGCCGTTATCGTGGTAGACAACACCATGATGAGCCCTTATTTGCAGCGGCCGTTGGAACATGGCGCAGACATCGTATACGACAGTGCAACCAAGTATCTCAGTGGACATCATGACTTGATGGCTGGTGTGATAACCTGTAATAGAGAGGACCTAGCTAAAGTTAGTACTCTTCATCTTGATATGCAATGACTAACTCTGATACGTTTTGCAGCAAATGGGTTTCATTATCAATTCAGCGGGCAATGCATTGACGCCGTTTGACTGTTTCCTCTTGCTTCGTGGCATTAAAACGCTTGCTATCCGAATGGACCGCCAGCAGTCAACAGCAATGCAAGTAGCCAACATGCTCGATCGTCTAGGCTTTAAGGTGCACTACCCAGGACTTGCGAGTCATCCTGATCGAGAGGTGCACGAAAGAATTGCAGACGGCTACGGTGCGGTTCTCAGCTTCACCACCGGCGACAAAGCGCTCAGCGAGCGAATCGTCGGCGCTACGAGGCTATGGGGCATTAGTGTCAGCTTTGGCTGTGTGAATTCATTGATAAGTATGCCTTGTGTGATGTCGTACGTATTCTTATTTGACTCAACGTGCTCGTACTGATGCTTAGTCCAAGTCATGCATCGATTGATCCTGCCACCCGTGCTGCTCGTGGATTACCCGAGGACCTCATTCGTCTATGTGTCGGTATTGAAGACCCAGCCGACCTTTTAGATGACCTTGAACGTGCGCTACTTGAAGCTGGCGCTATCACGCTTTCTGCAGGTGCAGATGAGCACAGATATGTACGTGCCTCCCATCCCAGCGAAGGATCCGCGATCAGTCGTGCGGTAGAGAAACTTGCCTTCAACGATGCAGCTGGACTCGGATACATGAAAGAACGTCATCAGGAGGATAGAGAGTGGTTTGTCAGTGCTCCTGGAAAGGTGATATTGTTCGGAGAGCATGCTGTTGTGCACGGGGTTGTGAGTGTTACTTTTCACATCAATCGTGCGTTCTGGGAAGTCTGATGCAGTTTTGGATCAGACTGCTATCGCGGCATCTGTCGACCTTCGTTGCTATGGTCTAACTACACCCCGACATGATGGAAAGGTATCAGTTCATTTCATCGACATCGATAATTTCAAGCATGCTTGGGAAGTGGATGATTTACCATGGGAAGCTGTCACTCCTGTCGGCGTGGGCGGTGAACATCCAGAATCTCTCGATCTCAAACTCGTCGAAGCCATCACATCGCGTGCGCTGCCAAGCTCGATACCACCCAAAGCCAAACAAGCTTCCACTGCCTTTTTGTATATGTACATGGTCCAGGCTCACGGCGGTGTGAGGTGCGTCATTTGACACTTTCTGTTTATCTTTTACGACTGGTATTTACGTATATTGTGTTGTTCAGACCGTCCTTCAATTTCTCCGCTCGTGCTACTCTACCTATCGGCGCAGGCCTAGGTTCCTCCGCCTCTTTCTCTGTTTGTGCAGCTACTGCACTTCTCCTCCTTCATCAACGCATCTCGATCCCTCCTCTGCCTCCCCCCACGCGTGAAGGACGTCCTGGCGAGCCTGGCCATATCCACGTTTCTCATCAAGGTCGTCGCGCCATTGAACCTAAAATCGCGGAAGAGGTCAATCGCTGGGCATTTGTCGCAGAGAAAATTTTGCATGGGAATCCCAGTGGTGTAGACAATTCAGTCGCGGTGTTTGGTGGTGCACTGGCATATACTCGGGCTGGGTTTGGGAAGAAGAGCGGGATGGATCCTATTCAAGGGTAAGCTTTTGATTTATATCATGATCTATTGTTTTCCTAATGGAACCCGTTCACAGGTTTAAATCACTTCGGTTCTTATTGACGGATTCGAAAGTTCCTCGAGATACCAAGAGTCTGGTGGCTGGAGTTGCAGTCAAGAAGGCTCAGGAACCAGAGTTGGTGAATGGAATAATGGATCTCATACAAAGCATCAGCGACGAGGCTCGTCGCGCTCTGGCCGACCCTGAAATGTCTAGAGAGTCTTTGATATCTGCACTATCCGTAAGTAATACTTACCATTCAATCACAACACAACCTCATATTTTTGCGTTATAGGCCTTGATAGACGAAAACCACCAACATTTAGTTTCGCTGGGGGTATCTCACCCAACCCTAGAGGCTATTCGTGCCAAAACCGCATCAAATCCCTACAATCTCAGTACTAAACTCACAGGCGCGGGCGGTGGTGGTTGCGCAGTGACGTTGGTGCCTGATCGTGAGTAAACTTGCTCAACAGTATTGGTCATTGTCGGTTCTAACAACTAAGCTTTTGAAACAGACTTTACGGACTCCGATCTCAACGATCTGATTGCGGCCCTATCTTCCGATAATTACGACCCTTATTTCACTTTGGTTGGAGGAAGCGGTCTTGGTATTCTTTCGCCATATAACCAACCTCAAGCTTCAGCTAGAAAACAACTTGCTCCCATTACCCCGCCCGAGACACCCGGAGAGCAAACAAATGGTACTGAAGAAGAGGACGCCCTTCCGGAGTCTTTGGGTGCCGCATTTGAAACAAGCTCTACTACTGAGCTAGGAGAGTGGGCTGACGCTCGTGGAAGGTGGCTGTTCGTGTAACTGCTCCGCGAAACCCATGGAGTCGTGTATCGTGTGCTTGTAATACTATTGCATATGTTACGTACACCATATCGTAACAACGTGTGTTATCATCATTACTATGAAATTTCTGGCACTGCACTTGCTAGGGCCTTGAGGCAGAGGTCCGGGATGTTTTAAGGTGCTTAACGACTATCTCATCAATGTAATGCATGCATGCACAGGATGATGAAGCTGGACGAGTCACTGTTTTTTGGCAGTTGGTAGCAGCTCCCCCTCATCATATTGCACTGGCATACCCCTTTACTTGCCACTTTGATACTACTATAACAGTTGGCGCTTCCAGAGTCTCAGAGTGTGGGCCATCCTGCTCGAGCTTCAAATTGTTGAGGATTGAGAGTGAAAAATGTCACCGAGTAACTGAGTCGTGGTAGGAACAACTAGGGAGTTTCAGTAGTAAACAAGTGCTGATATTGTTTTCCTCTAGTATTCATAGTAATATATATATCTGATTGTAGTTTATGATAACGAAGTTAATGTACCAACACAGATAAATAAGTAGAATGTGGGTCCAAAATACATTGGAGAACAATATAATAAGCTATATGTATTATTTCAGGGCGAGGAAATTAGGGAAGGTCAGATTACAATTATAGGAAAGAATTAAACTCGATAATATGGTCCTTCGACCGTGATTTCTACAGAGCGCTCTATCACTCTGAGGGCGACAAACAGGGCCACCATCGTGACCTATCTCACGGTGTTGCCCTCAATGTCGCTCTCATCATCGCCTCTGTTCACGGGCTTATTCTTCATCATCGCTTTCCCCCTCCTGCGGTTTCAATGTGACAAGGCGTGTGCGCAAGACTTCATCGTGCATTGCTCCGAAATAACGCGGTGTCTCGAAGCTCCACTCGAGATTTCCAACGACCCATTGACCGAGGGCTTCAACATAACGGCCGACATCTGCATCTACAGACTTGCCCCATGAGGGTAATTTAGCCTGTTCTGCAGACCATGTGCGCATGCATTGGCCAAAGATGACTCCCACTTCGTCGGCAGCGGCCTGAAGGTCGATGCCTTTATCCTGCATAATGACCGTGACAACATTGTTGCCTGTGTGTCCCATTGCCTGCTCCATGTTATATGAATACACGTCCTGATGGTTTCATGATTAATATTGTGTGTAGTTTGTAACAAGCGGAAGAAATACTGACATTTGACCAGCATACCATGTCTACACCCGCGAAGTAGATATTCGTAAATGTAGGGTCGTCGAAGACTTCATCCGGAAGATTTAACCCGAGAGCCATTTCAGCGAGAGCAAAGCAGGGGCGGACAGCGCTGTTCTCGCGCCTGAGATGAGTATATGACTGCATACTAAGGACTTCGCGTTTCTCGCGAAGCTCAGCTTCCTTCGAAACTGCTTCTACATAGTTCGCACAATGTACGAGGAAACGACTGAAGCATCTTGGCTTGGTTACGGATACCATGCGTGCACGGAACCTGAGACGGACAATTAAATAAGGAACCATGCAGCGGATGAAAAAATGACCTACTCTTTTGTCATCTTGACAAGGATAGAATCGCTTTGATATTCTGGGTCTACCATGGCCCGAAGGAAAAGCTGGCAAGTCGCTCTCGCGTCTTTGCCGTCCATGGCATCGCTGAGCTCATCAACAACAAATAGGAGGTTGACAAAGTCGCAACAGGTTCGGAACTCCTCGTAGCCAGCATACGGATACGCGCGGCAGCAGAGTAGTTCATTACAACCTTGAACGAAAGCGGCACGTTTTTTGTCGGTAAAAACACCGTACTGATTAGCCCAAGCCCTTGATGCTGCACTGGCTTCTTTGTAATGAGGGTTCCCTTTCCCAAATTCCAAAGGGCACATTGCATGCAGATCAGGCAGAGTGAAGTGGGTGGTGGCTGAAGACATGTCGATGAATGGAATGAGCTATGGGGATGTCGACCAGTGAACTTTTTTGTACGGCTTATATAGTATCCTCTTAAGGGGCTGTCTGAGTAAGTCACTGTCGAGGAAACTATTACACGGGGTACACCGGAATAATATTCCCCGTCACGGAAGTTTCAACAACATGGACACACCGCACTGTTACGAAGGACTCCGAGTCAGGAGACATGCCCACACGTGAGGAGCGATTGAAAGCGCTGAAGGTAATTGCAGTGTTGTTTAACAATTTCATGCCCTCAAGTTCCAATGGGAGTGGTTTCAGATCGGGTTGATGAAGTTCCGGCTATGTGATTGAAATCCTTGTCAGTTTAAAGATATTTTATCTCTATATGGATCCTAAATATCTCCTCATAGTGTAAAGTCAGCAAATGTGCGTGCTGCTTAATCAACCAGAAGAAGCTAAACATAATTGAGTCAGTGTCGGTCACAGCGCCTATGGTTCCCAAACATACCATAGCACACGGGGATACCCTCGGAGTTTCATTATGCAGCGTATGGCGCTATAAGCTAGCGCCTATGGATATCCCGTCGTTACTGAACAGGCCTGATGTATTCAGTGCAAATCATTCTTCGGAGAGGAGCCTGTGGAATGATCAGATAGTTTTAAAAAACCAAAGATATGACACTTAGGATTCGTCCCGGTATTTGTTGATTGACCGCAAGGAATACATACGTACCACCGTGATGGAATGCAGACAAGAGCAAGCCGTGAATCTGCGTTACGTTTTCACTTGAGTTGTACCTGGATCTTGCTAAATCATGGAACGGTAGAATATAAATTTACCACCGGTGAAATCCACAAGTTAATTTAGGAGGATTAAATTGTAAGGTCTCACGAAGTCACGTTTAAATGTTTACCGGAGGCTTCCTTAATTCTTCCTAGGTGATTTCCCGACTCAGTGTCTCATTCTTACAGAAAGCACCAACGACTGTAGTGGAAAGATAATTCTCTTTTGCAGCGAGGGTGATGTCCTTCGGCAGTTTGAAACAAGCAAGAGCGAGTGTTGAATATTGAATAAGCGCAGCGTTTCAACGGGACGATCGCACCGATGGGCGCTTCTGCTCAAGAGAATCAGCGTCTATTGAAAAGGACAGTATTAGATGATAGCTATGCTCACTTCAAGACTACCTGCCCAGGTGCTAAGATGATCGGTTGTGTTCGGCTGCGGCGTGGAGGTTAAGGACATCGCCTCGTCAGACATATTGAAGAGTGCGCACTACAACCATTGTTTCGCGGGATATTTCGGACATGGTATCGCGATAGTAATTCAATAAACACAGGCTTGCCTTAGTATCTCATCAATCTCATGGGATCCACAAAACACGTCAAGTCCTCGGAGTGTAAATGTCGAAGTGACCCATTTATGTTCAGTGGGGAGGTGCAATAGAATACCGATCTCCATGCCAGGGCTCCAGTGAACGTACCAAGCTATGAAAGGCAGAGTCCTGTCACAATGAGATCAGGGTATCGTATCCACCCTAGAAGCTATAATAAGACAGGCATCACCACAGATTTATTGTCAAGCCCTTGCAATGAAAGAAAAACAGAGATCACATGGCACTTTCGAGATAACGTGTGGGTTCCGGAGATTGGCGCGCCCAGCTCGTGAATGCCCAGTGTTCCCCTGCATATGTCTATGCTTATTGGCCCATCAGTATAGTCTTACCAAAAGTTCCGTCGAGGGCGGAGTACAACAATCGTGTGACGGACGCCACGAAGTCAATGATACAGAGTTTTCTATGACACTGCTAATGTATACATTGTGAGCGACACCAAATGGGTGAGAAAGCAATAAGTGAATTAAAACAGTTTTTTTTTTAATACGAAAGGAGCGAGAGATATACACAAACCCAGGCTGCCGAAGGCCTAGAAACATATACGATAGCTTGCATACCGCCCACTAGTTTCACTTGGTCGGGTTATTTTGACGACTTGGCCACGCCTCAGCCCATAATAGCGAGCAACAGGATCAGCCAGTTGTATTCGCGGTAGTTGCGTTTCTTTCAGGCGGCTAGAATGCAACCCACCAAAAAGTCAGCCAACCAAATTGAATTTATTTGAAATCATACTATTTTTCCAGCAAAGTTTTCTTTTCCTCAGGTGTGAGAACTTCATGTTTTGGCACCAGAGTGTGATGGGTGATGTTGACCAGAAGATCAGACTCGGAGAACTCTTCTAACCGATACTGGGCGGCCATAGCTGCAATAACCTGTCAATATCATACATCAGGATCATATCGCAGGATGAGCACATTAATATGGACCTTTCGGGCAGACGGTGTCATGTTCCCTGGGAAGACTATTATGCCCCGCTGTATAGACTTTTCCTCAAGGATACCCAGCAATCTGAGATGTTGTCTCCTGAGAAAACAGCGGATTTGAATAGATATTATGACACACTTTCGCATTGTTTTCACTCCTACACTCTTTTCGTCAGAGAAGAATACAAAAATCTGATCTGTTGGGTTCGTCCGGGAGTTTGTGAAAAAGTTGAGCTGATTGCGACTAGGCAGTGTTCAGAATGAGACAAGCTCAATACAACAAAATCCCCTGAACGTACTCAACGCTGCCTCCGTTGTTTGCATAGTGGGACCGAAAGGTAACTAGATCCATATGAATTTCATCGTCTGAGACTGCAAACCCCTAGATTACATTCAATGCACAGCATCAGATAGAAAGCACAGGTTACGATGTTATTATCGACACAAAAGATGCAATACTGACTCTGTCTTTGACCAATTCATGGATAGTTCTGTTTACTTTCCATAGCTTGGCTGTTTCGTCCTCCATCAGAGTGGCAGAAAAAGTCGGATTGGAACTCAGACGTTACAACTGGCGCTATAACCCGCTCATCCATTAATGGCTCCAACCACATCCAATGGCGGCACCCAGCTCTCCTCCATTGCGCTTTCCAATGCGCTTATGGTCAGTCTTATTTGTTTAACGCACAGATTTGGTTTCTTATTAGTGTTACTGGGCTGTAGAACAAATTGAAGCCAGCTAAAATATATAAAGGCGCCGTCGAACCTTTGCCACCACCAACACCCGGAAGTTATACACGCTCGAATGCAGGACCACGGCATATCACTGGAATAAGTTTCGACGACAGGGGAGACCAGATCCTGACAGCTGCTGAGGACGAGACTTTCCGGCTTTATAATTGCAAAACTGGCAAGCAAGTTCCTATCTATTCGACTCCATTTACCACCACTTATCTTGCCGCTTCCTATACAGACATTTGAAAACTCTTTATTCGAAGAAATACGGCGTGGATCTCCCTCGGTTTACCCACAAGAACACTGCTATAGTGCATGCCTCCACTAAAGAAGACGACACGATACGGTATCATTCGTTACACGATAACAAATACTTGCAGTACTTCAGAGGCCATAAGCAACGCGTCGTCTCACTCGAGGTTTCACCCGTAGATGACGGATTCATGTCCGGCTCACTTGACAAGACCGTCCGTCTCTGGGATCTCCGCACCCCTCACTGCCGAGGCCTCCTCAACCTGCCTTCAGCTCCCATCGTTGCCTACGACACAACAGGTGTCGTATTTGCCGTAGCCGTCAACCATTACTCGCGCATTCTACTCTACGACCAGGCAAATTTCGACAAAGCCCCTTTCCTCACTATCACACTCGAAGATCCCACCCTGGCCCTAGTAAGCTATCCCCCACGGCCGATCTACATGACCTCGCTATCCTTCTCTTCAAACGGGAAATACATCCTTGTCGGCTGTTCTGGCGATGCGCACTATATCCTCGACGCTTTCGAAGGTCATTTACTGGCAAAGCTCGAGGGACATATGGGATTAGAACGACGGAGGCTCGACGCACCGGTAAGCATCGACCCGGTCAAAGGGAACAGCGGGGAGGAGGTTTCGTGGACGCCTGACTCTAAATATGTGGTTGGAGGGAGTTTGAACGGTCGAATCATCGTGTGGGACGTGCAGCACTTGCCAGCTCGGACAGGCACCCCAGATTTAAAAACACCTCCAACGCGTATCCAACCTCTGGTAAATTTAGAAGGCCATCCAGGACCGTCTAGATGTGTAAGGTTTAACCCGAGATTTGCCATGATGGTCACCGCTGGAGCTGAGCTTGTATGTCGCCTTGGTTTGTTGCCATAGCTAAAGTACTAATTAACGTGTAGGCATTTTGGCTACCCGACCAAACAGCGGACAACGAGGAAATCGCAAAGGAGCTGCTGAAAAAGAAGTCCAGTTGATGTACTACTACACTTATATTAGACGTGTAATTATACTATTATTATCTCGTATTGCATGCCTTCTGAAGGTTGCTTTCTCGAATTTATGGGATCAAATTGTTTCAGTGTGACCTCAAATGCTCAGAAATTTGCGATGCAGAGGATAGCAAAACTAGACTAAAATACATTGGATCGTGCCTCGCACAAAGTAAAATCATTGCCCGGCCTCTTGGATGGTAGTACACCCAGAAATAATAGAAGAATGAACCAGCAATCCCTACATGCCGATATATAACAATGGCCACGGCATCGAACCCTATGACTGTGCCAGCTGCGCAAGCGAAATCTGGTTTTTCGAAATATCTGTAGAGAAATATGCGTTCTTCAAGAAAACATCGCCCACCTAGTAGAGAACAATTTAAATGAATAATCAGAGGTTTACGGCAGGCGACGATGCAACTTACCAGCCACTCATCTGCGCCACCCACTGAACCAGCTTGAATACCGGACATACAGGTGCCCGTAGGGTCATTCAAATCCATAGGCAATACTGTGATGTCACTAGGATCAATGGCGAATGCCGCACCCCCAAAGGTAAGAGCCAAGCTGGAATTCATTGTGCATGGCACAGTGCAAGTTCCTTGAGAATCGCAAGCTCCACCCAGCATCTGGTTGATTGTTGCGGCATCCTGAGGAGGTGCCATGACGAGAGTGGTACCAGTGTCAAGGATAGCAGTCCGGTTTGTAAGTCCAGAGTCGGCGCCATTGACGGTGAGAGCGGTCATGGCTCCTTCCCAGAAACCTTGCGTGTTGACGTTGGCGAAGGTTACCAATGAGTTGGCAACGAACTTGGTTGCGTCAAGTCCACCAAACGTTACTTCACCATCGTTGAGCTGATCAGAAAGTCGAGAGATCTTGAAAGACGTTATTGCTGAAGAAATAAGACCAGCAGATGCAAGAGATTCAACAGGGGTTGGGACGCCTTCCTCGGAAAGGGTCTGGTAACGTCGAGTCATAAATCCCTAAACTAAGTTGGGATCTTAAAAACCGACATACCGATTGTGCAAGACCCATCAAGCCATCAAAAGGCACGGTGTCACTGGCAAACTGAACAGACTCTTCATTGGCTACCCCGAAAGTATGTGCGTTCAAGGCAAGACCGGCGATGTTGACGTTGTCTTGGCAAAGAACACCAGCAACGGCACCAGAGCCATATTCCACCTGGAACTGTTGGGTGGACTGCTTGAAGGAAGTTGAACTCTGCGAACCAAGGAATGTGTGGTTTCCCTGAAGAGTATATTTATTAACGACCTATACTTTGTGCTCGTCAAAACGGACGGTAAATAAATTACTTACGCAGGTTCCTCCGCCTTGAGCCTGACAGGTTTCACTGCCAACCCAAAAGTCGGCTGATCCCGAATCCATCAGAATCTTGAAGTCCTGAGCTGGCGTTCCAATTTGAACAGTGGCAATGTATCCGACATCATCAGCTCTAATAAGGATATTAAAATTATAAATTAACAAATATTGGATAAATCGAACTTACTCAATGTCTAGTCCAAGGGAGTTGTTAGCCGTAGGTGTGTTAGCAGCTGTTAACCCGCCGTTTTGTGCGGCTTGTATATCGATTTGGGAGACTCCGGTGCTGTTGCCAGTAGTGGTGCCATTTCCAGAAGTTGAACCGGTTCCAGTAGTGGTACCGTTGCCAGTAGTTGATCCCGTACCGGTGGTAGTACCGTTGCCAGTAGTTGAACCTGTTCCAGTAGTGGTGCCGTTGCCAGTAGTTGATCCCGTACCAGTAGCAACACCCCCGCCAACAGTACCCTTTCCAGCAGCACCTTTGCCAGTAGAAGTACCCTTGCCGGTAGTTGATCCGGTGCCAGTAGTAGTACCGTTGCCAGTAGTTGAACCAGTTCCAGTAGTAGTGGTACCATTGCCAGTAGTTGTTGATCCTGTACCCTTGCCAGTAGCACCCTTGCCAGTATCACCCTTGCCAGTAGTTGATCCTGTACCAGTAGTAGTACCGTTTCCAGTCATTGACCCAGTACCAGTAGTAGTACTATTCCCAGTCATTGATCCAGTACTAGTAGCAGTACCGTTGCCGACCATCGTTCCATTACCTCCCATTATATCACCAGTCATCGTACCATTGCTTCCAACCGGCATATCAGCACTACGAAAATCGAATCAGTCACGTCAAATCCGTTGGCTGGCGTGACAAACCCAGCTCACCCTGCTTGTCCGTGTGCAATTTCACCCGCACCCAAAGCACCTGCACCCGCTGCACCCGCCGCACCTGCTGCAATACCTTTAGCAGCCTTGCCTGTGCGGAAACGTCCGCTGAAATTGCTGCCAACTAAAGCCTCCGACTCCGAGGTCTTTGATCGTGCGACAAGCTCGCTTTCGAGCATGGAGACGCGCTTCATGAGGTTTCTGCGGAGCTCGTCAGCCGAGGGCTCTGAGCGCCCGGTCATGCGTGCGAGACGGCGGTGGCCACGGTTCTTGTGCTGTTGGATGAACTAAACGGGGTGCAAGGTAAGTCATGGCATGTGAAGTGATCTGGCCTCTCGCCTACCAGGTGAGGGTGTATGTCAGTCCGGGTTTGGTGAAGCCGTTTCAAAGGCAGTGTGACCATTCCTGGGTTGGCATTGCGCCTGGCTGGGACGGCTGACACCGAGATAGCATAGAGAAGGCTGGTGAGGAGGACTGAGATCGAGATATCGAGCTTCATTTCTGGACAACAAGCAAGTTCAGGAAGTAAAAAGAAGGGACTGTTTGTCGACTAGCGACTAAACCAAGATCAACTAGGTAGAGAAGAGATGAAGAGACGTAAAAAGAAAGGAAGGCGCCTGGCCCAAGAGTATGCAGGCAAGAAAGAAAGCGAGGAAAGAGAAGAAAGTGGGCGATCAAAACGAAACGAGCATTGGGACTGGGGTGCTTTTATATCCCACAGGAGATACTTTCGTCCTTTGATCCTTCTCTTCGTTGCCAGCCCACTGGATTGGGAAGCTGACGTAATGAGAAGTGGCTGACTGCGGCCAAAGCTTGAAGCCCTTTTTGTCATTCTCCACAAGAACAAGGATTCTGAACCCCAGCTGCGTTGACGACCGTAAAAAAAGCTCCCATCCAAGCATGCCGTCGTCGTACCTGGTTTCATCCTCGATGCCTCTTAACCGGCATCATGCACATCGCTGGATCACTTGCCTGTGCTCGAAGATGTTCAAGATACAGGTTTCATCTTGATCTGCCAAGCCACTTGCTTTTTTAATCCATTATTTATGATTTCAAATACGTCGAACTTCAAAGGTCAATCGCCAATTGTCATTATCACCATGAATCTTGTCCCGCAAGATAGTTTTAAGGGCGTTCAAAGTCATCTTCACGATCTTCATCACGCCAGTTCTCACAGAAGCCTTCGATTCATCTCCAGGACACCGACTTTTCCAACTAAAGCATCCACTGTAGTCCGATCGCTAACAGTCGGGTATATCATCAGGATCCATCACAAGCACTGCCAACTGTTGCATCAGATTCGAGTTCGCATTATCTTCCTTCTAGATAGCTCTTCAGATATCCAGATGTTCATTTGCCACTCGACTGTTTAGCTGGTGTAAACAATCAAATGGTGCGTCCCTAAACTGTGATACTATGATGAGCGTGCATTGGCATTGTTCAGAGACAATCACAAGTCCTGGATGGCTCTTGTTCTTTGTAGCGCATGCTTTCGCGCACCTATAACCGCCTTTACATTGTTAGATGAACTGGGAACGTAACAGCGAAGATTGTGCGTTCTTGAAATATCACAGGCAATAATAACTCGGATGGGTTGATCCTTTCCAAGCAGTCACTCACGTCAACCTTCTGATGTGTTCAACTTGAACAAGGGAAAAAACGTCATGTCTGTCCCACAATGCACCAATCATGACATCTCTTTCAATAATAGAATGATCGAGGAGTTTGGTTCGGGAGATTGCGCATAGGCTTTGGGTTATTTCTGTGAACGGTGGACGGGAACACCCCCCATTCATCCAAGTACACTAAATGAGTTCGGTTCTGCAGTTGCCAGAGCTACGCTGGTTACAACTTGGATTTGGTACCGATAGAATCATGTGGGAGAGGCAAGCTATGTGACTGGGCATCAAGGCTGATAGTTTCGAGGGCCTCGTGATACAAATACGTCTGTAAAAGCATGGTTTGTATGAAAACCCCACTTGGAAGCCTCGGCTTTTGGGGACAGCTTGCTTGCTTACCTTGATCGCCCCCCACACTCCGCCTTTCGCCAGGCCACTGACTTGAACTGCGACTTCCTCTGCTTTGCTCAACACGCCTTTCGTCCCTTCCGCACCAGGCACTGCATGATCTATCATATGCACATCTAGAGCCTCTGCTGGTGTGAATCTGTGCCCCTCCAATGCGACACTTCGTCTCGTCGCGGGTAAAGCAACTTTGGCGCGAAGAAGCGCTGAAAAAGAGAGTGGCCATGGTGCGCCAAAGTGTATCTGAAGAGGATGACGTGATTCAAAGTGCTTGAATCATGACGGTGAGAGAGACGATGTACCTCATTCATGGATAGCCATGCACGCCGTTTACTTCCATCTATCATGACTCGATAATCGCAAGCTAGCGCCAGCATCATGCCTGCTGCGAACGCGTGACCATTGATGGCTGCAATGGTGGGGACTAGATGTGTAAAATCGAAACAAAAAACATAGGCCAGTGCAAGGTTAGTGGAGTATCCACAGACAGCCCTAGTGATATACGCACTTGGGAAAGAGAGAAGGCGTGATAGGAGAGGATTAGCAGTGTCTGCATACGAATAGCGACGCACCACGTCAAAGCCCAGTTTGAGTTACAAAAGGCGGTATACCACTCACAAGTAAAGAAAGCCGGATTACCCTTCACGCTCTCGTAGTCAAACCCATTGCTGAAGAATTTATCTTGATTTCTCTTGCCCACAATAATGAGTGCTCCTTTGCCGCCTTCCTTGTCCTCAGACACATTGGCGGCTTTCCAGTCCTTGGCCCAGTGGTTCTCCACGATATCTAGAGCAGGACGGAATGCTTCGTCGATGAGCCGCTTTGTAAGACGAGAATCGTCCCCATTGTGCAGCTCTATGATCCAAAGACCCTGCCGTGCTTCATTTGACACAATAATCAGTCACATTTGTTGCCAGTCGAGTAGATTTATGAACCCACGATAGGTTATGGTGAGGATAGGGTCGGTTCCAGGGAGAGAAAGCGGGTATGCTTGTGTGGAAGTGTCAGGTTCCATCGTGCGGATATGTCAAAGACGTTGTGAAGATATATAAGTACAGTTTTAAAGCTGGGGACACCAATATAATTTATATAAAAGATAGCAGACACGAGTCGAAGTGGGTGAGACCCTATTTACCGAGCCCGAATCCAATCACACGTGAAATCCGCAAATACCAGCATCAGCCGCAAACATTGCATAAACTACAAGTGATCCTGGACCTGGAACGTTAACCTTTTACCGACTTTCTCAAGATATACGTTCTCTACAATCTCAGAATACACAGCGTCGAGTAGCAACACAGGATCGAGAGGACAGATATGTTCGATTTCAAGGCATACCGGCAAATCGTATCACGGCGGCATGGTTATAGATAAGTACGTCACATCTTTGGGGGAAGCAAGAATCATCAGGGTAGCTGATAGGTCATCGCAACAGCCCCTGGTACAACATCCTAGGGTATGAATGACCGTATAGTTACAGTATAGTGCATTGCCATATGTGCCCTCGCGGCCACGGTACCTTGGAAGGATATGGAGATCCATCGTTCAGAGGGAGTTTGCATCCCAATAGCCAATCTTGAAGGATCCATATAGCTCAGGATGGAGCTAGGAAGAATGTCGTATCTGCCAGTGCACGCATCGACCTTCACAGACATTTGTAGCCTAGAATCCCTGTATTTGAACACGAGAAAAAGACATACATATAGTTGGCACATTCATCTTCATACCCTTTCATATATAATTTGACCTCAACCTCGCCCTTGAGATTTGAAAGCTTGACCATGTTGGAAGAGTCTTGATAATTTCGCGACAGGTGATTATGCCTGTCTGGATGAGTACCGAGAGTGAGTGGAAAGGGATATCCGAGTCGTCCAAACAAGCACCAAACAAACCATTCCTTCCATCCGCCATGTTAGACCAAATAGACGGGGATAAAGCAGAATTCATCAAAGGTCCCACATATTCCTCTCATCCCATCTACCTAAAAACAATGCTCACATACTCACCTTTTGTATCCAGCCAAGCTGCAGGAGCGAGAAGAGCTGGTTCGCGAATCATGGGTGAAAGCAATGGAAGCGCGCCTCGTCCAGACCGAGCTGCAGAAGTGCCAGCGCTATGAGGGTGTGAACCACTTGGAGAACTGTAGATGGCTGGCAGATAAATATTCAAAGATGCTTACGGAGAACAAGGTGCGTGCCTCCCATTTTGTATACTTTTTGGTCAGATACTGATTTCTTCTGTAGGTGAAGGGGTATAAGAAAATAGATGTATGAGACTTAACATCACTGCGTTCTACCATCACCCTGAGCTCTATCTGTCGGCGAGACGGGATGACTTCCCTTCGTGATTGATATTCAAGTGGATTTGCCAAGCCTCACGAAATAATTCACAATTGGAACTACACAGAGTATCACGCCGAGTTCGTAAGTGTCCCTTACAAGGCGATGATGACTCTCATATAGAAATTAAACCAACTTATACCGTGCTCAATTGCTATTGTATTATTATCGCATACCAGCGATACTTTTGATCACATCCATTCACATTATGTGCCGCTTGTATCTACTTGCGGCTCTTCCTCTTGGAAGCAGACTCGTTGCCACTCATCTCATCCGCACTACTCGCAACTCCCTTCTTTCCTTTGCCTGCCCGGGTTTTCTTCAAATGGTGCTCAGGAATCCACTCTTCCTGGTATCCACCGCCACCGCTTGCTGTCACAGCACCAACAGGCGCACTAACCTCTGAGGGAGAGGGGCGCGTCTTTCTACGTGACTTCTTCGTTTGAGGCATGTAGGTCTGGTATGCGAAATATGAGGCACCACCCAAGAGTCCAAGGACGACGAGATATGTGGAAATACTAATAAAGCGAATAGACAAATGAGAGTACATTTTCGTTTAGCTATCTTTACCGTTGTTAAGAGGTGAGAATACGTACAGTTTGAAGTCAAAGAAAGATATTTCGGGCTCAACGACGGTGACAACAGAGTCGTACGCCGTCACGCGGTATTTCTCATCCTGTTATACGAGACTATTAGAAACTAACAGGGGTAAAAGGAGGAATATTACACGGACATCAACAACATGCTCTAGCCAGACATTCAAACGCAGATCACCAGGCTAGGAAAGCAAGGAAAATATGAGTAATACATTTCAAGTTATCACATCAATTAGATTGTACCTTGAATCTGTAAATTGCGTTAGAATATCATGGAAGATAGAACCGCACGAGACACTCACTCGCTGTGGAAGGTATAGGGGATTTGCAATTTCGAACCTTCCAACAAACGGAGGTCATATTGCAATGATGTGGACTAGAAATGTCAAGATGTCAGCAAAATAAATAGGGGCACTGGCGACAATCCTACATTTTTAATCAGAGTGTTCGTATCAGGGTTGTGGAAAGAGCCCGCAACAGTGGTAATGGTGACATTGCGCTCGGATTTGTTCTCTACGACCAGGATGATCTGATTCCGTTCTCCATTGACAACATCTACATAGGAGTAGACACTTTAGAGCAGAAGCGCATTGGCATGTATGTGACGTACGACCGAATGGGTTGTTTTCAGGGAAAGCAGCTTCAATCAAAATTTCTGGCTCAACAGTGTCGGTAGTTTCCAAGGTTGCTAGACAGATGGGAACGATCACATATAACGCAACCGTTAGCTTTGTATGACCTGGTGAGCATAGAAATATGTTGCTAACCAGCAGAGGCAGAAAGTAACCAGGCAGCCAAGGTGACGCTACTTCCGATGATAGATAGAAGACGCATTTTGTACAGACCGGGGGTAACGACCGAGAGCAAGATCAGGTACTAGATAACTTTGAGAATGAGGACGGTGACCAGCGTGAGTGGAGTTGGCCTCGGCGTATTCAACTTTCTCCTTTACAGGTTCTGCCACGTCCGCTATGGAAATACGTGAGGGCGGGCTTCAAAGACCCTAACCCTAATTATATGTCTCACGTGATGCATTTGGGACATGTTCGTGAAAGTCAAGTTTGACTGGAGAACATATCATTTAACTGAGGCACCATGGTGTCTTATCAGTTGTTTGCAACTCGAATATCTTTGGGAGGCAGTGAGGATTATCTATAGGTGAATTGGCTACCGCAGGCACTGACAGCTGCAGCACCAGCCAAGAGGAAGTAAACTTGAGGTCAGTTTTTTACTGCGTTCGTTGCTCAGAATTCTAACGTATTTCTTGTCATGATATAGCCATTAGTATTGCGTATTAGCACGTCAAGTCGGTTGTATACATGTTACATTTTGTTCAAAAACCGAACGGTCCGCACTTACAGTGACTATTTTTGCATCGTGCAGTACATGAATAGCTCAATCTGATCTATTTCGGGCTACCTCTACTCCGTCGAGCTTGCAATGGCATTACAATGGATGACGCCGATAGCTTTCATAATTACCGAACGATAATGCCAAATAGCGTCTCAAATGCGCAATCTACAATTAATCAGCCATCTTTCCGCATTCCCAATACGGGCGAACAGTGAACCCACACCCACACTTTGTTTGCGCACTCGATGCATAGCACTAGATGTAATATGTCAGTGTCCTCGCTGTAATTAATCAGTTGAGTAAAAATAGTGACTTGATCGGCGTACTGAAAGTTAAGACAGCTTGATACCCGATCACAATGACGGCTTGCTTTGGCGCCAGGTTTTTCGGAAGTTTGGGCATCCCCATCTATTCCAAGGCCCTGCGCTGACGAGTTCGCACCATATGTATCTTAGCATCTACATGCCGGCTATGTTCCTCATTTTCAATCATATTTGTCAAGTGAAGAGATGATCGGAACAAACGCCCCAAAGCAACCACATTATGACGCGTCTGGTCGGTCACCTACAGTCTACTGTCGCGTTAGTGGCGTTCATCGCCATATACTAACGACCGTGCCTCTGCTTTTAAGTTAAACCCAAGTAACCGTTTGGTTCGCGGAATTCTCGGCCGAGATTCGTTCTATCGTTTCAGTGTGGACCAATCTGATTCACATGAAAGACTCGGGATGGTCATTTTCCGTCGGCGGTGGCTCGATATTTTCAGCATTCAGGCTATAGAACCTTGGCACCACCTTACCCTAATTCCTTCCCCTCTCCAGGTGGCTGCCTTGCAATTTCATGACCCTTCTTATCTTTCGATATGAGCTATGCGTTGCTGACTTTTCGAGCAGTGCTACACGACTACCACCACGCTTTTAATTGCAGTGTGCACATATACAGTGCAACATGGAGCGAGTTCTTACATGAGTTACAAGTAGACGTTGAGCGCTGAGGCTTCAAGCTTCACTTCAGGCTTTCGGTCGGTAAGTTCAGTCTCGGGAATGTAATACCAAGAAAGTAACAAACATCATATTCGAAAGTGATACATGCAGTGACAGGGTTGCAAGTTTATTGCAGGATAATCTGATCCAGTGACACGATTAAACACCAAGAACAATATGTGTTCTACTTCTAGACCTGTAACACTAATATCAAGAAACCTCGAACAAATCTAATTTATCAAAAAATAAGGGTATCTGTATATCGGGTATAATTGAGAAGTAATAAATCAGAGTGTCAAGATAGAGAATGGAAGTTACTACAGCAGTAGTAGTAGTAAAAGAATGATAAATGTACTCGTCCGCGATTAGAGTCCGACAATACCCACGTCGGGGAAGGAGTCTGCCTAAGCAGACATATATGAGCCCATGTTTAGAGCGCTTCCAGCACTGTCTCTATGACGCGTGGTGCACAGTGTTTGTTGGGATGGTCTTCCTTTGAATTGTACTCCAAAAGTTCGACGCTCTTCGTCGTCTTGGCACTTGACTGGATGTGAGACAGATACAAGAGTCGACATACTGACATCTCCAAAATGCTCTGCATGACTCCGCGAATTGAGAAGTGCAATAAACGAGTTCACATAGACTACAGTTATGTCAGTAAGCGGTGGAATCAATTCCTAGGAGAAAGGCGTACGCTTGGAGAGTAAAAATTCGATTGCTGGGGAGATAGCGTTATTTGGCATCACCGCGCACTGCTCAGAATGTTACAACTGACTATAAGAAGATTGAGAAACAGTTACACATACTGCAATAATCGCGGCCAGAGAGCAGAGGCTGTTGGGTGAGAATTCATGAGACTACGACGGGGACTTCCCTATGACGATATGAGGTTCACCTTGTCAAGCACCCGGAACTACACACATAAACGACTATTCTTTTGATTGTTGTGTCCGTCCTATACCAACATAGCATGAGGATTAAAGAAATAGACGTGTAAGACATGAGGGAGCAAGCAATCAATAAACTTACTTTGAGAATCCAGTTCGTGATAAGGCCAGGAGATAGCACATGGATGCCGCAAGGAGGAAGTCATTGGAGGCGAGCACGGAAAGTACAGTTATAGGCTCCCACTGATTACGGTGGCGGACACGTATTACAGGTGATAATTTAGACGGCACGTAGAAGTAAGTGGAATGTGTGCGAAATTTCTGTAGTTAGGAGCACCTACTTTCACCGTCCGCAAATCGCTGTATAAGTGGCACTGAAATCTGGATGTAAATAAATATAGTCAGTGGGCCGAGATGACTGAGATGTGAATCAGAGGGAAAAGAACTATGGCAAAACCATTCTCCAAGAAGCGAGGAACTGACATGATGTAACATAGAACTTCAACGAGTCACTGTTAATCTGGGATACGTCATATTAATTGCTTGAGATGTTCTTACATATGCTGAAACCTGCAAAATAGAACCAGTGTCAAAAACGCGCCGTGGAAATGATACATTATGAGCAATACCTGTGTCAAGAGCTACGACAACAACCTATCATGATGATGATATGTGAGGATGGACCCAGTAGACGGACATATGCACATACTTGTATCACAGAAAGAATACGGTTCCGTCCCTTTCCCACTATAATCAATGAATGCAGTCAGTCAGAAATAGGGATCCATTTAACGAATCAAAACTTACAAATCCAGAGACGATGAGCATACAGACTAGTGCTCCTCAGTGCTTTCCTTGTTCAAGTATTCTGTAAAGACGCACCAGTGAACAGAGAATACGATAATCATCTGTAACATGCTCGCATTGTAAGGAGGATACATATAATGTGAATAAGTTTTACTAACGGCTATTATGGCCTGTGCCTTTACCAAATGAATCAAGACGGTGAAAAAGGGTAATTTGTGACAAGGTGGATTTACCTTGAAACTCTAAATTATTACGGTGAGTGCGAGGGGATCTGCAAAGTTTGTGATGAGGTGATAGTATAACATGTGCGAGATAAGAGCAATATGGATCGTGTCAAGCAACCTGAACAGTAGGGCTTCAGCATCGGCAATAATCCATTACGCCACGAGGAAAACCCACCAAAGCCATACAACCTTGAGGTCCGTGTATGTTAGCTTGCAGTACTGGTCAAGTAATTAATCATACCATTATTTTATAAACAACTCGATCATGCTTCCACTGAGTTTGAAGATATGTTACGAGTTGTAAATTTGTGAAACCATAAAAGCTGCAGTTGTAAGTGCTCAGCAGGAAAGTAGAAAGTCATACTATTATCACTCACACAGCAGAGAATAAAAGGCCGATGTAGTAGGCACCAAAGGAGTTGTTAAGACTGGGTAACAGGTAGGGAATGGCTGACACTTCGCTGTTGATATCCGACATTGTGAGCACAGGCGTTTGCCAGTGAAGACTGGACACTTGTGATGATTCAGAATAAAGGACAATAAGTCGAGATTCCATACAGTTTATATCATTTATGGGGGTCTTTGCTTATCCATACCGATGAAGAAAAGAAACACACATGGGCTTGTGGAAAAGCATAGGGGGCAATGCCTAGCAATTATCATCACTGAATAGCTCAGCGGCTGTACCTCAACACAGATATATCATGGCATACCGTGACATCATAAAACAGATCGGGACTCAGAATAACTTTGGTGTTTTAGGAGGATATTGATCGAATCTTAAGTCGTGCCTGCTGGCTTCCAGTGAGTTCGCTACTTAAATGCATCAAAGATGACACAGTACTGTCATAGAGTGTGTGTTACTGATATTTGTGGCTTTGGACATCATGCACATTGAACATTGAGAATTCAACCTAGATCTTTTGACAGGGTTGTTTACCATGGACTTTGTTCGAGCGTCCCCGCACAAACCGGACTGGAAAGAAGATGATCATCGAAAACTGGTTAATAGATATAGGAGTGACAAAACTTGCGTGAAAATGATCATGTAGCCGTGCCTTCTCGCTAACCATGAGAGACCAAAAAAAGATCTTCAAGCTTGCAACTTGAAGCGTCAGCCACCCAGATCTACTGCTCAGCCGGATTTGTGCACCAGATGTCTAATAACCATCGTTCTCCAGGCAGTCCCAGACCCAGTTTTTGCCGTATTTGCAGACCCCAGTCATAAGTAGAAATTTACAAATAGGAATAGTGTCAAGATATTTTCTCACCGCTTCAAATGTGCAATGAACTCGCAACGCTCATTACCTAACCGCCATTCAAGACTCCAGAAACGTCAGGTTTACCCAGTTTTGTCACCATACTTTGCTCTTCTGTCCGTGCCCTACTTAAATCTCCCCAGTTAGACCAAATCAAAGTACTGATATGGCGCTTGATATTAGTCAATAAACCCACTGCAGTTTTCAAATTCGAACGGAAGAGCAACAAATGATCGATCTACTGCTATATTTTGCCGTTAACTTCATCACGAGACCAAGAACCCCAAATATTGTAACCCATTTCACAGTTACATTTTTTGGACAGATAAATAATAAATATATCTTCATATTGGAGTCGAGAAGTAAGAAATCATAATGTCAATGCAGAGATTGGAAGGTACTGCAGCAGCAGCAAAAAGATGATAAATGTACTTGTCTGCGATTAGAGTTTGGCAATACCCACATTCTGGAAAGAGCCTTGGTAAGTAGAGTTAGGTGAATCCAGGTTTAGAGGGCTTCCAGCATCTTCTTTGCAACACGGTGCATTGGTGCAAAGTGTTTGTCGGGGTTGTCTTCCTTCAAATTGTACTCCAAGATAGGTTTGATGTTCTTTATCTTGACCTTTGACTGGATGCGGAGCGGCTCCAAATGTTGACAAAGTGGCATCTCCAAAACATTCTGCCTGGCTCCGCGAATTGAGAAGTGCCATGAATGAGTTCACGTAGACTGCAGTCATCATATTAATAAGTAGTGGACTAAAACATTGGGGAAAAAGACGTACGCTTGGAGAGTAAAAAATCAATTGCCAGGTTGATACTGTTATCTGGCATTACTGCACACTGCTCTAAATGCTATAACCGAATATATGTGAACCGAGAAATAATTATGCATACTGTGATAATCGCAGTCAAGGAGCAGATGCTGAGGGTAAAAATTCAAAGTTTAATCATCAGATCACTACGATGGGACCTCACTATGACAATACGAAGTTTACCTTGTCAAGCACCCAGAACCACACACATAAAGGGCTATTCTTTTTATTGTGGTGTCCGTTCTATACCGACATAGCATGGTGAAATGAAAAGATGTGTAAGAAATGCAAGAGCAAGCAAATAATGGGCTTACTTTGAAAATCCAGTTCGTGATAAAGCCAGGAGGTAACACATAGATGACGCAACGAGGAAGTCGTTAAAGGCGAGCACAGAAAGCACAGTTATAGGCTCCCACTGATGCACGCATATTTCAGGTGAATGGTTCCGACGACGGGCGGAGATGTGTGGAATATTTATGATCAGCTAAGAAATATTGAAAGTCCAGCAATTAAAGACACCATACTGTCAACATCTCCAAATCTGAGTACAAATAACACTGAGACCTAGATGTATCTTTAGTCAGCGAGCGAAAATGACTGAGGTGTGGACCGAAAAAAAAGGACTGGGACTAAATTCCAAGAATCAGGGAACTGACATCGCGTGCAATTGAACTTCAACCCTTCGATATTAGTCTGGAATTTGTCATAGAGATTTCTTGAGATGTGCTCACGCATGCTTAATCCTATAAAACAGTACCAGTGTCAAAAAAGGCGTCATAGAAGTATTATATTGCGAACAATTACCTAACAGAAGAGTTATGGTGACAACCTATCATGACGATAACACATGAGAGTGTCCTGAGTAACTAGACATGAACATGATGCACATACTTGCACCAAAGAAAGTATACGGTTCCGTCCCTTTCCCACTATTGTTGGTGAGAGTAGTCAGTGAAAAATAAGCAGCTCTTCCTCAGATCATGAGGGCTAATCATTTTACCAAACAACACTTACAAATCCAAAGGCGATGAACATAGAGGCTAGTATCCCTCAGTGCTTTTCTTATTTGAGTGTTCTGTGAAGACGCACCAGTGGACAGATAATATGATTATCATCTGTAACAGGCTCCCATTGTAAGGAGGATACGAAGAATGTGAACAAATGCTACTAACGGTCATTATATTTTCCCCCTAAATCGAATAAATCAGGATGGTGAAAAAAGTTGAAAGCAATGACACGGTGAATTCACCTTGAAACTCCAAACTATTACCGAGAGTGCAGGGGGATTTGCGAAATTTGATATCAGGTAGTAATATAACATGTGCGAGATAAAAGTAACATGGATTGTATCGAGCAACCTGTAAAATAAGGCTTTATCGTCGGCAATATTGCGGCACACCACGACAAAAACCCACCAAAGCAATACAACCTTAAGGTCGGTCTATGTTGGCTTCAAGTTGCAGTACTGGACAAATAATTAAACATACCATTATCCTGTAAACAACTCGATCATATTTCCACTGCGACTGGATATATATCACGAGTTGTAAACTTGTGAAGCCATAAAGGCTGCAGTTGGAAGCATACATAAGTGCTGCACGGGAAAGTCATAGCAATTGTCACTCACATAGCAGCAAGCAAAAGGCTGACGTAAAAGGCACCGAACGAGTTGCTAAGACTGGACACCAGCTGGGGAATGGCTGACATTTCGCTATTGATATCTGGCATTGTGAGCATAGGCGTCTGAGGACTTGACACTTATGGGGATTCAGAGTAAAGAACAATAAGTCCAGGTTCCACTCAGTTTATATCATTTGCGAGGAGCCTTTGCTTGCCCGAACTGATGAAGAAAATCAACATACAGCGAAGTGTGAAATAACATATGGGGCAATACCTAACATTCACCGCCGACTAGCTGTACTCTGACGCAGATATATCATGGTATACACCGTATAACAGATCGGTGTTCGAGAGAGCTTCTAGTGTTTTATGGGCGTTGATTGAACCGCCACCGGACATAGCTTCATTGGATTGGTCATGTGCCTGCCAAATTCCATTGAGTTAGCCACTCAAATGCATTTAATGTATTTAATGTATCACTAAGATTTCTAGCTTCAAGTTGGATGTGGAAGACGTAAAAACCAAAGGTGCATTCGATCAAACCTAATGTTGTCGCACTCGTCCTGTATCTTTTGACGGGGTCGACCACACATTAAGACCAATCCGGATTGGAAAGGAGATGATCATTCGGAACCGATCAAAAGATATTGAAAATAACGACACTAGTGAGAACATGACCGTGTAGCTATGTTTTCTCGTTAACCATAAGAGAGTACGTACTAAAAAGTAGATTTCGAATCGACATCCACGGCGTTCTCGCATAGGAAAAGGCACGTTTTACTTATGGCCAGGCAAGTTGGTGGTGTGCTGAAAAGTGAAACAAAGAGAGTCGAAATACACGTCGCTTATTCGAGGGGTCCAACGCGTTATGGGTGCAGGTGGGGTGAGCGTTTCTCCAACGGGCCCTATCTTAGGTTCATCAGTTTACTAGCATCAACAAGTTCTTGCGGGAAGAACATTACCATGGACTTGATGATTTTAGCACTTCGTGGGCTATGGTGATCGATTCTCTGCAAAATCAAAAAAAGAATGGTCACGTGACCCATCACTAATATATTTAGCAAGTGTACACTTGATCATCGCGAACTCACATTCTGAGAACCTAATCAGCCCCATGTCATGTCTTTCGTAAGATCCTCCAAAAGGTCTGAAAGATCTGAATCCTTGAAGTTGGGATAACATAAGGTTTGCAAATTGGGAATACCACGACGCGTGCCTTTGTCGGTCCATTTGACAGAAAGCGCAGTCGCATGAGGCCAAGTAAGGACCGATGTCATGAATACCATCAACCAATCGCCCGTTGACTCCACAGTAGCATGCAATACGGCTCACAATATTTCACCCGTTCATCGCAACGATGGCCAAGATCGAAGCTTCCCATTCGTGTCGTCCATGCCTGCAGTGCTAGATGTAGCTCTTTCATGAACCATGTTGTACATAAAGATAAAAACACATAAACTACACCTGTAGGGACGTCTCCAGCTCGAGGGACGACGAGATGAGGTGAGGACATGTAAAGTCAAGCGATATTGATACCTTGATAAGATACAACAACACTAACGATGCGTCGATCGAGGGGGTCGACCTAAGAGCAGAGGATAGCATGTAGAATGGATGCGTGCAAATGATGTAGACATATGATACTGCTTGAAGAAACGGTGAAAATATTATTGCACTTGAACTTGAAGAAGTCGAAGAAGGAAAGTATAGACGACGAAGAGGAAAAAGTACATGACCAAGACCAATATCATAGTTCCAACTTAGGTGGATGACAGGGGTGGGAAAAGAAACAAAATAAACGAAGAATGTAGATCACAAAATGCAGGATGACTGTTACAGGGGACCGGTGTTTCTCCCAAAACGGCAATGGTAGAGTTTTGACGGCAGAGATCCAAAAGTGGGGAGTTGCTACATCGAGCTTCAATATCAGTTATAGCATTAGCTGCTATAGTTCATCCGCGATATTCATGGACAGGTACGGATGCTGAAGAGCCTCGCGCACAGTAATCCGTTGAGAGGGGTCAAATGCCAACAGACGCCGCACAAGATCCAGGAACTGCCGATTAACATGATCCGTGGGTTGGATCACGTCCTGTTTATGATATTGGTTATTCACTACTCGATGTGCGTAGTTATTCAGCTTACATGAAGAGCGCGCGTTGCGCGCACGTCCTTCTTGCTTTGTCTCGAAGCTTTGGCCTTTGGCCAGTCAAGCTTGCATCCTTCTTTAAAGAAGTCTGGCTTCGAACGTGCGCCAGCACGAGCGAATCGATCTGACATCTTGCCCATGACCATTTCCATCATTGCTAGATGTTCCAGGTTATCATGGGTTTGATAAAGTGCGACGCCTGTGTAGAACTCGACAAGAATGCATCCTAGTGAATAGGCGTCGCAAGGATACGACCAACCTAAGCCTACAATCACACGTATAGGTAAGCGTGACCGAGCTTATAAATAAATAGGTAGCGTACCTAGTATAATTTCAGGTGCACGATAATGTCTCGTGGAAACAACGGTTGAGTGGTATTCCTCTTCAAAGGTCGCAGACCCAAAATCTATGAGACGAATGTCCGTACGTTGCAATAACCGTTTGTTTCGAGGTTGTGTATTCCGCTGTTAATGATAATAGTATTAGTTGAATAGACGCATTGGAAAAACTAGTCAAGCTGGTACCTTTCCTGGAACATGCACAGGTATTGATCTGTAGTCGTTGTGCACAAGTAAAATGTTCTCCGGCTTGAGGTCCGTGTGTATTAAGTGTAAATCGTGCAGGACTGGCAGAGAGTACTCCGTTAAATTACGTGAGAATTAAGAGCATATAGGGTGGGAGCTTACAAGCTACGCTTCCAAGTAGTTGTTTAGCAAACGACTGTATGTGATTTCGAGGAAATGGGGCAAATTCATTCTCTTTCAAGAAATCATACACACACATCCCCAGTAATTCCGAGACTAGACATATATGATTTCGATGGTCAAACCAATGCAGTAGATGGATACATTTGCTGGACAAAAACGGTTAGTCGATCTCTGGGTAAAACTTGGCATGGAAACTGACTGTATGTTCATAGGGTCTCGCTCTTTCAGTTTTTGGAGGACTCGAACCTCTATCTTACTGGCGTCGCGGTATTTAGGGATTGCGCGTATAATCTTGATAGCTACTCTGGAGTTAGTTTGAGTGTCGATGGCTTCTACGACTTTGCCAAATGTTCCCTGTCCAAGGAGACGGACAGTGCGATCTAGACAACGACAATCCGATCAGATCACAGCCGATACGCACGTTTCGAGGGTAAACTTACAGCGTCGATAAATAATGTCATCTGGGACAATAATGTAATGGCCCTCCTTGTCGTCGCAAGGTACAGGCCCTTTAGATGTCTAGAGATGAAGGAAATCGATATGAGTGAACAAAAGTAGGAATGAATAAGGTGTTACGTACATCTTCCGCGACAGGCCCGCTGCCGCTGGCCCATGATTTGGAGGCAAGTTGGGGCTGTTGCTGCTGAATGACAGTAGCGGGCTTCTTTGTGAGTATCCCACGAGAGTCGTCGACTGGCTCGCGCTTCCTTTTCTTGAGCGCCGGTGCCACGAGAGCTGCGGAAGATGTGCTCGCAGACAAAGCCTGAGCTTCGGCAGCAGCGCGAGCTCTTGTTCTTATCGGAGCCGAGTATACAGGTGGTTGATAAGAGGCCGAGTAGGCGTTGGTATGTGTTGTTGCGGGAGATATTGTGGATGGAGGCGGAGTGTCTTCAATAACGATGACTTCTCGCAATCTGCCGTGACTGTCTACCTCTTGAACTTCGCTGTAGCTGACGGTGTATTGATGTGCACGTTTTCTCTTCCTGGAGGCGACGGAGGGAGTGGGCATTATTGTGGGATTGGTTACGAGAGCAGCATTGAGAGATTGTGGGTGATACTGAGGCAAAATTGGATGCTGGAGCTGGTGAACAGCGGCCTGCATTGTTGCAAAGGCGAATGAGGACGTCGTGGTGGTTGAAGAAGAAGAAAGAATGGGTGAGAGAGGGAATTAAAGGGCCAGCACAGGCTGAATGTCGAGTACTGAGAATGCAGCCCAAGGGACGATGTGCGGTTTTGTTTTTGCGTGTTTGCCATCAGCTGGAGCCACCCAGCTTAGCAAACTCACCAAAGCTATCTCACTCTCAGCGGCACCAGCCCGGCTCTACCAGCGAGTCTCCCAGCGCTGGCCATCAATCTCACATATATGCACTTGTACAGATACCAGGGCTGACATCCACGCTACTTTCGCTGCACCTAGCTTCGTATTCAAACGCAGCGTTTCAACAGCATGGACAGCTCGGTCAATACCGGCATATGAAGACTATTTCAGTTTCGCTCGTGCCGACTGCAGCATTGCCGTGCTCCCTGTGGACAGTACCTTACCTTGCCGGCCCCTTTCCTGTCTTCTTGGGGATGTCTCTGGACCTTATCTCCAATGATAGTGGTGGATCAAGTCACGTTTGATCCTGAAGCTGGATGTTCGGGCGGATGACCATCGCCAGAGCAGTTCTTCCCCTCCGGCCCCGCATCAAGGCATTGTGGTACAAATAAAGACAGATCTGCCCTCCCGCGATTGGATACATGTTTTGATTCATGTTCTCGACTCACTGGTGGGACTGGGGTTTCTTGCCAGCTGTTGCAGAGGCAGAGGGTAAGACAGCATCGCAGGCGAATGTCAGTGTAGATTCGTGCATGGTATTGGTAGGATGTAGTGCTACTGCTGTGGTATGGAGATTCGTGACTGGAAGATAAATGCAGCCATTTGATGTGGCAGACGTGCTCTGTATGAAAATGTGCACTATCGAGAAAAGCACCGCTCAATTGAGATTCATGTTGCCGAGCGCAGGCTCGACTGAGACCCAAAGAGAGAAGTGCTGGGAACAAACAACACACAACAACTTAGCTCGCCGTCGACCTCAACGGCGGCGACCTCTCTAGCTGCCTCTTTCCTTCTGCCCGTCGTCCTCCACAGCGACCACGACCCTATTCCCCTCAAAATGCGGGGTCTTCCCTTTCCAACAAACGCCTTGTATGACCGCGAGGCCTCAAACGACTACGGCACCCCATTCAGCAACGTCGACGACATACCCATCGATCCAGCCCTCGCAGAACCAGTCATCGACCCCGCTATTCTTGGAGAACTGGGAAGCAAAGCTGTACTGCAGGTGAGTGTGTCTGTCATGTGCGCGACTTTGGTTTCAGCGTACCTCTGGCGCCAGACGCGTCGCGTGTTGTAATTAAAGACTTCAATGGGGATGCCATCTCATCAAATACCAAACAGGTCCAGCCACCAAACTTCCCCCAGAGCCCCTTCTCGCCCCCCTCTCACCCTCATTATTCTCAAGAGCAAAGGTCTTACCAGCAGGGTCCTCAGGGAGATCCGTTTGCTCCTCAGCCACCCGCGCCTTATCTGCCGGTACACCAAGAGGCTCTACCGGCAACTAAGCCGCCAAAGAAAAAGAGGAAGCCCCGCCGCGAAGAAGAATGTGGGTTCTGCCAAGGAAACGATTCCAAGAACAAGGAAGAGAACCCTGAAGTCATGGTCACCTGCACAGAATGTGGACGAAGCGGTACGTTCTTCCAGTAAAAACTAATACATTGCCCCTAATATGCACCATAGGACATCCTACTTGTATGGAGTTGGGTGAAATAGGTGATACCTTAAGGTCTTACGATTGGAAGTGTCTTGAGTGTAAAAATTGCGAAGTTTGCAGAGAAAAAGGTGACGATGTAAGTCTTTAGCCCTTTTTCACTTTAGTACGTCTCACGCTGTGCCCAAGGAACGTATATTATTTTGTGACTTCTGTGATCGAGGTATACTCCTTTATTTTAATCCCTTTTCAGTGTCTCACATGGCATAATTAGGCTGGCATATGGACTGCCTCCAACCACCATTGCAAGAATCACCACCGGGAAAATGGCACTGTCCTTACTGTCCTCCTGTAGACCAATGCTATCCTCCTATATTTGACCCGCAATTCCTATCGTCACAGCCTGAAACATCTAATTCCAGCAATATATCTCCTCAGCCCGTTTATCAAACAAAAAGTGAGCAAAAGTACATCAAAGTGATTGTTATTACTTACCTTTGACAGTGGACGTTGACGTCGACATTGAGGGTGAGGATGAAGAAGCAGAACAGCAGGAAGAAGAGGAAGAAGAGACAGAGGAAGCGGAACCAGAAGAGGAGGAAGATTCAACCCCTGTCCCTCAGTCGAAACGGAAAAAGAAGTCCTCGGCACGTAAGCGTGCAAATGAAGAGGTGCCATCTTCTCCCGTCGTGCGGCCCATCAAACGTATGCGCATTCGTGTACACTCACCAGCACCGCCTCTGGTTGTCCGGTTGCGTATTCCTCCGAAGGGTAAGGGTAAGGAACGTGAAGATGATGAGGAGCGCAAGAACATTTTTGATGACTTCTTGTCCCCTAATGAACGAGACACATCCAAGACGACTATTGAAGCCTATGATAAACAGAGGTTCGAGAAGAGCAGACTTTCGGCGGAGGTAAGCCTTTGGATGCCCACAGCATTTTTCGGGAGATGCAGATAGTCTGTCTGACTGATTATAAAGGAGAAACTTGCCCCTCCACCGCTCCCACCACCACCTGCCGTTCCCGAAGTTCCCGAAACGCCTGTCGCAGGCCCTTCATCTCGGCCACTGCGCTCAGGCACGGTCCATCAGCTTATCATCCCTCCCGCTCCACCAACGCCCTCCCCTGTCCCGTCCACTCCCAGCGCTTTCCCCTCGACCCCTGGCTTTGTCCCACCCACACCTACTTCTACGAACACACTACGGATACGTACGATTCGATTCGGTCAATTCGATATCCAGACTTGGTACGATGCACCGTTTCCAGAAGAGTACGCAAATATCCCGGATGGTCGTCTTTGGATATGTGAATTTTGTCTAAAATATATGAAGAGCAAGTTTGCGTCAAGTCGACATAGAGTGAGTTCTCACGAGGAAGTTATTTATTCTTTTCTCAAAAAAAAACAATTTCGCAATTTTCTTCGTAGATGAAATGCAAAGCTCGACACCCTCCTGGTGATGAGATATATCGAGACGGTGCAGTTTCTATATTTGAGGTCGATGGGCGTAAGAATAAGGTCAATATTTGTACAACATATCCCCGCTCGTCACTAAACTATTTTACTTGTATAGATATACTGTCAAAATCTTTGTCTGCTATCCAGAATGTTCCTCGACCATAAATCCCTTTTTTATGACGTCGAGCCCTTTCTTTTCTACGTCATGACTGAGGTCGACGATGTGGGCGCGCGATTCGTGGGATATTTTAGCAAGGAAAAACGCAGTCCAAAGGACTACAACGTCAGTTGCATCATGACGCTGCCTGTACGCCAGAGACAAGGTTGGGGAGGCTTACTCATCGATTTCAGTGAGTTGCGTGTCCCGTCTCTAGAACACAGTATATTAATAATTGTGCTAGGTTATCTACTCTCGAAGAAAGAGCAGAGATCTGGGTCGCCCGAGAAGCCCCTTTCTGGGCTAGGCGCTCTAGGTTATAAGAATTATTGGACACTGGCAGTGATGCGATATCTTGCAACGGCTCCTGACGACCCCCATCTTGAAGGTTGGTAACTATTTACGTTTTACAAGAACTTTGTTGAGTTTTATTATGGTGTTATAGATATCAGCAAAGCAACTTCCATGACGATCGAGGACATCCACGTCACGCTCACGCAGCAAAACATGATATTTCATCGAGAGGCCACTCCACAACCTGTTCGGCCTACTCCGGGGCAATCAATCAAGTTCCCGCGAGGGCGGAAAAACGGAATTGCGCGGAAACACTTGCAGCGCAATCAGCTACAAGACGAGGAGGGCACAAAGACGCCATTCTCGCCTCCCACGCACTATGATATCCGATGGGATAGAGAAAAGGTCAAACAGTACCTGGAAAAGTGGGAGGTCAAGGGGTATCTAAAACTGAAACCTGAGCGGCTAAAGTGGACGCCATTTGTCCTTGCGAGAACAAAGAACGTGGAGGTTTTGCAGACACCCACAGGCGAGGCGAGTGGATCTGTTGATGGGTCTACGAAGACAGCCGTTACGCCTGCGGAAGATATTGGTGTGGGTGGAAATGCGACCAAGTTTCCGATACCTGCCACAGACGCTCAAAATACTGAAGGGATGATCACACAGGATACGGGCGCAGTCAATGTTACGGCTTCTCCCGCTGCCCGTCTATTTGACGACGAACCAGTGATTGAAGTGGAGACGCCTCTTCCAAAGAAACATCTTCGAAATCATAAGCCGAGCGGTGTCGAAACACCCCGCACAGGATTCTCGCGGAATCACTCAAATCGCCTCAAAGTAACTAACTTGCGTTCAGCCACACGTCGTCATACACCCTCAGCATTGGCATCGGCTCTCCCGGTAGAGGCGGAACAAACTGCTGAACTCATTGAAAACGGTGCTATGGAACAGGGTGCCTTAACTCCAGCGTCCCAAAAACGCCGACGTGCTCGTGTACCTCGTACGAAACCACTAAAGAGTCTAACTGACAGGGAAATGTCCGCAGATGTGAAGAGGACGACTTCGCCTGTTCTAACACCGACCTCTGGGTTGCCTCGGAAGCGACAAAGGGTGGAGAGTCCCGAATGCGAGAGTGTGGCAGAGGAGACCCCGATCATCGTCAATGGACACAATCGAGATGATGGTGATGATCAAGGACAGCCATCTGTTGAACATCATTGTCCGATTGAAACGCTTGAACCGCCGTCGAGTGCTCAATCTCAACCTTCTATTGCTGAAAATAACAGGGAGATGGAACTGCCACCTACCGTACTAACTGTCAGTGACGCGACGCCGGCTCCGAAAGGTGGGATGAATGGGCAGGTGGAACAGACGGAGCATGTTGATGTGAAATCAGAAGACACAGGAACGCCTCTTACGGGGTCGACGAGTCGACATAGCGTTCCGAGTGATGATACGGTCTTTATGGCCGAGCATGTCAATGCGGACAATGTTGGTGGGAAAGAGGGTGCTGTGGAGAGGGAGAGAGTTGAAATGGCAGAGAGGGACGAGGATGGGGCTGCAGAGGACGTGGAGGAGACGGGACGTGTGCTGAGAGTTGATGAGGTGGATTCAGACATTGACGCTGAAGGAGAGCCAGACGATGGGTTTGAATATTAGGAAGAGCATAGTGAGAGGATAATTGTAGAGTAGTACTAGTTTGCAAACTGGGTTGTTGTGTACGGATGAATGGATGGCTCGGCTTGTAGTTCGGCTGTGGCCCTGAGTTTACGAGCAGTTTGGTTCTGTTGGAGGAGTGGCGCAAGGCAAGAGGTCGCGAGCGGCTCAGGGCGGTTCACTGGTTCGCGAGGATGGATTCACAGACTCACAGGTCTGTCTTTCTTTTGCAATAACATAGCCATCATGGCCTTTCCACTCTGCGGCTCTTAGCACTAATCATTTCCCTATAGTGACCCTGGCATGTCCTATAGCCATATCCCCCTCAACGACAGAAGAGACCAATCCCTCCAGTCATCCGTAAACGTCTCCGTACGTCTGTCCATTTCTCTCATTCCCCGCCCTCATTCCCTCTCAACAGAGTCTAAATCAAGCCCTCGGTTCCCATCTCACTCCCCTCGGTCCCCGCCCCCCTTTCCCTACCCACGACACCTACAGACTATCAGATTCTCCCCCAAATATCATAGATCCCACTGGCTCGTCCCAAAGAGCACCCGTCCCAGGTCCCCCACACTCCCCCATACACGACTTCTCAGTTCCTCTCCAGCCAGACAGCCAGGCAAGCGCACTAAAGCGCAAACAAGGTGATGTTCTTGGACATCCCCAGCTCGGCGGAAAACGACGAAGAGATGAAGACATGACCGATGCCTTTGATTCAGATGGCGCACATGGCGCCAAGCACTGGTCTGATGAAGAGAAATCAAAGTTGTTCAACTGGCTAATGGGCCCAGGCGAAGATGATCACTGGAATGCCCTACGCGCCACAAAGAATTCCTGTCTCAGAGAGGTCCGTGCCTATATCAGATACACTTGCACAAACATGAGACTAATGCTGTACCCTGTTGTGTAGTGTGCCGCCGACGTGTTCGGTGGAAAGAAAACATACCAAGCGTTGAAAGGTTGCTATGAGCGCAACTTTAATCTATTCAAACAGATCTATGCCTTTGAGGCTTTTAATTTACAGATAGGCAATGGTCCCGTGAACTCAATCAATGAAGGTGACCGTTTGCGTGAGTTTGAGCGACGACTGCAGGGCGCACGAAAGGCAGGCTGTGACGTCGGTAATGTTCATGCTAGAACCATAGATCATTGGCACCGCTCTGGATGGTACAATCTGTTTTATCGCAGGTGTGTTGCCGCCGTCTTGAACATTGCAAGTGCCATCCAACCTCAATCTGATTCTGACAGATGGAACGGCGACCCAGCAACTACGCGGCCAATAGCTCGACCGAATCATACAGGGACCTCAGTTTCAGGCGCCGGCGATGACGGGGAAGTGGATGATGAACCCCCAATGGATTTTACAGAGCCTGCGCAGCCGCATCCTATTTCTCATCCTCAAAACGGTACACCTCCCCAGCCGCTACGTTATCATCCTTCAGAATACAGCATTTCGGATGCCGTTCCTCTGAATATTCCCAGTCGTACACTCAGCACGGTCAGCCAACCATCACCATCATTGTCGTCAGCGGATCAGCCTATTGTCAATATTGCCGTTCCTCAGAACACGATATCCGCTTGCGTCCAGCTCTTACAGCTTCAGTCCCAATACAGCAAACTCAAAGTGGAATATATGCGGCGTCGAGAAGAGAGGGAGGAAAAGGACAGTACACTGAGGAGAGAGATGGATCGCTTGCGGCAGGAACGTGAGGCTGCTGAATGGGAACACACGAAACAAACGGCCAGTGTCAAGCAAAAGGCGCAACTGGCAACCGAACTGTTGGCCAATCCTTCGGTAGATTCTTCTGTGAGACAGGCAGCTGGTGACTATTTAAAGAGACTTTTTGTGACGGAATAATGCATTGAGTAGTTTTTTAGTTTTTTTTTTTTTGATCCTTATTTGATTGTCGTTTCGTTCGAACTATGACACTATTGACCTTTGGACATGGCTGTTAAACTTAATTATTGGTTTTTTGTTTGCTTTGATTGGATCCAAGTTGTATTAGTCTTTGCTGTAGCCTCATATCTGATTTTCATTGCTCTATTTCGACATGAATTTGATTTCGAATAGTATGTAGGTCTCCTACGTTTTCGCTGTGATGGTTGATGGACGGTAGTAAGTTGCTTGATCGGCTATCCATCTCTCTTGTTACAAGACGGACATGTAACCGTGGGACCCATCTGAGCACACCATGGTCATACTTTCCTTTTTTACAATATTTCAACGCCGTCCGACCACTGGCATGCCACCAGTACCGTCACTGTAACTAAGAGGTATCAAAGCAGTCTTCAAGTTCAAATACACGATGAGGGATGGTACCTCTGTAGGGGGGCATCAATGATAGAGACACTTACCGCAAGTGGAATAGACTAGAGGAGGAGTCAGCGGGCATATATGGCTGCGGGTACGTATACAGCTAGTCTCAAACCCAGAGGTCCGAAATGAATAGGCAGATATGAACAGGTGTTGAATATGCATCAACACAATCGGTATATGTCCTCCTAGGTGTCTCGCGATTTCCTGATTGGCCATCTGGATTCATGATGGGTCGCCGCTCGATACCAGCATAATGCCAAGCCACTCACTTTCATGTAAAACGGCTCCGAGGCTTCTGACGTAGATAAACCTTGCGAGTCAGAGCAGGTCAGAGCTATCTGTTCCTCCCGACGGAAAAAGCATGAATATAAGTACTCGGTGACTGAAACTGCATCAGAACCTTCATCCTTCATTTCCCTACAAACAGATTCAATGAGCGTTATAGTATCTTGGTCTTTTTTGAGCTTGCTTGTGCTGCTTGCAGTGACTGCACGCTATCGCGTGCGGCGCCGCTCCATCAAGGACATTCGAGGACCCGTTTCGCCCTCCCGATTATTAGGTTCGTTTCGTATCCTGGTAGATCTTATTAGCGTCTAGTGCTGTTGGACTGATTTCGGACGGGTGTATCGTTTGTAGGTCATGAAATGCAGATCCGTCACCAAGAGGAAATAGGAGACCTTGAATTCCAGTGGGCTCGCCAGTACGGCCCCACTTGGCGCACACAGGGGTGCTTTGGTGTATGTCCAATTATCTTTCGTTATGCTGAATGCATATTGACGGTCTCTGACGTGAATCAGGAGGACGTGTTGTGGACAGCAGATCCGAAGACTCTTCAGTATATCTTCCATACCTCTGCTTATCGATTCCCGAAGACCAAGATGTTGGAGCAAGCCGCTAAGAATATCTCGGGTCGAGGTATTGTCTCGGTTCAAGGTATGTTACCCAATTGCTTCTTGTGAGCCATATTAAGGGCACCCTTTTGGGTTAGGCGAAGTTCACCAGCGTCAGAGGAAAATTATGTCCCCAGCCTTTTCAGCAGGACAGTTGCGCACATTCTTACCTAACTTTAGACAATCAGCTGCTCGTGTAAGAGGCTCTTCACTAGCGTTTCTTAGTTATGTTAACATGTATCTTATTTCTCCATCAGTTATCTCGGAAATGGAAGGATCAAATAGAATCAAGTCCTTCTCTTGATAGTGCTATCATCAACATTCCTCAAATGATGGCTAGAATGACATTAGATGTTATTGGTGAAGGTGACTACGTTTTTGCTACACACTGTTGAGTACATGCTGATATTCTCTATCATTAGTTGCCTTCGACTATCGATTTGGAGCTTTAGACGACCAGGAAAATGAACTTGCAGTTGTCTTTAGGGATCTCTTGTAAGTCTCTCTTCTCTCGGTATTTATCGTATTTATATTACATTATAGTTTGGATTCTATGCTCCATCCACCTGCATGGGATGTATTGTTCAAGGCTACGTGGCGCTATATTCCCGACTCAATCCTGCACTACGTCAGGCATATTCCAACAAGGGAGTACAGCCGCTTCAAAGACTTTCTGGACACGTCTTTCCGCATTGGAAAGGATCTTGTAGATCAGAAAGCTTCTGGAACTGAGAAGGGTAGTAAAGATATCCTGAGTATCTTGGGTACGCAACATGTCATTCGAGCAATGACAGCTTGGTGTGACTGATTTGATATTTTCATCAGTGCAATCTAATATTGCTGAAGATGCCAAGAAACGTTTGAATGAGGATGAGATGCTTTCCCAAATAGCGTGATTATTCAGTTGGAATATATTTGGTTCAATAACTTTGTGGCTGAAAACAGTGACTCCATCTAGGACACTTCTTTTGGCTGGTCACGATACGACTGCCAATACCCTTGTCTGGACTCTTTATGAACTAGCCAGACATCCAGAAGACCAGCAAAAGGTCCGTGACGAAATAGCGGCTGCTCGTAAGGACGTGGAAACTCGTGGAGATGAAGACTTTGTGCCTAGTGATTTCGACTCGATGCCCTTCTTGAATGCCGTTCTCAAGGTTGGTGCAAGTACCGTGTTAACCGTGTGGAAGACAAGTCTGAAAATGATGTTTTCAGGAAAGTCTGCGCTTGCATCCTGTTGGTGCCGTACTATTCCGAGAAGCGGGTGGCGAAGATATTCTCCCTCTTTCTGAGCCGCTTGAAACTGTGTCAGGTAAAATGATAGACCAGATTTCCGTCAGCAAGGGTCAGACGATCAATGTCTCTGTCTGTGCTTACAATCGGTGAGTGTCGTTGCGCTCTTCTGGCACCAAGACCATCTTAACAACTGCAATGGTGATAGACTACAAAGTGTATGGGGAGAAGATGGAGATAGCTGGAACCCTAGCAGATTCTTAGATAGTGGCAAGGAGGGGCGGACGTCCGTTGGGGTGTTCGCAAACTTGTGCGTCTTTTCGTCTGGTTTCATCACCGCACTCTTCTCATGACATTTTGTTCGCAATTTCCAGAATGAGTTTTTGTGAGTGATGTATTATATATAATATGCAGGCGCGATTTAAATGCCCGTTGGACGTTCTCATTAGCTGCCGGCATACGTGCTTGCATCGGGTGAGTTCCCTCCAGTCTGTACCATACCTCATATGCTGACAAGCTCCATCGATACAGATGGCGCTTTGCGTACGTATCCCTCGTTCACGATAATCCTGGTAAAACCACTAATCACCCCTATTCTTGGTACGTACATATACAGATTACTCGAGATGCAGGCTGTACTCTCGGAGCTCGTTGAGACGTTGGTGTTCCAATATCCTGAGGGGATGGATATCATGCGACTCAACTCGGGAATGATGGTGCCCATTATAAGGGGCAAGCTCGAGGCGGGAATACAGCTACCTCTGCAAGTCTCGCTCGCGCATGGAGCATGAGTGCATTTATATGGGCGGTAGTAGTAGTAACTCAACAAAAAGAACTATAGCTTGCTAGGATGATCTATGTCCTTTGCTATTTGCAAAACACCCCCTTCAATGTATTTTCACGTATTTTGTATATATATGTATACGGTGACATTGAATGTGATCTGGAAGTCAGATTATAGTTTTTATGTTCAAATCTTTGCGGATTATATTTGTTGTCCTTTTTAAAGGCAGATTCAAACTGACACTTCCCAGACCCTCCATACTTCCCAAATGGTCAAACACATGTGCGTACATGGTATCTCCTAGGGTGACACTGAGTTTCACAGTTTTTCCACTTGTCAACTCATAGAGGCATTATCCATTTCCATGGCCCCCCAACATCCAACCTCTCCTTGTACTTCCTCCACACACACCAACCCCACTTCCAGATTGTCCAGCACTTTCTCCCACTGACTTACCTTGCAGCAAGCCAGAGAATGAGGACATCAAGGATTTTACCCTCAAGCAATCACCTTGCTTGCCAGATCCTCACAACCCCACCAGCGGCTCCGCACACACAAAAATCGGTGACCCCAACACCTTCAATGGCTCCAACCCCAGGAAGCTTTGCTCCTTCATTGTGCAATGCCAGCTAAACTATAGCAACCGCCCGGGCACATTCTGCACCAACCAAGCAAGGATCAATTACACTATCTCCTTCCTCAAAGGAATGGTGTTAGGTTCATTCGAGCCTGACATCTGACAGAAGAGGGTGGGAGTGATAAGATAGGAAGTGGAAGGAGAAGAGTGAAAAGATGATAATGGCTGAAGAAAGGAATGGTAAGGCTGCCAGTGTGTTCTGGTATAAGAGGTTGATCAGAGGAATACAGTATGCATGAAACAATTACTTAATATATGGTCTGGTGGAGGTGAGGCTGAATTGAGGCTGGGGGTGATGCTGAAAAAGATGGCAGATTGGTGAGACAGCTAACAGAGCCTGCAATTGCTGTGGTATATATGTCTAATCTGTTAAATAGTAAGCAGAAGTTGGCTCATTAGATACAATTGGCTAATACTACATACCTATAATATGAGTTTTGCAGACACTTGTGAAGCAGGAATACTCCAAGTTGGGGTCTTGACTATGCAGGATGACAAATTATGACATTTGTTTATAGTATGAGAAAACATGCATTGGCCAGGGCTTGAACCTGGGACTCCAGCTTTCATGGTCTGGTGCTTTACCAACTAAGCTACCAAGGCGTACTTGGAAAGCATACTGATTGGTTGCATGCCCAGAAGGTCCAGAATCACTGTACACGGGTGCGGATCCCATTGTGTTGTGATACAGGACAAATCCTGAGGAACATACTGTATATACTGAGACCTGTTAGCATATATATAGGATGAAACTAGTGAGTAAACAAATACCAGAATGGCCAGTCTCATGATATGAGTGCAGAGGGATGAGGGCCTGGATTGCCATGCTGTACTCTGGTATTGAGGATTCAAAAATGGTGTTTGAGCATGCCAAAGATCTGTTTGATGATGTTGTGGGCAAACACATGGTAAAGATTGAACACTCACTGTTGGCTTGCACAAGCAAATTCAGACAAATGATAGCAAACCCCATGGTAGTATCACAATACACAATGGGATCCGCACCCGTGTACAGTGATTCTGGACCTTCTGGGCATGCAACCAATCAGTATGCTTTCCAAGTACACCTTGGTAGCTCAGTTGGTAAAAGCACCAGACCATGAAAGCTGGAGTCCCAGGTTCAAGCCCTGGCCAATGCATGTTGTCTTATACTATAAACAAATGTCATAATTTGTCAGGTAGGGGATAAGGAGTTGAGCACAGGAGGGAAATCCTGCATCAGCAAGGTGGTATTTTCTCACTGGCACCGCAAGATTATGCATGCAAGCATTATAGAAGAGCCTTGCATCTACAGTGGATCCCTCCCAGCCACTCATGATGTAAGTAAACTAAACCTCAGATTGAAGTCACACCAGGTAAGGATATTCTGGGATATGCCACTTTTCTGATTCCAGGATGCAGACCATTTGGCAGGGTTGGGAGCACATGCAATGTGTCCCATTGATGGCACCACCAGCACCACAAAATTGTCAAAGCTTGGGGTTATTGGCAATATATGGGGGAGTTGGCTCATTCTCATCAGGTGTAACAACCAAGAGTTAGTTACTCTGGCGCACACAGGAACACACTATAAAGGTAGTGGATGGGGAGTGGTTACCCCTTAGGCTGCAGAGAGTTTGTTGGTTAACAACAGGAGGACTCACTGAGGAGTCTCCTTGATCTATTGGGGTATTTATACTAATACAGAGTGTTTGTACCTATGTACTGTACAGTTGATAAAGGCAGTGGCTGATGATGTCAGAGGGCACAGCCCGTGTGACCAGCTCCACTGCATGAGAGAGTTTGAGTCTAAAAGAAGAATAAAGGCAGCGCTGTGCGAGAAGGTGGAGTTAGAACGAAAAAGGAAAGTGCTGTATGGCACGGAGTGTGAACTGAAGTAAAAGGTTAAAGCGGAGAATGAAAATTAAAGGAAAGGTCCGAAAATTGTGTTATTGTAACACTACCCCCCTTCTAAGGCTCGACTTCCAGGCTTGACCAAATACCGGAGGTGGTAGTTAAATTTTCGGGCATAGGTTGAAAAAGGGAATTGAAAAGTTTTGAGTCCATGCCTCTAAGCTTTCTAGGAGCTGAGGGGTTCTTAGAATAAAATTCGCAAACAGCATTGCGGGAGTGATCCAGATGGGCTTCTGGCTCCCACATTCTGTCCTCGTCTCCATAGCCTTTCCATAGGACTAGGAATTCTATTTTACCACGCTTCAAGTGTGCATCCACCACCCGTTCGACTTTGAACTCTTCTTCACCTTCCTGAGTGACTACAACCGGTCCGGGCTAGTCTACACGCTGTCCTGGCAGCAGCCCTTTGTAGGGTTTCACATGGCTAATGTTGACCGTGAGTACTACCCTCATTCGTTTTGGGAGCTCCAGCTCCACTGCATTGGGTTTGACTTCTTTAATCCGGTAAGGGCCAATCCACTTTTTGGTCAGTTTTCTAGACTGCTGATCTTTTAACTTTAAGTGGTCGGTATCTAACCAGACCAGGTCGCCAACCTTGTAGTCAGGGGCCTTAGAGCGTCTACGCTCTGCCCTGTCTTTCATCTGCTCTGCAGTTTTGAATAGCGCCTTGCACGTTTTGTCTAAGACTGACTTCATGTCTTTGACCATGTTCTCAGCAGCCTCGTTCTTGCTTTTTCCAGGCTCTACACCCATTCTGGGAAGGTACAATCTTGTAACCTCGTCTGGTGCTTTCCCTGTAGCCGATGACTGTTTGATATTGTAAGAGAACTGGGCTATTTTTAGCCACTTGGCCCAATCTGTCTGTCTGTCATTACTAAATATCCGGAGATATTTATATTTTGCCAGGGACCAGCTGGTATCGGATTTGGCATAAGTTTACCGGCCGGCGGTTGATGGGAATTCTTTGCCATGGCACATCTCAAACAGGATTTTATGTATTCCTGAACATCTTTGACCATGCCAGGCCACATGTAGTTTCTGGAGATCAACTCCATCGTTTGTTGCCATCCAGGGTGCCCAGCCACTGGAGTGTTGTGATGTCTGCCTATTGCCTTGATCCTTGCGGACTCAGGCACATAGATTTTGTCTTTAAAATGGAAGAGCCCATCTTCCCATAAATAGTTCTCATTGCCGTCAAGGTGTGCCTTCTCTTCAGAGGAGATGTTTTTCCTGAAGACTTCCAGAAGATTAGAATCCTGCCCTATTCTAACATTGGCAACCCTTGATTGGTCTATCAGGGTAACACCTTTGTTGTCATCCTCGATGCCGTTGGCATAATTCTCTCTTCTGGATAAAGCATCCGCTTTCCCCATTGAAGTTCCAGGCTTGTGAATCAATTTATAATTAAACCTTGACAAATACACCACGTAGCAAGCTTGTCTCCGTTTCAAGTCTCGGGCTGTCATAAAATACTCCAGATTCTTATGATCGGTCCAAATTTCAAATTGGTGTCTAGCACCTTCTAAGTAGTGCCGCCAGTGCTCTAAAGCTCTAATGATGGCCAGCATCTCTTTATCATAGATTTGATAGTTGCGCTCTGTAGGCGACAAACTATGTGATAAATAGGCACAAGGCCTCCAAAGATTGTCAGGGCATTTAATTGACAAAACAGCCCCAGTAGCAAAATCAGAAGAGTTGGTTTCTAGCCGGAACTCTTTGTTTAATTCTGGAAATGCTAATATGGGCGCCATTGTAAACACCTGTTTAAGCTTATCAAAAGCTTCTTGTTCTTTGGCGCCCCAGTGCCACATAATGTCCTTTTTAGTGAGATCGTTCAATGGTCTTGTTATCTTTGCAAAGTTTTCGAAAAATCTTTGGTAGAAATTGCCTAAGCCAAGGAAGGCCCTAACTCCTTTGACGCGAGTAGGTTCAGGCCAGTCCAAAATAGCTTGAACTTTCTCAGGGTCTATCCTGATTCCGTTCTGGCCTATTATCATACCAAGGAAGTCTACTTCCTTTACTTTAAAATTACATTTTTTGGGTTTGACCAATAGGTCCTATTCCTGTAAGCGTCAAAGGACTTCTTGCACAATCCTGTTATGCTCAGCCTCATCGTCCGACTTTGTAAATATTAATAAATCAACAATGTAAATGATGACACAGTTTTCCATATCCGCAAAGATCTTGTTTATCATGCTCTGAAAGTTTGCCGGTGAATTGGTCAACCCAAAAAACATAACAACGATGTGAGGAATCAATTTTTCTTATCGCATTCCCGTCATGTCGTGGTTAGCAGACTCGATCCCCATCACTCCTCTTGCCCTTGGACTAGAGATTACAGCAGGTGTCTTATTACTTTTATCATTTTTCTTCTTATTCTCTCTTCACACTCACGTTCTATCGTACTTACAACGAGGTAGACTTGTTGTCGACCCTCGAGAAGATATCCAGATGACATAGCCACGATCCAGTGCTATGTCTGGGAATACTTCGGAGGAATATTGATAAGCGAAGAAGGTTGTGAGTCAGCGCCTTCTCATGGGCTTACTGATACAGCCAATCGCACATCCCTTACCAATACATTTTCTCATACGATTAGTAAATACGATAGATCGGACCACTCTCTCCTTTTTTCTTATTTGTTAGCTAGCTGGTCAGACCACTTTCTCAGTACTTCCCTTTCTCGGTCTGACCATCGCCGTTCACTATATAAAGAAGTACATACTCAATGTATTGTTCTCTAGTTCAATATTAGTTTGGATTTGCGCTTATACCGATACTCTTCATCCTCATACCCTGATTCATCGCCTTCCAGCAAGGACTTGACCAGGCATTGTGTTTTGTTATATAGCTTCGTATTTGTTGCCTGACAAACAAGGGGTTCAAAGGATCCTCGGTGGCATGTGAATGTAGCCTTCCAAGCATCTTCTTCTTTGATTCGTACATTATTGTACCCCCATCTGAGATCCATCTTTGTGAAGATTTTGGCACCAGCCAACTTGTCTACTAGCTGACTAATCAAAGGCAGCGGATATGCATTTTTAACTGTGTACTCATTTAAGTAACAATAGTCCATAATCATACACTTTTTACCATCCTTTTTAGGGATGAAGAACACTGGGGACGTCATAGGGCTCTTGGAAGGTCTGATGTAACCCTTCCTGAGCTGTTCATCTATGAAACTAGAAACCTCATCTCTTTCTGGGGCAGAGAGGGGAATCATGTGTCCCTTTCTAGGTTTGAACGTATCCTTCAAATCTATAGCATGGTCCCAAGGCTTAGCCTCTGGGAAGTGTTCTGATTTATGTTTTGAAAAGACTTTCCAGAAGTCATGGTACTCGGGAGGTACCAACCTCTTAATCTCTTCTTTGGGTTTTACTTTGTCATCGTCATCGTCAATCTTTTCTATAGATCTGAGCTCATAAATGTGACCAGCGTTTATCTTCTCAAGACACTCAGTTTGATGGACGTAACTCGGTTTACCCAAGTTTTCACACTCCTGAGGACAACGTGACAATGTGACAACCCCTGTCTGCCAGTTGATCTCAGGATTGTGTTTAAACAGCCAGGTCCAGCCCAAGATTAAATTAATCTTCCCTAGTTTGGTAGCTTCAGCGCTGACTCATTCTCTGTGTCCTTGGTACTCGACAACAAAAGAACATTTGTGCGTGATACAGCCACCCACGTTAAGCATTCCATCAACATTATAGACGGGAATAGATACATCTAATTTTATAAGGGGGAGTCCAATTTGCTCCGCCCAGACCTGGTCTATGAAGATTCCGTTAGCACCTGAATCTAGTAGTGCGCTGGTTGGGTGTACTATGCCCCGGGCAAGGTTTTCCACACCAATGTCTAAACGGATCTCCTTTTGGAATAAATATGTGCGCATCAACACACGCCTTGGGATTTCTGTGGGAAGTGGCTCCGAAGAAGAAGAAGAATTATTGAAAGAAACATGCTTTTCTACTTTAGGATTTTCTTTATTTTTATTTTTATTTTTACCAGAATCAAGCACCCTAGTGTTTGTCTCGCCGGGGCCACGCTCAAAAGGAGACACTGGTACAGCGGTTGTATTATAAGTATTTTCAGTGTAAACTCCTTCATCATCTTGTCCCACTGAATCAGCGCTCAAAGCAGCTATATTGTCAGGAGGGTCCAAGACAAATCCACAGTCACAGTGTCGCATACAAGTACATACTTCAGATAATAAATTCAAAAATCTATTTACAAATTGGGGAGCCACCCCCTTCTTTCCCTTATTGCTTGTGCAACACCCCGGAACAGTTTTCCCTGGGCCTTCATCTCTGCAACCTGCTGATCGTAGAAGAAGGCCCTGATTTTGTCATACGAATGACCGGTCAATGAATTGAGCCGATCGTCCGGTTTTTCTAATTCTAATTGGCACGCCTGGCGTCCTTGGTTAATTTTTTTTTGAGCGGCCTGCGCTCCATTTGGACACTTTCAGGCTATGTGCCCCTCCTGCCCACAGTTATAGCAGTTGAATCCGCGCCTCTGTCCGCCCTGGACTGCGCCGATATCCATTGGGGCTCCCTGCCCTAGTTGCAACCTGAATGGTTGGAACCCGCAAGAGTGATGTTGTTTTTGGTTTGATGACCCAGGGCTCCTCTGGGAAAAGTTGTTTTTGGTGGTGGACCCGCCATCTTGGTGCATAGCATAAAGCTCCATGGCTCTACCAATTTTATGCACCTCCTTGGCTGCGTCCAAGAGGTTATCATGCCTTATCCTGCAGGTAGATTTGTTCTGCAATGCGGGGGTTCACATTGTGTTCCAGCAGTTCTACTGCATGTTCATTGCCAAGCCCTCCTTGGATGGAGAGGGCCAGGAACCAGATTATGTAGTTGTCCGTCCTCATGTTTCCTTGTTTGAAGAAACAGATTTGTTGACACGCCCAGTCACGCTCAGCTTGCGGTTTGAAATATTTTTTGATCTCAACTTTGAGATCATCCCAGACAGACCACACTCCCGCGGTGTAGCACTTCTGCATTCTAACTTGGGTGTATTGACCCACCACAGGTCCTTTTAGTCGAGATAGTACTGCAGTAGCTACCTCAAAATTGTCGGCAAATGCATCCCAATTTGCCTTGACCCAAATTTGGAGCTTGATCCACCATTCGGCAAATCGCGCTCTGTCTCCTTCGAAGGCGCCGGGGTCAGTGACAACTTCGGCTTTCTTGTTAAACTTCTTCTCAACCGTGGGTGCTGCTGCAGGAGGGGCTGCCTGTAGCTTGGCAAGTTGCGTTGTCAATGCCAAAATCCGTGCACGCATGTTGTGCAACAGGGTGTTGACGTCAGGGGTTTGCAATGACATGTCGACTTGTTCTTTGGTAAACGTAAAGAAAGGTAACTGGGGGTCCCCACTTGCTATCTGCGGATCTACCTCTTCCCAGCTGAGTATCGGATCTCAATCTCCGACTACCCACACTATAGTATTTGAAAATTTATGTAAAAGGTATAGTAAAAAACCCTGGTTTTGAACGGTTGTCAGGGGGTGGTCCGCTTGTTAAGCTGTCAACCCTTCTCCAGACTGGCAGAGGCAAGTGCCCAGCCTGGTCAGAGGTATTCAAAGAGGAAGTTTTGTATGTAAATTCTAATCAACAGCGGTTCCACACTGACTGCTGAGCTAAGGTACTCCCCTTCACGCTGGGGGCCGCGTATCAAAATCATTGTCTCTTCTCCCAAAGTACTACAAGGCCGTTGCTAGGAGTGCACCTATCTGCTATACGGGATATTCCCAAACAATAATAATATCCCCTTAACCCTGGGGTCCGGGTTTGCACACAGTGCAAGAGAGTAATGAAGAGCGAGTCCTAATGTAACAACCAAGAGCTTATAACTCTGGCGCACAACTCAGACAGGCTATAGAGATAATGATGAGGGAGTGGTTACCCCTTAGGCTTCAACAAGTTAGTTGTGAGGATACAACAGGAGGACTTGCTGAGGAGTCTCCTTGATCTATTGGGGTATATATACTACTACAGGTTTGTTTGTACATATGTACTATACAGTTGATGGGGGCAGTGGCTGGTGATGTCATGGGCACAGCCCATGTGACCAGCTCCACTGCGTGAGAGAGTTTATAGCTAAAAATAAGAAAAGGCAGCGCAGCGCAAGAAGATGGAGTTTGAACAAAAAGGAAAGTGCCACATGGCACAGTGTGTGAAAACTATAGAAGAAGGTTAAATAGGAGAATGAAAATTAAAGGTCCAAAAATTGTGTTATCATAACAATGATCCTAAAATTGAGAAAGAATTACTGTGAGACAGTGTCATTAAGCTTTGAAATTTTTCACCCAGGTGTTTGATCATTAATCTGGTCATGGATGCGTAAAGGAATATTGCAAGCTGTTCTTCAATCAAGACATGTTTTGAGTCAACATATTTGTTGTTCTTAAGAAGACAAACAATTTTCCTGAATACCACCCAATCAACACTAAGCTTGCTGCAAATATGATCTGGATAACCATCTAATAATTCCAGCACACATCCTTGACCTGTAAGGATGGACATATGGAAAGGCTTCAGCAGTTGAAATTTCTCAGACTCCAGCTCAGCATAACCTGTAACTGTAGTGATAGTTACCTCTACAAGAATAAGGAGAATTACACTATATTGTTGGCGCAAAAGCCTTAGTTGCCTCCTGTGCTGCATCACCTCCAGTTCTCCAATATGCCCTTCATTGACCATAGTACCCTTGTCAACAGGCAGATCATCCTGCACATCCTCCCTGTCCAAACCATGTATTCCCAGTCTTTCCAAGCTTTGGTGTCGACCTGAATGTTCACTTGACAAATTGCCAGAGCTGTCCATAGAGTTGTTGTCCATATGGTTGTCATCCATTCTTGTGCACTGCACCTTTGCCTCCTGTCCTTGACACACTGTAGCAATAGTGCTGGGATTGTATCTCCACTCAATGGGAGGTGTTGCAGCACACCAGCATGAAAATCAAAAAGTGTGCCCATACACTGCGGGCATTGGCTTATTTAAGCCCAGCTTATATCCTGAAAATACTATTGTTGGACAATAGGTGCAATTGGTCTGGGAAGAAGTTGAATAATTCACAAGTTGTTGAGCTTGAGAACATTAGAACTTGACCAGTAGATATAATTTTTAGTATTCCAGCTGCCAATGTAGAAAAATAAGCAAGAACTTGAAGCATTAGAGCAGCAGAATGAAATTAAAAAGACAACACAGATTTTGGAATGGTTCTGCAATTTCTGGTCACACTGGGTCACAATGGCACTCATAGACCAAATCAGGCAGAGCTTACCAGTTGAATTCCATAAGGTCATACCAAGTCTTGACACTGATATGTGCGGTACGTACCAAAGCAGAGCTAGCGGGCTTTGATTGTCTGTTTTGGTTGCCTAGTCACAACTTCTGTTGGAGTACAAGCGAGGACAGACCACTCGCCACTTTAAGCTATGGACAAATTGACAAAACCAGATAAACCCGGTCTCTGCCAAAGCAGCCATTGTTCTCCATGGAGCATAGCCACCACTCCATGGAGTAACCATTGTTCTCCTAGGAGTCATTATACTGTAGCGAGTAGCACCTCCAACTATAAGTAGTAGGGGGTTTAGTATAGGAATACCTCAGTCGTTTCTATAGCCTCTCGGGCAGCGGCTGAGGTATGTTACATTACATTTATTAGAGATCACCTTAAACTAACATCTATTGTAGTTTCACTTAGGTAAATAATAAAGTTGTTTCTATAGCCTCTCGAGCAGCGGCTGAGTTTCACTTAGTTTTATTAGGTTATGAGCCCTGGTGCGCAAAAGCTACGCAGGAAATAATTCTTATTTGAAACGGCAACCTCGGAACCATGACCACAGCACGCGATACATCCGCATGTCCAGTTCTCACTGGACCCAACAATTTTCAGATATGGAAACTCCGGATCATCTCAAAGCTACGTCGGGAAAACGTTCTCCGGGTTGTTACTGGAGAGGAGCTTAAGCCCTCACCAGGAAAACCTACCTCCTCGGAGGATCCTGAGATCACCTGGATACTTAAGGATGAGAAGGCACATGGAATCATCCAGGACCACATCTCTGATGCCCTTCTAATGAGGACTGGAGACCTCACCAGCTCCAAGGAGTTATTTGATAAACTTGTCTCACTCTATCAAATGTCCAACATTGCCTCGGCCTTTATTCATTCCAGCAACTCACCAAATTGTCCTGGGATGGGACATCACCTATCCAGGACCACATTGCGAAAATCTGGACAATTGATTCACACCTCTCTGGAATGAAACTAGGAGTTGATACCAAACTCATGGCTTTTGCTCTTCTCCAATCTCTCCCATGCACTCCTGAATGGCAAATATTTCAGTTATCAGTAATCAACATGATTGAAGAAAATAAACTTACCTTTGATGCAGTTGAGATCCAGATCACTGCAGAAGTTGCACGACAGTCAGGAAAGGCCCCTGGAGGTTCTGAATCAGCACTCAAATCCGAGGAGAAATGGTGTAACTTCCACAAAGCCAAATCACACAACACCTCTGAGTGTCGAACACTTCAGTCAGCTGAAAAAGGTCAAAGGAAGAAGGGAAAGGAAAGACACAAGGATAAAGGAAAAGAGAAGGAAAAGGCAAATACAGCGGAGCAATCATCTGGATCTGACTCCGAGGAGGAACAAAGTCATATTGCATTGGAACATGTACATATTTCCAAGCCCCTTGCTAAACGCATTCAAGCTTACCTTGTGTCGGAACCCGATAAGACCAAAACAACAATTATTATTGACTCCGGAGCAACATCCCACATGGTCCCTCACTGCTCCTGGTTTGAGCCAGGAACATACCATGTTCTGCATCCTCCGAGGACAATCAGTTTTGGGGATGAATCCTCTGTAAATGCCATTGGCATTGGAACAGGAATCCTACAAGCAACTGTTGGCAAAAAGGACTACAATATTGCACTGTCAAATGTCTTACTTGTGCCAAACTTCACTTTAGCACTCGTCTCTGTCCACAAATTGTCCAAAATGGGGTTATCAACACTTTTTCCAGCAGGGTCAAATGCTTGTGAAGTTCGGAAAAAGGAGGAACTTATCCTCACTGCCTTATACAAGCGAGGACTTTATCACATCCAAGCAAAACCAGAAATCAACCCAGAGTCAGCTTTTGCAGCAGTAGATGTAAATTTATTGCACAGGAGAATGGGACACATTGGAATGGACTGCTTGCAACGAATGGTTACAAAAAGACAGCTCCAGGACATAGACACCCTTACCGGAACCCCAGAGTTTTGTGAACCTTGTGCTTTAGGAAAGATGAAGAAATTACCTTTCAAGTCCACTGGAGGAAACCGAGCCAAGCGCCCCATACAAATTGTGCACACTTCTCCAAATTTCCATGGATATATTTCCTAAAACATAAAAGTGAAGCACTGGAACGATACAAGCAATGGAAAGAAGATATCCAAACATTCTTCCGGACTCATTTGGGAGAAGAAAACTTCACTCCACTATACACAGAATTCCTCCGGAGCGATGGGGGAGGAGAATATACTGGCAATGCATTCAAAAATCAACTCCGAGGAGATGGTGTTATCCAAGAAACTACAGCTGCAAATACTCCGGAACAAAATGGCATTGCAGAACGCATGAATCAGACATTGGCTATATTAGCAACCACTATGCTCCATGATTCCAAGCTCCCAAAGTCATTTTGGGTAGATGCCATGCAAACAGCTGCATATATCACAGCACGCAGCCCAGCATCAGGACTCCATGGAAAGACCCCATATGAAATACTGTTTAAAAGGAGAGTTGATCCAACTTTGTTTTGCCCTTTTGGATGCCAAGCATATGCCTTGATTCTGAAAGACAAAAGGCAAGGGAAGTTTTACTCCAAGGGGCGCTGTGAGGCAACGATAAACTATAACAAAAACTAAACCTGTCTCCTTCTGCACTTGCAGGGAGTAAGGGTTCAGTGAGCTTGAGGTCGACAGACGCTAGCAAATATAGCGAGTAGAGGACTTTGAGAGGTAAGCTTCAAAGGTTCTTGTTGAGGAGTAAAGCGGGTAAATTCAGTAATAGAAAGCTAAGGAGCTATACATGAATAGGTACGGCTTTATATAGGGAACTGTCCGTTCCTCAGACCGAAAGGAGAATATACGAAAAGTGGTCTGAGGAATTAATCAACCAATAAGAAAAAGGGGGAGTAACTATCGTACGACTTTTGACTTGATTAATCAGCAGGTGAGAGACTTGTACTAATAATAGAAGATTGTCACGTGTGGTCAGGAACCGTATCCTCATGATGAGGTACGATTCTAGATAAGGCGTTATTAGTATTACC